TAGGACAAAAGTTGAGAATCAATTTTCAGAAATTGGGAATAAATTCTGCCGATTCAATAATAACAAGTCAGTTGTTAAAATGGATAACATAAAATACTATAATCTGCAATTTTGTGTAGCTTGTTTATTAAAAAATACTACAAAATTTGTAGTAATGTTCAATATTCCTATTTTACCACACCATAAACTATGGCACAGTAATGATTTCGATTTTCCAGTAGAGCATAAACTAATTGATATAGTGGTTAGCAATGATAAACAAAATAAAGATAAACTAGATAAAATGATCAGATTACAAAATGACCTGCTTAATATGGCTATATCAAATGAAGAAATGATTGTTGATAATGAATCTGATAATAATTCAAATTAGAGTAATAGTGATAATGATGATGTTCCAAGATTTAATGAGCGTAGTAAAAAAAGAAAGCGAAATAAAGGGAAACAACAAGCAATGGCATCATATGAAATAGAAGAGATTATTAGGTATAAAACTGAAAATGGTACATATTTATTTGAAGTAAAATGGGTTGGATATAGTGCTGATGATAACAGTTGGTTATCAATTGATAAATTTAATCAAAAGGGTTTATTGAAGGAATATATCAATAAGCATAATCTTGGTATATTATAAAATTGCATACTCTAGGTAATATTCAATATATTCTTTTTCATTAAATATCTTTTTAATTATATTCATAAATAAAATTGGATCCACTATTTTAAATAAATTCTTATAATGATTAAATTTAATTAGCTTATATGCAATATATATAGGATCATATATGATATTTCTAATTTTTGACTTGTAAATTTTAATATGCTTCTTTACAATATAATGCTCACCATCATAAATTTTATTACTTTTATGTACTAAATACTTTTTTTGATGAACATATTCTAATAATAAATATTTTGCTATAAATTCAGTAATACTTACAATATTTTCTTCAACTGGTATATAACATAATGTGGATAAATACTTTGAATTCATACCTAGCATTCCTTTTTTACCAATTATTTTTATATATACACAAAATTCAATTTTTTGTACAATTTGGATTTTTACAGCCAATAGATTTCTTACAGCCAATAGTATTATCTAATATCTAATTGGAGTTGGATGTCCCTAGAAGGAGAAACACAGTACTGCAAGTGCATCAGCAACAAACCAAAAACGAAAATTGTCGGCAGTAGACCCCGTGGAAAATTTAAAAATGGGAAGAAGAACTGATACAACCTATATTGGAGGAAACGGTGTTGAACTAGGTTGCTTGGAAATTGGTAGAACAAACGATCAAACTAAAGAGTTTATCGATGGTTCAATTAAGATGCCTATGGTAATGAGAGACATGCTGTTGAAATTGGTCGAAGAAAACCCAGCTCTTGTCAATCAACTTCATATTTTAGGATATCTCATCATGGGTAAGTTACGATTAATAAATGCTATTTTTTTGGTATGATATTAACTACATGTCCCTCTGTACTACTTCAGGTGACAAAGTTAGCTTAATGGATATGGATATCCCTGATGGATATGTGACAAGAATTCGTCGTACGAAACAAGTAGCATATCCTGACAGTAGCAAGAATTTCATAGTGCATATTGGCCCATTATTAGAGCTGGCAGCCATTGGAAAAGAAATTGTCGAAGATACCTATAAAAAGTTCAGTAATGTATGATTCCGTTGTCGGCAGCTGCAGATGAACAAGAAAAACTGGTCATCCCACCTCGTCTATCTGGATTATCATCATTCGCATTATCATCATCAGAATCATCAACATCATCATCGTCAAACAAACGCCAAAACACTAGTAGCGCGTCCAGCTCATAGTCTCACCTTTGAATATACCTTTATATCATAGTCTTATCAATTTTTTAATAATATAATGTAAAAAGTAGCAGTTTACGAAAAACAACGTTTATTCCTTCCCCCTTTATCTGTATATTATTTCATGTATCTATTGTTGATACATGTATATCCAATTATCAAAAAAAATATGATGGGAGAATGATAAAAGAAATAACTGTACAAAATAGAAATTTTTTATGGAGAGAAATTGGTTGCATATATATGATATAGTAAATATATAAATGTGAAGGAAGGGAAAAAAAAGTAAAAGAATTTTTATAATCTATGTGCGTTGGAAGAAATAGCAATCAACTGGCTCACAAGAATGATAAATTGTTAACTTGTAGGAACCGGATATACAGCTTTTGTTTCTTTAATTTGAGAATCAGTCAGATGAATTATATACAAATACTGTAAACGTGAGGAATGATGATAACAAAGTTGATTTTTATGTACCACATATTAGATAAAGAATAGTGAGTACGAACTTCGTTGGACAAGATGATTCACTACTTGTAATACTAAAATAATCCGAAGGGTCCCTATTCTTTTTTTTTTGGTTATAAATGTTGGTAACAAAGGAGGCATCTTTTGAATTGCAATCCATTGGCATTGTTTTTTTTTGATCTAATAACTGTCCATTCATGTTTCTCGACTAAAGTATTCTTCAATGGTTGGGGTTGACCTTTCCGTTGGATACTGAGACACGGAATTATGTATCGCCAAGTCATCATTGTCATATTCTTTCACAATATGCCTAACTTCATCGAAGAAACTTTTTCGTTGAGGTTTGGCACCAATATCTAAAAGTATAGTATTACCATTATCACTATCACTATCGTTATCATTATCAGGAAACTTGACCCACCATTGGAAAAAAAAAGGGCCCTTGATCGTATATACATGCTCCTCGTTCAGATATCTAGGATTCACGAAGAATTTGATTATCAAAAAAATTATTACTTTCAGCTCACATCGGTCCTTCTTTGTTCACGCTTGAATTCGTAGCCATGCCACATTTGAGTGAATAGCTTAAATTGGTTTGGGATGGCTCAATTTCGTTCAAGTAGCTCAATTTGGAAAAAGGGCCCGTTTTCAAAATCATGGCCCGTTTATATTTTGTATCGCTAAATTTAATTTCCAACACTGTAAAAGTGACACCATTCAAATGAATTGTCTAAAAAAAATCCTGGAGGAAAGAGGGGAGAGCGAGCCAGATATCCAAGGAGGACGAGTATGACACTGAGGAGATGCATAAACCAAGTGGATAGAGTGAGATTTACAATGATATTGAGATGCGCAACATCAGAGAGTAAGCTCCTCTCCACCTCTGTTCTATGCGTCGTGCAGTTAGTTTTCGTGTGGCCTCCGACCGCATCGATTGTATCTTTTGCGAAACGTATAGCTTTTTACTGTAACAAACAGGCTGAGTTGAGCACAACCACATGGCAATAGGATCCCGACCTATTCAATACGTAATGGGGGGAGCGAAAGGGCGAAAGGAATGAGCGGACTGTGTAATGTTCGAAAATAAGGTTAGACGGTGTGTGGTTCGTTGTTGTTCCTGTAGAACCATTAAGCATGAATCGACTGACTTTTTTTTTTCAGGGTTTTCGTTTTTGGAATGGGTAGATCGTTTGTATTGGCAAAAACAAATATTCAAGTAAGGACCGTGCACACCCTGTCATCTGAGCCTCATCTATGTCTTTTGTAATCTCTCAATATAATATCTGGAAGCAGCAGTATTAGATGTTACCTAATGGTTGGCGCTTCCCCATCTTGGCGTGACACGAGTTTCAGGTGAACGACGATGCGCCATGGCAAAGAGAAAGAACTACTACTACTACTACTAAGCTTTCTGGCAGTCTCGATTTTGTTTGCGGTTCTTGATGAACTCATGCGCATATCTGTTCTTCTATGGTTCAATGGTTCGCAGTGGACTGAAGGCTTTCCTTTTTGCATGGGTTTGTCACGATTGCCTCTAAATGGCGCCAGAGAGTTAGGGATTGTGGCAAGTCGTGAAGGATATATTTCGATTTGAGATGCTGTACTGGTTGATCATGTTTGTACTTTTAAGCTAAGCAATGGAGACTTGCGCTCTTTCTGAACATATACACCAGAGGCTATATCCATTAACTGAGATGCGTCGTTGCTCATGGAATAGATGACTCCTTAGTCCGATTCCAACTCTTGTTCATTCTACGATGTAATGATATGACACTTGTCAAAGCACTAACCTAATAGTGTGTTTCTGAATCCAGCAGTATTTGGATTTATTCCAACTATTCTGATCCCATGGGTTGGGATGGTCAGTACATCGGGTTTGTGGGCGAACGTTTCCCTCGGGAAGATCGGGTTTCAGATGTCACATGCACAGCAGCAACAGCAACAGTGGCAGCATCAATCAGATTGAAGGTATTACAGTACGGAGAAAGAAACGCCACTACAGTAGAGCTGTTAGATGGGAAGAAGAATGCTGTAGATGATTTATGCCTCGGTTATTGTAATATAAAATATACAGGCGAGCAACCCAGTGCGTGACACGCGTAAACAAACACGCCTTCTCGTCGTATCACCGAAACCACCCACTCCCCCCTTATCACAGTGAGAGTGGCTCGGTGCCACTGGACACCACTGTTGTGCATTGTGTTGCCAGATGGGTCCCAGCGCTCTCACATGGTTGTCATCCATCCGAGAACGTAACGTTTCAGAAGAACAATGGAATGAGAGAGAAACAAAAAGGCAAGAAATTACCATTGAAACAATTGTATTAAGTCATGAGGAAAGTTTAGCCGCTATGAGGAAGGAGGCGCGTGTTGTGCGGTCCAGTGAGAAGAAAACACAGTATCATCTTCATCATCGACATAACAATTTGGGGGTGGGGATGGGGGATGAAGAGCCGTTAGCTATTGGCGGCTGATGGCCGTGTTATTGGGTTTGGTGGGATGCCCGTATCATCGCGCCTTAACAATTTGTGTCACAGCAACCGAGCCCGATAAGTGGGGCAATTACGATGACAGTTCACTTTGTGGTTTGTGCACTCATGAACCAAGCCGGTGGCAAGAGAGAAAGAGAGAGGAAGAGAGCGCAGGTACGACTACAACAACGACTAAAACCAACATTCGGTTTTTATACTTTTTTTTTAATCGGCACACAAGAAAAAAAGAAGATTGTACAAGGTCGGGAGGGGTGGGGTTGGGGGTTGGGGGTTGGGGGGGGGTTAGTGGCATGTATTCTCTAAGAACAGTGATTATCTAATTAGTTTCCGGAGCTACCATACTTGGCCTTCCATTCTGACTCCATCTTTTCGTCAATTCTGGAGAAGAGGTATGCGGCACCGTTCAACTTGTGGCCGGCCAAGATATCACAGGTGAACTGGTCGGGGATGTTTCTCAACGGAGCGTTCAGCTGTCGGGAGATGCTCTCCGAGGTGGCGGGCATGTAAGGATAGAACAAGGCAGACAGAAGATAGATGAGGTTGATGGCAATGTTGACAACAGCATCGCACTTGGCACGGTTCTCGGTGAACAGCGTGTTGCTCACGTTGGCATCCTGGAGATACAGGTTACCGCGTGCCGAGATCTGCATAGCAACCGCCAGACCTTGGCGGATCTTGACGTTTTCAAGCGCATCCACGTATTGTGTCAACAAGGCATTCACGTCCTTGCTCAAGGACACTTCGGCTTCGCCAGAAAGGTCGGCTTCAGGAATCACGCCATCGTATTTGGCAATGACAAACTTGATGACACGGTTGACAAAGTTGCCCAAGTTGTTCAGCAACTCGCTGTTGTTCTTGGTAATAAATTCGTTCCAGGTGAACATGGCATCGCTGGTCTCGGGACGCGACGACAGCAAGTAGTATCGCCACACAGAGGGAGGAATACCAGTTTCTTCAGCATTGGTACCAAAGACACCAATGTTACGCGACTTGGAGAATTTGCCACCCTCGTAGTTGAGGTATTCTACAAAGAAAAAGAATGATTGCATGAGTCTATTTGGGTCGTTCTGATAGGCGATAATACAGGAACTTTCTCTTACCGGTGGTGCTGATATGGTGAACCATGGTCCAGTCTTCCTTGGTAGCAATTTGAGTACCAGGGAAAATGACAGAGTGGAAGGGAACGTTGTCCTTGCCCATGAACTGGTAGAGCTTGACGTCCTTGGGGTTCTTCCACCACTTTTCCCAATCATCGGTGTAGTTTGCGGTGATACTGGGGTAGCCGATACAGGCATCGAACCACACGTAGAACACCTTATTCTCAAATCCTTCAAGAGGAACGGGAGTACCCCACTTCAAATCACGGGTAATGCAACGAGGTCTCAAACCTTCCTTCAACCATGACTGCGTAATGTGGATACCGTTGGCAGACCACTTGCCTATTTAAAAAAATACATGACGCGTTGTCAGTTTAGGAAAATACTTACTGTAGCTTTTTTCCCCTTTTACCTTCAGTATTAACGCGTTCGTTGAACTTTTCAATATCAGGCTGAAGCGTGGCGAGATCCAAGAACAAGTGCTTGGAATCCTTGGTAATAGGAGCGGTGCCATCAAGCTTACAGCGAGGGCTTTCGAGTTCAGTGGCGTTGAGAAGACGACCGCAAGCATCACATTGATCACCACGAGCGTCCTACACACATGGATATCTGCTTAATACCAACTTGCCTCTTCCCGTCTTTCCTTTTAAACCATCTTACCTCATATTTGCAGGAAGGACAAACGCCTTCGACATAACGATCAGCCAAAAATCTGCAAAAAAAAAATACAATTAGTATTGAGACGTCAATACTAACAAACATTAATATTAATTATTTACCTTTGGCAGCGCTCACAGAATAATTGAGTCATGGTATCTTGGTTAGTGAATCCATTGCCATGGACCTTGTGGAAAATATCTTGGGTAATTTGAGTCTGCTTGGGTGTAGTAGTACGGCCAAAGTGATCAAATGCCAGATCGAACCACTTGTATACACTGGTGTGAATGGCGTTGTACTTGTCGCAAAGAGCCTGGCACGATACACCTTCTTCCAAAGCCTTCGTCTCAGTAGCAGTACCGTATTCGTCGGTACCACAGATAAGCAAAGTGTTGTATCCTCGTGCACGGCAGTATCTACAGATACGATAAATTGAATATTAGAATCCTCCTGTTCCTTAATCCCGTTTCTTCTCAATCAACACTATAATCGAGTGTATCTTATATTTACCTAGCATAGCAGTCAGCGCTCAATGTAGAGCCAATAATGTTACCCAAGTGGGGAATGTTATTGACATAGGGCAAAGCGGATGTAATAAGGATATTGCGTTCACCATCCTTGGGAAGACTATAAGAAAACCAAGTCAGTTATGATTAGATGATCACAAAACACGTTCTATCCAATGCCAGCTACATGTATTTACATTTTCTTGGTAGGATCAGGCTTGGCGAAAAAGTCGATTTTGCCGAGCTTCTGGGTGGCAGGGTTGAGTTCGGCAAGGGCAGCCTGCTTTGCTCCAGCACCCTTCTTGTCACCAGCACCGGCCTGCTTCTTCTTTGCAGCCTTAGAGATCTATGGATGTAAAATTTGTTGTTAGAGCAAAAACCTCATTGATGACCGTTTTATTCCCCATTTTCATCCTATGCAATAATTTACCTGCTTATCTACGACTTCAAGAGCCTTGGTGACGGCAGTAGCCTTGGAAACGGCAGTGAACCATGCTCCCAAGGATGGGTACTTTTGAAAATCGGCATCGGACAAAGTTTCATAAAGTGCACCGAAATAAACGACATCGACTGCATTAAGTTTATCGGCCTATATTAACAGTAAATACAACATGCATGTTAAAGACTCTTCAACGCGATCATTCCAGAAAACCCTCTATATATTGACGTAGGATAATCCATCTGCCTGGAGTATCTATATCTACTTACACCACCAAAAACCTTGGATCCATATTGAGCAACAAGCGATTCGGCAATTTCCAATGCTTCCTGCGTCTTCTTTTGGAGTACAAGTCGAGAAACAGCAGTTTCTTCCTTTTCAATAACTGCGCTTTGGATCAGGGACACTTCAGATCCGTCGAAAGACACGGCATTAAGGATATATCTGTTTTTATAAACAAAGAACAATTGTTAGTGGTACGTTAGTTAAACGACTCAAATTCGACTTGAACAACTACTTACTTGACAGCGACGTTAGCATCGGTCAGGACAACGCCGTTAGGAAGCTCAAGCGTAACTGCGTCACCGGCAACTTGAGCGATCTTGGAACCAGCCACGTTAACGGCAAGAGCCAGCTTCAACGCACTCACGAAAGGCTTTGTTTGTGGAGTGATTTTGGGTAATGAGAACTTTGCAGGCATTATATGTGTCTATATAAAAGATTGAAGAGAGAATGCAAGAAAGAAAAATAACGGTCTTCGCTCTCGCTTAAAGTTAAGGGTGGGAGAGTGAGGGGCACGCTGAATTTGACAGATTCCACCCGCGCTTTAAGCCACCAATGAGAAACGAGCAGATGAGTCAGACGGGGTGGTCTCCACATTAGCAAAAGATACCGTGGATGGCGCTACAAATTCAAAACTACCCTTTTATCTGCATGACCAGACCTTTTTTTTTTCCAAAATAGAGCCGTGAGCAGCCAGGTGTGCTATTGATTTATTTTCAAGTGTGTGTGTGTGAGTGTGTAGTAGTAGTTGAAAAGGCGAAGGGAGAACGAGGAGAAGGATAAAGAACGATTCGTTTTTAATTTTCTATTGAATGGTTTAAGCAGACTTGGTCAATTGCTCCAACATCTTTTCGATGTCTTGAGAAGAAGCATTTTGGAAGATAGCCTTGCGCTCAACGCCCTTATCTATTTGAAAAGTAAATAGGGTTATTGATAAGTAATTCGTTTCCTTGTGGGATAACGGCGACGACGACGCGCTGTAATTTGGGTGTATATATCTATATCCTCCATACCGAAACGAGCGAAAACACGGGCCTCAACACCGCTGGCCTCACGAATGAGAATGGGGAGTTCGGGGTTCGCCTTCTTGATGGCAGTGTAGTTTTGAGCAATGTACTCTCTGTTTTTAGAAAAAAAAAACGGAAGATGGGTTGGGTGTGATGAATGAGTTTAGTCATGCGATGTACTCGGTTATTCGTCTCAATCGTTGCAGAATATTCTCGTTCTATAAATTTAGCCAGAGAGTTTACTTTATTTGGGTTTGAAATGTACCTGAGACCACTGCTAGCTGGCGAAGTCTGGCAGAAATGCACACGAAGTTCCTTAAGGCCCTTGCCGAATGATCTTAATGCTGACATTATTTCTTTTGGTTAAATATTTACAAGGTAACACTGGAGCGTGCCATCCATGGGGCTAACCTATCCGCCTCCAAAAATAAAAACACAGCAGTCACATAAAGGGACGGGATATTTCAAAGCCGACGTCAATGCAAAATAGCTTGACTTCCTCTCTCCCCCTTTCCCCCAATAAGAAATGTCTTTTTTACTACAGCAATTTCGACGTCTCGTTCCATCCAATCGTGTACCATTACTATGGCAACGCTATGTTACCGAGGAAGCAGTCAAACGAGAACGACAGAAAATTACTCTGAATGACAGCGACCTGATTGAAAAGTTTGTAAAAGGATCAGGTCCTGGAGGACAATGTGTCAACAAGCGTGTCAGTTGCGTGGACCTAAGGCATATTCCAACAGGCATTCGTGTGCAGGTAACTGTCCAAAAGAATGGGAGTTTGGTTTTTTGCTTTCTATTATATATATTCAATGTCTCCTCTTCTCTCTTGGTTAACACAAAGACACACACACATAGTGCCAACAGACTCGATCACTCGAGATAAACCGCCATATTGCCCGTAAATTGTTAAAGGACAAGATTGATGAAGTAATCAACGGTGATCTGAGCAAATATGCACAAAAGGCTGCAAAGATTAACAAGGCAAAGGCACGAAAGGCACGGCGAGCTAAAAAGAAATATGGAAGTAAAGATGAAATTGCTGACGGACAACAAGTCGGCGATGGCGTGATCGATCCAAGCGAAACCGGCAGTGCAGCATAAGATGACGCTCTTGTACATATAATACCCTTTTGAAACGGTTGGATGTTCCACCGGCCTTCTTCTTGTACATATTATATATTATAGATGACCCATACTGTTATGATCCGAGTAATTTGCGTGGATGATGCACAGATGATGCACACTATTATATGTAAACATAATAAACAGAAACACCCTGATAACCTTAATGCTTCTCTATATAGCGCATATTCTTTTCTGTCCTTTATTTACTAACTAGCAGAAAAAAGCAACCACACCCTGAGTATTCCTAACCCACAAACTCGATAAAAGCACGCACTGCCAAATATGGATCATGTAAAAGTCCGACCGCTGAGCTGAGAGGCGTACGTCACTCTGCGATTGCGAAATGCGTCTTTCGCGTCCGTCTTACATATAACGTAACTTGTACCTATTCTCTTTTTTATAAAGTCTCACACAAATCATGGAGTGTCTGTTTGGTATAACTGGCAAGGATTTCACGCTGCTTGCAGCCGACACCACCTCAGCACGCAGCATCGTGGTCATGAAGGGCACCGAAAACAAATCGCGTCAACTCAACGATCATACCGTTATGCTATTCTCTGGTGAACCAGGCGATACTGTCAACTTTGCCGAATACATCCAGCGCAACATTAAGCTTTACAAAATTCGAAACGACATTGACCTTAGCCCCAAAGCAACTGCTACATTTACACGCCGAGAACTGGCCGATTCGCTTCGCAGCAGGGTAATACATACATAGAGATGAATGAACAAGAAACAGACATACACACGATTATTACTATATTTTGAATATGTATAATTACGCAATATGAGCTGTATTCACATACATGTGTGTGCGTGCAAGTGTGTGTATGCGTCTGTGTGTATAAATGAAAGAACAGCAAAAGACTGGGGACTGACAGTATTATTTGATTATATAGCACCCATATTCTGTCAACATGTTGATCGGTGGTTACGACGCAAAGGCAGACAAGCCTGAACTGTTTTGGGTGGACTATCTCGGTGCGATGGCCTCTTTACCTTATGGCGCACAAGGCTATGGCGCTTACTTTTGCACATCATTAATGGATCGTTACCATTACGCTGATATGGATTTGGAAGAGGGCAAGGACTTAATGCGCAAATGCATCCAGGAACTCAAGACACGTTTCATTGTAAATCTTCCAAAATTCAAGGTTCAAGTGGTAACGAAGGAAGGTACCAAGGAGGTTGAACTGTGAAAAAATGTGAAGGGAAGGAAACGAAAACAAGAAAAAAAAAAGCAGATGATTACACAGAGACACGCACGTATTATCATTAATAGTATTATTGTATTTTGGTGGTAATATATACCGAGGAGCTTCTGCTGTGTGTTTTTGTCTATTCCATCCTAGTCTTTGTCGCATAAAAGCTTCTCAAAACCATTCGCAATGTCTTGTCTTGCCTATATAGAGATGTTTTGGAAGGATCATTAAAGATCGATGCGGTTGAATATGTAGAGTAGAATAGGAGGTGGACTTACAAGTTCACTAGCTGGTGTAGTAGGATTTAAATAGCCCATCATAAAATTGACGGCTAACCATTTGTTCTTGACGGTACCCATAACCTTACCCTTAATTTAAACCATCCGTTAAGATTAATTAGCGTGCTTGAACCTTTTTGCTTGTGTTTTCGCTTCCTTACCTCATGTTCCATCTTTAGACCACCATCATTGGTCTTTGTAAAGACGAACTCGGTGCCCTTTTTCACTTTGCCACTTGGGAAAGTGCTTTTGAATTCTTGGATACCCTGCATGATTTCACGTTCTTGATCTTCAGTGAGGTCCTGATCCCGCATGCGCTGCAATAATGATCGTGTGAAACCATCACGCAAATGCTGCGTGTTTGTTGCTCGGACAGGAACTAGTAGCCCATTTTGTTGTTAATATACGATCTCCAACATGCCACATTTTGGGACAGCTTATATAACACAGAGCACAGCATTACCGATGCGAACGCTCACATCCATGGGTTGTTCCAGCAAAGCCATGGCCATGTCTTCGCGTACAAGAAAGTCTGATTTATCGAATTTCTAAAGCAGATAGAAGATAGACCAATTGTTAGTCGAATAAAAGTGCCATTTGTTTGGTTTCTACGTTTTTATTTTTTACCTCCCATCCCTTTACTGCTTTTAATGCACCGATGTCCTGGCTGCGCATATACAAGCCGAGTACATAGACATTGAGGTTCAAGAAGCTAACTTGTCGAGCACCTAATCCAATAAGCCGTTTCCATTCTGAGTCGCCCGTGCTCAAATAGACCGGGAACGAGAACTTTGTATTGGGCTCTTTATACAAAAAAAAAGCAAATAAATCAAGTGGAATTCTCGATCTACATATTCAATTTGTTTAACATACGGAATATATGACAAACCTTCTACGGTGCCAGCGTATCCTTGCGCCTCGGCATAGACAGGCGACTGTGTTGTCCATGCAAAGTAAGTGCCAGCAGCAATGATACCTGCCGTGGTCCAAAGAGTTGGCTTATGCAAGCGACGCTATATATCACGAAAATCATATTTCACACGGTATGAGTTGTGTGTCTGTTGCAATAAGTAAAGTACAACGTAACAAAGAAACCGAATTTACTTTGGCTTGGACATTTGTAGCGGCAGCAGCTGTATGGAATGACGCTCTCACGGTAGGTGCTCTTGACAATAAAATTCTACCAGCGCGATGCATAATTGTCAACGATAGTATTTTTTTTGCGGGGATAGTGAAACAACAGAGGAAAAGAGGCTTCACCCCGCAAAGAGAGAAGGTCAAAGCCGGGGCGTTTAAGGTGACTTGCGCGTGAATTCAATTAACACTTGGCTCACACCACTTTTTTTTTTCTTTTTCTTTCTTCACACACATAAAACACACGCATAAATGTTCAGTACACGTGTCTTTACAACTGCACGACCCATAATTACCCGAGCATGGTCAGCGCAAACCAAACGATTGGCACATAAAACAAACGTCGTCCAACGCGAATTGCCTCGTCCACAAACAAAATCGCGTGTACCATGGTATATTGGCGGTGCCGTGGTTGGTGGTCTTGTCTGGATCGTAGGTCTAGGTGGTGCACTGAATTACCAACGACTGTCGAGCAGTGTGGTGGCCGGCACCTTGTTTATGGTTCGTTACGATCCTCGCATCATTGACATGTTGGGTGACAAGATTGATTATGCAGACAAGTGGCCCTGGATCACTGGCACTGTCAACCACTTTAAAGGTCAAGTGAGCATTGCTTTTGACGTTGCTGGACAGAATGGTACGCAAAACTAAATTTTAAGAAAAGGGTGGCCTATTAAAATGTTACTTATACTTTGTCGCTTTGTTTCTATCAAATGTTGATAATACTAGGTGAACGGGGTCGAGTACGGTTTTCATCTTTTCGCCGGGGTAACGAATGGCGTACTGTCGAGTTTGTGGTGATACGCGAGAGCGACGGTAAATCGGTTGATTTGGGCAACGAACTCGAACTTACGGAGACTGGCGCTCCATCAACATCAGTAGCATTATAAAACTGTAATATGTATATTTGTTTATATATATTAAAAAGAAGCATGGACATATAGAACGAAAGCACGCGAACCAAAAGATGATTGGAACTAGTAATAAACAAGATCTACACCGCAGGCGCATCCAGGATTGAATAATAACTATTATTGGTATTATATATTATTATTACTATTATTATCAGTAGCGGCTGTAGCAATATTAATAGTGGCGGTAGTGGAATGGCGATGACGAGGAGCAAAAGGAAGATGGAATTAGTGCTGATAGTTATGATGGAATGCTGGGTGAATATGAGCGAGTGGTTCGTCGTCGTCTTCACTTGATTGTGGTTGATTTGTCCGTTGCAGCATAACATCTTCATACGGTGGAGGGGGCGGGGAAGCCATTCCCGGGTAGGCAGGAGGAGGTGCTCGTGGGCGTCTTCTTCTTCGTCGTCTTTGATATGAGTGATGATGATGACGATTACGGCGCCCATAAATAACGCGCTCCTGTTGATGAATGTAGTATCGTCTCCGTGGGCCGGGGTGTGCTGGAATCGGGTGCTGGATAGCGACTGGATCCGAGAATCGTATCAGTGGAAGAACGCGATGATGGTTTGGCTCTTGCTGTGGATGATAATGATGATGATTACTGTCTGGATGTCTGTAATGATTCGACTCGGTGTGGTGCTGCCGAGCATGCGAGGGGATGTACCATTCATCATCTGTAGCTGTAGTGATATCGCTATTACTTGTTTGCTGCTTTGTAGTTCTACGGGCACGTCTTGTACGGAGACAAAGATAGATACAAAGCGCTGCTGCTGCTGGCAACAGAAGGGCAAGCCATTGAAGCTTGTTTGTTGACTCCCCCGGACTTGCAACGTAAGTTTGAACATCATCTTCTGCTACCGCTGCCGTTGTAGTGACACTAGCAACAGATCCAGCGGCACTACGTGCGCCATGATAATCGTTCATGGTGTTTTATGTACGTAGTCAATTTTATTAGAATACCGAGGAAAAGTAGGAGGGGTTTGAAGGGGTACAAAAGAGGGAAACGGAACAAGAAGGAAAATAGAGGACGGAAAAAGAAAGAAAACAAAAGGGACGTTCAGGGCACTATAAGAAAAAAAAGTCAAAGGAACTGTAGTACTGTCAATGACAAACGATAACATGCAATGCACGACAATGTCGATCGTCCCTTTTTTTCAGGCAAAGTTTGGACAAAGGCGTGAGAGATTGAAGTTTATTACTGCTTCCGGTCCAGCTTCGGCAGAGTGTGTTCGTTACTGTAAGATTAAAATGTGGCAGTGAACTGTTCACACACGCATGCATAACGCTATTGACAACAGCATGAAGGCAATTTTGATACACGCTCACGTGAGTGCATAGCTCACTAATCGTATTCTCTGTGTGATCATCTCGCCTATCTTTTTCAAAGCGGTGAAGTGCCCTTTCGATCCAGTTCGGTATCCAATCGTAAATACTCTATTTTCGCATAAAATAAAAGGTACATTCTTGTGTAATATTCGATACGCCTTCTTTATATGGTAATCACCCGCTTTTAATTCAAGTAGCCTGTATGCAGTCCTTATTTACTGAAGCTTACTCTCATGTCAAAGGGGCAGCTGCTGCTTGATGGAGCTGGCAATATCCCCAATTTCCTGTAACCAGGCAGCATGGCCGAGCCCTGGATACAACTTGAACGTTGCCTGGAACCCGATCTTGTTGAAATACTTTGCGGTTGCCTGACTGTACCGCGGCTTTACTATCATATCCTTGTCCCCGTGGCATAAAAAAAATATTATTTTCTTGTTTGTCTCGGTGCCAATTATAAAGAAAGAGCATATGTGAGCTATGGGCAAGAGAGGCCAACAGTGTGATCCACTATCCAAGCTGCATTACATTTTCTATTCCTTCAATCACACCCAACCATCCACTGCAGCCAATGACACCCGCAAGTTTATGATGCGTCGAGTATCCTGTGAGCAAAGTAATCACTCAGCCTTAACAATATGAAATTAACATTTGGTCAGCTTTACAAACAACGTATATGATTTTTAATGCAAGTTCATTTTTTACCCTGGGAGAAGGCGCACAAAATAATACGATCTGAAGGGGTGCCGCTGTCAATTCCGGCTTGAATAAGCTCGTTGACTGCATGTGTACATAATTTTTCATGTCATGTGTTCTAATACTGCTACGTTCATGCAGGAGTAGCGATTAATGTACATAGTAGAAACTTGCCTAATTTTAAAGAATTAATCATGTCCTTTTGAATCCGTCTTTTTCAAGTTCGCTGATTTGTATGATATATGATGGACGAATCTTCAACTTACGCAGTGGGAAAAATCTATGTGATATGAGGGAAAGGGAGGTGCTATTCCCTCGACGAGATATAACCAATCCGCACCAGAGTCACCCAAGCCGTGCAACCAACATACAGTTCCTGTATGTTTCTCTGTGGGCTCCATTGCAATTTATCTCATTGAAGATGGCTTGTTGTGTCGAAGAGAATCACTGAAAAGGAAAATAAAAGGTTTGTAATGGTGCACCCAAGGATTCACTCTCTCGGTATCGCTCTGTCTAGCAGAGTGCATGTGACACAGAAAGGAAAAGGCTTTCAAAACCAAAGAGAAAACATATACTGTAGTAGTACGCAATCCCGCTCTTTTCTTCGTCTCATCCGCTGCAAATAGCATTTTCAAATGCATCGCATAAAACCAACGATCGTTTCCCTTAGTAATAAGTAAGGGAATCTACTGGTGTTTGCGCTCGTACTAGATAATAAGTTTGTACATACCTTAAAAGGATGCACAGCTTTATACCTTGGAATAGTTTATGGCGAGACGATGCTACTAACTGATTGTAGCTGATGCATTATTGTTGCTTTCTTTATATATAGTATCCCTCACCAAGAAGGCAGAAAAGAAATTGTCCACTATGGGAAATATTTCGACTGCTAGTATACTGCTGAAATCGGCCAATCTATTTCGACTGCTAATCTCCATTTTTGACAATTTTGTAGATTTTCAGAATAAAGATTTGCAGTCTCTCGTTGTAGATTTCCAGTGTTTTTATAGTGGAGCAAAAGTTCACTACGCTCCCGTAATGAATCGTTATATCGACGCTTATAACGTAGGCTCGTCTTTCGTATCTTTGTCCTCATGACAATAAAAGCGATAATCCCAGAAAATCATACGCTACTAAACTTTTCTTTTTTATTTATACACCATTTGATTATGCGATCATAAGTTTGTCAACTAGCTGTACTATTCAACTTCACTCACACTTACATCATCATTCGAAACAGTCATACACAACACTTTTTTCTTACTGACGCTAAGTTTTCACCATCTCTTCGACTTCTTTAGTCAAGCGAGAATGCAATAGAAGCTGAATGGCTGTTGTTTCATATCACCATAGACCACGCAGCCGCCAACAACAGCACATATAAGCGATTTGGTAAAAGCAAACATCGGTGATGATTTCTTAAGATCTCTGTTCAATAGCAGCTTGTATGTAAAGTACATAGAAGGGATTTTATTACTGCATACGGACGGTTTTGTCACCAGTGGTTTACGTTCACCCACTTTTAGCTGTTGGAAAAGAAGACACGCTTGATTTTCGCACTGGTTGACCTTTCTAATTTACAGGAGTGATCGAATGTGCAAGAGTATACAACTGAAAGTTTGACACCAAAAGCATCATCGTGGACGTTATACCAATCCACATCAGCTGACTCTTTTTGGCCTCATCCAATTAAACATGAGCGGCTGCAAGAAAGAAAGAAAAAATACGATCGAACGTTGACGGCCACGTATCTCGGCTTCAATAACAATGAGCAACCGCTGATGATATCCTTGTCTTTTTGTCACATCTCGGCGAGTTACATCAATCTTTTGACCATCTTGACCCCACGGTCGCGCATCTAATGCAGAACTCAACCGGGTAAAAACTGTTGAAGCTTCACTCAACGGTACAAATCAATCAGTTTGGCGTCACACCTTACACCAACACGGCGTCGGTCACTGGCATCGGTCACTGGCATGACGCCATTGCCACCGCCACCGAACTTGCCGTCTAACTCGGCTTTCCATTGACCAGCTCCAAAGACAGCTCGACAGTTTTCTGCAACAACTTCACACCAAAATCAGCATTCACGCGCAGCGACTCTCTTCTCGTGGCCTCTCCATGCTTGCTCGTGGTTTAGTCGCCAATTTCTTACTCCTCAGCCGGACATGGCATACGATTTGCATATTACAAGTATTATCATCATATGTGTCCAGTTTGCTTTCCATCGTCATTTTCCTGCTGTCAGCTTTGATACCTGCAACCGCCCGCGTCACGAGGTGTTCTCGCTGTCCTGGATCAACTGCGCTGAGCCCAACCACTGCTCAACCACTTCATCCTGCTCGGAAACTGTAGCGCTACCACTGTAGGAAAAAAAACCTTAATATACCTTAAAAAACCTGAATAAACCTGAAATTAGTTCAACCAGGACCACCGTTGTTGTACCAAATGAAACTTCCGACACACCTGACCACATTTTTTTTTCATCTCATCAATATGTCAACACCTTCTCTATCACGGAAGAAAAATCTTATGCCGCCTGCGGTTGACCATTAACACCAACAGCTGGCAGGGTAACAATCGCGTTCAGCAGTCCAGGCTTATACGTATTGGTGAAGTTATGGTGTACTTTCAGCATTATGATGTAGACGCTGCCAGATTATTTGCCTTGGTGAAAGTATATGACGCTGAAAAGTCTAATGACAGTGGCACGTGGCTGTATCGCACGATGGAGTTGTTAATGTAAAGCATATCAAACAGCTGGTGTGCAGTATTGAAAGTACATCGAAGCGTCACTACGTTTGCAGGTCACAAACGAGACAACGAACTTCTTGGTGAACTGCGGTATCTATGGTGATTTCCATTTTAGGCAGTATCAAAACAAAGTTGATCCTTTTCTCCTCATTTGTTTGACCTTGCCTCTCCTTGTATGCTTCATCTTGCCGTTTGAAAAAAAAAATCGTTCCTTTTCTTATTCCTTCTCCTCTTTCGTCAATAATAAAACATCACACAGAAACAACTTAACATGAATCCTCAAATCCTAGCAATTCTTAACGCTATCAAAAACAATAACGATTCAATGCTTGCACTTGCACGGTCGGTCGGCTCCTTGGCAAGGGAAGTTGATGTCACAGTAAGGCGTTGGATGATCTTTCCACATCAGTAACTCTTATAGTTGGGGATGTACAGTGCTGTCCTTTCATGTCCATCTGTAGAATCTTCCAGCTCCGTATCAAGGGCGTTTTCTTCTGGGCTGTTCGACGGCATGCTCTTGACACGGTCTTACAAACGCAAAGTCGACTCACAGACGAAGTTTGTAATGGAGGAGCTGACCAGTCTGTGCCATGACGTTGTCAGGGAGCACCAATTGGATATCACGCGCAGCGACGAAGTCAATATCAGGGACAACATATGGGGACGATCTGGGATAATGGTCGATGGTATTCTCAGCAAAGCTGATATTGATTTGCTTAGAACGAGCTGGTCAGCGATACTAGAGACGACCTTGAAGGCGCAACAAGATTTATAGAGCGCATGCTAAAGATCTGCACCCTTGGCTGCGTGCGTGAACAGTTGGGCTACAAACAAAATCCTGCAACTTCGGGGGATCGCGCAATAACTTACAAGAAACGCGTTGCCTAGGGCGGCTTCTACCAAAAATCAGTAAGTACATACTAGGAGTATTAGCGTTTCCGGTATATATGTATATAATGCTTACCTTCAAAATATTACTGTTTTTAAACGCTATCAGACATTATCAAGCGCTCCACAAGAGGAAACATGTGTTTTTTCAGAATAAAGGTATATATACTCTACCAATGCAGATGTATTTGACGTACTTCATAGCACACACACTGGTTGTACTCAACCAGCGTTCGTCAACACCATGAGGTTGCGTTGCCGTCGACATCAAACACAGACGACTGTTCAAGGCTCCTAGTGTAATAGTCGGAAGACGAAGACGCGTCGCAACTACCCAGTGTGTTGCTCTCTTTAAGCCAAGGTATACAGTAGATCAAAAATCCATATTGCATGGCATAGAATGAGCATCCATGATATACCAACCTAATTAAAAGAGAGACTACATCACGCAAACGCGCCCGTTCATGCGATGGATCTGCTAATGACTTCACTGACAGCACCAGTGCTGCTCGCGTCGGTGCTCGTAATGCTCGTGGTGTTAGCTGTTGCGGTCGTGTTGGCAACTAAATAGAATTGAACACTTATTTGCTTGTGTACTACACAATGCAAAAATGATTTGTCAAAGAATTATTATAGAAAGCAAAATTTAATAATAAACATATTGTCATCCAATCGAAATCAGTTTTTTAGCATACATAATATGAAAGAGGATCAATGAGGAAATGTGAATAGCTGATGAAGTATCCAATGATGCTCCCAAACGGATACAGCTATACGTACAACGACCAATAAGATACGATGTATGTACCCAATCATAAACACAGTTGAACGCATTTCACGCTTCGACCGACCAATAAGACGAATCAGAGAAACCACGCATATTAAGGTATATTCGAGTTTTCTCAGGTTTTTTCAGGTTTAAAAAAAACCTGAATATACCTTAATTTGCCCGTTTCAGGTTTTTTCAGGTTTTAGGTTTTTTTAGGTTTTTTAAGGTATATTAAGGTTTTTTCTTTCCTATAGTGTACCTGTTTTGCGATTCTGCAAATCCACCTTCTCGGAGACACAGCATCACCTGGTACTACTCGCCTTTGTGGATTGTCGCACTCTTGCCTTCAAACGCCTTACAACACTCAGACCTATTTTGGACATCGGTGGTAAACTGGGATTACCACGTAATTTCGAATCATTTACTACATCTATTGTCGCTGAACTTCCCATCACCTTCGTCTATCCTGATCTCCCAAACCACTCAAAGTCCACCCAACACGCAAGTTCAACTGATCTGGTTTCTTAATCAAGCGGGCTTTCATGTAGACTCTACGACGGGTACGCTCCAACCAAGACAACTTGTAGCCCATCAACCGCATCGCACCCGCCTGCGCCTTGTCTTAACCTCCTTGACCGTGGTCTATGCTCAATCGGCCCTTCTTTCTGCCGGCTTCTCGTTGCCGCAACACCCACTGATCCCCGAATTAGCGCAATTTTTTAATCTCCAACAACCCTTTAAAGCGGACCGTCTTTAGGTTTGATCTCTTCAGAACGGCCTCGTCGTGAAGTACCTAGACCCCAAAACTTTCTGACAACAGCACCAGCCACCACTTTCCCAGTTAAGCGACCAATATTCTCGCGCCACATGAAAAGCCTGGCGAACATTTTGGCAAGCAACGTTTCCACACCACGCACACGCCATCCTTTGGCGCCTATTTCATTGCAAAGCTCCCTGTAAACAGCGATCCAACCCAGCAATCCACGCCTTCTGCATTTTCTGTGGCCAACCAAGATACAACACAACATTTTATCTGGGATTGCCCACACAAAGAGCTAATGTGGCGTAAGCTGGCCTCTCGCTATCTACAGCGCTCACAACAACTTAAGTTCCAGCATTTACTTATAGGTTCTCGCGCCATCCCTTCAACGGTATCTAAGATACTTATATCTGCATATTATAAAGCCAAGGATGGCTGTGCATCGTTTGGCGCACTTGAATCAAAAGGCGGATCAGCAAAGGGCCTTGATAAGACCGGTGCTTTTTCATGCACCTGCGGAAGCCATGGCTACCCTATAGCTATAGTCGATATTCGTAGCAAAGGCGAACGGTTAGTATACTGTTGATTTGTATTTGACCTGCCATATGTATTTACTCATTAATCTACTTAAAATTATACGTATGTTCTTCGCGTATTGAAGAAAGTTACAGACACTGAAGTATATGGAAGCAACATACGCATAATGTACGATGTTGGCTGTAAGCTCTGCACTGCCTTAAAGGTACTAATCATTTACACAATTTATACAGTGTTTTATGAATTCTTATATGTTCGTGTAGAAAACACCATGTCTGAAAGACATCGAAGATGTCCCTGTCGCAGTCAGCATCTTCCATACTACCGGACACAACGCAGCTTGCACAACTCACTATCATCCTCGTTCGGTAAAAGGCTTTGGCATGATTGACGGACGGATAATGGCCAATGCGATTGTTATCATACCTCAACGGTTTTGTATCCATGACACGCTCAGTGGCTCCTCTCAACAGGCGGCTTAAGCTCTCTACAGTATCGCACTCATTTTTTTGCGAAGAAAAGGTCAATAACACTGGTAAATTAGATCATTATCCCTACTAATAATGACTTTATAAAGGATCCCACTAATATGAATTTCAGTTCTTACAATCCAGCGCAATCACAAGCGTATCAAACAACTATCAAACGATGCTGAAGTGGCCCTCCACAACGCTGAGTATCCTGATAAGCAAGATACACTCTTGAAAAAATGGGATCAGCATATAGCCCTTGCAACCAAAGAACCTATAGCAGAAAGTGGGTAAATCAAAGAAAAAGAATCAGCAATGCCTATGACATCCTCCGCACAACTGTTTCAATTTACTGTACGACTTCTACACCAAGCATTGCAAAAGCCAGGTAATGGTAATGATGCACATATTTATGTGCTCACCTATGGTGACGATATCGTTACGAAGTTCACAAAAGCAGCAAGATCTTGTGCCTCTCCTGCGTTATGCAGAGGCTCTGTAAAAAAAATCGAGCCTATAAATGACTCCGCCAGTGTACAGTTCATGCTTTACCAGCCTCTCTCGACTCCATACCATGGATATTATTGATACACGTACGTAAATGCTCAAATACTGTCAGCGTTGTTGTCCTAGGTACTCATTACGTCCCATTTTAGAGTCATTATGACATACTACCTTGAGAGCATCACCTAACCAAAGTTAGCTGAATTCATTGAGCTCAACTCAAAAGCCATTGCTGCGCATTCTAATCGTTGGGAAAACGTCCAAGAACTCTTGTCTGCAAAGTTCGGCTCACTAGTGTCAAAATCTGGAGTGGTACGCATACTGTCAATGACACGAAAATTAGAGAATGACAGATCATAATAATGCTGCATTTTTCAATTGCTAGGTTAAAAGCAAACCAGACTGGAGTAAAATTCTCCCGCAGTCAGCACAACCGAATAGCAGCGACGGTAGTCCTACAAGTGTTGCCGAAGAACCAACCGACACCAGCACCAAACTAACCACCGCCCAGAGAGAGACATGTCAGGATATGTACATGCAGTTGCAAGCAAAAGACAAATGGCAGCTGTCGAGTAGCAAGTTTGTTGAAGACTAAATGGCCACATATGCAAAAAGCTGTCCATAAGCATTCATAGCAGGTAATCTGTTTTCCGACACCGCGTAAAACAGGGGTTATTGTCCGACATACAAAGAGGCGAAAGTCTTGATTAATAATCGGGCCAAAGGTATATAAAGGCGATGAGATTCTGATTTTTTGTCCCACCCAATTGCATTTTATTTTTTTTAATTAATTCCAAAACATGGTTTTAGCTGCAATTCTTACTGATACACCCAAATCTGAACCATTCAAGCATGGTTTGGAAGTGAAAGAGTTTAACCCACCACAACCACAAGCAAACGAATCTGTTGTCAAAGTCAGAGCAGTCGCGTTCAATCATCGGTATAATTTTCTGCTTCCGTGATTTAGCGACGTTGGTTTTTTATGCTTTACCACTTGATGATTTTTAACAACGCGTCGTCCCTATGATACATATCAGTGATATCTGGATTCTCAAGGGTCTTTATCCTGGTATCGTCCTCAATTCCGTGCTTGGTGCCGATGCCGTCGGAGTTCTCGAGAAGAAGGGCGCTGCATCTGTCAACGAAGGTCAGCGAGTCCTTATTAGTCCAAGTGTCAACTGGGACTCCTGTCCTCGTGGTCCTGAAGGTGATTTCCGTATCCTCGGTATGCTTCCATCACCAGGTTAGTGACACTATTTGAATATTTACAAACTTTTCTTTCTTGCATGAATAATGTCATATGGTGGGTGGAGGTTAGGAAGATTAACAGTCAAACGATTCTACGTTTCTGTATTATGTAGGAACCTTCGCAGAGACCATCAACATTGACAGTAAAGAAGTGTTTCCATGCCCGGAGCACTTGACTGATTCTGAAGCTGCTGCTATTCCACTTGCTGGTTTGACTGCTTACAGGTATATGCACTTACAAGTTTTGTGGATGAATGTTTCTTCTTTTTTGATAGTCATAAGACACTGATAATAGACATGCGCATCTGCTTTCTCTGCATGATTTTTATAAACAGAGCCTTGTTCTCGAAATGTCAAGCTCAAAAAGGTGATTACGTTCTGGTTACCGGTATTGGTGGCGGTGTAGCACTTTTTGCATTACGATTCGCAGTTGCTGTTGGAGCCCATGTCTATGTTACATCATCCAACCCTGACAAGATCAAGTTTGCCAAAGAATTGGGTGCTGAAGGCGGTGTCAACTACAAAGATCGTATGTATACTACAGCCTCATTATCTTCACCATTATAATTGAGCAACAGCAGCAGAGATTATCAATTCAATGTACTGATTTTTTTCATACCATATATATAGCCAATGCGATTGAAGATTTGAAGAAGCAGCTTAACGGAAAGTTAATCAATGCTGTCGTCGATGGATCAGGCGGCAAATTGTTTGAAAAGCTTCCAGAAGCTATGGCACAAGGCGGTATCATTGCCCAGTACGGTGATACTGCCAGTCCACAGGGCGTCTCGTTTACCAGGGATTTGTGGGGACGAAACTGCGAACTGAAAGGTTCGACTATGGGATCGCGTGCAGAATTCGCCAAAATGCTTGAATTCATCGATAAGAACAAAGTGCGCCCTGTGGTCTCTCATTCTTTCAAGGGATTGACGCAAGAGAATCTTGACAAGTCAGTCTCGCTCTTGGCGTAAGTGATCACGCTGTCTGTTTCTTTTTGTTCATAAATCACCCACTATATCCGGCGTAATAACCTTTTTTCATTTTCTTCATTGTATGTAGTCATGGTCAGCAATTGGGCAAAGTTGTTATTGAAATCTAAAGTCATCACATATGCACACCGCATTAGTGTCCTATTCAGTATAATATTATACGGCAACAATCAAAAATGTTAACTGAAAATAGCTACAAAAAGTTTGAATAAAAAGTGCACGTTCTTGTTCCTCCCTTATCTCAGCATTTCATCCTGCATTCCATGTTTAATATGTAGAAGAGGCCCAAATAAGACGACAAAAAATACGATATAGTCGTTTGAATCTTTCTAGCAATAGTGTAATACTTTTTCATGATAAAAGATCTAATTATACTGAGCGGGGTGGTGTGGATTGCAAAGTGGACAGAAAGAAGTCTACAGGGTTTGTACAAAATGAGCGGTTGGGTGTATACGTGTATATATGAGGGGGAAAGAAAGAATCTAGTTATCCAAGTCATCTGAGTTGCCACCAAAAACACCCTTTCTATAATGTTCGCGCTGCTTCCGCAACCAGGCACGATAATCCGCTACAGACTGAATCTTTTCGCCATAGTAATCAGGCACAGGGTTACGGATCGAATTCAATCGAGCATCGGCACGGTTTGCTTTAATATGCTCGTAAAAGACCTTGTCGCGGCGATCCATCGAAGGGACAATTTTGTTGTTCATGGCTTTGAACAACAAGTTACCGAGAACTGGGCCAAACATGAAACCACCAAAGCCCTATGTATAAAGTGAATCTTTCAACGCTTCCTTCTTGCTTTGCACGATTTTTTTTTTGTTTCTGCATTCTCTCTGTTTCGTCCCACAAAGAAAAGAAAAAAACTTACAGCACCAACAGTGGCCAAAGCCGAAGCCATAACTGGATCCATGCCAAAAAAGGTTGTGAAGGGATCAATTTCGAGTTGTGCAAAATACGAGATCGAGCCCATGGCAGGTGCAATAGTGCTAGGCACGCATGAGACCAGCTCGTACACGCGACGCTTCTTTCTTAATTCAAAGTAATCGTTCCATGTTGGAATGTCATTGGCTGCAGGTTGCTGTTGCTGACGTTGTTCCTCGCCAGCTGCTTCGGTGGTAGTTTTGGTGGTATATCTAGAAGCAATAACAGCTGCATTGTTGTTTTTTATTGCGACCGAACGCAACAAAGCGGTCTGCAGTGGTGATCGAACGGCGGAAAATGACATGTGGAGAAATGAGTTGGGTGGCGATAAAAGTGTCAAGCGCTTGACTGTTTACGGCGAATCTCCAACAGCAAACACGGTGTTCTAAATCGAGCCAATGACTTCTCGAGAACTATCAGAATTAGCGTAATCCAAGGGCAAGAAGATATGGTATGATAGCAAACCGAAAAACTAGATTGATGCTTATTATCTGACGAATGGTATAAACACATTTATATTGTAAGGAATTAAATAAGTGAATAAAGTGTAAAGAAAGTATATAGACCTAGGAGCAAGGATTGATTATACCACACTTCGCCAGCAATAGCCCGTTTCTTCTTTTTTTTCCTAACAAACGTCTCTAGTCTTTTTCGCGGATCAATTTTGTAGGCTAAATAATTGTCAAATTCCCCTAGCCTCATACATACTATCCGGGCCTAAATAATGAAGAATAGCACCTTCTGACAGATACTGTCTATTGTTTGATCGTGTTTTATTCTTTAAAACTATTGTTCTAATAACTGGCCACGTCGAACTTCTTCATGCTAGTGTTCGTTAACGTGGAAATAAGTGTATGAGATCGTCTATCCTTGTCCTACTAAAATGATGATACTGTGAAAGAAAACTTAGGAGCGTATGGAAAAAAGCACACGCAATACGTACAAATATAAACTTGGTAGAGGATAGTCGCGTCTCGACAGGTGAACGTATGCATCGCGGAACGACGATTGCAACACGTACCGAAAGCTCAACTGAAGTTTGCCGTTGTTGGGTATGTTTGTACAAAGTATGTCTGTCAAAGGCATTTTCGACGGGGCCAGCACGACTAAACAACAGATTTCTTAAAACCGACCCTTATCAAATGACGACTGACAAATAGACTTCTGTTGCCAATTTACATGTGCGTCCATATAATTTTTGTTCCGTTGATAATTAAATATACGAGATGGCTGATATGTAGACGATCGGTGATAGTGAGCTATTATCTGATTACTACGATCTGTCGAATTCGCTATACGTTTTTATCATCATGAGTTCTGCTACAACTACCACTAAGGTGCTTGGTCGAGTTTCCAAGTATTCGGACTGATATGCTCCAAAAACTCCTCCCCTGGTCTAAAATTTTCCATCAGCTGCGGCAACAATGCTATATGCTGTTGTTGGTACTACTGCTAAAGCAACCAATGAGGAGCAGCCCACTAATCCATGCAAAATGATCCTTTGTTTGCTATCGTGAATGCAATCGTCGTTGTGACTTGAAACGAATAGCAATAAATGGTAAGATTAAAAATATAAAATTTTTGGCCTAGCTGGAGGCGGACAGTCATGGAGACTGTCGTCAGAGGCTCGTCAAAAGAGGCAGGGTTTCGGTCTTTGGGGGGTGCATTTTAGCGGATCAGGCTTTGTAAATACATAGCAAATGAGTCGTAGATTTATGTAATAACACCAGTCTGCTGGGCTGGTTTGCGTGTTGTAGCACACTAAAGCGCCATCTCTTTTATGTGTGTTCACATGGCCGTTCTTTCTTTGACTTTTATTGATCTAAGCCTATTAAAAGGTGGATTTAATCCTCAAAAGAAACAGAAATTGGCTAAAAAAAATTGGTACACAGCAGCCCAGAAGTCAAACAATGCTGTCACTCCTCAAGGTGGTGCCAGCTGGATCGAGCATAAGAAGAAATTACAGATAGCGAAACGGACTTACGATCAACAACGGTTGCTGCTGCATCGATCGCTGAAGTATCAGTAGAATATAGCTCTTTCCAGGCTTCGAATCTTCTCATTAAACGTGTGGTTGTGATATTAAGCTGATGATTGCATCAATGCTATGATGATGACAGTGTCGCTTCTTGTGACGACGATAGTTCTTGGAAAATCCGCTTCATATCCATGTTATAGCATTGATCTGATATACACTGCTTATCATCTATATATGCACAATACCTGTCGTTGTTTAGAAAGGAACATCCAATTTGGAAACCCGTTCATTAATATGGCTGATAATGAAGCTGCGAATGAAGGTGTAACTGGAGAAGAGGAACGGACGCAACAAGAAGCACAAGATTATGAAGGGGCTGGACACGGAACCCAGGATAGCACTTCGAACATACAAAGAGCATCTTATTCGCGTATAAAGTCATTGCACAGTTTATTGGAAGCGTTGTTGCGCTCACCAAATAACGTACGAGACAAACCAAGTTGTAACAGATGCACGAATTCTCGAGTTCCAGCGAAAGAGATCGCAACAGTGCAAAGGATTGCAAACGCACTTTTACCGTCCATGTCAGACGACAATACCCCATACTTCCCTACTAGTTTTCCTAGCAGTATGAATTAATCTGCGAGTCATTGGCTACAAAAATCATGTTGCCATGATATATTTGACCTTGCACCTCACAAGATCCATACACAGGCACAACAGCAGAAGTACGAACTTTGACGTATCATGCCCATGGACGCGCCCAAGGTCAAGTTCAGTTTCTCGATGACGACAACAGTCCAAACACATAGCGTGAACAAGCCCTATACTATGTAGGATGATTGTGGGTCATCGTTCTCTACGTACGAGGAGCGTAAACAAAAGCTACAAAGAAGGGAGGCCGGTCAGGAATGCCAGCAACCATTGGGACGATCCAAGAAGAATTAATAGCTGACGTAGCGCAGGGAACATCGATTATAATTGAACTGCAAAGAAGGCATACCTAACTGAAAAAGAATACCGACAAACAGCAAAGGAACAGAGCGTAGCTTGAAACCGCTTTCAACTTGCAACCAAGCATAACAGGATTAAAGCAAGCGCTGAAATGTTTTGTTTGTACATACCGTATATGTATTTTTTTATGTCGCGCTCTACAACGCCCATCCTTTCCCGTCAAAAGCCCAAAATAAGCCAAAGCAGGCTCGCTTAGAGCAGCCGACCTACTAGAGTTCGGCACTTCTGTCACGAGCAAAGATGTCACACAAGCAAATACGAAGTGAGAGGGCGTGAGTGTATCATAGAACAACTCCCTCCAGCGAAGCCCCAGGAAATCATTGACGTTAGTATTAGTACTAGCAGTGCTGAATTGAACTTGCCAGCACACCGCGACGATAAGTGACATGGTTCTACAGCGGGAGAACAACCAGCATCAAAGCGGCGGCAGTGTCTGCAACAAGGGGTCTTTATACATACAGTAGCTTGTAGCAAAGGAACGCCAATAGGCTATATAAAAGCACTACTTCCGAAAGGCCAGGAATCCCATCCCAGTAGCTGCGCACTATTACGTGTGGATGGCCTAGACTGTACAGGGGTGGACTACCTCGACGCGGCGGCTGCAAGATGCGCAATGGTCATAGACTCTCTTGTCCGATGGTATTGCAAGACGAATGCATATTAAGTCAGACCTGACTTTTCTGTTTTTCTCCATTATTTATTTATGTCTACGGCCACCAAAGCTATACATCAACCCCGATTGGCCTGGGGTGCGTGTTGGGTACACTACCTTTAGTCGTGTTTCTCTCTCGAGCTCAATCACGACCATTGCTGCTTTTACCCAAGTATTCTCTCCTACCAAGTCACCTCGACCCTACCAACCCAACACAGTAGCACATGTTACATTTTTACCTGACCTTCTGCAACATCCATCATATCATTTCTAGGCATGGTGCGCTTGTTGCTTCACGTATGTTTCCTGGACATGTTTGTTGCGCGCTCTCCACCCACCCTCCCTCCCCCCAACATCACATGAGGGTCAAAATTTTTCAAGCACATAAAAAGCGTCACCCTGGTTTGCTGCATTATAGAAAAATTTCTTGTGCAACATTGTCGTCACCTTGGATCGCATCATCTTGGAAAAATTTCTTGTGCAACAAGCGTCTTTTTTGCTGGAATCAAAGTGCAGTATTTCTCCAAGTTTGATCGTCTCGCATATATAAAGCAACCACTTCTCCCTCCCACCCCCCGCCCTCTCTCGTACCAAGGCATCAACACTCCATACATTCACCCTATACATAAAGCGCACAGTGCAACAGACCACTCAATGCTTCCCTCACTACACACGTTCCTTTCCAACCATAACCTCGAGCGGTACCATGAAGCATTCGTCAAGACTGGCGCAACAGATCAAGATCTCTTACAATTGCTTCATTTCAACGATGAGGAGCTGAGCGAGTTTTTGCAAGCTGTCGATATGCTTCCGTTTCATGCCATCAAATTTAAACGGGGTCTCCGGGAATTGAGAGTGCAGGCAAGCTTCAGTATATATCCCAACGAGGCAACGGCAACCACCACTTGCCGGTCTTTCACTGCTGCGGCACCGACTCTGCGTTCACCCCTCCCGACGCGGCCAGGCCTAGATCTTATCCTCAACACACCTGATCATACTGTAAGTTTTGACTTTATATTAGCGCTTCTATTTGCAGATACTGATCCGACTGTGCAGTCTTCTCAACATTATGAGTACCCTGACAATCACCACCATTACAACCGTCAACAACAACATCAACAGCATGACCACCACTACTACTACGACCATGATAACCAACAACAGCCATCACAGCAAACTTCCCGTGAAGTGATCATATCTCATGCTACCATCTACGGAAAGAACAACACCCGACCGCTCACTAGCTACGAAGCTGCCATCAACGAAGCCGCTATTCAGCTCGCACTCGACAATCCATCACTACTAGTAAACAAAGGCAATCTCTTCGAAATGGCCAAAAAGAAATTGCTTGACAGCGGATACCAATATAAACGAGGCAAGAGTCGATCGAAGCTCACCAAAGGTCGTGCACAAGTCTCTCCCGAGCAGCAAGTGGAACGGCGAAATGCACGGCGAAGCCAGCTCCATGCCAAGCGCAAGTTAAACGCACAACGCATGTCGTGTGAGCGACAACGACGAATCGAGGAACTCCAAACCCAACTGATGGCTATCACAGAACGACAACGCCAGTACCCAGAAGAGTTTACGGCACTCGAGGCGACCCGGACAACTCTGAACAAAGAAATTAGCAAAATCAAGGCCCAAGAACGAAAGCACCAGTGGTACGAGCGACGCAAGAGTGATCGTTCGGATGTCAGTTCTTCTGACGATACTACTGAGGAGGAACAGCAGGCGAATGACGACGATGAACGATCAGTCGCATCGTTAAGTAGTGCCGGGAGTAGTAGCGTGACAACAGCCTCTTCGTCTACGTCAGTCACAGTATCTCAACCTATTGCTCCCACACCTATGATGAGCACAGCATCCATGGGTCCCATGACGCTTTCTCGGGAAAGTGATGTTCGAGCCAAAGTTTTCATAGAGCCAACTATTGCTCGATCAGAGCTCTTGTCATCTGCATAGTCTTACTACCTTTCTTAATCCCTCCCCCTCCGTGTTCTTGTACATTCTTTCTTTTTGCTTTGTCTTTTGTCTTTTGTTCCTTGTTCTTGCTTTCCAGTTTAAATATACTCAAACGATATTATTTACTTACTAAGAGAATATCTAATGATGGAAGAGGGGGAATATTTACTGTCGTTTATGAAAGGCCAAGTACAAAAGGGTATAAATTAAAAGAAGAGAAAGAGGGGGAGGAGAAGATGAAGAAATACAAAACAGAAGAGGGTGGTAGGGCTGCCTTTACATGATCGTGCATGCTTGATCTTTGCGACCCTCTTGTAGCCCACGGTGCGAAGTCCCGCTGGCACTTTCATGTTGCCTTGATGTGAAACTATTTGACTGCAGTCGTTCGGACGCACCATGATGGCCTTTTGCAGCTGCACGTCGATAGTATGTTTGTGCACGATTGTAGTCTCTCGGTGTACCAAATCCCATTTCGTTATAATATCTAATACACAAAACGAATAGTTCATTAGTGTGCGTATGGTTTTGGCTTTGCACTTTTGCGTGTCAAATAAACTCACCCTAGCAAAAACAGGGCCTCATCAAGTCCGTGCTCAGCTGCCTTTGAGCACCAATGGTATGACGCATCTTCGTTACGGCCGAGTTCTGCTAACCACTGGGATACGTCGTGTTCCGCTCGATCGTCCGTATCATCAGGGCCATGGCGATCCGCGTTATAGAGTCGACTTAAGCCCAGCATACCTTCAGGCTCGTCGTGTTGCGCTGCGAATTCATAGTAGCGGAAGCTCTTACGCATATCAATTGGAACGCCAAACAGACCATGTTCATACAGGTTTCCTAGATGACTGTGACATTTGGCATGACCTAGCTCTGCACCGCGTTCAAACCATTCCTTTGCTGCATTAGCACCGCCGTATGGCTGGACTAGCTCTGCAGGTATATCGGCACGAGTATATATATTGGCGAGTACTTGTGCAAACACGCATATCGGCTCCGCATAGGATTCGTTGGCGTTTTCTGCCGCTTGCGCAAGGACCGCTAACCCAGTAATCATGTTTTGACGTTGAGAGAGTTCGCCATGGAGGTGGACTTGGGCCAGTCGCTGTAGTTATCATTACTTGCATCAGTATCTTCACATGCAAATAAATTTCTATTGATATCAATACATACATGAACAGCGGCCACTAGGCCCTTTTCTGCAGCAGCCTTGTAATTAGCTAGGGCTTCGGTGTGATTCCCATCCCGCTCGTGATATCGTGCAACGGCAAACATGGCCTCAGCTTTTCCAGAACGCGCAGCAACTTCATAGAGTTTGAACGATTTCATCGGGTTTGGTCGACATCCGTATTTTTCCTCATCCATCCACGTTGCCAATATAAATGCTGCCTCGCCCACATCTTCTTTGGCTAGCCGCTTGATCCATCGCACACCTTCTTCTTCTAGTACTCGCTTCTTTTCCTTATTGTCCATCGAATTGTCACTATCCAAAGAAAGAATGGGTCGGATGTTCCGGATTGGACCATTCAGGCTAGCACGTCCACGCTTCATCATATCGTTTAGTCGACCGTCGATCGAAATAGAGGAATCGCGACTCTGACGTCGACCCGTATTTAGACTGAGGGAAGCTGCGCCACGATGATGTCCCTTTTGCTGCTGCTGTTGTTGTTGTTGTTGTTGTTGCTGCTGCTGCTGATTGTTATGCTTGGTATCGTAGAGCTGCGCGATTTCTAGTAGATAGTTGGCGTAGCTGAGCTGGACTTCCTTATTATTCGTTTTTTCAGCCATTTCTCGATAGAGCTTGAGGTTTTCGCGGCTGTTGGTCAAGCTATACGATGCTTTGCTATATTTTGATTGGGGAGCACGTGTCATTGTGGAGGTCTTTAAGGGGGCAAAATGATTAATACATCGAACTTCATCATCTAAAAAAGGGGGAAGGAGGAAAAGGGACGCTTTTCATTTTTTTAAAAATTGAAATTTACATTACCAGGACACTTTCGTTGGCAGTCGTAGCTATGGATCTTTTACCAAACATTGAGGACGGTAGAATACCGCTGTCGTTAATACTCGGCGACGGCTGTTTGCGAGTGCTTTCAGGCAAATGAGCTAAGCCGAAAGTTCTGTCATTGTTGGCTACTGCAAAGAGTGGCTGAGGTGGCGGCGGCATAAATTTGTTGGTGCTCGTGCCACTGTGTCGGCGGCTTCCAGACTCGATGGGCGTTGCTTGAGGTGTGAGTGTTGCAGGCGAAGCCACGAGCAATCCACTTTCCTCAAGCACACCCTTGCTGCTGCTGCTGTTATTGTTGTTGTTGTTATCGTCCTCTTGTTGTTCTTCGTTCACCTCCTCAGCCAACGTCGCAGGACCCAAAACTACCCGTGGATATGACTTGCGTTGAGTCTCAACCGATGGAATCGTCCAGTCCATAGGGTGCAAGTCCAAAGGTGGAAGCAGTTCGACCTTACCCTGTTCATGCAGTGTTTTTGACTGCCTCCGAACAAGCTCTGTTTGGCTTTTTGAATCGCTGATAGAGCCTCCTGCACCTGCAGTACTACCGCGATTGCTACTGTTCAACGACAATGACGATGCGGTTGGTGATGGTGCAGTAGACAGGAACGAAGTAACGAACTGCATGGATGATTTAGCTTTGACATGGCGATCGTGTTGTGATGCTGGTGGTATTGGCGGCAGAGGTTGGCTGATTTCCAGCTTTGTAGAGGAGAGATCGTCGTCTTGAGCTGGTGGCAATAGCGTCGCTGACGTTGCTACACCCCCATTCTCGACAGGTTGTGTTGGCTGTTGCTGGGTTACATGATGGTTTTGTGTGGAAGTTGGTGGCACTTGCGTGGTCGTATCACTTTTTTCTTGTTCTTCCTCGTCTTCTTCGTCTGAAGATGACACAGGATCAGGGTTGATCACCCGAAGAGTATAGCGGCCTGGACCGGGCTGCACTGTCCCACTATCCGAGTAATCATCTTCGTCTTCGTCTTCGTTCACCGATGAATTCGACTGTGCTCGACGATTACCTTGAACGGTCGGAGTGCTTGGTTGCCGGCTTTGATTGTAGTCTCCGGATTCGTCCTTATTGAATCGAAATAGGGAGTTCAGCTTCCTAGGTTTGGGCGTTCGAGGATGACGGTAGTTACTGCTGCCGTTGTTGGTGGTAGTTGGCGAGGAGGAGGATTCAGGAGTGGCTGGTTCTGGCGCTGTGCGTGAGCGAAATGGGAATACATGCGAACGCGACGCCGATGAAGTATCAGACGCTGTAGTGCGTGACATGCTTTAAAGCAGTACTTTACAAGAGGCAAACAAAAAAAAAGCTGAAAGAAGAGCAAAGAAGCAAGAGAATTGAAGTTCTATTTTTAAGTTGCTACTGAGCCCACCCGAATCTGGTAACCGTCAGCGCACCACACCCTGCTTTAAACACCGCAAACAGAATAGCGTGGCGCGCTACGCATTGTTTTACTTTCTTATTATGCCTTCACAGTACGAATTCGTTAGAGGTAAAAAGGTAGAAAGTACAAGGAGTCAAGCATTATTGTACTTGCAGCTGTGATACCCACTTACCACTGCTATAGAGATACATGTTGAAGCTTTTGCACGAAAACTCAGGAATCAAAGATAGAGCTGCATATTTCTTTGATCAGAGCAGTAACAATGAAATGAAGGTTGCATAGTACGCTTATTATCATTATTTTTTTTTATTGATATTTACATCGGTGATAACATCAGACTATTAGATCTTGATCGACTCTGCATGTCTGCCAGCTTTTCTATATGCTCCTCCATGCCATTAACCTTTTGCAGCAGCATCTGTGCCACTTCTTCGAGTTTTTCGAGTCGCTCACCATCATCGCTCTCACCCTGTTTGAGACAAAGTGCGCGATTGACAGGAAAGAAACTGTAATTGGCTTCCTTGAGGCATTCCGAGACATATGACTCTGGGCCAGTGTATTCAGTTCTATCCTTGGTTTTCAAATGAACCAGGAAAAAAAGGTATTGCCTTTTTTGTCACATGCGTACGTAGACAAATTGTTAGTTCTAGAAATTCCTGGCTGTTTTTCGTCATTTTAACAATCTCCACAGCAACACTAACAGCATACCAAATGTTGTGATCGTGGCGAACGTGATCCTCAAATCCTTTCTTCGCTAAGCGTTGGAACTCGACAGATGGAATGCTACAAATAAAGCATGCTGGTCCACACAATTGGAGTTAATTTCTTTTGGCCCCTCTTCCGCAACTCACTACGATTACTCACTGTTCTTCATATCGTGCTGAATGGATGATCGCTCTAGAACACGGAAACCAAGTCATTAATCTTTCTAGTATACGCGTTTTGCCGACGGGACGCGGGTCACTTACCATCACGCAGATGTCCGAAGGTGTCAAAGATAATACCGAAAATGGCATTCAGCAGAAACACAACCACTAACAAAAAGAAGGACATTTCGAACGCAGTTCGCCAGCCTCGGGGATCTTCAAGCGCATCCGGTTCTAAAATATCACCGATGCCTCCGCCAGATCGAACACTGAGGGATATACAACATGATTCAGTATTATGTTTAATTTACACGGAACAAACAACAATCATCTTACCCGTGCGACAATGCAGTAACAAAGCACTGTGTCAAAGTCGAGCAGTGAAGGCCTTTGGTAACATCGAATTCCTCACGGAAAAAGACATAAGCAACGACACTATGGATATAAACCACGATCACACCAAGTATGGCCTGATTGCATTGTTGAGTGAGCAGCTCTTTCTCTCTCCGCAATCCTTTCTTTCATTCTGAAAAGCACACTTACTGTTCGTGTAATTGAGCTAACATTCAACGTGATACTGGCAATAACACCTTGTAGAATACGATCACGGAACGCAAAGTCAAGCAGATGGATTGAATAAAAGCCCGGACTATACAGCCCGAGGAGCGAGAAAACGAGCATCGTGATGTGGTACAAGAACGTCTGCTCCCCTAAACTTGCCAAGATAAATCGAATATCCTATAATTGTTCAGTTTGTAAGAAAAAGCTTAATTAACAGTTTGGGTGTCCCGATTAGGTCCTCCCGTCCCTCCGAAATCGCGTACCTTGTGAGATAGAAACCGAGTCAGAGACCGATTATCCGTTGGTCGCCCAGTGGCATCTTGACGCCGTACTGCTGCTGTTTCGCTTTGTACTGAATGGCGATTCACCAAAATCGGTAATTGGATACAATAAAATTCAGTGGTTGACAAAAGCCAAAACAGGAGATGGAAAAGGCCAAAGAAGACGCGCGCCACGTTTTTGAATCGATAACAGTAACCATTCGAATCGTTATCGCCAACCAGCATATACGAAGAGCAGCTGAGAACCAATAGGTTGAGCAGAATAGTCATAGCATAAGATGCACGCCACCATACAGCGCTGTATCGTGAAAGTAGCGATAAATACTGATTGCGGGCAACCTTTGCATGATTATCGATCCTAACTCATCAAGAGACAATTAATAATCAGAAGAGTTTCTCGCATTCATGTTAAACTTACTCATAAATGATATTGTCAGACAGTTGGACAAAGTTCTCGATCTTGGCTGATGGCGAATCTCTGGATACGGCTATGAATTAATGACTTTTATCCAACCAACAAGATAGATGATGTCTGTTTCTTACCGCTTGACACTCCAAAGAAAACGCTGTTTTGTATCTTCGCGGAGGTATTTGCAAACTTCAGGGATAGGAAACAGGACCCTTGAAAGCTGTTTTTCCTGATTATAATCCATCACTACCTCAATTTTGCCTGTATGACTTTGAAAGAATTCGAACGCCCGGTTTCCATCGAGTAAGATGCGCTGTAATGAACCATCGCATTAGATAACTGTAGTTGCTCGTGCTGGATGTTGTATCTGATTTCCTACCTGACTTTCATCAAGCGCTGGCCATAATGTCATCAAGAGGATACAATATTGGAAGCCACAATCTAGTTTTTCATATGCATCAGGAGATTCTAGCTGGTCCGCATTCTTGTCATAAATGGCATTCATGTTTTGCACCACAACGTTGAGGTCCAAAGAGGCAGCCATTTCACGGAATATTGTCTCGCTGTTATCAATTCCTCCTTCCAGCAAACTAAGCAAGCAAATTGCTACTTTGCTCTAAATAGGTAAAAAAAGAAAATGATTAGATTCCAATAGGAGAGTGAGTTCTATTATGGGGATGAATGCTGTATTAAGTTACCTTAAGTTCATTAATTAGCGAGGTGGGGCAATTGGTATAGCGTTCACGAAGGATCGTGTTGGCAGGATTAAGTATTTTGCCTGCATAGATGGTCACTTGATTTTCGATGCATCCTTGGGCCAATTCCGTGATAGTGTCCAGCACTTGTATAATAAGCCGTACATTTTGAATATTGCAGATCGGGACAATAGCATGTAAGTACTCCACCACATCTTGTACAATGTTGAAGCTCTTGATATTGTCTGGCTGCCTTGCAAGGTAGGTCTGCAGATTGATGTTGTGACCTTCGACCATCAGCTGTACGGCTCGCATGGTATCTGTCATGGCCTTAAAATCCTCGGACGCAGTACCAAATTCAGCTGTTTCGCTGGCCATCAAATTGGATATCTTTTGGTAAACCATAGCCGAGTTTGCGTCACCTTTTTTGGATCTACTACCGGTGCTAGCGCCAGTATTACTATTGCTACCATTCAACAGCATCCGTTTGCGAATATGTGATCGCGTCACGTCAAGCGAAGAACGATTTTTCTTTTTCTGGCGATGGTTTTCCTTTTTTGCCATAGAAGGAGCTGGTGATAAGTCGACATTCATGATGGATTGCTGTCGGTTCATCTTGTATGCGGCACGTGACAAGTGTAATTGTGCCTCTTTGAGTGACGCGATACCACTTTGTAATCGATGATGAAAAGAGTAAAAGAATCGCTCTTCACTATATGAGGGTTGTGCAAGATCCATGAGCTTCAAGTTGTATGTAGTTGACGAGCCGAAAAAAGAAAGATCACTATTCCTTACCGTATGCTATAAAAATATTCTTCCAATTTATCCTAGATTTTAGACGGTTAGTTCATAGTACACTTTTCAACGATGTGTACATACGAGCATTTTACCTGAACATTCTTGTTACCACCTTCAAGAAGGGCAATTAGTAGCTTCAGAGCAGCCTCGAATATAGCCCTTCGTGGCGATGAAAGCAAGTTCTGAGCCACCAGTGTACAGCCCAATCGGTTCAACGTGTTTTGAGCGTGCGTCTTTTTCTTCTCCAGAAGTTCATATCTTCCGGGGTCATCGAGGTGGGCGATCGTCGAGCGTTCGCGAATATACTTTAAGGGTATTTCTTCAAGCAGCTTGATGGTAGATACTTGATAAGACTCGCGGCTATCCTGTCTTTTGACACTGGTTGTCATGGAAAGATAATCAATGAGCGATTTGACATCCTGGTCCGACCCTCTCACTGAAAGGTTGAAATGAAATCCTAATCGAATTTTCTAACAGTTAGCACGTGTTCTAGATGATATCCCACAATAGCCTTCACTGCTTAAGATCAACATACCAAGCCGCTTAAACTCCGATTCCATCAGATGCCGTACATCTTTGTGAGCCATAACAGCCCGAATAAATCCTTGAAACTTTGTATTAATAGAATCCAATGGTCGAATTTTGGCAACTGCAGTGCTTGGTTTGCTTCTTTCCACCATGGCTTCTCGTAGCTTGACGCGTAGTTCGGCAGGATCCACCGATCCTCTGAAGCCAGCCACATTGATCATGCTATCGAGACATGCTAACGTATGGTTGAGAGCAGTTCCTTCTGGAGCCGTCGCCATCAGATCGACTGTAAGATCCACCAGCTGCGGACAGAGTAGATAAAGCGTTTCATCCACAGATGTTTCGACGCTGAGATGATATTCGAAAATAGACCGCAGAAAGACAAGCAGGCCATTGTAAACATAATCCATGGTCTCTGGATCCGTATTCTTGTGTCTCGCCTCAATCATTTCGCGGTACACCGTCTTCATCAATGTGCGTATGCTTGCTTCGTCGCTCACAGGGACATTGTTAGATAGTACCTCGGTATTATCCAAGTATATCGACACAAAGAACCGAAAAACGCCAGCTTTGAGCCCAAGAGGCGCATCTGGATCTTCAATCACAGCTGTGATATCTCTTAATCCAAGGATTGTACGGGCAAACTAACAAGGTGGGCTACAGTTAAGTTACTGTTCATCGATGTATTATCTTTTCTTATATATTCAACCTTACCGATTGTCCAAAAGTATTTCCACCTTGACCACACACCGCCAAAAGATCCATCAATGATATACAATAGTCCATTCGGTCAGTAGCCTTTAAATCTATGTGGGATTCGAACGGCACGTACAACTGGCGGTTCTCCATGATAAAGCGCATTACACAGTCCTGATGCTTCTTTAGCAATTTCCCTTGAGCTTTCATAAACCCAACGAGTAGATAAAAATACTCTTTCTGGAATCCACGCGAGAGCTCCAAGATTCGCTGGAGATGTTCTTCACGGATGCGGATACTGATATGCAGGTTGTTTTGGCATATTGGATAAAGTGTTGCCGCTAGTATTGGACTGAATGCACTAACATCAATCAATAAATCGATGTTTTCCAATACTAGTTGACTCTAAAAAGATACGTAAGCATTTCGTTTTTGTTTTTTTGCCACCAAGTGTACCATTAATTTTACCTGTAGATCTTTATCATCTTTGACAAGTTCGTCGAAAAATTCCAAACACGTCTTCATTGCAGTTATGCAAGCCGATTCTTCGTCAGGATAATCCAAGCTTCGTTGGTCTTCTGAGGCAAGACTTCCTCTGGAAGACGATGTCTTTGCTGGTAATCCCTTGAGTGCACCCAAAAGCTGTATGATCATGGAATGAGCGCTCAGATTGGTAAAGACCTTACAATAAATGTTGCGTTGATCTTGCTGGTTGTTCTCCAGTTGGATTGCTTCGTCATTGAAATCAATTGTCTTGCCCCGGAACAAATCAATTAATTCTCGAACAATAGCTTCCACCTGCGGTAAATGTGTTGGGCCTAGCCGATCTACAGAGAGAAACGATCCAAGTAGTGCCAATCGCTTTTTAACTCCATGATAAACAAAGACATGCTGTGGTTGACTAAGCAGCAAGACCTGCTGGGCTTTGCTAAAGAGATCTGTTGCACGATCAAATGGACATCGTGTAAGTTCACATCATATGAATTTTTTTTTCATTTTCTTTGCAACAAATTTCTTTACTAACCCTCACTGTCACTGTATATGCGATGCATCACAATTGCAGCAATTCGCTTCAAAGGAGCATATTGGTATTTCAAGATATCCTTGATAATAGGCATAAGGATATTTTCGCGCTGTCGTAGCATTGTTTCAGTGAAGATCGTATTTAACGCCGCATGAGGTGAGTGTTGGAGTTCATTATCCACCTTTCTGTTTGAGAAACAAAACAAAATGTTCTTATCGACAAAATATTCTGATCATCCTCCAATCCTCTCTATAAGTCACTTACGTTTCCATTGCTTTCCACTTTGAAGCCAGCTTTTTCATCCGCACATGCAAGCGTAAATCAAAGATTAGGTCGAATATTTCCAAAATTAATATTTTGGTATTCATTACTGGCTGCGTCTCCTCAGTGAGGATAAACCGCTCTTTCCTAGATAGTCAATTTCTCGTGATAAGCAAACCGAAGAATGATACCCAAGTTTACTATTCAACCTTTTGTTCTCTTACCATCGTCTTGCAGAATCAGATTTAATCGACTTTAGGTGTTCCTCGTTTCTTATTGAGTAACAACCAATGAGTAACAACCACGAGTAAGTGATGTATGAACATTTTAAAATCGGGGGAGTCTTGTACTAACCGTGCATCGCTTCTTCCGTCAAGAACAAGAATGAGTGCTCTAAATATACGTTTAACATCATCATCGTCGGTAAAAAAGCCTAGTCGGAGCTGCGCATGCATCATCTTTAGCACAGAAGACAGAAATTCCACTTCATGTTTTGCAGCAGTGAACTACAAAAGAAAAAGGATCAGCTTACAATAAGCTAATAGCTTTAATTCTCTGGCTACAACAAACTTTACCTGATGTCGCTTATCATCAAGAAAAACAAGCGTCCATCGCTTCAGGTGGTCGAAAAATTCAGGCGATTTGCTCTCGAAACTACCCGTACCACCACTAGGATAGTCGTTGGATTCATCTAAATTCTCGTACTGCATGGTAAAATCCGACAAGACCACCTGAGTGAAGGGTGGAACATCGATATAAAGAACTGCAGAAATATGATGAGCACTTGTTTTAGTTTGTTGGTTTTTCGGTAGTAATATTAGAGTACCTGTTAAAAGATCACAGAACTTGCTGCGAATCTGGTCTGGCAACCGTACGTCACCCAGACATGTCAGACAGACGTCTTTGCCGATGCATCGTCGTATTGCCTCAAGTGATTTTGCATTTGTACCCCAGGAGACAGAATACACCAAATGAAGTGCACTTTCGATAAAGACAGTAACCGACGCCTGATTCTCTCTCAACAGAGTTTCTAGGTTACGCCAGGCGCCGTTGTCATGGAGAAAATTGATCTCCACCGTGGATGCCGTTACTACGTAACCGCTGTCAACATTCTCTCCTGGTATTATTTCTTCTTGTGCCATCCGCATCTGAAGCAAGCAATTCTCTACCGAAAACAAACGTGCCGAGATATAATCGCGGTGATATGTCAGCGATCCCTGTTTATCCGTATGGCAAAGTGTGCTGAGCAAATCAAGTCCACTAGCTGCCTCGTAGTCTTGTTTTGTTTCGCTGATATAGCCATCATCACAACGCACAAGACGTCGGATGAATGCCCGCGTCTTTTCCGTGGCGAGATTGACCAGAATACCGACCGTGTGTGGGCGTGCTCCTGAAATCGCTTCAATCACGCTGCTGTTGTTTTGAAGTAGACGGACCACCATGTCAGTTGCACCAACGCCACACGTCAAATGGCGCATAAACAGTTCGATTCCCGCATCCCCTGCAACTTGGATGATGTGGTGTTGGTTCCGAGCGAGTTGTTGATCTTCTTCGTAACTGCCGATCAAAAATATGCGCAACACATTGTAGCAAAGTGCAAGAATCTCCTTCAAACGTTCTTCACTGCCATCGTGCAAACTGACAATAGATACTGCATCTTCTTTTGCACCTTCTTGTTTGACTGTCGTATCATAACCCAATGAGGATCGCACTTCATACCGTTTGGCAAGATCGAACGGTATTTGAATCATATTGATTACTGTTTCGATTAAACCGATATCACGTAGCAATGCTTGGTGATCTGTAGCAATACAAAAAAAAAAGTCAGCAAGCATGATGATGAGCACGATAAATCATGTAAAACCCTTACATTCGTCCGGCAGTCCAACACGAAGCGACGGATCCGTTTCTTTGCTGTTCGTACAAAATCTGACAAGAGCATTCTGCAAATATTCTTTAGTGGAATGGCTGATGGTAGCACCTTTCACACCATTTAAACAGTCGCACGTACCAAAATGTTGCTCATCACTTTATATTCCTCTGTAGATATTGGAAAACGGCTTCCACTCTCCAAGACAAACGACCTATCCTTACACAAGAACCACTGCAACTGGGGCAAGAACTCGTTGACCACATTGAAAGTATCCGTCAGTCGGTTGCTGACGAGAGTAATGGAAAAGCAGTCGTGGTAATAAAAGTCTTGCGAAGCAGTAACTTGATATGTGGGAGTGGCAAGTCGGCTCTGTTGTAATTGGTCTGAAAGATTCGGATCGGTGGTGTAGTATCGGTCGGGCACTGATGCTGCTGGGTTATGTGAAGCTTCTGTTGGGTCAGCAGGCAAATCACTGCCTCCGGTACCTCGTTCTAGTGGATCTGGGGCTAATGTAAATGCCATTGGCACTGGTGATGTTGATGATCGAAGCTCTTCGTCTGCTGCAGCATGCATCCAACATTTGGTAAGCACATGTTGTATACGGACAAATGAGCCAAAGGGTACGCCCGAGCGTTGCGAATCTGTTGAGACGGGCAAGAACTTGAACAAGGTAGCATCGTTGTTGGCATCCACGCGCTTTGGATTTTTTACCAGACCAAATGAAAACGTGACCTTGTGCGTGTTCATATCAATGCTGACGTTGTTGGAGTCAATGTAGAGGTATGCGCGCGATGCTGCATGCCGAATGCGAATTGATCGCTTCCACTGCACCTTAGAACCATCCGAAGGATCGGCGTTCTCAATCTATGCATACATTGTTGGTTAAATTTAAGTAAACGGTCTGTGCGTGTAACTTAATATGGAAAAATTTACCTCCCAAAACGCCAATGGTGAATCCGTTTCCTTGGGATCAAGTGGATTGATAATATGCTTTGTCAATCGCACACCATTTTTGTCCCTAATTCGCTTAAGTGTTACTAGTCTGCTACCCAGTTTGTTCAAGTCTTTCTTCTTCCTATAATGCAACCAAATTATCATTTACCGTCGTAGTACAGATGACTCCAAGTAACCCTCCATTTCCTTATGGTAGAAGCGGATATATTGACCAGCATTGATGCACTTTGTATTACTTGTATCTGTTAAGCTTTGGGACGAGCGATGACACCTCAGGGTCCATGACGATATTTGGCTATGCGTAAACACTTCATAGTAATCAGCGCTAAACACACCCGAGTGCAGCGCCTTGGTGCCGACATTTAAGAATCCTTCTGGCCGCAGACACTTTATTGCCACAGTGTCACCCAGGCGCACAGGTTCGCCGTCGACACGAATACGGTAGCGGGGCACAATACGAAAGTAGCCGACCACATCCTTAGACAAGTTAACCTGCAGATGCGAAACGTCCGATTTGCAAGTCTGGCCCGTCACCGTCAGGTATTTTTTAAAGTGTGCATTGTATAGCTGGATCACTTCGCCATAAAGGACCGGTGTACCATGCAGTCTCCGCTTTTCGGTTTCGTTCTGCGCCCGCTCCTTGGTCACTTTGGCCTCCAAAACACTGAGCTCAATCAGCTCATCTGGTGAGCCCTCATAGTATAGAGCATCTCGCTCCTCCTCATCTCCAATAAACTGTTCGAGTGCTCGTTGCTCAGAATACGATTGCTGTGGTTCGACTCGAAAGATGCGCGTGCCAATGGACTCTGCTTTGAGAGTGGGATCGAGACCAGACACTCGTCTTGCACAGGCGCGGGTTTCCAAAGGATCTTCGGCGATCAGTTCATTGCCTTCTTCATCATATAAACAAATCTCATCCCCAATGCAGAGGAGGAGATCGCTGTTCTTGGACATGTAAGATTCTTAAAACAGAGGCATATGTGGAACTCGAGTTGGCTCCCAAGCTCAGCTTGTTCGGTGTGACCGGAGCTGTTGTTCCGTCGCCGTTTTGCCTACATATAACTTCGACAAGGGGTTTGAAGTTCGAAGTAAAAAGGTTATAAACGTGCATCGATAAAAGTGAGATAAACTCCTCCTGCCGACAGCTTGTTGGTAACTTGGTTACATCAAGACAGTTGTTTTAACCTTTTTCTACCTTTTTGTTTGTTATTTTTTCGAATTTGGGGTAGCGAGTCATGCACATCTGTTTGGATGCGCGTTTTTCGGGGAAATGATTCTCCTTCTGTGTTCGAATATTGAGTATAGTAAAAGAGAGACTTGGAAAATGAAAAAGAAGATATCAGGATATCGTTGTGGCCTTCGAAGACACCTGTACTAAATTTAAAAGAAATGCTGCACCTTAAAGCTGATGGCGATCTTTTTTCGTATGTAGTACATTATGAACGAGTCACAGAACTTTCCAGCTTGTTGGTACTTATATCTGCTCCTAGTAAAATTTGTTAGCATTAATAAAAGTAAAGTTCTTCGCTTATCAGAGAAGAAGTTTTTTATCAGTTACAACTAGTACGTTTTTGGAGATAGATCGTCTGTCAAATTTACAAAGATACCATTGATGATATACATTCTCTAGCTTCATTGCACTATGTTTGAACAATAAGCGTTTCATAAAATTGTGCTTAAAAGTTTACCAGCTCTGACTTGGTATAGCCCCTGCACTCGATAAATCTGACTTGCTTCAAGTGTGGAAGCGAAAGCGAGTTCTGTGGCATCCTTGTATTAATACGCATGGCTGTCAGCTCAATTCTTGTCAAGATGCCGGAACCAGTTGTGAAAGTGTGTGTTACATGTTTTGTGGTGCTGTTTTGTAACGGGTCGATTAGGCGAAAATACGCATCTGGCCGTCAATTCCCGCAGCGCTGGGTACTCGAAAGTTGTCATCAAGTTGGGTTTAATGCACCACACTGTGTCAAGATCAACGCTGGTCAAAGTTTTATGACAAAGAACCAAAATTGTCTGAGAATACTCTTTCACATGCTCATCAAGGCCAGTAATTTGAAACCTCCTAATAATGACATGAGAGTTCTATGTTGCGGTTGCCCTTAATATTCTCAACTGTTGCTGAATATACTCTTGACAAAAATATTTGTCACAATAGCATTTATGATAGCTCATTAATCAAAGTTGAATGGTAACCTTTGAATTAGTTGATCGATTATAGTCCTGGATAGTCGGCGAACAATCTTTTGTATAATTGTTGAAGTAGCGTATGTGAAGATAACCGTCGAATGTGATATTTCGAATGTTTGGGATGCAGTTGAGTATCCGTAGTTTCGAAGTAGTTACGACAGCATCAGATTTGAGATAAAAATGATTTAATTTCTTATGTCGAAAAACTTTCAGTTGGACCCTGTTCGTATATGATTGTCTTAATCGCGCGGATGTCGCGGCCACTAACGATACTGTACTTGATGTGCGTTACTGTCGCGACAGGCAAGTGCTATCATTGTTGAGAAAGAAAGATGCTTCAAATTCAGAAAGTTGACCAGGTTATAGTTGACAGCATGACCAATGGTAATTATAAGTGGATCTAGTGCAGTGACTAGCTTGAGATGGGTGAGAATGCGTGAAGCCTTTTTGATCAGATTTTTGAGCCATGAATGATCGTCTGATATACAAAACAGTTCGATGTCGGCTATTCTTGTATGGGACTAATGTCAGTACAAAAACTGTTGATGCATTTAATGCTAGCTCTAACCTTCTTCAATAGACCACATCCCGTGTTTCTAAGTAGTCGCATCTGCTCGATTCTGCAACGAGAGTTGACGATTCGTGGTCAGACCGAGATACTTTACGCTGGATGCATCAATGTACGGCTGATGTGTTGGTAGCATCTTGCTCAGCTCATAACGATAGCCTTCATTAGATAGTGCGCGCACTAGCTGAGGGTATTCCAGGACCAGCGAATACATCCTACGACTAACTCTGGAAAAGACGATACATTGGGAAAATGCTAAGTGTGAAATAACTAATTGCAGAAGCTCCCATGATAAGGACCCAAGTCGAGATACATGAAGGAGGTCGTTGGAATCATCGTTCTCCGTGATGCCTCCGGGCGTGCCATCGTCGTTGTTTCTAATGCTATGGTTTAATCCTCAGGTAGCTCTTCTCCTGTTTTGGTTAACATGGTGCTAATAGTGATATAGATTTAAACAAAGGACAAAGCAGAGCGAGATACTGTAGAGCAATGATATTTATATACTATTCTGTCTCTTCTATTGCTGTCAGGTATTGATTGTCATGGTTATGAGATGAAATAATAGCGAAGTATATATGTTATCAATTCTGCGAAAGCAATTTGGAACGACTGCGACAAAATCATATCATAAATAAACACAAATCGATTGAGTATGCACGACGTATGCACCCTCTCTACAAACTAAGTGATGCGCGATACTTAAGTCGGATAGACACTGGTTATAACATCATTGATATGAACGATGTCATATCGTTTGTCACACTTCCAACGATTATTGAGCGTTTGACTATCGATCGCAACAAAGTATTAAACATCCGAACACTTTAATTGGCCAAAGTGGTACTGGACGATTTGAATTAATCCAAGTCGTCAAGCACGACTGGTATTGAAAGTGGAGTCCATTTTTCACGATTGAAAGTGAGTGAAGTGAGAGGACACAAAAACCTGACGATGGGGTCAATACGTAATCAGTAACAACTGTCCACATCTCTTACATGAGGTTACAAAGGACGAATACTTTAAAACAGCGTATCATTGCATATATGACAAGAACAATATAATTAGTTCTACTGATGGGCTTCCTCTTGCTTTTTATGCACAAATCGCATCAGTTCCGCGTTACGAAGAACTGCCAAACCTTCTGTATACCGAATTTAATATATTCTTTTATTACGAGTGTTTATCGGGTTATACAGTAGCCTGTGGTCAAAGCGGAGCAGCCATATTATATGCCTAATACTTGGAAAACAAGCACTCCTGATCTTGCACCCAAATTGAGATAAAGAAGCTGCTGGAAATGAATCGCTCTTATACTATAGTGCAGAGACTTCCCACGGGGCTCGATTCTTCAATGGGTCCCCAACAGACTGTTGCTAGTCCTGGGTCAAAAGCAACAATGTCGTCTTGTGTGCATACGTCCATAAACATTAACATTTACAGAAAATCGAGTTTTAAAACAGTGTCTTATACTTTCTACCAAATTTTTTACGTTATAACATCCTAATGTGAGCACATCAGAGACAGGTGAGTAATTCGTGTAACATCAAGATTACACAGAGTTTTTTTTTCCGCTGATAGGTATCGAAGTGTCAGTTAAGAAGACTTAAATACTTGCTGCGCGACAGTCAAAGTAGTATAATCCAAGAGGTGTATTTACAGTATTACACATCACTCCTCCCTTATAACAGCGACAGAAAAAGAGGCAAAGTTTACCCGTCGCTAATACGCCTGGTGCAAAACATGCTGGTATATTTGTTGATTGAATTTTACTTATCTCCTTCTCCGAGCCTATCGGAATCAGCTGCCTTTGTTCCTATCTCCCATCATCGATGTCAGCAGGACTTTATTTTTTTTGCGCATCTCTTCCTCTTGCTCTTGCAAGTTTAATTTGTTTGAGTTGCCGTTGTTTTGCTGGTTTCTAACTATTTGGAAATAAACAATAACTATGGACTCTGAAAAGCCGTTGCCAGTCCGACAGCTTTTCCTCATCTGTGCAGTGCGATTTGCAGTAAGTGTACAATTCGTACTTTACGATTTCGAGATCTACAAAGATCGCAGGAAGCCCCGTTGTGGTATAGACGCATATATGCATAGAGTTCTCGTCTCTAACAATATTGCTTATAGGAACCTATCAGCTTTAGCATTCATGTTCCATTTATCTACTTTGTAAGTGTGTCCCCACCTTATTTGACTGTTACACACATGTCTAACAATGATGGATACGCTAGATGGTTCGTGATTTCCATGTTGGGAAGGACACGGATATTGGATATTATGTAAGCTTAATCACGTCAGCATTCGCTATCTCGCAACTTGCATCAGGTATGGATGAACGGAAAACGGAGATCGTATACGATGTAGTTTTCCTAGAGAAAAGATAAAAAGAAAATGTTGCACTGAAGCAATGCAAATGTAACTATTAGCGATGCCGATCGGAATGATCTCGGATAGAATTGGAAGACGCCCAGTCGTCCTGCTCGGTTTAGCTGTTGGTATCATTAGTAGTATATCATTTGGATTATCAAAGACGTACGCATGGGCCCTGTGCACCAAAATTTTGTCTGGATTGTTGGTACGTGCTATTGGGACCTGTAGGGATACGTTATAAGATGAATGGATAGTTTAACTGATCGAAATCAAACAGGACAACAATATTGCGGTGTTGAAGAGCATGGTATCAGAATTGAGCATGGGATATTCGGAAACACAGAGAGCACGTGCCTTTTCGATGCTCCAGGTCGTCTTTGGCCTTGGCGGTATTGTGGGTGCTAGTCTTGGAGGTAGAAAAAGACCAGTCATCAAGCTCGATGAGCTTAGTGTGAAATCATAGTATGCAGCATATTCACAACTAGGCATATATTACTTAGGCTATTTATCGGAACCAGTGCGAAAATACCCGGCCGTTTTTGGACGTGGAGGTCCTATCACAGACTTTCTAACCGAGTTCCCATACTTTCTACCATGCTTTGTTGCATCATGTATCGCGACTGTTGGTTGGATTGCCGGCTTTTTGCTTTTGGAGGAAACGCTGATTCGAAAGAAGGAATCCCTGATATCGCAGCAGGAAGACGAAGAGGGAGGCGAAGAAGAAAGACTTTTAACTGAGGAAGCAGAAAGTGGTTATCAAACATTTGGCGCAAACAATGACCAGTCTAATTTGGATCCGAAGCCATCATCGGCATCTTTCCGTGACGCGTTGACACCCGCAGTTATAGCAGTTTGTGTAACATACGGGTTAGCAGCCTACCAGAACGTCTTTTACGATGGTAATTCTTCGCACTCATAATGCGGAACTAAAATGTGGTTAAATATGTATAAATTTATGCTCATCACGCTTCTCTTTCCACCATTTTTCCCATCCTATTTAGAGCTCTTCCCGACCTGGTCCGCAACGGATCGTGATACTGGTGGTCTTGGACTGAATTCAAACGAAATCGGCACAGCGTTATCCTTTGCTGGCATGGTCACGCTGTTCGTGCAATTTTTCATGTATCACCGTCTGACCGGATGGTTGGGCACTGTCCGTTTGTTCCGCGCATCGTTGCTGCTCAGTATTTTTGTATTTGGGTTGCAGGGTTGCGTGCGATACTTGCACAGTGGTGATGATGACGGCAAATGGTTGCTCTTTGCCGGCTTGTTGCTGAGCATTGGACTCAAAACATTATGTCAAACGGTGGCAATGACAGGATCCATCATCCTTGTCAACAATGCGGCGCCTCGCATGGATGCTTTGGGAGCTATCAACGCTTTCTCACAATGTATGTATTTTCAGGGGAACTTGAAGGGAAATTTTTCGAAGTCTAAGTTATTTTTTTAAGGTTGCTCGAGTGCTATGCGCGCGCTGGGACCTGCATCATCTGGTTACATCTATTCCTCGTAAGTAATATGGATATATGATTGATCTGGAATTTCGAAGCGCTGAACATGGTTATATAGGACAATCGCGGCGGTCTGGCTCCCATTTGTTATCCGCGCCCATCTCAGCTGGATCCTTTTAGGTTGTGTCGCAGCAGTTACATTTGTCGTCAGCATGCAACTCAACCCAGCAAAGTATCTTTCCAGAAGAAAAGAGTAGATATCGTATTGCTTTTTTATTCATGTATGAAAATAATTTATACCACGTCCGTCATGGCAATATATCCAGTAATAAAGAAGCAAACATATGCAAAATGGACAATAGATAGGAAAGGCTGTCACGATGTCGAGGAAAGTACAGAGCCTAAACTACTTCTGCGCAGCTTGCGACTGCTGTGGTGCTTGGGGCTGTACATAATAGGACGGATAGTAGAACACCAACTGAGGAAGACCATAAAACACGCTTGTTGCCCGAGCTGGCGGTGGGGGAGGAACTGGGGTAGCCGGTGGAGTAGCTGGCGGCTACAATACAGCAAGTGTTAGAAACTCATACCGAGGAAATGATAAAGATTAACTTATTCATAATTACCTGGGTCTGATCTCGGAAAGTTTTGAAGCCAAATGGATCAAGAGCAAGATGATGGGGCATTTTGGATGAATTTTTAGTTTTTTGAATAGAAGCAAAGAGCTAGGACCGTGATTGAACGCCTCTTTATATACTTTTTTACAGACCTGCTGCGGTAGGCTTCTTATATCACATGCCAAATCAAAAAGTATAGAGAGTATAGATGTGGGCTTTTGGAAACCAATAGCCACCAGGAAGAATAATCATTAGGAAAAATGTGTAATCATTAAGCGCCACCATCGGTGTCATGCGCAGTACGTTAAAAGAAATGTAAATTGCTGTGCCGCCCACCTTCTTTTGAGTGGCACTAATTTGTGAATGATTGACAAGAAGCGCCACTTTGATAGAAAAGACCTTGTGATCAATATATTGGATTTTTCCTAATAGATGGCGCTTAATTTCTTTTGACCTTGTCACCCAGATATCTGAAAAGCTCCGTCCTTAGTTCTAGTGCACTAGGACAGTGCACGGTTTAGAGGGCGTGTGCATGCGGTGATGAAAAGCGTCGCTTTTTTCAACTAGCAATAGTACGAATCATTGTCACAGCAAGAAAGCAACCTGGCGTGCCGCACCTTTCTTCAACGGTTTGTTGCGTGTACGAAAGGTCCACTTCTGCTAGCTCTGGGTACATGCCTTGTGCTCCACCGGATTGATGGAGATGCCATGCATTTCAACCTGCTTGGTTTCGCGAAGGCTTTCTTGTGGTAGAGAACCTGGCATGCCGCACCCTTCTTCAACCGATTGTCGCGTGTACGAAAGGTCCACTTCTGCTAGCTCTGGGTACATGCTTTGTGCTCCCCCGGATTGATGGAGATGCCATGCAGTTCAACTTGCTTGGCTCCCGCGAAGCTCTACTAGTGGCATTATTTAACGCAAGTGTGCGGCTACTTCCATGCACAAAAAAAGGTCAGTAGTATAAGTTGCCACCGAAATTGTACTGGTGAAAGACTGTGTAGTGTTTTTCTCATCGCATCTGAAGTAACACCCTTGTCCTTACCAAAAATCATGAGGCAACATGGACCATCGTCGTACTGCTTAGGTATCAAGAAGCTGACGTAAAGTATAATTATTATTATATTGCTAGCCGAAATGTGTCGCTTTGTTTCCATCCTGAACCTCCAGTAGAAGAAGCTACCCCCGAAAAAATTGTGAAACACCTGGGTACCAATAGATAAGCATATTATTCTTTGGTTGAAGTAGCGAAGTAGCGTCCTCATCCTTTCTATATTCTTTTTGTTTGTAGTTTAGGCTCGAATATATAATTGCAGTAAAGCAGTCGATTCCGCACATGTTCATACCTGCGACCCTTGACAATCTTGTAATTTTTTAAACAATCATTGGACTTCAAACCCACCGGTGTCGTAGCCTAAAATGATGCCCACTATCACTGTCCTTTTCTTGGTATTACTTGGCATACAACAAGTTATAACTATGAGTCAACTATCGATTGCCTTTCTTGTATAATTGTAACATACTCCATTTCGTTACATGGCGCTTGGGTTGCGCTATCGATCCATGCTTTTTGTTATAATTACATGTCACTCACATCACACATATCATCATTATTATCATCTATGCAGTTGTTAGAAAACATATAAATATCCTTCCATCATTGAACAATAAAACTGTCTTTCAAGCTATATTCTATTCTTCTATCTTTTTGTTCTATTATATTTTTCTATTGGCCATGGTATGTATCCACCAAAAATATTAGGACATCAGTCACCCGCAAGACCGAAAAGAGACTTGAGCCCAGACATCTTTTTCACACCGGTGAAGAAGCAACGTTTTAGGAAGGTTTTCGAGGATGATAATATTGATACTGATAAAGCCGCTTAATAGTTGAAGCCTATATTATATCTGACTACAATCATGCATATGAGTCCCACCGTTTCATCTAACCAACTTAGTTCAATATCTATAGCCTATTTCTTTGCATCCTGAGCATCAAAAATAGCTGGTACATTCTACTCACCGATAATGATCGGATCTGCGGTACAAACTGTACAGTGCAGAAATTCCATTGACTCATTGAGAAATATATAACAGTCAGTGGATAAATCATTCATTATCGTTTTTCTCAGAATACCTCTTAGAAGAACAGAAGCTGCAGCTTTTTTTTACCACGATCAATCAAGTTACTGATTTGATTTACTTCTCGCTCCAGTGTTTTACTAGTGGGGGGGGGTGCAAAGTGATGTGCGGGTCGTGCCAAAGTGAAACTAATGAGACGCCATGGATAAACTGCGGTCAGCGTCAAGCTGAAATGGCAAATCGCGCCAAGAAATCAAGCGCCATCTATTAGGAAAAATCCATTATTATTGTTGTTGACGTGACGCATGGTTAGACACCATGTGCTTACATCATGACTATTTGCCAACCATGAAGACTCAGCTTATTGAATCGTTTATGTATTAATGAATATGACAACCTCATTGTAGTTGGCTGCCGGTAATCTATATTTGGCACTAGCATTGCTTTTTTGAACCTTGGTGCTTCAATTAAACTTTTCTACAGTATGTATTCCATCACTTCGCTTCCGATTTCTTTGTTTTAGTGGTACACCGCATGATGGAAGCGGAGCGCAACAAACATATTACATAACTCGTGACATGGCAGGTGTCTCGTCGTCTTCCAAAACTTTTACAGTATCTTAGCATTTGTCAAGAAGCCTTCATTTGCCAAACTAAGCTTAACAGCGAAATGATGCTTTTTTTTGGCACGTTTGGTTGGAATATACATCAGGTTATGTGTATGGGCCTACCTTCGACAATTGACGCACAGCTAATTTGGTCAGTCCATTATGTAAGCCATGAAAACATACATGAACCGTCCAGATCTTAGCGATCAGCGAGAATACATATATGCGTAACCACAATATAAACCGTCAGATAGAAAGACATTTAAATTAGGAAAGCTATAGACGAAATAAGGCAGACAATGTGAGCAGCACATGAGGAAAGACACATGGAATTGTTCTGCCACGAGAAAAACAAAGAATCGGAACCTTTTTTTCCCTCAAAACGACAACTACGGTATTGAAAAGAACTGCTGCAAGCTGATACATAGCGTGTTGGTAAACGGCATCACCGCGCAGAACTAGCTTACGCAAACGGAAAGAGAGCTAAAAAGACAAAAAGAAAATCTACCTTCTCCACCAAAAAAATTATGCGAACGACTAATATCTAGCAACAGTTTTAATTGTCACGACAAACGCATATAAAACTTTTGACAACACCATGAAGGCAAAAGCAGTGTATTGGCCTTTTGATCCGGTTTGTTTTCAGCAATCAGCCATCATATAAAAAAGACTCCATTTTTGCATATTACAAAAAGTTCGTTCCTGTGTGTGTAGTGTTTGATATGCCTTCTTTATATGTTGATTATCGCTGATAATACATTTTAGCCTGTATGCATTTCTTCTCTACTAGATCTTGCTTTCATGTCGAAGGGGCAACTGCTCCTTGATGAAGCTGGCGATATCCTCAATTTCTGGTAATGCGGCAGCATGGCCGAGTCCTGGATACAACTTAAACGTTGCCTGGAACCCGATTTTGTTGAGGTACTTTGCGGTTGCTTGACCGTAGCGCGGCTTTACTACCACATCCTCGTCGCCGTGGCATAACAAAAATGGAGTTTTCTTGTTTGTCTCGGTGCCAATCTAATAAACAGAGAGATTGTGTTAGAGGTCTCCTGGATGAAATGAACAGTAACCTGCCGCATTACATTTTCTATTCCTTCAATCACGCCCAGCCATCCACTACAGCCAATGACACCAGCGAGTTTGTGATGCGTCGAATATCCTGTGAGCAAAGCAATCGCACAACCTGGTAGTATGAAAACAAACATTAGTTTATTCTATAAACAACGCATGGCTGTTCCTAGTGTAGGTTCTTTTTCTGTTTTACCCTGGGAGAAGCCGCCTAGAATAATCCGATCCGAAGGGGTGCCGCTGTCAATTTCCGCTTGAATAAGCTCGTTCACTACGTGTTCGCACATAATTTTCAAAGGTCATGTGTTTTAATATTATTACTACATTCATGCAGGAACAGCAAAAAAATAAAATACCTAAATTTGAAGATTCGACCATGCCCTTTGAATCTGTCTTTTTCAAGTTGGCTGACTTGTCAAATCCAGGTACATCAAACCAGGCAGGCATAAGTGCTCCAGCATTGGCTTCAACTTTTCGTACTGGTCTGTTTTTTATTACAACAGACAGAAAAATAAATTGTTTTAAGAGAAGCGCAAATTAACACACGCACACAGAGAGAGAGGGAGAGAGGGATATGTGCGTTAAATCGTGTTAGATGTCGAGCTTCAATCGACATCTTCCTACTTACGCAGTGGGGAGAATCCACTTGATATGAGGAAAGAGAGGCGCTAATTCCTCAACGAGAAATAACCAACCCGCACCGGAATCACCCAACCCATGCAACCAGCAGACAGTGCCAGTATGTTTCTCTGAGGGCTCGATTATAATCGTTTTCAAAAAAGAAGCCATGCTGAGCGATTGGAGGGGATTGCTGAGAAAGAAGAAAAGGATTTGTAATGGGACACCCACGGAATCACTTTCTCACTATTGTTGGTCCTGGCAGAGAGCATGTGACACAGACTGAACAAGAAAAAAGGTATGTAGTAAGGCTTTCAAAATCGAATGGGGTAACAAAGATATGCGGTAGTACACATGCCCCCCTTTAGGACGCATCGTCATGCGTATCAACATTGTTGGTTTTTTTCTCATTTCATTCGCTGACAGTAATAGTAGATCGCTTAAACTTAACGATGGTTACGTCCAATATAAAGTACTCGTACCGCTAGTATCAAGATAAAATGTTTGCACTGATATAGAACGAGTACGTATGATTTAATAATTATATTGCGGGATGGAAACTTTATATTACAAATTTCAATGTTCTTTTATTTATAGGTTTCTGTAAATGATTTGAGGCCTACTCCAGGCGTAGCAACGCTGCATATCGTTTTCATAAAGTGAATAGATCTATTCCTGCTTATTGCGCTTGCTTCGTATAACTCTACATTTGTTAAGATGCTCATCAATCACACAACTTGTACTGTTAGCACAATATCGGCATCGTAAACAGTATATTGTTCTTTGCAGCTGTGTTTTTACACATCGATGATGAAGGCCAGACGACTGTAAGCTACTGTAATGTTTGAAATCTGAACCATGTGTAAATTGTGTTTAACAAATCTGGTCTGAATATTTACTAGCACTTGATGCTGGCGGTACTGATGGCAGGAACTATATGTACTTATATGTGTCATGTGCGTTTCTTCTCTTAGCAATAGTTATATATAGGTATAGACTACATACGGAGGGGCTGCTCTTACCATACGTAAATATAAGTAAAGAATAAACTCTTTCCTTTGATAAACAATTGCTGCCATTGATTACAACACATCCAATCAGACAAGTTTCTCGTTAAGTCGCGAAGCTTTATCAAGATACTTGTCGCAAATAACTGACACCGTCTGACTCCTGTTTGCGCCCTTGTTACAGTAGCTGCGTAGATAGAATGTAATGGTCAGATGCTCAAGTTGGCAATGCTTACGATATTTGACATACAACAGACATAGTAAATGTGAGCATGCATGATTTCTCCGTACATGTAGAAAACCCCCCTTTTAATAACGCTTTGCCGGAAATATATATGCGGCCTGCATCAAAATTGACAACATTTGTTCTAGTTATTTTGATTCCTTCCACAAGCTATTGCTAAACATCGTCATAGAAGCACACTACTTTTCTAACGATACATTAGAGCATAGCTTATTGGTATCAGTCCAAGTACCGCCCATTAAGTCCAGCAAATGATAAGTGTGTTCGCTTTGCAATGTAGTATTATTTATATATTTGATTTTTGATGATATTACAAATCCAATATGTATAAGGTATCAGTTTTACTTTTTACATGATAGTGCACTTGCTCTTGGGGGCTTCTTCGGCGGGTTGCTGTTGTGGCTGTTCTGCTTGCTGTTGTGTCTCAGGTGCAACTGCTTTTTCTTGAGCTGGTGCCTCCTGTGCTGGTGCTTGTGGGTTTACTTCACTAGCAGCAAGTGGGACAGGCATGGCTGGTTCAGGTCGTTGAACAGATTGCTGTGCTGCTGCTTCATCAGCTGCTTTTTGTTGTGCGGCTTGTGCTTCTGATGCTTTTCGTGCTGCTTCTTCTTCAGCAGCCTTTCGTGCTGCTTCTTCCTCGGCAGCCTTTCGTGCGGTATCTTCCTCAGCGGCCTTACGTGCAGCTTCCTCCTCAGCAGCCTTGCGAGCGGCCTCTTCCTCAGCGGCCTTACGTGCAGCTTCTTCCTCAGCGGCCTTACGAGCAGCTTCTTCCTCAGCGGCCTTACGTGCAGCTTCCTCCTCAGCAGCCTTGCGAGCGGCCTCTTCCTCAGCAGCCTTACGTGCAGCTTCCTCCTCAGCAGCCTTGCGAGCGGCCTCTTCCTCAGCGGCCTTACGTGCAGCTTCCTCCTCAGCAGCCTTACGTGCAGCTTCCTCCTCAGCAGTCTTGCGAGCGGCCTCTTCCTCAGCAGCCTTGCGAGCAGCCTCTTCCTCAGCGGCCTTACGTGCAGCTTCCTCCTCAGCAGCCTTGCGAGCGGCCTCTTCCTCAGCGGCCTTGCGAGCGGCCTCTTCCTCAGCGGCCTTACGTGCAGCTTCCTCCTCAGCGGCCTGGCGAGCGGCTTCTTCTTCAGCAGCCTTACGAGCAGCCTCTTCCTCGGCGGCCTTACGTGCAGCTTCCTCCTCAGCAGCCTGGCGAGCGGCCTCTTCCTCAGCAGTCTTGCGAACGGCTTCTTCCTCAGCGGCCTTACGTGCAGCTTCCTCCTCGGCAGCCTTGCGAGCGGCTTCTTCTTCAGCAAGTCGTTGTTCTTCTGCCAATTTCTCCTCTTCACGACGCTTCTCTTCAGCCAAACGCTCTTCTTCCAAGCGCTTTTCTTCGGCAATTCGTTGTTCCTCAGCGAGACGCTCCTCCTCTAAACGCTTCTCTTCAGCCAATCGCTGCTGCTCCTCCTCCTCCTCCTCGGCGGCCTTGCGTGCGGCTTCTTCTTCTTCTTCGGCGATTCTCTTGGCTTCGGCGTCAGCTTCGGCGTCAGCTTCAGCCTTGGCCTTGACGACGGTATCGACAATAGCATGAATATCAATGACAGCGGAACCGACGGCGGTCGTGATGGCAGCGTCAACGGCTTCGGTCTTTTCGAACTGCGGCGGTTCTACCTCAACCTTCTTCTGTTCCTCAGCAGCAGGCTTGGGTTCTTCTTCTTGTTGCTCGGGCTGCTGGGGTTGTTCGGTTTCGACATTAGCCTCGCGCTCTTGCTTCAGCTTTTCCAAAAGTGCCGATGTGTCAATGGCGCCGGAACTAACGACGGTGTCGATAGCAGCCTGAATGGTAGGATCGACTGCTGCTGACACGTGAACGTCCTCAGCCACCGACGCGACAGCAGCAGCAGCAGCAGCAGGAGCATCCGCAGTCGCAGTTTCGGAAACGTCAACAAGAGGGTCCTGCTGCTGTTGCTCGGTCACGTTGACGGGAGTATCTTCTGACGACATGGTAGTAGGTGGAATGTGTTGTTGTTGTTTTTTGTTATCGGGAGGGCTTCTCGAGTAATATATGAGAATGCGAGAAAAGAAAGAAATGAATCAGAAAGAGACGGAAGACGAAAGAAAATCCAAAAAAAAATGCAATAAAAATAGCCGGAATGGGGTATCCCAGACCCGCCTATACTTGTTATGAGTAAACAAGAAGTCGGAGGCCCAAGTTCCCCTCTCGCTCTTTCTCTGATCGATTCTTGAGTTGATGTCATTGGGTCTGAGACACACACACTCAGCAGAAAAAGAAGGAGGGCGAGGGACCTGGACCCCCCAACAACAACAAAGACACAGCGAACAAGTCTTCTTCATTGTACACTTCTTGGACACCTTATCTTTTGTTGGTCATGTTGGGGCCTGGGAATTTATGGTCATTCCTCGGGATATTGACACCATCTGACTCGTTCTTGCATTTTCAGCATTATTTCTGATAGAATGCGGTCAGACGAGGATGTGTGTGGGTGGGAACGACGACGACGACGACGACGATATGATTGATCACTGATGCTCTTGCTATCATCTGCTGCCAAGTGCTGTTGCTGCCGCCAGTCCCTTCAGCACTGGCCCCCTGAATGTTTAATATATGCGACTTTGCAGAACAGGGACAAGGAAGGCTTGTCCCACGGTATCATCCCGACATTTTAATATTGCTCAATTCGGGCACATTGACCGCCGTTGTCAACGCCATAGTAATCTGCTAGTAACCCTGGAAACAGGCAGGGTACACATCTGGGAGAGTTCCCCTTCTCTTCTCTTTCCAACTTGTTTATCGCGAAAAACAAAAGGGAAAAGTAACCCGCTTGACGCGTCTGGCAGAAGGGCCCTAAAAATTAATACCCGGAGTGATGTGGACACGCAAAGTCAAGTCCCGCAGCGTCCTTGTTTCTATTTTTACTGCACATTAGCTTTCGTTATGGCGTCTGATCCGATCGCGTTTCATTCACTTGAGGATCCTCTCGAGAAAATCGTTGAGCCCGATACAAGCAGAAATGCTGCCGACATTCTGTGCCCTCTTGACAAGTGCAAATGTCTTGTCATCAAGAAAGGTGCTGCCGTGCTTGTTGAACGCGACGGAGCCAAGGTACATATATACATATATAACCCGTATACAAGAAGGCTCTCTATCCATGTTATCCGTTTTGAAACGAACTATAGCAAAACCAAAAACTAACAACAACATTGTCATTGGCATTTCTGTCTTTTTCTTTTTTTCTTGACTCTGCAATATAGCTAGAATTACCGGAATCCGTGCTCGGAAGCAACCTTTCCGAGCAACTGCAAGGTTCAGCAGAAACGCAGTTCTGGCGCCTGGGTAACATGATGGACTTTGAGAACGTTGGGTTTTCTAAAACCGTTGACGCTGTAAAGTATTTGTCGTGTGCCGATTGCGATGTTGGTCCCATTGGCTACCATGATACAAAGGAGTCCCCTAGCGAGTTTCTGATAAGCATTCGTCGGGCTCGCTATCGATTTTGATCTTCATTTGCTGGATTGAAAAAATGTATGTGTTGTAACAGGTAAACCAAAAAAATAATAATCGGGGATGGTAGTGTCATACGAGTTTTTTTTTCTTTTTTGGAACACACACGACTGATACCAGAATTGTGTAGCTTTATTCTTGTTATACCTTTTCGCGTTACCGTAATACGCGGACCTTGTAGAAAATAAGAGTTGTATGTATTAAAGGTTCCTTCTATCATGTTGGAGAGAAAAACAAATAAAACGATAAGCGTATGAGAATCTCGATTACTTGCGAAACATGATGATCGAGACACTACTGTTACTACTAAATTATATCATTCTTGTCGAACTTCCTGGGAGTACAAGTCACACGCGTGAGCAAAGTTGCGGCACTGTGCAGCAAAACATCGGTACTCTTCATAAAAAACGAGGCACCATGCGTAAAAAAAGGGTTCAAAACATCATCTAAAAATAGATTAAAGCAGGCCACTAAACAGTAGTGGAATTAAATCAAATCCTGCAACTGGCATTGTATAGATATTCTTCTGTAGCATGATGCGATCTCAAATCAAAGAGTATTATAATGGCAGGGTGCCATATCGTAGTTTTATGGTTTTGTCTATCTACCACTAGCCCCACACGACACTTTCATAACTCTCGGCCAAACAATAAACCTTCTAATATGTAAGACGATAACAGCCTACAAACAAAAAAAAAAGATGTTTGTTATACAGGCTGCACCAGCAGCGGCGTAGTACGCTCCATAATATAATATTTACTACTACTTACAGCGAGATCCATAACAGCAACAAAGTCATTTCGAAACACAAATGTACTACCATTGAAGGTACTGTATCTGCAAAAGTCACCGACATTGTCATCGTATTTATATGTTACAGTACTACTGACGACAGATGATTCTTAGCGCTAAACGGAAATAAAGAACTTTTCTTTAAGCGTAAGCAGCGTCGACTCTTATTTGCTGTTGATTACTCGCACATGGCGCTGGTTTGCGCATACTCGTGATCATTCAATTAAGCAATGCTACATATACAGAATATGCATTTACTTAAAGACACAAGTTTTAAACCGGCTTATCAGTTACACAGAATCGTTTTTGCGTCTTTGTTGTAGTAGTCGAGCCTTACATATTATCATGTTCATGTGTGCATGCATAATGTTGTTGCTTGCGTTCATTATTGTATGCTCAGAGCTCATAGTTATTTTTTATCAATATCATATCGTTATCATCTTCACCGTAGGAAACTGTGGAATGTCCAACAGAGTACTCAGTATATAGTCGTCAGTAGGTCTTTTTATAGCACTTTTGTACTCGCAAGTAGTCCTTTGATACAATGACGATTTAGCAAAAGTTAATCTTATAAGCTTAGTACGCGAACGTCGCGTAGATAGCATGCTCTTCTTTTTCTAATGAATGAGGGGCTAATATTCGAATTTGAAAATGTTCACCTCTGACAACATATAAGCAGTTACTGGTATATATACACAGTGGGATTCCCTTCTCTTCTCTTGGATCATCCCCTTTGCTTCTACTAGACTACCATAAAACCCCTTCTCAATCGAAATTGAAAAGATCAACTTGAAAAACACTGACGTACAACAAGCGTCATCATCAGCTACTACTATGATAAATCATAGAAGATTATCACAGCGAACTGCCGGCGGCATCACCCTCACCTACCATTACTTGAGATGCCGTAGCATGATTTTATTAGTACCCAATCTCAACGCCATGCCTATAGAGATTCTCCATAAGATATTTTCCCACCTCACCTTCCGAGACTGCATTCGCTGTACAGGCGTCAGCAAAAGAATTAGACAAATCATCCTAAAGTGGCCTCGACTAGTACATACTCTATCCAACGAACGCTGTAGACATAATCTAAGCCAAGTAATGATACCGTATTTGCAGCACGTGAATGGTCTGGGAGTTCATGCGATAGAACTGACTGCCGACCGTATCACAAGTGACCTGCCTCTGAGGGCAAATCAGGAGCTGATTCAGTTTATGGACATGCTAGAATATTGGCAGTGTTACGCTATCAAGCAAGGTATGCTGCCGTATTTATTTGATACTATACAACCGTTATAGATATGGGTTGCTAACTTTGATAGCTTTATCGTCGTCTTCATCATGCTGCAATATTCATCACCGGCTGTTTCTCATTATACCCAGCGACAATACGGCTATACTGCTTCTCAGAACAATGGCTCAACAAGTTAATTAACCTTGCGTCCATCTCTCTGACCTCTTTGGATTTGTGGACAGCGATTGATCAGCAACATATGGAGAGCGCCATAACCATGCTTCTAGCTTATTTTCGTAACCTGAACTATTTGCACTTTGCATCCAGCAAATTTTATGTTCAAGGAAGTGTAAGCTATCATCAACTAATAGCCGGCAATAGTGAAGCTTCTACTACTGCTACTACTACGTCGTCGTCGTCAAACGAAGTTGACTTACTGCAACACTGGCGCCAAGAAATGCAACTACAATCCTACGTATCGACACCAATACAGCATTTCAATCTTGGCACGTTCCAGCTCACCTGCGACAGTGCTTTTGTCAATGGCCAGACAGTAACTATTTTTCAGCGTATCCCGAACCTTCGACACTTGATGCTAAGCGACTACTTTCTTGAGCAAGACAGTATCCGAACCGTCTTCAGCCAACTTTTCCAGTACTGTCCTCACCTGGAGTCGATCATATACGTTAGCAGGGACAGCTCACGACCACCTTTTCTCAGTTACGATATTCACGGAAGCAGTGTAATAACAAGCACTTTTGTTGTACAAGTGGACATCAATGATACCTATGGTTGCACTACCAAAAATACTGGTGACAGCACAGCAACACATTCAGTAGCAGCAGCGAAAACAACTGCACGTGAATTGACGATAAGTGGATATGCCGATGACCAAAACGCGCACTGGTTCACTGGAGCTATGCTACGACTGTTCTACAATAACTTTACCAGCATTGATTGGGGGTATCCTTTCTGTAATAGCGAACATCAGACCAACTTTTGCAACATTGACTGCTTCGCGGCTTTGGAACGTCTCGTCGTAGAGTGTATCCATAGCGTAAACCAGAACCACCATGGACAGTTCCACCCTCAGCAGTTGTACGAACCGTATGACCATGGTTGCAGCACAAATTTGCGCTATTTCCTGTGCAAGTGTCCGAATTTGCGAGAAGTCAGGTTGACGACTATGACTTTGGACCGGGAGTCTATAGCAACTTTACAAAGCCTGCCAAAGCTGGAGTCCATCACGTTTGAAAATTGTAAATCGGTTTACGAGAATGATATACAAGGGATCATCCGCCGCGAAAAATGGAACTCTCATGTGAAAGTCAAGATTGTCAAAACTAATTGTTTTTGAGTTTTGAGTCATCATCAGCGTCAAAATGTATACAGTACCATAATCAACTTGTTTACGACCTACTCGCCATAAATTACATTATACATCGCCGTTAAACCCCTTTCTCCTCATCTGTAGCTCATCTATATAGAAAATAATAAATTGTATATGCTTTATAGATATACGATATGTATTCGATGTTTGTTGTAAATGATATTCCCTTTCCAGCTCATGGTGCGCGGCAATAACAGTGATTCGAAACAGACATGATCTTCACCGTTTCGGCAACCTCTTTTAGCAATTCATCACTGATATGTATGCAATGATGGAATCCAATCGTTTGAGCTTCATTCGACATAACCGAGACCGTTTGCGTTCCGACCTTTACCGCAATATGGCAGACGCTATGCATCTCAAAGACAATGATATGATTAATGTTGGACGGTGCGTTACTGTATTTTACCATCGTCTTTCATTGGCTCCCCTTGGTAATATACATCAGCTGCACCAAGACGCAATGTGCGTTGTTCGTTGTTTTGGAAAACCAGATAGATTCGTCACCTTTACTTGCTAGAATCCTCCACAAGATGGCTCTTACGTACAAATGGGGCTACAAGCACCAGTACTACAAGAAAACCAACGTAAATTTCCATAACAACAGCATCTTTTATGATTTATTATGAGACTGAAGCGTTATCCAGTACAGTATTAGACTTAAAATAACATGTAACACCTGTTTTTATAGCTGGACATCACGGACAGCAGCAGTGAGGAATAGAAGGAGGACCACGGCTCAAAGTAGATACCTGTTGGTAAACTAAAGTTACCATTCTACTACTGTTGGTCAATCCTCTACTGTATTTCCTTTATTTTTCCAATAGAAGTGACCGTGTTAGCCAAAGAAGACGCAACAACTAGTGTTCTCTCTCTTTCTCTTCTCTCTTTGCTCGTCTTCAATGCTACTATGTACAATATTATCATATATGGAAGTTTATTATATATTATGCTTTGCGATGATGATGGGACCTCGCTTTTTCGCTGTGTTAAATACGAAATATACATCCACGATAATACTGTTGACCAGGGCGGCGTTTTTTTTTTGCGTTGTTAAGCTTTAATTCACTGTATTTTCATCGGTTTGTGAGCCTTTAATGATATCTTTATACTCACCTCTACAAATGTAATTTTTCAAGCTTAATCAAAGGATGACATTAGAGATTATCCCAGTTTTGAATTCAAACCCTCATTTTCCCGCAATGATACAGTAGGTACAACTGTTGTCCGGAAATCAAGGAGGGAAAAACAAACTGGTACAGGAATGTACGTGAGATCTTTACGGTAGAAGTCCTATGTTTAAGAGAAAGTGAAAGAGCATATTATTCTGGATACTGCCAACTGTTTATGACTACTGTAAAGAGATGGTTATGTAAAGTTTGGCGTCCTGATCTCATGGAGACGACGGGCATCAATAGGTATATTTCAGCGTTAGTGGTGCCGCTCAATGATGCATTTATAGTCAAAGACATCGCCCAGCTTTCTATATCACATACACTTTTTCGACGTCAAAAGTTTCTACGAAACGTGAATAATCCATATCGTTGAAAGCACAATCAACAGCGCCTACTCGACATTGTCAATCAAAAGAAGGATCAAAGATCTAGCCATGTATCACTGCGAACGGCAACGCCAGCGACAGCGACAACGCTGTTGTTTACTGAAAAGCTTTGGGAGATTATGACACCGAACCTTTTCATCTTAGGAGTGATACTGTAGTGAAGCTCGCGACATAACTTCAAATTTATTGTTTACTCCTTCAACCCGCAAGGCTTGAGTAACTGCAATTAGAGACGGCGAGAGCTCTTCAAAGACGATCTCTACTGTTAAAGCAGGGTGATATATTGCATGGTTGAAAAGACGTCATTACCTGCCTATATGAGAAAGAGAAAAGGACCTTTTGTACAAAGTAGAAATGGCGATCATAGCAATAAATCGGCTGTGGCAAAAGCGATTGTACAAGTTGTGTGTGGCAACTCTAGCTCAAAGTTAAACACGTAATACTCGTTCTCAAAGACTTTTCATCAAGAGCTCTTATTTGACTTTGAAGCTGTTATATGTCGATTATGCGCCGAATCAGAACACTTCCCGGTGAGTATCTTGAAACTTGACTCCAAAGTCAAATGTACTGTAGCGACAGCAGCAACAACGACAACGCGGTGTATTGAAACAAGCACTGCAGTTTTAAATAAACTCGAAGATCGGCAGTAGAAAAGAAATTTAGATCTGTTCATGCAAAAAGGTTCAAAAAAACCTTCGTGTAAACGTGTATGTTATCCAAGCGATCGTAATGATAAACCGTTTTGCGTAAACACATTATCTATCTGCTACTTTATATATGTTATCGATTGTATTAATGGTCGCACATTAGAAAGGTGGTACCCGGCGGCTGCGGCCAATATCATTTTCAGGCCAAACAAAGGATTACGGCGAGTGCCGACTTAAACCGATCAAAACGCGCAAATCAGCATTTGTAAAGTCGAATTTTTCTATAATCTTATATATACTTTTTGCTAGTAAATCAAGGCAGCCTGCGCATCATCAGAGACGCTTTCGACCAACAACACGAGAATAGAAATGTCTATTTTGGTAACTTCAGTACGACCACACTGGGTTTTTTAGAAAGGCCAGAAGATACACAGATATTATAGCATACCATCTCATCTACATATTGTGCGTATAGTCCTAGGATACGCGATAAGAAGTATATTAGCCCAAAAGTAGAAAGAAAAAGGTGAGTGAGTCCTGCACATTTCACTGATTTGGCTGCTTATAATAATAATGGCATGCAATCATTGGATCATTCTAGGATCTGTTAGTACAAGCATCACATAGTTGTCATTGCATTCAAGGTATGATACATCTTATGAACAAAGACGACGACGATGCATGACATCATGTTCGACTTTTGGCGGAGATTTAGAGTAAATCAAAAATAGTTCGTCGGACGATCAAAATTCTTTAGCACTCGGGCAATGTCCACCACTTGGCACTTTGTTACACATATACGCATGTTGGCGAGAACATAGTGTGCTATGTAGAAGGAAAGAGGGAGCTATGATTACAGCATCGTGCTACAAAAGATGCGTGCAAGTGAGCATGTTATATGGCTCGAACAACAAAAGGTTGAAACTCGTCCCATATGAACATCAAAAATGGACCAGACTTGTGATCTTCTTATAGTAAACACCGGAAAGCCCTCAAAATTCAGCCCAATTTTTGGTGTTTGACGACCTCCTTTCAGAACGTCAGAAGTGTGGGGGAGAGTTTTCCCCACATTTACATTGTTCCTTCTTCAATACTTGAAATGTGTCCGTTTACAAGTTAAAATGTGTTTAATAGGCAGCAAAGATGTATTCCCCAAAGAGTTGACTGTTTTGAAAGAGTATGAGTGTGGGAGCTGCAAAAGGGAGTGTGTTTAGCATGGTACTATGTCAACAAAAACAATGAAGAGAGAGACAGTGGGGTGTGTTCTATTTACGGTAACAATGCGGCTAGTGTACACTCGATACCTGATCTTTTCTTCGTTCTTCTTCTTCGCTGCTTGTTCCTGACTGATGCGATCTACTTTAAGATGTAATTCACAGCATGGGGGATACAAATGCGCCTCAGTAGGTGGTTGCCATGAGAACCGCCAATACTCTAATGCTGGATGGCACACAGAAGCAAAGCAAAGGAGGGCAATAGTAGTACACGGCGAATTTTTTGATGATCCTCACGTGCAAAACCAGTTCTAGACGGGGGTTAACTGGGCCATGCCACAGCAAATCGGGCCTTTCTTTTCAAGACACACCCCAGCGTTGTACTGTACCGCAGGTTTTACACGTGAATTTGTTCCCAAATCTTTCCCTTTTCCCCCCTTCTTTTTTTTCGTTTTCCTTTTTTCTTTTTTCCCTCTCTTGTCCAACAACGCCTACTCTTTGGCCGTGCGTATCTCTTACTTTTTGAATCATGGCGCAACAGTCGCACCCTTCGCCAATGTCAATCACGCAAATATGCAACTCAACGAATGAAGCTGAAAGCGAACCACACTCTTTGCGGGCAAACGATTCTAGCGGCACCGATACCAAAAGCAATACCAACAACAACAACAACAACAACAAGAGCAGCAGCAACAGCGGTAGTAGCAGTAATAGCAGCAACAGCCACAGTGACAACATTAGCAGCAGCAGCAGCAACATTGACCACACCGATCCAGCCGTGAGATTAGCGGCAGAGGCATTGGGCGACATGGCGAACGGTACCGTATCTACATTACCATTATTTTATTCATGAAACAACAACGGCGTTTCAAAAGCTAATGCACGTGGTCCTTTTGTTTATGTAGCCAAGACAGTTCCCATCACACTCCCACCATTGTCGACATACCCATCGGCGCCTTCCACCTCGCCCAGCTCTCCGTTGCCAACACCCACGTCGTCCTCGCTGTCCAACTCACGGTTTTCATTCTCGAGCGACTCGTCGTCGATCACTAGCCAAGAGGACGAATACCATCTTGGCAAGCACCACCCCCACCATCATCATCACCACCACCACCACCACCCTCGAACACATCATCATCACCATCCTTCTCCTCACAACCCTCACGCTCAGCGACATTTTGTGCATCGTATGTCCGATCTTCCCATCGTCAATTCAGCTTTGCGTGCCTATGAAAATACAAAACAATCTAACGGTGTAGTCAAATATGGCGTAGAAATGGTCGAGTCGTTTGCGGCACCCATCTATGATAAGTTGGGTCGTCGTTCGTCGGAGTCGTCCGAGGTAATTATTTCTTGCGTTCAGGTTACCATGGCATTTTCCCATTTTCAGGGGTAAATAAAGATGCTAATTTTGTATTATTAAACATAGGTGGATGGTAGATATTCAGATCAAGAAGACGAGGCTGCGCTGGCAGCGGCCAGTGCCCTTGCGCGCGCTTCTTTGAACGAGAGCTACGAGCCTCTTCGTGAAGGCATTAGAAGACGTCGTGCTGATGATGCACGTGACGACACATTGCGTATGTGTTCCTATGTACATTTCAAAGTGCAACGAGACAAAATGAATGAAAAACAGCTGACCCCCCACATTCCCTTTGTCAATAGCTGGTAAGAAATCTCGATCTCGCTCCACCTCACGCTCCACCTCACCACACCGGCCATATACCGTAACACCCAAATCACCCACTGTGCGCCATGCAGCGCAACCCATCCCACGAAGCCGCTGGCAGCAGATCGTGATGCACGCAGGCTCAGCTGCTGGAACAACGGCTGCTGTGATCAGTGAAGAAAGCATGAAGTGTCTGCGTTACTGTCTATCGTGGCTGCAGGTAAAACGAGTCGTCTTACTAATTACCACCATTCGATCATCTTTTGCCTAACAAAGGTTTTGGATATAAATAGTATGCCACTCGACACATTGAGCAACAGATGGACATTGTACGCAACTTTTTAGTGTCATTAGCAGCTGGATCAGCTGCACAGAAAGGCAAATCCCGAGCCGTCGCAACCCCATCCACATCGACGCTCTCCGCCGTCAAAAGAGAAATTGTCGACACCTTGCGCAAGGTCGTCGACGTAGTCAGCAAGTATGCTGGTTCGGGCCTTCCCGAACAGGCCAAAAACGCAGTGCGTGTCTACATCTTGGAACTGCCCAAACGCTGGACGAATTTAAACACTTCTACCACAGCTTCCCCTGCAGCATCCCCAGCGCTTGGTCCACATGCTGCGCCCGCACATGTGCATGAGACGTCGATTAAGCTGCTTTCCTTTGGTGACGAGTCCATTGAAATGCTCAACTCGGTTTCCTCTGTCTTTTCCGATACCATCGACCGTGCTGAACTGTGGCTTCAGCGTTTACGTGTGGTGGGCGTTGCAGGCTCGCAGTCCTCGCGCCGTCATCAGCAGCAAAAACATTCACAGCCACAGCCACAACAACAGCAGGATCAGGCAATGGAAATGGCAGAGACAAAGGAGCGTTCCAAACAAATGGCCACAGCAGATGATATGGATACGAGTTAAAGTTCTCTTCTCCTTCTTTACATCTCTTGTATCCCCCGCGTAACCCCCTTTTCCACCACAACGTTCATCGCATATAATTCATTCCATCCATATAGTTTGATACCTTTTCTTTTTCTTTCTTTCTCTCATGACTCATGTACAGTGTTAAAAAAAATAACTTGCCATTCGCAGAATGAAATGATATGTTTCCAAACACTTTTGTTGAGCATCAGGCTGCAGAGTAACCATAGTAATTGATTAAAAGTAATTTGGCAGAGCGTCTCCAGTGCGCATGCGCACTAATAAGAGCCAACGCATGTCGAACCAGCAAGAACTGCCCCGTCTGCCATTCGCCCATTCCAAAGCAACAGCGGTGTGGCAAATTTAAAGTGTGCGAACGGTGCTTTGCGCTGCATCAATCAGTATTGCGTTTCCAAGGACAACAGGACGATGCACCAAGACGAAGCATGAGCGGTGGGCATAGCAACCAGTGGCACATTCCACCAACAACACCCCTATCCTCTCTTTTCTCCTCACTCAACCGAAACCGGTGCCCATAATCTTCCACGTGACATAGGATCTAAAAGAGTCTCAGCGCCTTCATTTTTCATGCGCAGTTAGCTTCCTTTTCCTTCTATCCCTCCCCCCACAGTAAAACATACCCACCCTTTTTCTTCCACCAGTTGTCTTCTTTTGCTATAAGAATGAGTTACCCTCAACAAGACTATAGCAATCTTCGAAAAATTGTTTCTGGCGACATTATCGTCAAATGTAAATTTTTTTAAAAAAAAGGAAAAAACCACAAGCGAATGTCTAATCGCTTTTTGGTGCTGTGTATTATGTGCTTATTTTAGGTCGCTTTGGCAATGATATTCGTCGCATTCCTATCAATCAGGCACCAAGCTATGACGAGTAAGTTGACCGAATGGTGTGGCAACCGAGGATAAAGACTAACATTTTTTATACCAGACTTTGCCTTATGATGCATCGCTTGTTCAAGAAAGAGCTTTCAAATCCTGAGAATATCGTTTTAAAGTACACAGACGATGGTAAAGAATAAGCTGCTAACTATCACTACTACCAAGCGATAAGCTGTCTTTACTAACTTCTTGGAACAACAACTTTGTAGAGGGTGACTTGGTGAGCATGACAGGTATATATTTAATCTATTGCTGTTTTGATGTCAAGAACGTTGGTGCGTGAGGTTTATTTTCTTTTCTCTAACGAACGAGTGCAATCTATTAGACGATACTGATGTCAATCATGCTATATCGCAAAGCTCTCTTTTAAAAGTGACTGTATTTGACAAGGTAAAAGAGGAATGAGTTGCTTGTGTGTGTCTAAGTGTTATGCTTATTGGTTGAGTAACAATGAAAAAACAGGAAAAGCATGCGTTTATTGGGACAACAACAGCAGATCCAGCTGCTGCACCTGCGTATGAGGAATTGAAGGATCAAATGAACCAATTACGAGATATGATCGATCACGTTATTGGCTCCTTGACTCAGGCGAGCAAGACAAAGAGTGGAACTATTAATGGAAAAGTGGTGTCTTCGAGCGAGGCTACTGGTAAGTAAAATATCTACCAATTGACCTACTGTTGTATAAATGCATCTAACGGTTATATATATCTTGCTCACACAATGGAGTAGAGAAAACATATAGAAACTTGTCTACGGCTGAATTGGGTATGTGTTTCACTCGATAAAAGTTAATACCGTAGGAGACGGCGCTAAGTGGTATAAAAAACAACTTTTCACATTGTGTTTAGCTCAATTCCTCGATGATGAGAGGAAAGATCAGAAGAAGACCGAAATGCAGGATCAAAAGGAAACCAAACCACAACAACCACAACCACCACAATATCAGCAAGCACCTGCGTATCCACCTCCACCTCCACCAGTAAATCCACCGGGAGCCATGCCAACATCGGCATCATCACAGGCACCAACAACCCCCTATCCACCACCGTCCACTACACCCTCGGCTGCTCCTGCGATGCCACGACCTCCCATGCAGCAGCAACCCACCACAATGCAATCGGGCTATCCACCTGCGCAAGCCTCACCAGTAACAGCGCCACCCTCCTATCCTGCTCCACCTCGTCCTGCATCCATACCCCAGCCAGGCACGCCACAGACCGCGACCAGTTATCCACCTGAACGACCAGCAGCAGCAAATGACTATAACAATTATCGAGTATCCGCACCTTCCGCACCCCCATCCACTCAATATTACTATCCTCCTCCTCCTCCACAACAACAACAACAGCAACCACAACCACAACCGCCACCTCAACAGGGTCAAAGACCTCCAGTGAATACCGCAGGATGGCGCTAAATAGTTGTCGTTCTAAAGAACTTTTGATAAAAAATCCATGAAAAGTGAAAAGCTCGTTGCGATGAACCAGGAAAATTGATTCTAGGATTTGATAAAGTCGACAGCGGATCCAAAAACGAAGAGAGGGTTAATCCTGTCGTTTCAATGGAACATATACAATTCAACGTCACTAGACTTTGTTCATCAAGTACAGTTTGTTGTCGACGCTCTTAGGTAATCTAAGCATCATTCATCATAGCATCGCTGGGAAAAGATGTAGCATTTTGCCTCTCTTGTGTCCACAAGTTTGGTGTCTCAACAAGTGATTATCCATGACACGAAAATTGAGCAAGTCGCGTCGAAAAAGAGTAACCGCGTCACGGTTGAAAACCCCGCTCACTTTTGCGCGAAACCAATTTTTCTCAGCACAGCTTTTTTTTTTTCCTCGCTATAGATTTTTCATATTTTATTTTTTTTATATATAAGGCAGGCCCTGATAGACTTCTTTTTCCTTTCTTTTTGCTTTGAACCTCAACTCTTTTTTTTCTCTCCCCTCCTCGTCAAATCAGAACATAAATTTGTTACAAACAATAATAGCAAAGTACAAAACGTTCACTATACCGCTTTTTCCTTGTATTTCATTACTTTTTCTTTCTATCCAAACACGATACTCTCCAAAAAGAATTATGAGTTCTACACGCGCAACTCGTTCTAGCAGCAGAACCAACACCACCACCACTACCACTACCACCTCCAATGATAACGCCGGACCGTCAGCTGCGGAAGTGACTACTAGCAACGGTACCACAAATGCCACGTCATCGACCAGCAGCGATCGTCGTCCCTCACCTTCAACAAGACAATCGTCCTCACCTTCATCGATGAGTTCTAAAAAGAAAGACGCTAGCAAATCCTTGAGCAGCAGCGCAAAACGGTATAAAACAATAATAATCCCTTTACTTTTTTTCTTTTAAATATTAAAAAGAGACTAAATGATTTTTTCTCTATAACCTTACACCCCCAAACTAAACTAAAAAATCAGCATCTCCAAGGAATTAGCAGAGATCTCGTTGGACCCTCCCGCTAATTGCAGGTAATGTTTATACTATATTCTGTTTAAAATTTGGAATATGAGTTTTGTTCTAGAATAATGTATTGATATGGTATGTTTTTTGTTTCTTTGCAGTGCTGGACCAAAAGGTGATAATTTGTACGAGTGGGTTTCGACGATCGCAGGTCCTTCTGGATCACCTTATGCAGGTGGTATCTTTTTCTTGGATGTGCATTTTCCCCAAGAGTATCCGTTCAAACCACCAAAGGTAATTGTCATTGGAATCCAATGGAGGGAAAAAAAAGGCAGTTGTATGGGATGGATGGGGGACAATTGTCTGGGGTAAATTCTAAAAGGAAGCAAATAGTTCCCTTTACTTACAATGAGGATGTCCGTTTCTTTTTTCATGTGTGCCACAATAGGTCGTCTTCAGAACCCGTATTTACCATTGCAACATCAACAGCCAAGGTGCCATTTGCCTGGATATCCTCAAAGACAATTGGTCTCCTGCATTGACAATCTCGAAAGTGCTTCTGTCCATCTGCTCTCTACTGACCGATGCTAATCCTCGTAAGTTTTTTTTTGTGGGATAATCATTGGTGTCGATGGAGAGGACATATAAAAGATCGAATATTTCTAACAAGTGGTATGCTACAAATGTATATATGGGATAAATCGTATGTAGATGATCCACTTGTTGGCAGCATTGCACAGGAATATCTGAATGATCGTGAAGAACATGATCGTGTAGCTCGGGAATGGACAAAGCGGTAAGCCTTTTTTCTTTTCGGGAAGAAGGAAAGGATGATATATGCATTGTGGTAAATATTTGTGTTAATGACTGTAATTATCTTTTTTTCTGGAACTACTAATAGCTATGCTTGCTAAATCTCACGCTATCGCTCGTTTCCCTCGCCTAATACTTTCTTCATAACAAAAAGAGAAATGGAGATGGCTCCCTCAGTTCAATGCTGCTTATCCAAAGGGGTATTGTCAGATCCGTTACTACTTTGCTTTTTATCGAGTTCTCCTTTTTTTCTCTTTCTATCATTTCTTTCTATCATTCAAAACATCAATTGTGGGATTTGCATCAAAAGCCCTTTCCAGTTTATACACTCTTTTAGAATTGCAAAAAACAAACCAAAAAGGAGGAGAATGAACTGGTAGGCTTCCTTTTATCATTCATGTCGAAATAAAATCAACTACATGTTCATCAATCACTAGTGCGTTTGTGTCTGTGTGTCTGTGTGGGAAGGAGACTATGGTGTTACCAGGGAACTCAAAGGAAAGCACCTGGCAACAGCATTCTTATAAATGCAAAGGAACTAGGATGAGCTTGCCAGGATTTCTCCCGCGTATATGAATGGGATCGATATATATATGCAACATTGTATACCTCGTAGCACTGGAGCGTATATTTCGAAACCGAGTATTGCTTGATCTCTTGGACTCGTCAGTCGCTCCTAGAACTTGTTAATCACTAACGCATATGATTCTCAGTAGTAGACCCTGTCATCTTCAACAACAAGTATGGACCAAGCAAATGAACGTCAAATAAAACTTTATGCTGCTCACACTAAGATGAAACGTAGGCGCTCACTATGATACTATGATACCGTAGCATATATTCAAATTTTGCTAAAACATGAAAAACGATTACTGTATTATGACCTGAACTACGTTTACCAAATATAGAAAAGGAATGGTTGTTATCATCCATCTTCCCAGTATTTGTGGCGTATGGGGACATGAAGGAATACTTCACAGTCTGATAATGTGGTAGACGATGGTAGCTTATGCATGCAAGAGCCAGAGGAAAAATGATGCGCATTCACGGTTTGTCAGCGGGAAATCTTAGGCGCGCCTTATATATAAACCCTAAATGTTGTATTTCACGCACTTCACTACTACCTTACACTCTCCACAGTATCAAGAGATTCAAAAAAAGACAACATGGCCAGCGTTAGCTTACCACTCGCTTTACCATCCACCGATAAGCATTATATGACTCTCCGTCGAGAAGGCCCATTGTATATTTTGCACCTGCACAACAACCAAAATCGCTTCACCACCAAAGTCTGCAAAGCGATCCTATATGCCCTTCAAGTAATCGAGGATGACTTTCTCGCTCAGACCGAGCCTACCGAGATGGCTCTTGTCACTGTTGGCGATAGCAAGTTCTTTTCCAACGGACTCGATCTCCGACACGCGCATTCGTACCTCCCCTTTATGGACAACTACATTCTGATGGTGAAAAAGCTCCTAACTTTTACTATCCCCACTGTGGCAGCTATCAACGGCCACGCGTTCGCTGGTGGTTGCTTGCTTGCTTTGGCCCATGGTATGCATATAAGCGGTCCTTTTATCCTTTTGCAGACGTCACTCTCTTTCTTTGACTGACTCAGTTATTAATTCATGTACTGTTTTTAAAGATTACCGTGTTATGCGCACCGAGCGTGGATATATGTGCATGGTAATTTATTAGGACCCTTTTTGTCCTACATGAAACTAAAGTATCGTTCTTGCCATTATTCATGGATTGTACTGTATTAACGGGTATAATAATAGAATGAAATTGATCTCCCAGCACCTCTTCCTCCAGGCTTCAACGCTTTGCTTCGCTACAAGACAACGCCAAAGACGCTGCGTGCTCTGGTCTTGCAAGGCCACCGTTTCAATGCGCAAGAAGCTCTAGAACATGATCTTGTTGACATCATTTGCCCCGAGAACGAGCTGTTGGATACTGCAAAGAAGCTCGCATTGAAATGGGCACCGAAGGCCAAGGCTGGTTTTATATACAGACAGCTCAAGGAAGAAGTAAGCTTTTGTTTTTTGACAGATTTTATAAATAGGATTTTAATAAGCAATGATTCATCTTATTCGGTATATATGTTTCCAACCTTTTACTACATAGCTGAGTACTGAGACCATTCGTTCACTGAGCGTGCCTTACAACCGTCTTCAAGGACCCCGTATGTGAACTAGAATCCGTCTACTATTTCGTAGTTGTTGACGACTACATCTTTTCCCATCATCATGAGACATACATTCTATCTCCCATGTTGTCGTATGAGCAATATAGTACTGTGAGAGATGTGGTATTATGACCTCATGTAAAATAGCACTACTACAGACTATGTGATAAATTAAGACAAATCGTACTACATATATCGTTCTACTGCTATTATGCGCTTAGTACTTGTTGCTGTACAACGACGCACGCCCTTGTATGTACGTGTGTATGCTGTAATACCAAAGGCGAAAATAGCTTACTGCATGTAATGCAATGAAGAGCAATCGAAACAGCCAAAATCCGTAGCACTTGGCTGTAGATCAGCGTAGCATCGATACTACAAAACAACATTACATCTCAGCTTTACTGTTAACGAAACACGTTGTGCGATTTTGCTGCGCCTTAAAAATCAGTATCGGCTTTTCGGGAAAGGCGGAAACCGGTTTTAAACAACCAGCAAGTTAGAAAGCACGGTACTTTTTTTTTGTTGCAGGAAACTTTAATGTCAACACCCGATTTACAACAAGCTGCTTCGATTCCCCGTAATGTAAGTGGAGACAACCCACTTCTTCTTTGAGTTTTGCGGGAAAGATATTTAGCTCGTGTGCAAACTAAATACAATGGCGGGTTTTCTCTCTCTTGCTTTTTATGTTAGGTGTTCACCTTACCGTCACCAACAGACATTACTTTAACACCCTTCTGGGTAACCATACGACATGTCGACAATTTTCTGTTGCAAAAGTCCCATGCGCCGGGTAACCCGATATTCAAGAGTTTATTGAGTACCCTTGTCAATGTGTAAGTTCAAGCTGGTTAAGGTTTGTAGGATACCTAAACCAGAGGTTTTAACAAATAACTTATTGTAACTGTTGGCAACAATGTCAAGTTTCGATACCAAGCAACCTCCTTTCCGGATATTGTTTCAACGAGATATCAATACCAACTGCCTTCAGATTGCTGTGGGAGAGACAGAAGCTGTTATCGAGGCAGCATGGATATGGATAGAGCGTAACATGATGCCGGAACTTGACACGATAGACGACCCTTTCGAGAAGGAACAGTGGGTTGCTCAGAAAATTAGCATGATAGTTACCACAATTGGTAAGACGTTGGTGTTTGTGTTTTTTCATCATCATTGAGAGTATGGGTTTATGCAGCAATGTAAACTCCCGCATACATTTACAGTGTGGTATAACACGCTATATTACCTTGGACTTGAACTAACAGTTTTTTCTTCCTTTAAATTTTTGAAAATAGACACGGGCACGGATGAATTATCGTCAGACGAAAAAGTTCGGAGCGCATCGCGAACGTTCCGTCAGCTGTTTGACGTGCCACCTTCCGAACGTCTTGTTAATCGTAAGCTTGTTGGAATTGTTTTTTATTTTGGTAAAAAGTCAGAAAGAAACTTTAAGTTGACGCTCTCTGTATTTCCATGATGAAAGATTATTCATGTGCCATGAATGGTAGACAAGGATGGCTCTATATCAGTGAGAATTATCTCGGATTCTACTCGTTTCTACTCGGTGTCGAAAAGAAGCAGCTTATTGAACTCAAGAATATCAAGGATATATCCAAGGAAAATTCCAAGCGAAACATGTTTGCCGATAGCTTACGGATTACTACCAAGGACAAAGAAGAGGTATCGAGAATCAGGCAACAAAGGAAAAGATTGGGTAAAGAAAGACCTGGGTTACTAAATCATACACAACTGTTCAGAAACACCTGTTTAGCAATATGTTTCGAAGGGACGAGGTATGGATAATTGCATGGCTTGACAGGATAACAAAATAAGAGGCTTTCTTGTATTGGCTTGTTAGCTAATTGGTATATGGTGTATGCGTGCGTGATAGGTATATGACCTGCTTGTTCAGCTGACAGGCCAAGCAACACTTCGCCTCTTGCGAAATGCTGGTGGTGACGCCCCAGGTCAATCTACCAGTGCTAGCGACCCATCTCTCTCACCAGCGTCTGAACGTGATCGCAGTGATCGTTCACCAAGCTCCACGTCCAGTACTGGATTGTTCGTCAACCCGCTCAAACATGACCTGGCAGCTCAAAAACGCAACACTGACCTGTGTCTACACTTCAAATTGCCACTTGACGAAAAACTGCTTTTGAAAGAAATACAGGTCGGTTACACAAGTGGCAACATACCAACCTCGATTTTGGGAAATAGCTACTATCCCGGTCATGTCTACCTATCCGAATCCTTCTTATCGTTTGAATCCATCAACAAGCAACCCCCACCACAGCAACATCTTCCTGTTTGTTCAGTCGTTTTGCCATTGTATACGATCAAGCGAGTTGAGCGGCTCACCTCTGGATCCTATGCAACATCACTTTCGGTAACGACGTGGCATGGTATGGAGCACGTCTTTCAATTACACGTAAGTTGGATGCTTTCTTTTACATGTTAGTGGAGTGACTTTCTGTTCCGTCATACACAGAGGAGTCTTTTTTTCTTTGGTAACATGGAAAGAACTTTGGATTTTATTTTCAGGCACACAAACCAACGTGTGAGCAGTTCTGCGGTGTTCTTGGTAAACAGCTGGGACATCATCGCGGCAACATGAAAAAACTGGGAGCGTTTCTAGCAACATGCGAATCAGAAAACTTACTGAATGAAGAACAAAAATTGATCGATGTTACCACTGAACCTATTGGTGGACTTGGTGTACAGTTTGGATACCCTGGTGATGCGAGAAAGGCTAAAGATAAAAGCAAGATGAAACTCTGGAAAAAGTATTTCCAAGGTAATTGATTGTATATGTAGCGGAGAAGAAAAAGAAGAAGAAGGAGGAGGAGGAGGAGGAAGTGGACCATTAATCAATATTCTTTATTATATGTAGAGAATGGTCGAAACTTGACTATGGTACGACTTCCAACGTTTGGTAAACTAGTACGTGTTGGCCTGCCAAACGCACTTCGAGGTGAACTATGGGAAGTGTGTTCGGGTTCGGTCTATCTTCGTACGACGAATCAAGGAGTCTATGAAGAAGTACTCAAAACATATGAAGGACAGTCATCCTTATCTACAGAAGAAATTGAAAAGGATTTGAATCGGTACGCTGCGTTAAATCCTGTTTTATGTCTACTATCAAGTGATTGATTCTGTACTTACGTTTTTGATGTACATATCTACAAAGCTCACTTCCTGAGTATGCAGCATACCAAACACCGGAAGGCATCGATCGGTTACGACGCGTGCTAACTGCATATGCGTGGCAGAACCCTGAACTTGGATATTGCCAAGCGATGAATATAGTGACTTCAGCTCTGTTGATGTAAGTGATCCATTGCTTTCGTCTATACTTATGAAATAGGATAATGCTAAAGTACTGATATCTCAATGATACAGTTATATGAGCGAAGAGCAGGCTTTCTGGACCCTCAATGTGCTGGTAGATCGGATGTGTCCTGGCTACTACAGCACATCCATGTATGGTGCACTTTTGGATCAAATTATCTTCGAGCAGCTCGTCGAAAAAACTATGCCGATTTTATGGAGCCATTTAAAGAAAACAGATATACAATTGTCGGTCGCATGCTTACCGTGGTTTTTAAGTTTATATGTCAACTCAATGCCGTTGTTATTCGCATTCCGGGTGCTGGACTGTTTGTTCATGGAAGGCCCACGGATACTGTTTCAAATAGGGTAAATAGTACGAAAAGGTTCTTTTATACTGATATCCATTTTTCTAATATGCATTTTCTTTGGATTCTCTATGTCTCTAGCTTAGGTATGTACAATCTATAATTAATAGGAATATGTGAACATGATCTTGCTAACTGTTATTGCTGACTGCATAATAGCGATTTTGAAGCTCAACGGAGATGAATTATTAAAAGCTAAAGATGATGGCGCTTTCCTCGGCATCCTTAAGCACTTTTTCACATCGTTGGATATACCCATCAACCCAAACTCCCGAAATGAAAGAGCGCGAAAACTCACGGTATGGATTTTTTCTTCCTCTTTGACCAAGTAAAAAGCGTGACAACTAACACTTGAAATATCACAGAAATTCAATGAAGTTATGCTGACAGCTGTAAGTCTTCCTTTTCCTTTCGCCCAATTTCCGACGTGAAAACAAGAAAGCACTGAGCTAATCCAGCTAGTTTCAAAACACAATAGTACCGTGAGTTTGCCATTGTGACCGATGATCTCGTAACGGAGCTTCGTCGACAAAATCAACTCAAAGTGATCGCCGGTATTGAATCGTATACCAAACGATCGGCTATCCGACATATTAAGGATACGGCAGGTTTTGATAAAGAAGAAATTTCCACCATCTATGACAAATTCTTTGGTGTCCTATACTATGCAAAGCAGACAGGACGGAATACCGAGAACGGGGCGATGGATATTGAAACGTTTCGAGAATTGCTCAACAGTCTTACAACATGGTCCAAGATCAAGTTCCATGATGAATCGGCCAATGAGAGTTATATGCGGACACTTGGACTCCAGTTTACCCAACGACTGTATATTAACATCAAACCTGAGGATCACCAAGGCATCATGTTTCAGGACGCTGTGACTGGATTGAGCGAAATTATGCATGGGGTATGTATCCTTTATTCGTAAAGCAACTTTTTAAAATGTGCATGTATTCATGCTGGGAAAGAAAAGAGAAGACTGACTTGTAATTGTTTTGTTAGGACTTGATGTCTCAAATTGAGTTTTATTTTAAATTATACGACCAAGACAAGGATGGGAAGTTGGTGAATGCAGATGTTTTATGCATGGCCAAGGAACTCTATTGGGTGCTATGTCAAATGCAACAAGATCCATTCATTGCATGGGACGCGATCTGTAACCTTATAATACGCAGCATTGAACAATCTGATATCCTGCGCGGAACACAACCCAACGAGGAAAAGAACGCAGAGAAACTTGCCGAACTCATTGGTCTTGGACGACACGACGGTATCCAATCCATACAGAAACGCATGGAGGAACTAGACGCTTTTCTACTACATGAAGCCGAGGAAAAAAAACCATCCATTGAGATCTGCTTGCCCTCATTTAGAATGGCTGTTCTCACAAACGAGTGTCTAGAAATGTTTTTCGATAGTGGCTTCTCTACCAGCTTCCGACTTGTGAAATTGGCGAGCGAACAACAAAAGAGCTTGGGCCGTGAATTGTTTGAAAACTTGTTCAACGAAGGCAAGAAGCTGGCACATAGTACAATGACCGCACCTAGCACCACATATAGACCATCATCACCATCCGCATCCCCAGTTCCTTCACCATCCACATCCACATCCAACGTATCGTCACCGGCACATCCATCATCATCATCACAAACACCGCAAGAACACTCTCCTTCGCTCATGAGCTCACCGTCAAGTAACAAAGAAGACGAATCCAAGCATGATATGTCGCAGGAAGTGGATACCTTATTGTCGGAGCTTGGGCACCAGGACGCATAAGAAATCTGATTGTAATATTTTAGTCATTTTTGCATAAAAAACATTAACATACTCACAGTTTGTTTTGTTTGTTTTCTTTTTCTTTGTGTGGATATGTTTTTTATAAGATTTATAAAGCTCCACATAGTCTTATAGTGGGGTACGAATGGCTTGTCATTCTCCAAATTGGGATAGAGCGACCCGTGAATGACGGAACGTTTGAGTCATTCGGCAAGTAAGAAGGTATGAGCTGTCTTATTGGAGGTCCGCGTCTAAAATACTGGCAAGTGGTATAGATTGTCCGCAATCCTTTAGATCTTTCACGATAACAATAAATCCTTTCTTCTTAGAAAAAACTCTTTCATGTATAGGGCAGCATTGACAAGAAGACTCCCTGTTTGTTCAGCATGGAGTCCAATTCGGTCAGCCTCTGCTAAGACTTATGAAAGCCCGCCCCATATTCGCGTCACCTTACGAACAGCAACAAGTTATGCAAAACGACAGACCACTATCGCATTCCCTGCCCGACTCTTGCAGACTCCGGCGTTGTGCTCCATTCCCTTGACGGCAACAACAGCATCGGCCAAAGAGCATGCAGCAAACGGTCACCAGTTTTCACCACGACCACCACCGAGGCGTCCCACACCTTCTGAGCTGGAATCGGCAGCTGCAGAATTGCCACAATCGAAATTCAAGAGATTCCTGCGTGACCTTTTACGCATATTAGATGATTGGGTGGTGGAGCCACTGTTGACTCTTCGACGGCTAGTGCATATAGTGATTATATTTGCACCGGTGGTGCTGGCCACACCGGCTGTCTTCATTGGACACCGCGTAGAAGAAGAGCAGGATGAACGGAAAGGAACGCTCTGGTGGTATGATTTTCTTGCAGGACAAATGGAGCGGGCTGGACCTACGTTTATCAAGGTATGCAGTGAAGCAGGATTGGATATGTATATCGGGCGATATGAACAGTATAGGGTGGTTATGGAGTCTGTGCCGGAAAAAGTGAGATGAGAAGAAGAATATCTAAAACAATAATATGGTATATACCATGAAAAGCTAGCACAATGGATTGCTTCTCGCACGGACCTCTTTCCACTTGCATTATGCACACGTCTCTCCAAACTTCACTCCCATGTCGACCCACATCCATTCTCACATACGCGTCAAGTGATTAAAGAGGCGTTTGGACGTGATCTTCATGAAATCTTTAGCGAGTTGGACGAAACTCCTCTCGGTGTGGGTGCAATTGCTCAGGTGTACAAGGCCAAGGTACGACCGATTATCCTGGTGCGAAACATGAAGGAGCAGTTTCTGGTTGAAGACAACATCATCACACCCGACTGTGTGCAAACACTGGACCTGGATGGCAAACCGATCAATATCCATACCTCTGTAGCGATTAAAGTACTGCATCCCAAGGCACGCCAGATTGTACATCGTGATCTTAAGATCATGGAGTTCTTCGCAAAGGCCTTAACACTGATACCCACTATGCATTGGATCTCCTTACCGGATGAGGTCCATGTTTTTGGAGAAATGATGCGAGATCAGTTGGATTTGCGCGTCGAAGCAAGTCATTTAGAGCGCTTCAACAAGCTATTTGCGAATTCAATGGATATCGAGTTTCCAAAGCCTGTAATGGCATTCACGACCAAGGATATGTTGATTGAGGAATACGAGAATGGTATTCCTCTGAATGCGTTTCTGGAGCAGGCAGCCTACGTGAAGCAAAGCGGGAATGATGATATGACACCTGTATATGATCATCAAATTGCGAATATTGGCAAGTATAGCTATTAACTGCTGTATCTTTTGATGAGAAAATGGGAGAAATCAGAATGCTAACTTTTTCTGCTTTGCTACAGGGCTGAATGCATTTCTGGTAACAAGGGCTTTTTTTCTCTTTTATATTATTGGCTCCCTTATTTTTTTTCATTAATGAGCTGACTTCATATTCGCTATGGTTTCTTCTTATTAGCATATGCTCATATTTTATAATTTTGTGCACGCCGATCTTCACCCTGGAAACATTATGATCAAGTTTTACAAACCGAAAGCCCATCATCCCGTTCAACGGGCCTGGTCCAGGGCAATGGGTCGGTATTTGAAAGACGACGGTGAGGTTGCTGTTGAGCGGATTCTTGCCGTACGCGACGATCCAGCAGAAATGCACAAGGAGTTATTAGCACTCGAGGACGAAGGATATTCGCCACGACTCGTATTCATCGATACAGGACTGGTGAATGAGCTGAACGGCGTAAATAGACGCAACTTTCTAGACTTGTTTCAGGCAATTGCCCAATTTGACGGCTACAGAGCTGGAGAGCTGATGGTAGCGCGGTGTCGCACACCCGAGCTTGTGATTGATCCGGACGTCTTTGCGCTAAGGATGCAGAACCTTATTCTAGGTCTGAAGCAGAATACGTTCAACCTGGGAGCGGTCCGAATCGGAAGTTTGCTGCATAACGCAATGAACATGGTTCGCGCGCACCACGTGAAGCTGGAGGGCGACTTTGTAAACGTCGTGGTCAGCATCATGCTTTTGGAAGGTATTGGTCGCCAGTTGAACCCAGATCTGGATTTGTTCAAGAGCGCTCTCCCTGTTTTGCGAGATTACAGTATCAAGGATCGTGGCAAGGCAGCCAGAGAAGGCGTCAAGGATGTGCAAATACATGGAAGCGCACCGCACTGGCTCAAGGTTTGGATTTTCTTGGAAATGCGCAATCTTTTTGTCAGAAACGAACGAGAAAACGAATGGCTGCAGATGTGGTATGTGCATGGATATAGGGCGTGGTGTGTGTGTGTGTGTGTACGTGAAAATGTGTCATACGAATCTGACGTTACATACATAGCGATTTTCTATGCTTCAACAATTAAGCCGATCCTGTATAACACGCACAAGTTTCGAGATGCTCTCCTTGCTCTTTGAACCCCTATATCCAGAACCGACATATACACGAAGAAACTCCTCCCGTCCACCCAGCCCTCACCCCTCGCTCTCTCGTTTTCACACACTTATCGCATACTACAAAGACATGGCACACCACAACATTGCAAATGATATAATCACCAATTTCCACTTGCATATTATTATTATTATCATTACCCCAGGGATGGGGATGTTTTCGTGTCCTATGTACATGAAACAACACAACAGCAGGTTTGATATTGCAATAGAGCGTTGCAATTATGTTAAATCCTGTCCTAATACATATACACATACGCACACACCTAATAATACATATATGAGCCTGTTATATAATAGAATTTAGAGAAAGATGAAGCTTATCCCTCGCTTTCCTAAAGACTGCTATCTTACTCTTGGACATACCCTACAGTGTCTCTCTTGGGGGAGGGGAAAGGTGAGGATATCAAATGTGCAGAAACGATACTTTTCTATATCCCCGGGCTTCTCCGTGTCTGTGCTTTAGCAGTGAAAGAAAAATATACTTGCTTCCGGGATGGGGAGACATTGGTGCAGATTGAAACAATATCGTCTAAAAACGCAATAGAAGCGGAAGGAAAAAGAGTCAAATGATGTGTGTCTGTTGCTGTTCTCAGATCAGCGAGGGCTGTTCGCAGTTAGTGCCGATAGTAGAAAATACACTTCCCTGGTGGGACTGCTATGGACACTTTACCGACCTAAAAATCATAGACCTGAGGCGTGTTATGTATTACCCAAAAACGAGACTCTTGCCATTTTTATACAAAGGTTCTCCTATGTCATTTATAAGAAGACGATGGGTTTGCGTGTCATTATGTTGCTTGCTTGGCCTTGCTGCTGCTGCTGCTGCTGCTGCTGCTTTTGCTTGCATGCACATCAGAAAGATAAGCGCAAACAGCAGGTATGTAATAGCCATAGTGGGATGACCGATAAAAAAAGAAGACATTTTGGAGTGGACCTGTGTCCTCTCTTGTCCACTCCCACCCCTTAACATAAATATTTGTTCTTTCTTTCTCCAACTCTCGGTTGGGTTTCTTCTTTACGTTCCCCCCCCCTCCTTTCTCTGATACTCTCTCTTTAATCACTCTTTTTCTGTTTTTGTTCTTCCTTTTAAATAATACAACGTATGATAAATCATGGCGACAACAGTTGCGTCAGCAGCCAATAATAATAGCAGTGATCCGCCCGGGACGACAGCGACAACTGCCACTACAACCACCCACTCCACCTCCGAATCGCTTCATGGAAATGAGCACAAACTATGGAAGATCATTAAGAAGCAACGACTCGTCATTCAGGATCTTCAAAAGGCGTTAGCCGAAGTGACAGCCGACCGGGACAACTTGCTGACTCGCTACAATAATTATAAGGATTCGACTAATACTGCTCCTACTGCTTTTACTGCCATGCGGCCGTCTGTACAACATGACAGGTGTGACAGTTTGATGGATGACGACGGTGTCGTTATGCTCAGTAGTAGTCATAGCAGCAGTAGCAGCAACAGTAGCAATAGCAACAACGGCTGTCCTCAGAAACAACATGACCAGCATCATCATCCGCATCATCCTCTTCAGCAACAGCCGCAAGGACCAACACCTCCGCCCCGATCTCCTTACCGGCAGCACCTAAAAGAGGATAACACGCCGCATCGTGTCGATAGTTTGTGTGACAACAACAGCAAGAGTCGTAGTAATAGCAGTAGTAGCAACAGTAGCAGCAGCAGAAAAGACGTCTCGGTCCGATCTTCGTCACTGCCGGTGGCCACCGCCTCTATTCATGCTAATAGCCGACCCATCTCGCCCGGCAGTGACCAGACTATCGTCATCACGTCGCCTGTAAATGCCATCATGGATAAGGACGCGCAGCTGTTTGCCAGATACCAAGAGTCCCAGAAACGAGACGGTGTTTGGAAGGTGTCAGTACACCGACGTAACAATAACACTAACAGCAGCAGCAACAACAGTAATGGCAGCAGTGATGACCCGTGGCTTTGGCCACCAGCAGCTCCTTCTCCTCCTCCTCCTCCTCCACCACCACCATCACCACCTGCACATCAAAAGAAAACACAGCAACCGCATCAGCATCGACACGTGCGCCGTGCATCATCTCAGCCTGCCATCTCGACGGCGCAAAAAAAGGCAGCTGCACAAATCAGCAACAACGGCGACTCTTCTGCGGAAAACTCATTAGCTGGTATCAACGTCAAGGTCCTTGGGTCTAACATCACCACCAATACTAAAGGAAAAGGCGTAATATTGTTCACCATTTCTGTGCGCAAGGACATGGATGATATGGCGAGAGAACTCTGGCGTATCGAAAAGCTATATTCCGATTTCCTGGCCCTGGATAGCAAGGTAAACAGACAAACAAACAAACTACGATGTTACGATGCAATGGCTGCTAACTTTTTGCTATTGACAGCTGAAATCACAAAGCCGTCCAAGAACAGGCAAAATTAGCAAACTGCCCGACAAGGCACTGTTCGCGACGCATACTCCAAACAAAGCGGACCAAAGAAAAGTAAGTGATTGGAATGCAAGGCGCCGATCATTATTTCTTTCTTTATAATACGCTCTTATTAACAAGGGGGGGGCTTTCCCTTGATTCTAGATGGCCATTGAAAAGTATTTGCAACATATGATTGGCGTACCATGGCACAATGCGTCTGCCCTTTTCGACTTTTTAAGCTCAAATAGAGTCGATCGTAAAGATGATGCTTGTCAAGTATGTCCTTTTGTGTCTTTTTTTCTTCTTCTCCCTTTTTAGACACAGCCATCACTCTCAAATAGACAATGTCAGCTGATGATGGCGATCATCCTTTTCTAACATGCTGATTATAAAAAGGTGACTCCAGGGCGCAAGGAGGGGTATCTGACCAAACGAGGAAAAAGTTTTGGTGGTGGATGGAAGACTCGATACTTTGTTCTAGACGGTCCTTCACTACGGTTTTATGAAAGCGTAAGTGATATTTATATATGTGTTGAATGCTCCTGCTACTGCCCACCTTCACCCTGTACTCATATCTAGTCACTAAATTACATATCTCGATTAGCGAGATGGCGCCCTATTAGGAACAATCCATATTCCAGACACGCAAATAGCTCGCCAACATGCACAGTCAAATACTCAGACATCAGCTGAGATGCGACATGCTTTTCTCATAGTTGAGCCCAAGAAGCTTTCGTCGCCGACTAGTGGCGTGAACCGACATTTGCTATGTGCCGAATCAGATGAAGAGCGAGACCAGTGGGTGGACGCACTGACACAGTATCTCAACTGGGGTGGAGGTGGATCACCTACTACACTACTGGATCCTGCCAGCTGTAAAGTCAGTGGTGGCAGCAACAACAGTAATAATGCCAACAATAGCAGCAACAGCAACAGTAATAGCAATATTGTCGGTATAAGCAAGCAGTTATCGACAACACGTCACCACAATCAATCCCGCGCTACGTCGCCAACAGCTTCACGAAAAGTATCCAAAGACGATATCAAGCCTATTTCGGCCATGCCACTTAGCCAACTCAACAGTGACCTTGACCAAAACAAAAAATTCGCGAGCATGATTCCTTCACCACCCTATTATCATCCCCAACGGTCCAACTCAGCCGACTCGTCTGCAGTTCCGTTCAGTGATTCAGAGACTGTGCCTGTCTTTGAACGACCACCGCTCCGACAGCGATCGAGTATGGACCATGCTTATTTCCCCGCTGTCCACAAAAAAGCTACAGCAACAATCTCTTCCGCACGACGAGGGTCCTTGAGTAATGATGGTCATGAATCTGCAGCAGCTTCAACAGTTAGCATGGGAGATATTGGAGGCGATGGCAAAAAGAAAAAGGGCAATCGACGAACGTTCTGGGCAAAGAAGATATTTGCAGGCGATATGACTACGAGCATGCCATCCACAAATAGTATCCGCGGTTTTTTGACTCGCAATTCGAGTGATTCATCAGCGGATCAACAGCCTACATCACCATCGTCGCAACATGGCAACGGCAACAAGGCAAAGAAACCGCACGTTTTTGGTGTTCCGCTGGAAGAGGCCATCCGTATCTCTAGAATTTCGGACAAGTGTGAATTGCCAGCCATTGTCTACCGCTGCATCGAGTACCTTGAAGCGAAAAATGCAACCCAAGAAGAAGGGATCTATCGATTGAGCGGAAGTGCCGTCAAGATCAAATCATTAAAGCAGCAGTTTGACCAAGGTAAACAAGTGAGAAGGATAACAGAAAAAGGAGAGAGTGTCTAATCAACTTATTTTTGCCAAACAAAAAAAGACGTCGACATCAACCTGCTAGAATCAGACGAGTACCACGACATCCATGCAGTTGCCGGTCTTCTAAAACTATGGCTCCGGGAGCTTCCTGGCAATGTACTCACTCTTGACCTGCTTAAAGAATTCCTTCCTGTTATTGGCAAGTGTCATGTCCACGATTTTTCATTTCAACAAAAAAGAACGTGATAAAGAAGGAGGTCTTTTTTTCTAATTGATTTGATATATAGATTTAGTGGATCGTGACGAGCGAATCAAGGAACTTGGTCGACTCGTATCCATGCTACCACTCGCCAACTATACACTTCTTCGAATCCTTTGCGCGCATCTTATTCGAATTATCCAATATGCCGATACCAACAAAATGAACGCACGCAATGTTGGTATCATATTCTCGCCAACACTCCAGATACCTGCAGGCATCTTCAGCCTGTTCTTGAGCGAGTTTGAGTATATTTTCTGGACAAACAACGATACCTATGAAAGCAACAAATTACTGATTCCATCACCGGCTGATGTTAACGAAGATGAGGAGCAGCAGAATCATCTGTTACACCATCCTCAAGGAGAAGAAGACGACGACGATGATGATGTTGATCGACATAGCGAGTATCTCTCAGGACCGTTGCATCCTACGCAGCCTATTCCACGGCCCCGTCCTAGTAGCGGTCGTTTACAGCAAATGCTTCATGATGAGCAAGGCCGATCTAATCGAAATAGTGTACATTATATGGATGGAACCCCATCTTCCATAGTCGGACTCGAGAGTGGTAAGCTTTTATCTTTTATAGCACCATTGTTATACGCTTAAACTGTTACATCATTTTTAATCATATTTTCTTTTTCAAAATCAACAGGTAATGCCATCATTGCTGACGATGATGATGATGTAGAAGATTTGGAACTGGACGATGACACCAATAGCGACGATGGAGACGACTATGACGAAAACGATGATTATACTAAGAGATCAGCAATATGCTATCCATCGCCGTCATCAGCATCATCATCACCACCTGAAGTAGTAGCAGACGCTGCAAGTCTTATCAGTACCTCAGATTGCCTTTTAGCTATGAAATAATTGCAGCTCCCACACCATCTTTTCTCATATCTTCCTCACCCTTCCTCTCCCTCGTTCTCTAACCCTCCTCTTTCCTTTGTTTTGTTTTCTTACTATCCAATCAGCATTTAGTATACCGCTCATAACTTATACCCCCTTGTTCTTTTTCTTACCTCTTCTATTGTCTATTTGTATGTTGAAGCATTTAATAGAGTTCTTTCTGGTGCGATGAAATAGTACACTTCTTATCCGTGTATTTGATGATGCTTAACTTTCGCGTCTATTTCAGAAGAAGCCTTTTAAAAATACGTACAGTATGTATCTCGTATTTATATAACGTGATCGACGAATACATGCTATGTATGTAAACTTCTCAGTATGTATATATATATATATATGCACATGGCGATCGGAGGAACGCTCAAACGTACCGTGATGTTGATCACACATAGTGCATTCAAAGTAAGCCTGCTCTTTCTGAAGTTACATATTTACTTGAGGGCAATGTAGTAAATCGCATCCACTTGCAGACTTATGTACTGGGATATGCCTACATGTAGAAAACCCCAAGTTCTTCTAAGTTTGACTAGCCAAAATGCTTGGCATGTGTATAAACAGTAATGCTCGATAAAACTTACTGTGTTTTAAACATTAATTGCGCCGTAAATAAATGCTGCAGTAGCTACGCAGCTTTTGCTATAACATTTTTCATGCATTACAGAGTAGGAGTGTCACACGATATACTTATTAACAGAAAAGCAAAGCGTCATCTTCTTTTAGTCTTCTTCTTAATCCTTTTCGTCATTTACCTTTCGGTGGCAGTAAACTTGCTACCTTTGATACATCAGTATTAGTTTTATAACCAGTATGGATCGCTTTTTCGACTCTCTGGCCGACCAATTAGGCGATACGGTCAGCACAGACCACATCAAGTTGATCACCTGCATCGTTGCAACATACCCACTGGCACTAATCTATCGCAAGCTACCAGCCAAAAGCCCAACAACTAGACACCTGTTTTCCATTGGATACGCATTGTTTACAATAGTATCCGTTCTCAAGCTTTATATTAGAGCCGTACATATTGGCCTGACGGCTATCTTTACATGGACATTTATGAAGTATTTTCGCGGCAAGAATGGTCCATACGTAAATTTTGCAGTAGCAATGCTAAGCATGGCAATTTGGTATGTGCATTGATCAACTAGGGTGGCGTTTCTTTTGTTTCGGGTCAATAGATGAGGGGGTGGGGTGGGGTGAAGGAGCTTGGCTGGGCGCATGAATGAAAACCAAAAACGCGCATATGTAAGACTCACTCTGGCATGCGTATATCATAACCATATACGTATCAAGCCATATTGACCGACAGCTCAAAGGAAATGAGGGCGACAGCAAGTTGGATTACTCGGGCCCATTGATGATGTTAACTTTCAAGTTTACATCCTTTGGCTTTAATGTCGCCGACGGACGGCGGAAACAACATTAATGTAATAAAAAAAATAATAGCACCGAAAGCGACAACAGAAACTCGGCAACAATTCGAGAAGCTGAGTATAACAAACGGATGAAAATTGATCGTTATCCTACCTTGTTCGAGTATTTTGGATGGCTCTGCTTCTTTGGAGGGTTCTTTGTCGGTCCTACATGCGAGTACATGGAGTACTATAGATACACCAACTACTTTTTAGTATCAAGCGACAAGCAGCCGTCGCCATGCAAGCCTGCACTCCGCCAGATCATGCTTGGCATACTATTTGGTGGAATCACGGCTTTCATAGGATCAGCATACAACTGCTTTCGCTTTCTGGATGACGATTATTTGGCTTTGCCATTCTGCAAAAAGTATGTTGCTTGTTCTATCATAAGCTTTCCACAAATCAAAAAGGGGCATGACTGACCACACTATGACATCACTTTTATTACTTGTAGGTTGTTATCCTATTACATAACCGGTTTTGTATGGCGATTAAAATTTTACTGTGTCTGGCTTCTGGCTGAAGGCAGCTGCATTCTCTCACAGTTTGGATATAACGGTGTGGACAAGGAAGGAAACCATCGATGGGACCGGATGACAAACGTCGATTGGGTTGCGGTCGAAACTTCTCAATCTATGCAACATGCGTCTACTCGATGGAATCGAAGCACGACCAGCTGGCTGAGACATTATGTCTACAACAGACTGTGTCCCCCGGATACGAGCAAGCCGACATCCTTAGCTTTGATCGCCACATATGTTGTGTCTGGGCTATGGCACGGGTTTCATCCAGGCTATTATGGTCTTTTGTGCAGCACTGGGTTGATTCAAATCTTGGGACGGCGTATCCGACGAGCAGTGCGACCACTAGTCATGTCGGCAAAAGACCCACTGAAAAAGTCTCCTTTGACTGTCTATAAGACGATATACAATATAGCGGGAAATGTTGTCACCATGATGCTCGGCGCGATATTGATAGCCTCGTTCGAGTTGCTGCATCTATCACGCGTCGGCATTGCATGGGGTAGCATTTATTACATTCACATATGGGGGTATCTATTCACCTGGGCCGCTTTGCTTGCGATGGAGCCGATGTTGTTCAAAGTCCAAAAGCGACGCACGAAACAAGAAGCAGCATTGGTGAATATCAAAAACAAGGAATCGCGTGTTTACATATTAAGGAACCAAATGGTGGTAGTGCAGCAATGCCAAGTAGCATAGGTGTCATATCATATTTTTCTGTCATGGTGTTCTCTATTATATATATCTAATGCCATAAACAAACCATAAAAAAGCACATATAACTCTTCTCGTTCAAGTGGAAGAATACATGTTTGCTTTGCTTTTAAAAAACACATGCATGCCATAGATCACGGATAAATGGTTGCATAGCAGCAGCTTGTTAGTTATCAAGTGTAACCAAAAAAACAGCTACAAGCGTTACTAATAGCAACCCAGGCACTACCCGTCTCCAAGGACAAATCTTAAAAGTTGATCAAATATGGAACTGCATGTTTCTGGTTTCTTGGATCAAATTTTTCCGTTCTTTCTCTTCTTGCTCCCAGCGGAGGCCACTACTCCATGTCAACAATTCGGCTGGACGCATTTCGTGAACAGTAAAGTTTCTTGGAGTGGAGCCTTTTTTCCCCCTTTCACAAAGAGTAAATTACTAAGCACAGAATAACACACAGTGCAGATTCGTGGTCAAAATTAACGAAAGAAGGCAGTACGATCCTTGCAACCGTAGATCGTAAGGATGTCAACAAGACGCGTCAGGCCCTGACGACTGTAACTGAAAAACGTAAGATGAAAATGAGTCGTGTATGGGAGCTGCTGCGAGTAGCATGTTTAACTTAATCCTTATAGTGAGGGCAGTGCTGGAAAAAATGTACGACGAGTATGATAAAGCCGAGGGGACCATGGCTAACACGTTACGCAACTGTGTGGATATGTATGACCAAGAGTACATGGTCAAGGTAAGCGACCTTGAGGGTACCACAAGCCTGTCGCACTCAACACAACAAAACTAAATGGTAGCGGTGTATGCAGGAATCAATCCAATCCATCGTCAACGAGCCTGGGTTCTATACGCAGCACCATCTTACCGGATTGTCGGCACTGTGGAGTGCGGAGGCGTACATTGACAATGACGCCGTCTCCCGCTGTCTTGTGAAGACATGATCGGCGTCCCAGACAACCAATATAACAGCGGGGCTTTTTTTTTTTTTTTTTTTTTGGCATCGATACAAAAAAAAACGACATCGTGGTTGCAAATAAACTGTCTCCTTCTTTCTATCCGTTACACCGACCTTTTTCTTCTTTCCCTTCTTCTTGTCTCTTGTCTCTTTTTCTCTTTTCTCTCTCTCTCTCTTTCTTCTCTGCCCATCGTTTCTACTAAGCCTTGTTGCGCATGGATTTCCTGCTCGCTGTAGCGAAAAATGATATCGAGAAGGCCCGTTATTTCCTCCAATCCAGTATTGACGTGAACAGCCCTGTCTTATGGAACGCCCGTGAAACTTTCTCGCCCGTATTACCACCCGACGCTGCCTCGCGCCCTGATCTGCGAGAGCGGTTACAGCGCGGCCAGGAATATCACAGCCGTCCATTGAATATTGCAGTGCTGGGTGGCCATGCGGATATGGTACGATTATTACTGAGCGCGGGCGCCGACATCAACCTGAAGGATGGACGAGGAAGGTAAATCTTCTTCGCTTTGTTCTTGAATATCCCTCCCTCTTGTCCACCCCCCGAAAAAGAAGCTAGTGTGTGCGTGTGTGTAACAATGTGATTGTTGTGCCCTTTTTTTAAACACATTTAGGACGGCTCTAATATGTGCAATTTACGGATTGGATCTGGATGTAGCCGACATCAACACAGCCAATTTGCCGTTGATATCGAAAACACACGAACATCATCTCGAGATTATGAGGAATATCCTGCTTCGCCATCCAAACATCGATGTCACGACGCTTAATTCGCCGCAGTACGAAATCAAGGGCATCACTCCGCTCTGTTTGGCCAGCTATCTCGGCAAAGCCGAAATCATCCAGCTGCTGTTGGAAGACGGTCGTGTCAATGTCGACGGCACGGATAGCAAAAGCGCAACTGCCTTGATGTATGCAGGTAAAGTACTCTTACATACGCCCCTTATTTTCTCTAGGACCAGGACTCACATACTCGAATCACTTCTTGTCTGGGTGGTTGGGGGGGATAATTGATTAGCTCGGGATGGTAATCTGCCAATTGTAAAAACTCTCCTGAGCTATAACGCGTCTCCTGATATAACCGATGCACATGGATGGTCAGCTATACAATATGCCGGAAGAAGTCCGGATATCGTCCAGTTGTATGAAGAAGCACTGCGGTGCAAACGTCCCGAACTCACTGTAAGTCGGATGAATTGTAGTTCTGGGAGCAACTCAAATGATAAACCCCAACGTCTTCTTCTTTATAGCATCTTCACGGCAAAATGCCATTATGCAAATACCCCATCAACTACACAAAACTGTCGACCTTCATATCATCATTGCCGTCATACCCATCGTCGCTTTCCCACGTGCAATTCGACTCACTCAAAGACATTGACTTGCTGGATCAAGCAGCAGCACCCATTGTACAGATTATTCGATCCGCGTTCTTGCACGCAGTTAAAACGCATGACCACCATACCTTGCAGACCTTATTGCTATGGTCACCACCACTACGAGACGAGCAGCGCATGCTGTCAGGCCCTCTGCTTGTCAACCACCATGACACGAAAACAGGCCTTACACCACTCCATTACGCCATGCGAGCGAAACCTCTGCCATCTATAGATACAATCATTCTGCTCTACCAGGCTGGGGCTGATGTCAATTCGCAAACGCTGCTGGGTCGCACAGCACTCCACCATCTTGCCCGAATTGGCGTAGACAAAGATGGCCGCTCATGGGGCATTCAAAAGAGCAACAAGGGCGAGAATAACAACGGCAACAACCTGTTGCGCAACCGACAACGTACCAACAGTATCCATCGTCCGACACGCATGAACTCGCTCTCGTCTCTTTCATCACAGCCAAACATGGCAACAACTTCACCTACATCGCCCACTGCAACAACCGACGACGGAAACCGCTTCTCGATCCAAAGCTCGGGTTCAAATTCATCTTCAGCGAGCGAGCCGCCCAACGATCCCGTTGTGAAGCATATCATGGCAGCACCGACTGTACCACAACATTTGGCCATGTGCGCTTCATTACTTGTGCGCCTTGGCGCACTTGTCAATATTGCCGATCCGAACGGAAATACGCCACTTCATTTTGCGGCAGAATTCGGAGGAGTTCCGGAAGTGCTTGAAGTGTTGATTCTGGAGGGCGCGGACTTGACGCTGAAGAACATGAAGGGGTTGACGCCTATTGACATGTGTCGAACAGATGAAGTACGGAGTAGAATGCTAGGTAAGAAAGGAAAAATGGACCATGCAAATCTATATACGCCAATAAATGCTGAAAATGAGATGTTTACTTAGGATTGGAGCATGAGCGAAAGCAATCTTTAAAGACGAAATCATCTACATCCTATCTTAGCAGCAACATCAAACCACTGGAAACAGCCAGCGACTACCGCTCCTCACTCTCACGCTCAGTGTCACGGTCAACTCTTCAATCGTCTGTCACAACAGCAGGTGTGCCACCAACCGCGTCAGTAGCAGGTCGCGAGAAATCGAATAAATGGCGTAGCAAACGCCGTGGATCCTCACCTGAACAGCCTTCATCTGACACGGACGAAGAAGATGTTGACGGGGATTTCGAAAAGATACTGAAAGCCTTTTTCGATTACCAAACGACGTTCACTGACAGCATTGAATCAGCACTCGCTCGCATCACTGACAGTATCCTCAACAATGCTCAAATGAGCCAAGAAGAGCACGCGGACTCGACAAAGCGTGTACAAGTTACGACTGCACGCCTCCGATACGAGCTTCAAGAAGCACACGAGATGTTTGATGATACGGATCAACGGGCCGAACGTGTGATGCTCCATTACCGCGAAGAGCTGGAGCAAGTTGAGCAAATTCATCAAGCCGATTGGGACATGTGTGAGCTACAATACGACAAGGTTGAGAAACTCTTTGACGTATTTGAGCGCATCGATGGCCGATTTTGTCAGCTCGAGCTGGACCAGGATGAGCTGATCATGCAGGTCGAACAGATCCGGAAAGCAGCAGCAGCACGCCAGACGACGCGCAGCGAGACCTGCGAATCATACGACGAGTTTATGAGCAGCATCTCCAACATTACACAGTCGCTAACCATTTTGGACACCCTGTCCGTGGATCCGATCTTATATTCACGTGAAGATATCAGTCGCCTATGTCGAGATATTGGACAAATGGTGGATGCGGTTCTGCAAGAGATTGACGAACGGGAGGATGACAAGCTCAACGAAGCTCGCGAAACCATTGAAAAGAAGTGGGAGGTGGTGCGCAATGTTTTGAATCGGAGGGCCTCTCAGGATGATCTTGAAAACCAAATCAGCCTGATGCCATCGCCGCCAGTGGTAACCAAGAGCGTAGCAACGACGCATTGGCAGGAACAACTGACCGCCGCACGACTATATCCTGGAGGAAAGCAACACCGAAAACGTCAATCATTCAAAAAAGCTACGACACTGAACGAACTCGAGCTTTCATATGAAATTTTACAGTCAAACCTCCATGAGGTCCAAAAAGACCTCGACGTTATCAATCAGCAGGTGGCCCAAGTATTGACCAACAAGCGCAAAATGTACGACACATGTTTGAAGCTGGAAGGCGAACTGACGGCACCCGAGAAACAGCGGACGGATGAGGCAATCCGAGCTGAATTGGCTAAAGTACTCACATATACCCAGACTCTGTTCGACAAACAAAAGAGTCTCGAATCAGATCGCACGCAGCTACGCTTCGAATTAAACGACATCGAAAAGCGATTAGAGAAAGTCCAAGAATCATTACGATTAGTGCGTCCACCCTTGCTTTTGCAAGGTCTGCTGGAACGTCTCGAAACTGACATAGGACCAATTGTGCGGATTGAGAAGGACTGGAAAGAAGACACCAACTTTGTCAGTGAAGTGTACGAATCAGAAGAAGAGTCTGACGATACGAGCAGCTCGGCAAGCAATAACGATTACATACCCAAGTGGCTCGACGAGCGCTTTGCCAGCAAACTGTCTCTTCAATGTCTTATCACCCGCCTCGATGCTAGTCTTTACTGCCTCAAGGTCTTGGCCAGGAACCATATCGGTCGATCACGCCAACTGCTGCTTGAGGTTCAAGCAACCCTGAACCAAGCCAACGCCGAATTAGAAGACACGCGCACGCAGATGAATGTCTTGTACGATGACGCAGCTGAAGTGGCACATCAGGTGTTTACTCTCAAGACCGAACTGGAAACGATTGTCAAGCATCGCAAAGAGGAAATTGTCAAAGTATGGGAGGTGGTCGAAGAGGTGTCGGAAGGCATCGACATAATCGAATCTAACGAGATACCACCACCGCTCGAGGAAGACAAGAAAGATCGGGCCGAAGAGGAGCAGGATCGCCATCAGTGGATCGTCCATGAACTCGAGCAGTTGCAGACAGTGCATGAAAATTTGCAGGATGCTATTGAGGAATTGCAGCGGGACCAGAATAACATTGGAAAGAGTCTTCGACGACTGGCTACTGCACTGATCGAACCGCAAGTGGATCGACTTGTTGGTCAAGACGACGCGTCGCTACTTACGATCAGTGACCGGTTGACGGAACTTATGGAACGCGTGCAGTATCGCGAATGCGGTGTTGTATCAACAAAATTACCAAGGTAAGAAGCGGTAATATAAAAAAATTAGGAAGGCAACTTTACAACTCAATATGTTTTCTGTTTCCTATTAGTGCTGTTAGTGAAGATCAAGCACGACGGGCTTCAAATGCAAGCAAGCGGATTTCGGTAGCCACGCAAAACAGCTTGCGATCTTCAGTGGTGTCAGCCCGACCGCCTATTGAGAAACCAAAACAACGTGTTCCACATACCAATGTTCATACTGCCATTCGAACAGATAAGCGTCGCATGTCAATCATGTCCACTTCCAGCTTCACCTCTCTTTCATCTTATCAACAGGATCGTATGCTCGCCAGAGCTTCCACTTTAAGCAGTGCTTTTAGTCGTTCCCAACATTCACTTGTACATCGTTGATATCTATTAAAATATACATATTTACACCACTGTTATGTCTTTTTAATGGTCAAAGTATTACCCTAAGTTGAAAATTCGAAAGGTTGTGAAGCGTGTTTGAGCTAGGACTGTGATTGGAGGTATGGAAAGTACCAAAGTGGGTTGTGAAAATGGGTTATCTTACACGTTATTGGACATTAGAGCTATCATTCACAATACATATCAAAAACAGCTTTTGCTATTCTGTGGATGCGACCAGGTTCAAACGACTCGATTTTCAGCAATGCTTCGTTACAAAATAATCTCTGCTAGTGGAGGAAGTTGGTATTGTATAGCAAGATGGGATGGATGGATTATTTTGTTATGTTTGAAGGATTAGCGAAGAGGAGGGGAGCAATGGTTTAAAACATTTAAAGGGACGCGATAAAAGAGAGTTATGCACCAGTGTTGAGTAGCTGGAACTTGACGACCTTGACCTGGGTATACTCCTGCAAAGCATATTTACCCAACTCCTTGCCAAAACCTGATTGCTTATAGCCACCGAAGGGTGTGGATTGGTCGAAGACATCGAAAGTGTTTACCCAGACAGCTATAATAGATATTTGGTTAGTGTGTGTTGTATGGTGCTAGATATTGCAAAATATAATGTAGCAAAACCGGTTAATATTAAACTTACTTCCAGCCTTAATCTCGTTGGATACGCGGATAGCAGTATCAACGTTAGAGGTGTAGACACCACCGGCCAAACCATAGGTGGAGTCGTTGGCCAAAGCAATAGCTTCATCAATGGTTTCAAAGGTAGCAATTCCCACCACAGGGCCAAAGATTTCTTCTTGCATTATTCTATTATACCCATCGCGTTAAAATTAACATTGCATTATGTCATTGGACGCCTCTTGCTCTGCTTCTTTTTCCAATTTTCAATTCCAAAAACTAAAAGCTATGTCAAACCTCATGTTGTTCTTGCAATTGATGAAGATGGTTGGCTCGATGTAGTAGCCCTTATCACCCCATCGCTTGCCACCCTTATACAACGTAGCACCTTCTTCTTGGCCAATCTTGATGTAGTTCATAATCTTGTCGAACTGACCTTTGCTGATCTGTGGTCCCTGGAAAGTGTCTAATAAAAAGAACCGTTTACACTATTAGACAAAGAAAAAGTCCCTTCTTATTTCAACACTTCTCTCATTTTACCTTCAGCAAATGGGTCGCCAAGAACAATATCATCAGTGGCCTTGACAAAGAGGTCCATAAACTTGTCGAATACAGATGATTGGACAAAGATACGCGAACCGGCATTGCAGCTTTGACCGTGGTTGTTAAAGATACCACCGCAGGCCATGACTGCAGCGTTCTTCAAATCGGCATCGGCGCAGACAATTTGTGCAGACTTGCCACCAAGCTCGAGCTGAAGCTTCTTCAAGTTGCTATGAGACGAGGATTCCATGATCTTGCGACCGGTGACAGTAGAACCAGTGAAAGCCATCTTGGAAACAAGCTTGTGGTTGGCCAAGAAGTTGCCAGTAGTGGCACCATAACCAGTGATGATGTTCACAACACCAGCAGGGAAGCCAGCTTCCTTGGCTAAGGCAGCAAACTTGAGCATGCTGAGAGGCGTAAGCTCAGAAGTCTTCATGACAACTAGTAATAGCAGTGATTACATCAGCCTTTCATCCTACTACACTACCAGCCATGTGATACCATTCACCACCATTACATAATCGCAGTCCTATTAGTTAAACAAGGTATTTGTAGACATACCACAGTTGCCAGTTGCAAGGGCAGGAGCAAACTTCCATGCTGCCATCATAATGGGGTAGTTCTATTTCATGAGGGAGAAAGTATGAGCTTACATTGAAGGTATAACACACGTGATCATCTTAGCAGATGATTTAACTTACCCATGGAATGACAGCTCCGACAACACCCAAAGCTTCGTGACGCGTATAGCACCAACGGTCTGCGACGGTATCGATCGTTTTACCTATTTTGAAACCTTTATTAGCCATCTCTCCTTTCTTCGTTTATATTTACAATGTTCAACGTCACTCGTATATATCTTACCATGAATTTTGTCGGACCAGCCCGCGAAATAGCGGAAGCATGCAATCGAGTCAGTGATATCGATATCGCGAGCAACAGTGTATGCCTTGCCGTTGTCTAAAGCATCAAGAGCAGCCAATTCTTCCTTGTCACGCTCCATAAGATTTGCAAGCTTGTTTATTAAGAGACCGCGTTCCGCTGGTGCGACCTTGCGCCACACGTTGTTAAAGCAGGTATTGGCGGCTTCGACAGCAGCGTTGACATCGCTTTCGTCAGCAGAATGGACAGCGCAGATAACTTCTTCTGTGGCAGGATTAATGTTTTCAATCAAAGGACCATGGCCGGGCACAAACTCATTGTTGATGAAGAGGTGAGTGTGGACTATGCATCATAGTAGTAGCAATATACATGTTTTAATCATCATCATCAGCAACCACAAAGAGGTCAGCGAAGGAACACAAACTACTTGGGTGTCTATTTAGCTTACCCTCAAGTTTCTTGCCGTTGGAGAGAGTGACGCTTTGAAGATCTGCAGCCATGTTTATTTCTCTCAGAAATAATAAAGGTAAAAGAGAGAGAATAAAAATAAGAGCATACGCTTTATACCGTGTAAAAAAAGGCTTGGTCAGCTAAAGTCAGTTTCACACGGTGCATATCACAATGATTTGGCATAAACAGCCAAACATGGGAAGCGCCTTTTGCAGCGGCGCTTAATACCGCTCTGGTGATGTCGGTGTGTGCGTGTTGTGTGAGAGCAAACTCTGTTAGCAATCTGCATAGTTACACAAGCGATAGTGCCTTATCATTGTACGATCTGCCACCACTACAAGAGCCACTTTCTGTACATATATTGACAGGACCGCAAGCTCATATAAAGAAATACAATCGGCTTGTTTCCGGAATGCTATCAAGAAGCCAGCTTTTGATGAAGTGTAACGGGTGAGACCTGTACTAAACAGGGCTACAATGGAGTGGACAAGAGGGACTAATAAATGTTGTGACTATACTGGTTTTTCTGTTACACACTTTTCTCTTTCGCATGACGAGACGATTGGGAGGCTCGAGATCTTGAACTCGGAAACAGGCTTGACAAAGCTGTATGAGAAGCGAACTTCTCGAGAGCTATACTACTAACATATATTACATTTGGCTTAGCTCGATCTCAGTGAGAAACTATTGATAATAGATTCAATGACGCGATCTTTAAAAGCAGCACTGGTGTGCCCTCAGTTCTATCCATACCATCGTCACATATTATATGCTAACAATACACAGTCTTCGATAGTGTATCTTACACCACTAAAATGCTTCCGTTTTGCTGACCATGTTGCTGTAAGTAATTGTTGATAACGTTCGGCGATTTATGCAACTCAAATCCTCTATCGTGTGAAATGCCAAAAAATTATGCACCAATAATCTATTTAAAATGGACCCAGACGGCCTGTGCTACTGTCCGTGAACGCGAAGAACAGTAACAACTGTCGCTTCTGTCTATAAAAAGACCTGGTTGGTCCCTTGTATTACAAGAAACCACAAGATCCGAAACATTAATAATCTCGAACACAGATGGAAGCATAAGAAGCATAATTTATCAGATAGCATGTTGAAAATAAGAATGCTTATCCAGTGAACAAAAGGAGTCCCACGACTTCTTCCTAGTAGTACCATCGATTCTCTATTAGCCTCTTTCGCTTATTTTATTTTTTACTTACCTAGTATTCAACAATGTCTCTTTCAGCGTAGGTAGTAGAAACTATAACAAAAGCATCTTTCCAATTTTAATCTTTGCTTTCCTCGTAATTGCTTTCATCAGGGAAGAAACATTTGCTCAATTGGTTGCCAAAAAGAATGATCCGGTTAAGCCCTCGGTCGAAGAAGAGATCTATAACCAGCTCAAGCCTATTGATAAACCCAGCTTTTTGTTTGGCAAATGGGATGGTGGTTTTTTGAATGATGGCCATGCTGAAATTCCAGGCTTGAAGGAAATTCGCTGGGTCGGCATCAATTTCTTTTCGGAAAGAGATGTGGAGCCAGTAGTTGTATTAAATGATGCGGGAGAGCATGTTTGGTACGAGAAGCTAGGACGTGCACAGGTAAGAAGCTTAATACATACAGTATAAAATAATATCTTTTCTAAGCCATTAACACGTTATTAACTTTAATCAAAAACTGTCATTACAATATTAGCTACGTCAAATAGTATTTCGTGGCGTTTTATCCACAGCCATGGTATACGATGATAATCCTACCATTGACCATATGCGCTATGTCAACGATGACTTGGTGATGGGTGCTTCAGATATCAAGGGATCGGAGGAAAATGGCATTTTTTACTTTTTCTTGCAACGAAAAAAGGATTAAGATAGTTTAACCAATAAATAATCATTATCCGCTATTGCACACACAGCATCACCATCCTTGATAAAATGCTCTGCGTACTTTCACAGATGTACAAGTATACATTGCGAACTAAAACGGAGATCATTGTCGTCTATGTAGGTCGCGTTGAAGACTACAGTGCGCGGTTCTCCTACTTTGTGCGTATTTAAACTATACATGGTCCTGCCGTTAGTAACTATAAAATAACATATCTTATCTGGTGAAATATAGCTTTGTTGCTGTTATTGATATGATTGATGCGTGCAATTGCTTCTGTTATAAATGCTCGAAATTACATTTCATGAGCAACATTATAGACACATACTAAAAGTCAATACACAGTGAGTACCTAAGCTGAACATAAACCGTAAACAAACTGCTACTGCTGATGTTGTTGCTATATAAAGGAAACACCACTTACTAAATCAGTAGGATAACTCCGGATTTATTTTTGTTTTCGGTCTATGCACCTGTTTATTAGGAGTTACATTCAAAGGTACTTATAAACAGCACGACCCATATATCATGGCGTATGTACAGAATTTATGACAAGCTTTAATGTAATGCGGTCTATATTATATATTTGTTCCATTGTTGCCTAGTACACCTATTATTATATAGAATGCAAAGGCAAATGTATACTGTAATAGTAGCTGTAATGATGTATAATATACATTTAAGTGGAGCTTGCTTATACTTCCTGCAGAAGATAGTTTTGCAACATCATTGCCACTATCTACAGTATCATATCTGATTTTTTGTCGTTCGGAAAAACGAAAAGACCATCGAATTCCCTTATCTGGCCTTATGCCAAGTTTTTACTGGTTAGCACGCGAAGGGGGTGGTTGATCAACAGCGCCAGTGCATCTAGTAGCTGTATCGTTGGAACTCGTTTTAAAATTTACGCCAAGTCCAAGTACTCTTTTTTCCTAGGATCATTGGAAAAAAGAATTGTTCTTATACCTGGCTGTGGCTGCCGAGTGAAGACTGTTAGTAGTGCCATTTTGCCCTCCATACACAACATCGCACTACTCCTTTTCCACAAAAAAACTGGCTCCCTGCTTCTTGTTGGAAGCCTCTATCATATAATAAGCAATTGTGCGTCATCAAAAGTAGTGTTATAACATTCGTAACGGTCGTATTATACGAAGAATTACAACAGTAAAAGGAGCCCTATTGTGGGTTATTGAGTGGAGCACGACGTAACATTTAACCAAAAGCTTGAGCTGATGACATGTACAGATGGAGTAACTTTCAATTAGGGATACTGTAGCAGTGGAAATGCTGCGTACATGGGGTAGCACTTGCGCCCATGTGTTGTTGGCTCAAAGCACGAGGGAGTAAATAGATAATGACAAGAGGTAGGGGCATATGTTTGCTGCTTCTGCTGCTTGAGCAAAGGAAAAAAAAGAGTAAAGCATGTACGGTACTTATGTTTTTGCATCAAAGTGTAATAGGCGGCTAAAGCTAGCATATTAGCCACCAATAGTGATTATTAAACTATAAGCGAATGATAAACAAAGAAATTAGTGTATCGTTCATACAGAAGTCTTTGGTTTAAGTTATTTTCGAGTTATATGGCACACTACGAAGATTCACAGTAGTATGATATGTTGTATCGATACATGGCAGATGCTTCGCCATTTTAGCATCCCTGCGTCGATTGGCGAAGCACATTTTGCGAGATGTCAATCTCGACGTGCATCAATGCTTACACATCTTACTCTGACGACGTATGTCCATCTAATATACTGACAGCTCAAGCTATTCTTCATATCAGATTGCTCTGACATGGTATCTTTCTTTATTTCACAAAATGACATCTATCATCATCACTATCACCCCTATGTGTTGTACATGTAAGCCGTTGGTTGCTCGGCGTATGCTTACTTGATAAGCGTTAAAATGGGAGGTGCTACAAAAAAGCTTTTGGGTCTGTATGTACCGTTCGGGGGCAATGGGGGATGATGATACCTCTAAGCATCGTGGGACGAAGTTAGGGGAAAATGGAAAAAGAGCTGTCGGCTATATCATACGTCGGCATGAAAGTGCACTGATCCACTTTTTTCTTAAAACACTAAAAGTAACAGGTATGTTGCTGGTATTTACGTTGAAGGTTGTAAAGCTTATAGACTTGGCTAATTTACTTTTTTTTTTTCACTTTTGCCACCCACGCCAGCAACGAGGGGTGGCAACGAGACTATCCATGTCAGCATGTGAGAGATGATGCTGCTGATGTTCCTACGGGCCGTCAATCAATTTAGATGACAGGTTGTGTTTGCGATCGGACCATCGAGACTTCCAGACAACATGTCAAACTCAAGTGACCCCATCACCATCACCATCAACCTCCCCGTTAAAAAAGAAGGTTGAGATATGGAAAAAAGTTTCTTCAACTCTATAATCTGACATACACTTAAAAGTATCTCCTTTTTCTCTTTGGCCGAATGATATCTTTTACGTTTAGCCATTATGAGTTTGATGTTTCTACTGCTCCTGCTTCAATCATACTACTGTAGCAAAAGCTTTTAAAACGTCAGTTTTTTGATTCTCACCACCATCTAGAATAAGGAAGAGGAAATCAAGGGGAACAGCATTTCCTTATCAAGAAGATAGCCCTGCATCCCGTTATACGAGTGAATGAGTTGCCCCGTTCTCTAAGTGTGCAGCATCACACGCTAAATCTTCTCACTTATGTTCTGAGACGAGGCACAAACAAAAAGTGATTGTCCCGCAGATCATCCAGTTTTAACGATAATGATTCATGCACAAACATGACAGTATCTGTGCACCCATGATTTTGTCACGAAAACATATTTTTAGACTTAGAAACTGCCTCAATGCCAAGTGTAACATATATACTCACCAACATAAACAAAAGGAAAAAAACACAGCATTTTGCTCCAACTCCATCTTCATCCCCAAAGTATAAACAAGCTTTTCGATAATCTCTCCCCAAAATCGGGAGCAACTTTTTGGGTATGATATATATCACCTAGTGTACTATATACAATATAGGGAGCTTTAAAAAGTTCTCTCTTGGAGGCGGTAAAAGGAAGAAGGAAAAAGAAATTTACCATGCGATCGTGCGCAAGAGCACGTCCAGGCACTGGTGTTGTTGTTGTACACATAGCTGTTGCTGCTATTTAGTTTTTTTTTCAAGCTCTCTCTGCGTGTATGTGTCTCCCACCCAGTTCCTCCCCTTTTCCCACCCTAAAAAAAGGTTTCTACTGGTGAAAGCACCAGAAAGTACAGCATAAGAGAGAGAGAGAGAGAGAGAGAGGCTACCCCTATTTTAGGCTTTTCAGAAAACATTTATATAAAGTCAATCCATCAAAGCAACCCAGGTCCACTCCTTTCGAACGGCTCATCTTTGTTTCTACCTACTTTCTCTATTCTTCTATGTCATCCACCGTCAAGTCCAAGGATAGGACTTCTTCCGCTGGCCAAAAGTTTTGGCATCTGAAAAAACTCGCTCTCGGTAAAACAAGTACCAACGAGCAACGACCACAACGACCACCGAGTCCGGCAGGTAATACCAATCCACCTAGTGGCAGCTATTTTTCTCAATAATATTTAGTGATAAATTAATATCTAACTGTTTTTTTTAAAACTACAGAGTCGGCATTTTCTATAGACACGGCTAGCCTATGCGATGAAGATTCCCCGAAGCCTAGAAGCAAAAGGTTGAGGTAAAAGGAGACACTGTTTATTTACCTTGTCTATACAACACCAAAATTGTTTTCTCACTCATGCATTTATCGCCATGATGCCATATTCATTCACGCACTCAGTGTGCTCCTTTCCAACCGTCGACAAGGGAATAATGGCAAGATAGCACCGGCCAAAGCGCCGACGATGCCAACTGCAATGAGTGTACAGAATTTGCAAGCTCTGTCTAGCAGTCCTTCACTAAAAACCAACAGCATGAGCAACACTACACGAACAGCAGCAGCAGCAACAACAGCTGGAGGAGTACGTCAACGCACCATGTCACATACCGTTGGAGCTACTGCGGTCAACGATACTCGAGCAGCTTTCCTTCGCAGCCGAGCAGCAGAAGGTGCCGGCGGTCATGGATTGACTCGACATGCAAGTGTGCGGGACATGAAGAGCCGGGCAGCGTCAGGAGGCGACAGGTTACGATCAGCTTCTCCGCCCATGTGCAGCAAGCCCAATGCATCCGAAGAACCTGTCGTGGATCCTGCCACGCATCCTATCCTTACGAAAAAACGTAGCAGTCTGCCTACTGATAATAGCAACAAGCCGATCATTGCTGCCACTGACGATCGTGCTGCTACCATGGCTGCTCGTCCTCGTTCGCTTCGTCCTGCATCCTCGTTTGCAAATTTACGATCACGTCGATCTCAGGATGAACCCAGAGTGGAGGAATGGTCGCAGCACAAGAATAATGTCATGCAGCAGCAGCAGCAGCAGCAGTCTCCGCCACCCACACCTACAAGTCCTCGTTTAGCTAGATCGAATACCGTGCAAAACTTGTCACAGCCAGTATCACCTCGCACTCCTCCCCGTGCATCGCCACGTTCTGCTCGTGGTCTGCCTCCTGCTGCTCCCCTAGCTTCTGGTAGTCCCAAGGCTGATGAAGATATGTCATCATCCACAGAGGAGCTGAGCTGGTCCCGAAGCAGTGATGAAGATGTGGCTGCTAATAACAAGGATGAAGATGGCGACAGCACAGACTTATCTTCGGACTCGGATCATAATCCAAAGCGCTCAGAAGCATATTGGCGTAGTAAACTTGACAAAGAGCGCGCTGTCGTAAAGGCATTACAGCGTCAAAAAGAAGGTAACATGGTAGAAAAGTTGATAAGTATGCGACGATTGCGCCTTAATAATTCTTACAAATGAATTTTTGCGTGTTGTATAGCGTGCAATAAAGACATTACGTTCCTGAGCCAATCGGTGGATGACCTTACGAATGAAAAGCAAGCCTTACAAACTAAATACGAGTCAGAAAAGGTACTACATGGACAAGCTGCCCTTACTTTCATATTAAACTTCAAAAGAGAGATACTTATATACGTTTCGCTTGCATGATGATAGACATCCAAAGAGCGGTTCCAAGATGACTTATCGTGTGTGACAGATAAGCTGAATGAAGCCACTGAAACGGTCAGGTAAATATACATAGTTTGCGGTATAAACCTTATAGGAAACTTCATGAAAATAATACTCATTCGATAAAAAAAATACATGTTTTCAGACAACTTGTTACTGAGAAAGCTGAATTGGAGAAAGCCATAAATGAGCTACGAAACAGCCATGAAACAGCCTTAGGCGAAGAAAAAGCCAAGCATGAAAAGTCCAAATCTTCAGAGACTTTGTCAAATGAAAAACTGCAAGCACAGCTGCGGCATTCACAGGATCAAGTCCGTGTCCTCAAGGCAACGATGGAGCAATTCTTGCGCATGGGCATCTTCAGCGAGGACATATCTGTCTATAGCGATATTACCTCAAAATATAGCACAACCACCAAATCAAGGTATGTGAAATGAATGATAACACATGGTATCGGTGATTCTTTGCTATCTACAGTAAAACCAACCTTTTAATTTGCACGATATAATTAGTGCCATCGAGTCGTTTGTTCAAGAACAACGTCAAGAACAGCAACACACTGCGGTGACAGCAGTAGTCACCTCAGCATTATCCAAGCCAGAAGAAATCAAGGAGTCATCCCAGATGAACGACAAACCAACAACAACAACAGCGGCAACAAAGAAAGAATTACCAGAAATCAAGTCCGTCGCTGATTTAGACATGCATTTGAGAGAACTCCTTCGGGAAAAGGAACTCGTACGTGGATTTTATATTCTTGTTGTATTCCTAATTCTTCTTGTTTTATTCTCCTGAAAAATCCTTCACCTAGCGACCCCCTCTCATCCTCATATTTATTGTTCTTATTTACTACGCTACCTTATTTTTCGTACTCTTATTACCACTTTACTACTACCATTTCTGGCTATCCGAATAATTGATTTTAATCCGAACCCTTCTTTTTTCTTCTTTTTATGTGTAAAGCTTCAAGCGGAATATAGCAAGATTCCTATCAGCGGTGTCAACGCGCTCACGCGTCGTCGGAGAGAAGAGCTTGAAGCTCGGCTTGACCAAGTGGATTCACAGATCAGTAAAATGAAACTCAAGCACCGGGATCTTCTTAAAAAGTAGTTATAAAATATAAACCAATTAATAATACTATAAAAAATTATGCCCTTAATCATGTTACTGATGGGTCCTAGTTTGCAGCGAATAAAAAAAAAGTAGTGTGTTTTTTTTATATAAATAACGCTAATAATAATAAACAATGGACTGCAAATAAAACATGTGGTGCAGTGGGGTTTTTTTGATATATAATGATTCCTGTGCACCTTCCTTGCAAACAAGATGACAAGAAGCGGAGCAAGGAGAAGAGGAGACAGAGCAAAGATAAACAAATCAGTACAAAAGAGGAACTGATGGATAAAGAAAGAAAGAAAACGAGATATGAAGGGTTGAAAATGGGGGGGGGGTGGAAGAAGACTAACTATGATAAATGGTAGATATTACGGGAAGAAAAAAGAAAAGAAGGAAAAAGATAGGATTAGCTATGACATGACAAGATGAAGAAGGGGTAAGGGTTTGGTTTTGACTATTATCTCGAAATACGATGATGTCCCAAGGGTCCAAAGTACGAGTATTCACCACAGCTACCGAAAAACCGCGGGTTGATCACTGGAACTTCCATGGTGGCAGCAGCCTTCACGGCTGGACGACTTGCCCAGGCACGGACCCACGATACAAAGTGCTCTCTCTCATGCTCATTGACGCCGTGAATCCCAATGACATCGTGATGATCCACTGCAACAACCGACGCTTCCTCCATGATATCCTCGTCCATCAAGGTTCGTGGAGACGCGAGCAACGATGGACTGCTCGTTGTTGTCGTCGTGTCATCAGTAAGCTCACAAATCCTCGGCGGCGCTTCAAGTCTTTGGTCACAAGCACTGTGCTGACTGTGAGTGCTGCTAATGCTACTTCCCGACGATGATGCACGTTTTGGTCTGGAGGACGAAGATGCTGCTGCTGGTAGCTTGACTACTGCAGTCTCCCTCGATGCCATATGAAGAGGGAGCTTGGTCAACGGAGAGGTGCGTATGTTACCGTTGCTGGCGCTTTTCGCAATGACGCTGTTAGTGTTGCCGTTGCCGCTGCTATTACTACTGCCATTATTGCTGTTTCTCATAGCAGCAGATTGTTTGCTGTTGGGCCTCATACGCTGTGTCGAGGATAATGATCGGGACGGAGTGGGACTTATTAAGGGAGACGCTGGATGATGCTGATGGTGATTATGATGATGATTATGGTGATGGTGATGATGATGTGAGAGCCGCTTCGACGAAGAAGATGCTGCTCCTGAGCGTCGTTTCGGTACAAGTGCTTTTAAACGCTCCAACTCAATGTCATTTGGAGACAAAGGAATCTCTGCATTACTTTCATCTGAGGCCGCAGCAGGCGGGCAAAGTACCTTGGCCTTGATTGCGTTTGGATTGCTCCAAGCAGATCGTCCAGCGTGGCGTTTGTCTGAAGCGGCGTCTTCCCCAAGGATCGGAAACTCGCTCTCTTGTAACGACCCGGAGCTGTCAGGCTGTTCGGATCGATATGATGACGGAGGTGTAGCTGTAGTCGCAGTTGTCGCAGGATTGATGGTGGTGGTGGTGGTTGTAGTGTTGATGTCGTGATGTGGTTTGGGTTGAAGTTTATGCAATGGGCGTCCTGGATAGGGCGATGAGTTGGAAGATCGTGGGGCTGGATTGTGGGTTTTCACTATACGTTATGCGCATGAATTACAAGGGCTAATGTAAGAAACGGGTCTTTTCAAATGGTGGAAAGTAAAGGGGGCTTGAGGAAGTAAAGAAAAGCTATTTGAGACAAACCTGGCACTGCACGCTGCGGGGATATGGCATTGGGACTGCCTGTGAGTTTATAAAAAAGAAAGAGAATCAGAATGTGTCATCCTCTGTCTTTTTTTTTCTCTAACCGCGTACTCCATCCTTCCGCACATATCTCCTTCTTCCTTTTTTGCTTTTCTTTCCCCAACCCCCTCTTGTCCTTCTAACGTACTTGTTGAGAATGACGAAAATGCTAAATTCGACGGTTTATGCGATTCCTTACTGTTAGCCATCCAGCTCGGCGCGAACACATATGCAGCAGGACTGGTTAGACGACCAGACGGAGATTTTTTCGACGCATTGGATGACGAAAGTCGCGCCACACTGTGTTCGTCTGTCGAAGAAGCAACAGGGGACATACGGCGTTGCACTTGATGTTGCGGCTTCTGTTGCTTATTGGTTGCTGTTGGTTTCTGGTCTTATGCTGCTGTGTTTATGGTAGTGAGGAAGCAAACAAACTGTGGAGAACGAGTAAAAGAAGGAAAAGACGTGGGTCGGCCCAGGTGCGTAGCCTGCCTTGTTTGGTTAAAGAAGTGAGGGGAAAGGGAGAGAAAGAGAAAAGAGAGAGAGAGACAGAGAGATAGAGAGAGACCGTCTTTGTTTATGTGTATAGTATATGTTTAGATATACTTTATATCTTTTTGACCCTGTAGATTATATAATGGTGGAAATGACAAAACAAAAGAGAAAGAACACTTTGGAGCAGATTGCAATGAAATTTGTACAGAGAAGAAAAGATTCAAGGGCCAAGATGGAAGCTGTACTGCTCAAACAGCAGCGGCGATTGTCTTCAATATCGTTGGAAAGGTGGAAAGGGTGAAGCGGCAATAATGACAGAGGCCGAATCGGCAGCACGTCAGTACATGTAATGGCTGTTTACAGTTTGTCGGAAGGTCAACAAGGGACGTGGGGGTTCAAAATAAACTGGCAAGGCTCGAAAGAAGAGAAAATAAGAACAAGAGTATGAACAAAGAGAGAGGGAAAGAAAAAAAAAAGAAAGAAAAAAGGATGGGTTTTGAGAGTCCTAAACAAGAAAGCAGAGCGCTTTAGCCAATCATATTGTCTGTACCCTTCATCAGACATAGCTAGCTACTCTACTGCCACTATGAAAATCTACCACGATTGCTTGGCATGGGCACTCTTGAAAAGCTTAGCAGAGAGCAAGGCTTCCTACAGGAGTACATTGCTCGCCTAGCCCAGAGCCGCTTCTTTAAAGAAGAGATTATCCGTTTCTATCAGAATCAGAAGGGTTCATCATGCAGTGTTGGTTAATCTGCTGGGTCACTCAGTTCTGAAAATGGACTAGCCTACAAATAAACCAGCTCCCAATAGACCAGAAATCCCGGCTCTCGCCTTTGCCTGTTCACACATTGAATGCTAACACTATTGGATTAACAACTTGTTGTAAAATCTATTCAAACGGACATACATAATGTAGCAATTCTGTGCTATATATCAACAAGTACCACTTGCAGATTGTAGTGGCAGCTATGATACATTAGTATCAGTATAGCTTTTTGCAATTGATTTTCATGTCAACTGGAGAAACAATGAAAAATCCTCTGGTTACAATTCTGTCCTTGTGGATGGAGTCTTCTGGAAGCAACAATTCATACTTCCTCACTATTTATAATAATAATCGTTAACAATCCGAGATTGAAAATAAAAACAGTCCATCGGTATAGTTTCACTCTTTATGTTTCAATACTCACAAAGCATAGACAATAGTACTCGTTGTTCTGTCATACTGAAATTCATTCCGATGCATTGACGAGAACCGTTAGAGAAGGGTAGCCAAGCAAATCCTATACCTGCCAACTTCTCCGCTTCTCCGTTAGGTGCAAAGCGATCTGGGTTAAATTCTTCTGGATTCTTCCAAACGGAAGGATTATGATGAAGCTCGTACAGGGAGCACATAACGCGAGTTCCCTTGGGTATAAATACACCGTCAAGATCGGTATCTTGCGCTGCTACACGCCCAATAAGACCGGCCACAGGACTATTGATACGCAACGTCTAATAGACGGTAAAACATTTCGTTTTCACTTGAGAAATTGGTAGCCAATGTTTTGTTACTTATGTAAAAACGACATTCGTCATATATACCTCTTTAATAATCTGGTTTATATAAGGCATATTGCGTAGTTGATCTTTTGTAGGCAGAATATCAGTTGATTCGTTGCCGAGGACCTTTATAGCTTCTTCTCGAGCTTTTTGTTGGATGTCCTATAATAGTATCCGACCGTATAAATATCGATAACACATACAGCAACAAACAGTCGTAAATATATAGTACGGAGCTCACTACTTACTGGATGTCTTGCTAAATAATATGCCATATAGGACAAACTGTTTGCAGTAGTATCATGGCCAGCTGCGAAAAAGATGCAAAGGTTGCTCTATGTATCAGCATTATTAGTTATATTGCTTGATCAAAACACTCATAGTACCTGGACACCCTGCAAAATGACATACCTTTATTTCTTCGTCCGTCATTCTTCCATTGCCCTCAGCTGAAGCTTCCAACATGAGAGTAAGTAAATCCTTTTCACTGTGATTCATGCCGGACAGATCCACGCCGCTTAGATCTTGACGTTTCTTGTCGATGATGCTTTGGAGCATATCAAGGAAAACATCGAGCTCTTTATGTATTTGTCTTCGCTTAGGTAATAAAGGTAAAAAGAAACGTTCCAGAATTGGAAATATGACATAGCGTATTTCCATCATGGCTTTCATAATGTTGCCATAGCGATCGACCCACTCGTTGTTAGGTTTACTGATGGCATGAAAATCGAAATCTACAGAGAAACAATAATAAGTATCTTTATCTATATTTTTCTCGGCAATCACTCTCCCGAAATATTTCATGCATCGTGTCATACCGAAACCGGCACGTCCTATCGCGTCAAGAGCCCAGCGCTCCATTAGATCATGGAAATCTATAGGCGAATCCAGCATAGTATCCATTGTGCAAAAAAGCTCCTGTGTCAGCTGTCCAAACAGACTGACCGGCAGGGATCGATGGAAAGCCGGGTTTGCTATCTATCATAGTAAAGCAGTAATGTTCACGACAAAGAATGAGTTAAAAGAAAGGCGCTTTTCTATTCTCTTTATATATACCATGCGCTGAGCCTTCCATTTATCTCCATTTAAGATAAGAATGTTAGGGCCAAATGCAAATCGTCCGAGTAGTGTGCTTTGACCGACAATTTGCATATCCTGCTTTTGGAATATATCTAGAATGTAACAAAGAAAAACTTTAGCACTGTTTGACAATATATACATCCATCGCTATAATGGACAAGCACGTAGTCACACACACACCTGTCTTCATCAGTAACTTTCTTGCATTTTCAGGTCGCGTAACATGCACTACCCAGGCAGTCCAATCAAAGCTCTAAAATAAACGTCGTATCTTTAAACAGGCTGCATGAAAAAAAGAAGACAGAAAGTCATACCAGGTAGAGACTTTGCTTTGACTGTGACGCAAGCGAAAGCTCACGATCCTTGAAGAAGCCATACAGATAATCGAAGAAACTTGTATGCTTAATGTGGCGTAATCTTTTCGGCGGTTTCGTGATATTGTCATATGCAAGGCAGCAGCAGATTGCTGCTGTGGCAATGGCAATGGGTGTTTTCTTTTGTTGCACAAAAGTGCTCATTGAAACACTGTCAGGAACAAAAGTTAGCAATCGGGGCATCAAGGCGTCAAATGTAGAGCTCATGGTAGAAAAGAATATGATTTTTGGAAAAAAAGGTATGTTGAGCCATCATTATGCCCTTCTATGCGTTTATCTTAAATAATGACAGACTTTCGTACGGCGGGCATCATGTTTCCCACCGAGTTCCGATGAGTCAAACCTGGAGCGGGTGTTCCTTGTGCTACAATGACCAATTCATCAATGTAAATAAAAATTGATAGAATGCCCCATACTACGCTGCATCGTCATGGAAATATGGTCGCCGTGAGACTACATGACGTGATATGTAGCTTGGATACAGCCTGCCGTCATATTATGGCAATACGAAAGACAATTTATAAATAAAAAGGCGCAGTAGTACGGTGCTTATCATACTCTTTAAGGTGAGTTTTATTATAAAAAAGTCATACAGACCATATAGTTGAAGCTCTTCTTCGTTTAGGTAACTTCATCATTCGCCTTAAGGATGGAGGAGCTATGGAGGTTTCACCTTTACAAAGTCAAAACGCCATAATCGATGTTGACAAATTCGAAAGAGAACGGCGTTAACCGGACAATATCTTTCCCGGTACTGCAACATGGGATGTGATAGACATCGTTGGCAACTACGAAATGCAAAAATATAGAGCGATAAAGGCATGCTAACAAACTTTATAAAGGCTTCATCGCTGCAATTGCGTGCAAGAGCTATGACATTGTGCGATATTTGTTCTTCATATAAAAATGCAAGTAGAACGAGCAATAAATACTACTTGTATGACAGAAAGATGGAGCAAAGATAGGGTAAATGTGCTTAGAATTGCATAAACGTTGCATATGGGATGCATACATGGGTATATGCATTGCAAACCCAGAACTCCCCTATTGCAGATACATGTATATCTACGTACAACAAAATCCTCTTTCATAATCCTTGTTTAAATTTCCAAACACTTTCGATCCCATTGACATGCCTATTGACAATTATTAAGTTGTCAACATGAAGCATCAGCGACACTCGAAGTTATATTGCGCCTGTAGACGACAAAAGCAACAATAGCGCCACTATGTTTAAACCGCATTCGTGGCACCTTGGATCACCATGAGAAGATTTCGCAGTTGCCTCGAAACTGCTGTCACAGGATCTCGCAGTATTTGTTGCTGGCTGAGGCGTTTCTTTGTCATATAGATCTTGCTTCTCATCAGCAGAAAAATATTGCTTGCTAAGATACTTTTCTTTATCGTTTTCATTTGCTTTATAGCGTTTCAACTGCATATTTCCATCGATAGCAACGAACATACGGTCCTCAATGCCAAAAACATTGCCTATCTTGTTAAATTTTTAGCTTTAAAATTATAGCAATTGACTGAAGTGTTGTATTACCGGGGGACAAGCAGGGCAGCCTTCTTCCTCTTTTACCGAAGGATTTTCAGATGCTAGCTTCTCTTCAACAAGCGTAGTAAGCTCTAAATATTTAAGAAATGCATATCCAAGGTTTTTGCTCAAGGTTTCCTCATTCTACAATGTAACATTTTGTTGAGATTTTAGATAATATGCTCATAGCTCGTGCTTAGTACTGTATCTCGTGTATATACTAACAGGGTAAATATGAACGTGCGATACAATGCTTCCGAAAGCTTAAACTGCTGTATGTCCGTATCCGCGAAGCGTCGCATAGAATTCCAACAAGGAGAGATCGAAAGCCATTTCAGGTCGTTGGGGAGTTGCTGCAAATAGGTGATATTAAATGAGAAACACAGTCGCTGACGGATAACATTTTTTTTTTGCAAGAAGTGAAGTGCTCATAGCATATGATGCCTATAAAAGTACAGTAGTAGTATTGAATAGAGCTGCAGGATTTGAGCGAATGTATGTAGCCTTGTACCAGTGTAGTAAATGCTGTCAACTGAAAGAGAACGCAGTTGAGAGGTCTCGCAGCCGCTTCTGCATGGATCGACATGGCTGGGACTCGATGCTTTGTAATCTAGAGCTCCATTATCAAAGGAGTCGATACAAGCATCTGCAAGCAAGGGCATTGCTTTCTCCCAGGCAGCGTTGGCTCGCTCTACCCTTTCTTGATGACGACTTCTAGGTTGGGGATCGTTATCTGCCCCAATGGTTGGATCCTCATAATCCTCACTAGTATTGGCTAGATATCACATCCTAATTAGTCCTTTGCCAAACTCCAAAACAGTTTTCTATATTATTCATACCATTCTGATTTGCTACTGGATGCGAGGCACTATCCGTGCGGACACGTTTTTCTGGAGCCGAAGGATTGTCTTCAAGATTATCCACATCCAACAATCGTTTTTGTACGGATACAAAAACTGGTTTTCCTTTTTTGTCTAACACGACGTTGTTGTTACCGTCTCGTTTACGGTCATGTTAAGCACTATAAATATCAGGTCGTAATTCACTGTCATCGTTTTTTACGCTTCTAACGTTCTTTCTAGGTGGCATGATAAGAGCACGGGTTGACTTAAAACTAAGTAGAAAAGGGAATAGAAACGAAGAGCGAGAGAAATAGAGAACAAAAGGGAAATGTGGCTATACACAATCTATTATAAACAATCCATTCTTATCGAAGGCGTGACACAAGAAAAATAACTTATTATTTATTGTAATCATATATTTCGTAGATCAATCTTCATTATTTTCATCCTTCCAACGGTCCATCATCCAAACCCTAATTGAATCGACTACAATGACGTCTATGGTGTTTGGGAAAACTGACCATCGTCGGGCGAAAGCAGCTTTACTCTTTTGGCTTTAACCGCTCGATCTAGCTCGTTTAAATTAGCACCGCCCATCAGCATAGGTCTAACCGCTGTCGCATAATATTGACCAGTTTGCTCATTCACACCAAAATCAAACCCAACAAGCTTAAGCTTGTGCTCATCGTTATAGTAATAAGAAGTCAACCCAGCATCATCGGCAACTCGTTTGAAGCTGACCCACGGGAAACTGGATGTGCCTCCCTCCACTTTCTTGTCATAGAAGAGAAATTTTTCACCAATCAGCAGAATTCAATTATTGGTCCATTCAACTCACTGTAGGCTGTCAGCATAAATCAGCTGCACCCTCCATCATTCTGAACCATTTGCGCGTAGATTCAGCTTTCTGCGCTTGTTGCGTCGATCCTGAAATTATCACGAAGTTTTAGCGTCAAAATGAGTAAACACTACTAAACACCGAGAATAGATACCTAACTTCTTATAATGCTCTATAGAAATGATACAAAGTATGTCAAATATAGCCTCAGTCGCACGTTGTAGTCATTCTAATATATATACCTTTACATCCAGATAGAAACGACTTAAAGATAGATCGAGAAGACACAGAATGATGTGACACATCTAAGAACAGTATATAATTCAATAAATGTGCATAAAAAAGGATGCTTTACATACCAGAATTGGTGTGCTATCCCAGTCTTCTGGAGTCTGTGAATGAGGAGTGACAGCTACATCAGTGTCGAGTTTCTGCATATCAATCAACAGCTGACGCATTTGAGCCTGTAAGTGTTTTGCAAATGCCTTTCGATCTTCAGGTGTCGTTCCTGGGGGATTATTGCGTCTATTGTTCTGCTCTTCTACTCTGCGGTTGAGATACTGTTCTGGGTCCTCGTCTTCATGTTCCATTGCCTCTTTATATAGTAGTTTCAGCTTGTTGTTGTTGGAACCATCATGTTCAAACCCATCCGGCAGTCCTATTTCTATAATAACAATATGAGCTGCTCAGGTATCTAAACAGTATAAAAGCAAGTTAGTACAACCATACTTCTTTACTCAAGCTCTGTTCCATTGCAGGCAAAGAAAGGTGAAGACATTCCAAGGCGAGAATTTGCGGCTGGTATATTTGTACGGAAGCAGGGTCTTCTTCTCGTTGGACGCGCTAGTTCAAGTAGTGTTCGGAAGAGGAGGATGTTGAAATTCAAATGTTGACATTACGGATGCAGAAGATCTAGAAGAGCCAAAAAAAGTTCTATAGGAGGGAAAGAAACAGGCACTGCCCAAAAGGGGTCAGTGGGCAAAATCAACGTTGGTCGATGTTAGTGATTAACGTGGGCCTTTGAAGCCCTACTAATGCAACCAATAGCTGGGAAATTTGTGTGAAATTTTATATCGACACAAAAATCAACAGTGCGTATTGCGTACTCAATGAAACGCGCAGCATAGCTTCTTACCATCTCTATTTTTTTACACAAGAATGCACGCACATAAAAAGCAAAAAGTTTTCACATCAGACATACACTGGTGCATTGACAACTGCGATACATTGTCAGCATCAACTTTTATTGAAATTCTTAACTATGGTGACAAGAGTTCAGCAAATATGCGATATGCAGCCATTATCTACGAAACGTTTTCAAGCGAAGGTCCCAAACAGTTCTCACCTCAAAACAGAATTTGAACGGTGGAAGAATAGTCAGCAAGAAACAATGTACTGGAATGATAGAAAATTCCTGCTCGCAAGAGAATCAGCGAACGCAAGAGCACGAGCATCGGTTATTTCAGTTGGGCGCATTGCTGAGGAGGAAGCAAGCATTCTGGGTACTATTGAAGAAAACGATTGCCCTGGCGGCAATACGAGCACCACCGCTGCTAGTAATACTAGTGCAGATGAAAGAGGCCGAGTTGGAGGAAGTCCAAATGCTAGTACTACTGCAGTTAGCCCTCGAACCATACAAGAAAGTAAAAGGTAGCTATTGCTCTGAAAATCTGTTGCAGTGTATGCTGATGCATATTGACTAACTTTGCTGTTACTTATAAATATGTATAGTGAATCATAAGTAAATGATAAGTTATTAGTGCTAATACATATCTCTGAAAAAGTTTGCTTTAATATTAACAGTGGACTCTTGATTCTGTTTAAACAGCAGTGGTAGAAAGAAAGCAAACGAAAAGGTTGGTTGTAGATGATAAACTGTGAATGGCGCATATGCATTACCAACTATTTTCATATAAAAGTATTGGTAACAAATTTTTTGTTGGTAACAAAAATTTAAAATGGTTGCAAATTGAATTTTATCTATAATAGAAAATAAACCTATCAATAATGAATTCAGAATATATAAATAATTTAAATGTGATGAAATATATTCCTATTGATGAAATAAAAGATATTACATTGTTTATTGCAAAGTATTTATTATTAGAATATGTTCATTCTTATGAAAAAATATGTTACAATATATAAATTTAATATAAAAAAACATAACTTATGACCCTGTGTTCATTGCATATAAACTAATAAAATATAATAATTATGGTGCATACTGACTTAAATCGTCACTGTCGAAAATCGAGAATTTTTGAAATTCCGCTGGTAAATAGTATAGCCGATACTGTGCAAGAGCCATCATTAAGTGAGATGAATATTATATGTAGAATGAAGAATTATTAGGCGTCATGGCTCATTTATTTAGTATGATATACAATTTAATCATTTTTTCTAAGTGTTCGGTGGGATTTAAATCTTTTCGAGGTAAACTTTTCAACAAGCTTAAAAGCATCGTTTCCAGCTTTCATATCATTGTATGCGCGAATATAACGCCAGCAGCGATTGTAATAACGGCGGATTTCTAGAGGCTTAGCATCAGGTGGAGAGACTTGATCTAGAAAGCTATCAAGGTTATCTCTTAGTGACGAGAATGTATAATCGCATTCACTTCTTGCAATGCGCTTGGCAGCACTCCAGTATCTCTCGATCCAATTAGTTTCGCAATGGTACTTGGGATAAGAGGCGAACAAATGACCAGCCTTGAGAACAGTCTCGTGTAACGCGCTCTTCTGCGCAACAAAGTCGGGTTGACCCTCTAACATATGGTAAGGGCAACAAGTGCGATCAGCATTCGGTGGCTGATCGCAATTGGTTTTCCAATGCTTTTTTTTTGCCTCAAATTCCTTCCAACGTCCTAAGCCACGCTCTTCCAAGATGGTTCTAATGCCCTTCAAGGTCCAAATGCGTTCTTCTTTCACACCGCTTCTTGTCTTCTTTTTCTTGATCTCAAGAGTGTAAAAGTTCTGGATGACCAAGTTCCCATCTGGACCGACATACTTGCTAGGCAAAATCACGCGTTCTTCAATACCCTTGAGGACTTTATCTTTCAAGCCAAAACGGCTCACAAGTTTCGCACTTGCTGCATAAGCATTATGATTGCTTGATTGATCAAACAAAAATAGCGCTTGACAGCCTGGATGAATTGCTTCAAACAATGGTATGGCGTCTTCTTTCAGTTGCTCCATCATATCCTTTGACGTCCAATAACCGTCACGGTTGGCACCAGCGTAGAATAGTCTGCGAGATTTCCAGTTTTTAATCCTCATGGTTCCATGGCAAGGGCATTGGAACTCGCTGACCATAATGGATCCTCCTGGACTCTTTTTACGGATGGGATTTTCACCCTCATACAGCCAGAGGTTGGTCTTGCAGTCATTCGAATAAAAAGTTGATTCATCCTGCGTCACCATGATGATCTTCTTTTGGTCGTCTGGTAGAAGAGGTTGTTGCTCAATTGAAACGTCGTCGTCGTCGTACGTTTCCATAAAGCGGCTGTATTCAACCATTTTAGCAGCCCACTCTTGTCGGTACTTAACAACATCATCGCGCTCATGGCCATCGTAATAAACATCTTTTTTGTTGACTCGGTAGGTGTAGCCCCATTCAATCAAGTAATTTCGAAGTACTGAAGGCGAGATGTGTCCTGGAAGAGCAAGAAGGTCTGGAATAGCGACTTCGTTCAGATATTTGAGCATTTCGGGAAGTCCTCTTTTCTCTGGCTTAGTCCTTTTTAACCATTGTAATGCTGCTGCTTTAACATCTTCGTCGCTCAAAAACGAAAGGCGTTTGGTGTGTTTTCCTTGCTGATGAGATGAGATTTTACCGAAGCAAAGATATTCTTTGGCATATGATACAATAGCACGGGGACGATAATACTCTGATGGCTCAATCCATGCAATTACAGCTGCCGTTTTGGATGCTTGCATTATCTACCGGCCGTTCAACAGCTCTCGAAAATAGATGTGAACACCAATATGCTTTCGCATTTCATAATCGTTAAGGTCTCGCTTATCGTTCTTTCTTGCATTTGCGATTGGAGTGACGATTGACGTAAGGCGTTCGAACCCTTCCTGGATGGTCATCAAAGGGATGATATCATCCACTATGGCTACTTCGTCATTGTGGTCGTCGTCATTTCCGCGTCGCTGATCCACTGATACTGAGGAAAAGAAGTTGGTGATTTCATAGCTGCCCTTTTTCTTCTCTGTAGCCTTATCATTTCGGTAATACTTGGTAGTTCTACCAGTACCTCAGTATCTTTCGCTTCTGCGCTTCGATCCCTCTGCTGCATTATTCCATTCAATAGGAAAGCTGGGAGGAGGGGTGGCCAATGCTACTGTTTCGGCTTACAAAGAGGCAAGAATCTCAAAGTCGTTGGGTTCGGTTTCAACCATGACTTCTGCGATCGGAAGCTCGACAAGTGGTTGCTGAATTGTTGGGACTAATTGTTGAAAACGGCCATGTGTTGCTTGCTCTTTTGCGCGTTTTTGTTTTTTATTTGGAGGAGGCATGCTTGAAGTGGTAATTCAATTAAACAATGTTTGAGATTCGATGATTATATTCAGTACAATCTGAGCTATATAAACTATTTTCTTTTATACCAAACTTTCAAACATTGTTTAAGAACTCAGTCTTAACGGAGAAACAGATCTGAAGGTGAAAAGCTTATCAACTTCTTTGTCAGCAAGGACCCTATTGGTGCTCTGCTGTAAGAATGTTTAAAAAAACTTTTTATGATGGTGTGAGATGTGTTCTTGGACAGCTGTTTCATACTTGGTTTCTTTACTGGGTTATATGAAGGATTAAATTTCAGTCCAACTAGGTGCATGTGTGCAATTAGATCCTGGTGCTGTAAAGAGAAACTTTCTATCAAGACATTTTCTGTACCAGATTTTAGTTTACCACATTTAAATTAGTGAAAAACCGTAATAACGCGACATGCGCCCTAGCAAAAAGTGTGAGCTTTGTACAACCATGAGTCGTTCAGGTTACACACTGCTAAAAGTACACTTCCACCTTTCGAATCTCACCTCATGACCATCAATACCCCTTGTCGAAATCTGGGACCTCTCTGCTAAAAGTTCATTTTCCGACAAAACTTCAAGTTGTATCAGAGGCTCGAGAAATGCTTTTTTTCAAAAAGTAAAACGCAAGATCTGTTCAGAATCCATCAATAAACATATCTTGCGTTTTAGTTTCTGTAAAAAGGCAAATCTGCCAGCTCTGATATGATTTGTTTTTTTGGGTCGGTAATTGAATTATTTTGATGGTTAAAGTCAGTATGCACCATATATAAATTTATTGAAAATAGTAGATCCCATTTTATGGTTAAAAAGATATTTTATAAAAAAGAATATATTGAAATTAAGAAACAAGATATAGAAGGTTTTTTTAAGAATAATAATAAACTTTATATTGTAAATGGTAATGAATATAGGTTTAGAAATGATCTAATAGAAATGTTGCAGAATTATCACGATTAGTATTTGCTAATAAATAAATTTCAAACTCAATTACTTTTTTTTATAAAATTAAATTTTATTTTTATATAAAAATAAATCATTAAAAAAGAAAATGGTTGCGTTAAAGGAATATCTTCCTATCAGCCATATTAATCTTAGAATCAATTTATGTAAAGAAATTGATACATTTATTGATTCAGAATTCAATTATTTTGTTAAAGTTTAAAAAATAAAATATAGTGGACCCCCTTTAATGTCAGCCCCTTTAATGTCAACCCCTTTAATGTCAACCCCTGATATTGTCAACCTTTTTCTGAGAACCTCACATTTTAGCAGAGATAAATTTCAACTTCTACATAAGGTCAGTGTCAACACCTTGGCCAGGGTTGACTTCTTATTGAGGTCAAACATATTTAATCAAAAGAGTTTATTTCATTATTGGTTGAAAATATATTGTTTAGGAACGACTCCGTTGCATACATACACTGTGTCGGGGTACGCTGGTTTAATATTTTATTATACGGTTAAACTTTGTGCCACCCCCTTTAACGTCAACCCCCGTTAGCGTCAACACTTTCAGCTGTACTTAAGGGTTGATATTAAAATGGGCCTACTGTAGAATCTCTTTTTTTTTATGATCATTTCTTAGATTTGTGGATGAATCATGGTTTTTGTAGCTATAAATTCAAAAAAGGAGAACGTGATGGACAGTTTTGTGGGAAGAAAATCAAGACAAATTTACCTGATGGAATAAAGGATTATCTTTGCTGTCAACATAGTAAGCTACATATTCTTAAAAAAAAGCTATTGGTAGTTAATGATAGTGTTAAAAATACAGAGATAAAAGAGCTGTATATAAAGCCTGAGAAAAAAACAGAAAAAAAAATTAAAAAAAAAGAAAACCTATAAAAATTAATATTGGTAATCCTTTCTTCTTATGCTTTAATAATATTCTTCTATAAATTTTTTATATAATTCTAATATATATTATATTCTTATTATAATATGCCTAGACTATGCCTTTCAATATATGCATTTAATAATTCTTTTTGGTTAAACATATCAATAGATAACCAACTATTATCATTATTACTATATCCAACCCATTTTACCTGAAACAAATATGCATTCTTTTCTTTTTTATGTCTAATAATACTTTCTATTTCATATAATACAGTTGAACGCTGTTTTCCTTTTACATTTATTCTTCTTTTTCTAGTACGTTCATTAAAATTTGGAATATCATCATTATTTTCACTATTTTCTAAATCATCTGATTCACTACTATCATCTATAACCATTTCATCATTTGATAATGTCATGTTTAATAAATTACTCTGTAGTTGTACCATTCTATCAAGCTTATCCTTATTTTGTTTATTATTACTAACAACTATGTCAATTAATTTTTTTTTCAATAGGAAAATCAAAATCAGGACTATGCTATATTTTATGATGTAGTAAAACAGGTATATTAAATACTTCTACAAACTTTGTAATATTCTTTAATAAACAGGCAACACAGAACTGAAGATTATGATATTCAATATTATCCATCTTTACAATTGATTTATTATTATTAAAACGATAAAATTTATATCCAATTTCAGAAAATTGATTTTCGATTTTACTTCTAAAGCTTCCAAATGTATTATTAAAATGTTCTTCAGTAATAGTTAAGTTTTCATTTATATTTTTACGAATTGGATATACAAAGTTATCATTACTAAAATCATATCCTTTTTCTGCAGCAAGTTCAGTAAACTGTGTTATAAACACCATCAACAGCTAAAGTATCATTTTAATTTATTTTATTATAAAGTTTCATATTTAAAAACATGCTACCATCAGAACTATCTACACAGAATTCACTTTTTAATATAAAAATTATCATATCATTAATATCAGCTGCAAATTATGTACGTACACCATTCTTTTTTAAATTTAAATGAATATAAACATGATCTATCTAAATCTGTATCTGTATAATTAATTCGTGAATCATGACCATCTAAAATAAGTGTTACAGTGGTCCCCCGCTTTTTGCAGCAGCGGTTTTTGGTGGAAAAAACTGCAAAAAGTGGGGAACTGCAAAAAGTGAGGATGAGTATGAGATGTTACACAGACTGAGTCTATTATGTTAATCAAGTGTCAATGATAGTAAACCAATTAAAAGTGTCGGTGTTGTACTGAGGCTACTTATTATAAATCAACTCTTATATAAAAGGCTGTCGTCTCATTCTTGATGTTTATATACTGCACTATCGACACCTCCACACCACTATGGTAAAAGCAAAATACCCAAAGCTTACTGACGAGCAAAAGGACGCTATCTATCAACATTACATGTAGATGTCACTGGTTCAAGACTCTGTGTCCCAGGCTCTCGAGTTAATAGCGGAAAATTGCAGGTCCCCATTTTTGGCCTGCAAAATGCAAAAAGTGAGGAAACTGTAATTTTACTAAGTGATGAGCGGGTATGCTCCAACAAAATCTGCAAAAATTGAGGATCTGCAAAAAGTGGGGCTGCAAAAAGCGGGGGACCACTGTACATGTTTAAAGAAATCTGGATTATATTTTCTTGCAGACAAAACACATAATTTTATATTTGAAAACATATACATTAATGAATTATTTACTATTTTATTAATTCTTTTATAATTCTCTTCATTCATCCAAAATTTTTTGTATAATGTATGAAATGTACTTTGAGGTAAATATTTTTCAATTTCATCTCCAGAAATACCAGAAACTAAATGATATAACAAAAATAAACCTTTTTCTAAATTTAAAATAAACAGTTGGATACTCTTTACTTGTGTATAGCACAACTAAGAAAAAAAATACAGCTGTATAACCTAAATTTTTTAATAATATATCTTTAATTTTTTCAATAATTTTAATATGTTTAATTTGTGTTCTGTGTTTGAATTTATTATGCATAATAAGCCAATTCCATTCAAGAAATGTCCAATAATTAGCAATAATAGTATTTACTTCCTCTGTAATTAATGGTGTATAATCTATTTGCTCCATTTTTTATTTATATTATAAAATTCAATTTAGATATAAAAAATTAATAGTTCTTTAAAAACAAATATTAATTTATAACCAACAAGGTAATGCAGTACCCACAATGATGATGAATTAGCACTGAATATCAATGGGTTTATAGAAGCTGAATTTAGTGAAGTTCCGACAACAGCACGAAAGCATGGACGATGATTTAAAATGGACTCTGGAATGCAGTGGAAGAGAGGTCAAAGATGTTTTGTACATGTATGAATCCACCCTAGAATACGAGCAGTAAGTTTTTTTTTGATACAAAGACCTAAAGAAAGACATTTATATCCCTAAAGATTGAAGTAATTTTTTTTTTTTACTCTTTGTCATTCATTTGTAGTGGACCCTTGGGACAAAACGTACAAGCAAAAAAGCATTTTCACGAGTGAAGAAATCGAAGAGATCAAGAGTTCCAAAGCCAAGCAAAAGCCAGTCATCAGTCAGAAAACTCTCGAATATTTGAATCAATATACGAAGGTACAAAAGATAAAACCAACGCCGTTCAAAATCTTATAATAATATAAACTGATTTAATTTCAATACAGGTTAATAGTTCTTCTCAAGCTCGGCATGTTATTAACCAAATACAACAATGAGATGCGAACTTTGATAGAATGCAATCTCACGACTTGGATTGGATACGTCACAGTTATTATACAATGTAAGTTTTGCGTGAATTATCTTCCGGCTGCAGTTATGTATACTTATGCTTAAACTGATCTAATGAATATAGGGTCCAGGAGTTGGAACGCAGCAGGATCGATGACGAGAACAACGCAGAAACATAGTTGTTGGCACACATCTGGACTATGATGGATCGTGCATTTGATGATGTTGTGTTGGATGTAGTTCGGTAAGTTATCATACACATACACATACACATACACAATTTTGTGTTTGAACTACATTTGCTATAATAGCAATGGAATTTACAGTGCTGAAAATTCGAGCCTTGCATCAAGTTGTCGCAAGAACAAAGAACGGATACCACAAGGAGAAGAGAAACTGGAGAGGAAGAAAATGGGTCGCAGACTTGATCTAATTTTACGACGAAAGAAACTGGAGTTTGGAGCGGGCGAGGCTGGTAAACAGACGGATGATACAGATACCAAGCTACTTCAGGAGAGAGATTTAAAGCTCCCTAAAGCATTGAAAGACATGATGATGAGTCTGAAGAACGAAAGAGGAAGCGCTGATGGTCTGAGGGTAGTTGGATTATTGCAATATGGTTAGTAATTCTGATTGTATTGCCTTTGGGAGATAAAAAGATGGCTTTGTTCTTAACAGTATTATTTTTTAGGCTTGAAGATGACGACTATCACAATAGATGTTCCACATTACTACGTACACAGAATCACGAGAACGAAAAATGTCGAGGTGCCAAGTGATTTTGAGAAGCTGCCAGAATTCAGAAAGGTGCTTTACATGACGTTATTCAACAAAGCAATAGTATTGGAAACAATGAATGTTTTATGAAGCCCAGGCCAAGAAGACAAAGAAAATAGCCTTAGTGACGTAATGGAACCACTGGAAGAAGATTTGTATCAGTTACCTAGCATGTTCGATTCACCAGACACTGTAGGAAAATTCTTGTGGTTCTTGTGAATTTCTTGTGAATTTGGACCCCCGCTGGCCTCATTCTTGTGGTTCTTGTGGATTTCTTATGAATTTCTTGTAAATTTGTGACGTCTGTCACTGCCTGCTCTGGGTCGCCAAATTTTTTTGTGGTTTTTGTGGATTCTTGTGGATTTCTTGTGAGTTTGGACCCCGCCGGCCTCATTCTTGTGGATTCTTGTGGATTCTTGTGGATTCTTGTGGATTTCTTGTAAATTTGTGACGTCTGTCACTGCCTGCTCTGGGTCGCCAATTTTTTTTGGTGGTTCTTGTGGATTCTTGTGATTAAACAGTACTCTCTTGTTATAACCACCTGGTTAACTAGGGTGACAAATACTTTTATATTACCGCAAAAGTTTTTTTTCTTTCTTTTCTTCCCAAACACTAACCAAACACCTCCCAACGCTAACCTTAATCTCCTAAGTCTTCACTTGTATGGAGCATCGTCTTATTAATGTAGAGACAAATCAAGCAGTCATTCTGGAGAAGCTCGACCACCTACTAACGGCGTAGTCCCTAGTCGAGGTACCAGTTGTCGATGAAGCAGAACTTGCTGAGACGGTTTCCCTCATTCCCCACCCAATGACTCTAAATGCTAAGGGGAAGATGGTAAAGAAAGCGAGCAAGGATGATTTTGAGCGCCTTCTCCTTCAAGGCTACCACCATTTTGAAGGAGGTGAGTTGATCAAAGCCCAGACCGACATCAAGTACATTTAGCGAACGTGTTGTGGTCGATCTGGTGAAAAGATTGCAGAATCGTGCTGACAACAGCGTGACCCACTACTTTGCTAAGCTACAAAGCAAAGATAGGCAACTGGGCTATTAGCCTTTTCATGAACCTGGCAAAAAAGCAGGGCATTGATTTTGCTGTCTGCCAGGGCCAGTGGGCAGCTCGCCATATCCTCCAGGAATGCTGGCATAACTATGGCAGATCCAGCAAGTCGAGAGCGGTTTCTAGGTATGATAACTACTACACTAGAGCAACCACAATCAAATATATATTAACTATCAGGTAGACAACAAGAACCGGCTTCTGCTCTTCCTGCTTCTGCTTTTCTTCCTGCTTCTGCTTCTACTTTTCTTCCTGCCCCTGCTCCTGCCCAGTCCATGCAGTCTACCAAACGACGCCGTACGACAAAGCAGCTCGGAGCTGCTCCCCCCCCACAAAAATATACATAATTAAAAGGTAAGTTGAAGTATCAGAAAGTTGATTATTGTATAAACACACACACATACACATATATATATAGCGAGAGTGTATGTGATATATAGAGAGAGAGAAAGGGGTGGTTTTCATCTGTATACAGTCGACCCCCGTTAACATCCACCCCAATAACGTCAATCCCCGATAGCGTCAACCGATTCGCTGGTACCCTTTCAAATTTAGCAGTGAAAAACTTCAACTTCTACATAAGGTCAACTTCAACACCTTCAGGAGGGTTGACTAGTTATCGAGGGTGAAATTTGTCCAATTAGATTACATTTATTGGGATTGTGGTACAAAAAAATTTGTCAAAGAGGCTTGCTTAGAATACATGGATTTTAAATATTTGTCACGTAGTTTCAGAATTTCAGGTAAAGCATTCACAACGGTATCATGTAGATCTTGCTCTTCATCCAAAATATCGAGAAATGTGTTGACGTTGGTAACTTTGTCTTTAGCAGTAAGTACTCTTCTTTCCTGCAAAACTGGCTCTTCGTCAACATCTAGGGTGTCATCATCTTCAGCAACTGCCGTCACTGTTTGAACAATCTCACTATCTGTGAGAGAAAAGAGATACGAATCGCGCTCATACTCGGGATCAAGGTCGATGTCGGGGCACTGATTTAGTGTAACAAGTTGTGTATCGGCGATTCGTCGTAATTGAGCTTCCAGCACCTTCCTGTCACGCTCGTCTTCTTCTTCGATTTGGCTCCTAGCAGTTCCTTGGGCTTCGTCATTGTCATTAATATATCGAAAGATGGTTGCATCAAAGCAATTTTTGATCGTTTCAGCAGACACAGCGGCCCACGAGAACTTTATCCACTTCATTGCTTGCAGCTGGTCAACAAGAAAAACTTTTCCGACAGGTCCCACAACATTCCCGTTTCCGTTCTGATACATTCCGATGGTGCAGTAAGCCTTCTCAAGTTGTCGCCGCTTGTATTGAGCCTTGAACGAGCGAATGATTCCACCATCAAGAGGCTGGATAAGTGATGTTGTGTTCGGAGGCAAATAGAGTAGCTCAACATTAACAGGTTCGTAATCGACGTAATGACCTGAGAAGTTGTCAAGTAGCAAAAGTACTTTTCTCTTCTGGTGGCCCATGGCTCGATTGAACTGACGCAAAACATCTCTGAAGAGTTTACGAGTCATCCACGCCTTCTGATTGAAAAAGTAGCGCTTGAATCCATGGAAAGAAGCATCTTTGCGTTTTTTTTGAACCATGAATGCATCAGGTTTTTCAGAGCGGCCTATGATGATAGGTTCGTTCCGTTTGTCACTGCCATCAGCATTGCAAAGGAGAGCAACAGACAACCTTGATTTGTCTTGTTTTCTCCCCTTGAACCTATGAGTGCCGATCGTTGTCTTTGGCTCCAAGCGATAAAACAGACTGGTTTCATCTAGATTATAGATGTCTCGCTTTTCATACTTTTGGATGGTGGCCTTAATGGCTTCCCTCTGTTCGTCCAAAGCTTCAAGATCGGCAGATTGCGCTTCGCCATGAATGCTGCGTGCACTGAGTCCGTATCTCTTTGCAAACCGGTCTGTCCAGCCATTCGATGCTTTGAATGTTGCGATGCCGATCATGTCCGCGTAATTTCTCGCCTTCAACTGTATCAATTCCCATGTAACCTGGATCTTGTTTCTCTGCGCGACATTGAGCCAGAGTAACACTGCTTCCTCAACCTCCTAATCAATACAACATTGACAAAAAGTAAACACTACAGTTCACCGAATTTTTAAACTGATTGAATTATATTCGATATTTACAGGAAATTGACTCCTTCTATTACGAATTTTCTTCGCGTCCCTTTCATCACCAGGAGCTTCTGTGGATTTTCGCTTTATCATCTTCGAAATGGTGCTCTTATCAGGCGTTTTACTTAGGTTGAATTCTTTTTGAGCCCATTCTGCCGTCTGCATAAGGGTGATGCCCCGCTTTGAGTTCTTAAACGCATAAATCGCATCACGCTGCTCGTTCGTAAAGGAAACTTGGTCGCGTGGTGTACTCATGGCGTGAAGTGAAATGTAGGACTGAAGATTGACAACATTTTCATATGCGTATTTATAATGTCGGGAAGCGGTGATTCATTTAGTGTCTGCAAGGATAAACATTTTGCCTAATCTCGCTACTCCCGGTAGTCGTCAACCCTCGATATGGTCAACACTTTTGCAGGTACCCTGAGGGTTGACGTTAACGGGGGTCGACTGTACGCTCGACCAGTATTCCATCAATCAATACACCTTAGCTAGTATCATGTAAATGAATAAAGCTATTTTTTAAAATCTATATAATGAATATTCCACAAAAATGTTTTGTGATTTTCTTGTGAATGTGTGACCGCTTTGGTATTCCACAAAACGTTTTGTGATTTTCTTATGAGCGTGTGACCGCTTTGATATTCCATGAAACGTTTTGTGATTTTCTTGTGAACGCGTGACTGGTTTATCGCTACTTTAAACTCACAAGAATCCACAAGAATTCTTGTTACTTTACTTAGTGTTTACATGAATTTAAAATCCACAAGAATTTTCCTACAGTGAGATTAACCAAATCGAACACGATCTTGTATATAGCAGCCCTCTTCCATTTTCACATTTCATCACTTATTGCAATTACCCGCTTGTAAAAACTTATCGATCCAGTTGCCCATTTTCTACTTCGAACACACCCGCTCTTGTTTTGCCGGAAATACCTGCTTGTCTATGTACATGGTAAATACAAATAAGGAAGGCGAGGTACACTGCTGATATCATTCCATTTGAACAAGGAAACGCTATTTGGTTGCGAAAGATTGGGCTTGCTAATTCGAATAAAGAAGATGCACATGCTCTGCATAGACAAACAAATTCAAGCTGTAGTGATGAACCAAAAAGTAATAGTATTGATTACTTGGTTGCTATTTTAAGAAAACGTGAACAGATAAGATGACATCTTCATAGCACTGGGGTAGGGTAAAGGCTGGAGATGTGTTGTACAGATATGGAATAAATTTAATGAAAGAATAGTAGAAGGATCTCTATTCTTTTATTCTCTAGTTAGTAGTTCAGGATGTATTCGGGTGCCTCAATTGATCATCCTAAATTACATCAAGCTAAATATACAAGCTGGTGCCTAAAATAACGATTCGAAAGACTCCAACACTCGTCTTGGTCTTCAACTTTTGCAGAATACAAACGAGGCGCGTACAGCTGTAGATGACTGTAATTAGTCCACTTGCTCTTTGTGTATGTCGATAAGCCTGTGTACGTCTCGTTTGACAAACATTTTTAATGACCATTAAGATTGTGGAATTACTACGCGCACGACAAAACTTGACCTCGCGCACGACAAAACTTGGCCTCGCACACGACATTTTTTCTGATAGTTTAGTATTCCGCAGTTGTCGTGCGCACCGTCTCTCGAACAGTTTGAAAGACCCTGCGCATGACAAAGACTGACCTCACGCACGACAAAAACTGACCTTGCACATGATAATTTTTCTTTGGCAGTTGTCGAGCGCACCGTCTCTTGCACAGTTTGAAAGACTCTTCGCACGACATAACTATGATTATATATACCGAGTAACTTGAATGTGTTAAGATACCGTGTATCCAAATGGCAAGCAAACAACTTTGTGCTAACATAAGTACTATAATAAAGTGAAGCACGCACATCCCCACCCAAGTCTTGACTCCGCCATCCGTATCTCAGCTCGCAACAAAGGTGTGATTTTGTATTTTAATTAGCGAGCAGAAAAGCATGCTCAGAAACACCACCATGCGTTTCCGTAGTTGCCGTATGCATTCATGAGATTGGAAGGCATTCCATAGTTCCAAGGTGGCCACTCTTTTTTTTTGTTATACATTAATAAAATGGTGGAAACTTTGGGTTATTTATATCTGCTGACATTTAACTAGCGATTTGAAACAGATTGGCTACTTTGGTAGCAAACAATATAAATGGCCGTTGAATATGTTCATCAAACCGAGGCAGGCTTATCGAAAGGCATGAAGAGCAAGCGGATCGATTGCAGTTATCTATAGTTGCCTAGCCAGGAATTCCCTGGATGGCTGTAATGATCCTAAATTGTATTGACTGGTAGCTATACTTGGGCTGCTTTTTGTTGACACGGTGTTATACACGCTGATATACAATGAAAGTGTTGGTCTATGTTTTGTATGTTTATAATGTCCATGTGTTGACTCTTAACTAACAATGTTTTGACTTTGCGTCGATAGAGCGCTTTGGCCATGGCTGAACTTCAAGAACTATGGTACCAATGATTATGCAGAAGATGGATGAACATGATTGCCTTGTGGACGCATCCTACTAGAGCTGATACTTGTTGCGAGAATGTCAGCATAAGCTCAACTGACTGGCTAGCTAGGGAGTGGTTCTTCTGCAGGGCACAAAGGGCAAGCGGATCGGTTATAGTTATCTATAGTTGCCTAGCCAGGCACTGCCCAAAACGGGTCAGTGGGCAAAATCAACGTTGGTCGATGTTAGTGATTAACGTGGGCCTTTGAAGCCCTACTAATGCAACCAATAGCTGGGAAATTTGTGTGAATTTTTATATCGACACAAAATTCAACAGTGCGTATTGTGTACTCAATGATGAAAAAACAGTGCATATAAAACGCGCAGCATAGCTTCTTACCATCTCTATTTTTTTACACAAGAATGCACACACATAAAAAGCAAAAAGTTTTCACATCAGACATACACTGGTGCATTGACAACTGCGATACATTGTCAGCATCAACTTTTATTGAAAATCTTAACTATGGTGACAAGAGTTCAGCAAATATGCGATATGCAGCCATTTTATCTACGAAACGTTTTCAAGCGAAGGTCCCAAACAGTTCTCACCTCAAAACAGAATTTGAACGGTGGAAGAATAGTCAGCAAGAAACAATGTACTGGAATGATAGAAAAATCCTGCTCGCAAGAGAATCAGCGAACGCAAGAGCACGAGCATCGGTTATTTCAGTTGGGCGCATTGCTGAGGAGGAAGCAAGCATTCTGGGTACTATTGAAGAAAACGATTGCCCTGGCGGCAATACGAGCACCACCGCTGCTAGCAATACTAGTGCAGACGAAAGAGGCCGAGTTGGAGGAAGTCCAAATACTGGTACTAGTGCAGTTAGCCCTCAAACCGTACACAAAAGTGAAAGGTAGCTATTGCTCTGAAAATCTGTTGCAGGGTATGCTGATGCATATTGACTAACTTTGCTGTTACTTATAAATATGTATAGTGAATCGTAAGTAAATGATAAGTTATTGGTGCTAATACACATCTCTGAAAAAGTTTGCTTTGATAATAACAGCGGACTCTTGATTCTGTTTAAACAGCAGTGGTAGAAAGAAAGCAAACGAAAAGGTTGATTGTAGATGATATACTGTGAATGGCGCATATGCATTACCAACTATTTTTATATAAAAGTATTGGTAACAAATTTTTTGTTGGTAACAAAAATTTAAAATGGTTGCAAATTGGATTTTATCTATAATAGAAAATAAACCTAGGGGACCGGCCATGGTTATGATGATTTTAATGCGATTTAGTAGCCCTAGCTGGCTTATTAGCTAAGATATATCAGGATAGCCAAATTAATTTTTATTGAAATAATTCATGTATGTATGTCTTGGCATGCATACATTTAAATTTTTGAAAAAAATAAAAATTGAATTTTTTTTTAATATAAAAATAACACTACAGAATATAAAGCAAAATATATTTGTTATATTTTTTTAGCACTCCAACAAAACTACCCCAACAAAACACAACATGGACCAAATGAACCTCATCACATTTATTGCCATTATGGCTGAATTTATTCCTATTTTAGGAATAACATTGACGCTCTTAATAGAAAGAGCAAAGCATCTTGCTGAACATCATCAAGATGTTAGTGAAAAAACAATTGCTGACCAACTAAGGGTCGAACTCGAAAAGGACCTCAAAAAGGCTAACATAACAAAGGAAGTAAGGGACGAGAACCGTACTGCAATAATGGGACGGGTTAGGGCTTTTGCAAAATTCCTCAAATCCTCAAATCCTCAATTTTCCGAAGCAATGTTAGAAAGTAACACCTCTGGTGCAGATTCCTCGCAGGGCGGCAAAGAATTCCGATTCCAAAACACTAAAGGGCTATTCACATATATTTGTAAGGACTTCCATTTAACAAAAGAACAAGTCATGGAATGGTTTGTAAAACATGAACGTATTGGTTATCAAATTGAAAAGGCAATTGCATGTGATGAAATTGCACCAGAAACTGGTGAGAAACATGTTCATATATGGATACAAATGAATGAGCGGTTCGACACAAAAACAGCACGTAAATTCTTTACTATCGATGGTGTTACTCCAAATATGAAACCAGGTGGTAGTCCACAAAAGTCCATTAGCTACTGTATGAAAGGAAAAGATTATATCTGTTATAATATGGATCCAAATTATGAAGTTAAGACCAGAAAAATGCATCAACAGTTACTTGGATATCAATTAATTACGAAGCAGCTTAATATGCGGAAGGCTACCGAAATATATCCCGAATTACTATGGAAATATGATACTGTAAAATCAAATTTAAATTCTTACTTTCATGATGCCGATATGGAAAATAACCCTGGAAATAAATTACATATGTGGTCTATGTTTGGGATTGAAACAATGTTTGGTGGTAAAAATAAGATACCACAATACTGGATTGTAGGTCCATCAAATGTAGGTAAGACATATAACATTGATGTATTAGAACAAGGTGGCCATCAAGCATATCTAATGAATAAAGAAAATGATTGGTCAGATTATAAGTAGGGATCCGTATCAGAACCGTAGAACCGGAACCGAACCGAACCGAAACCGAGAAAATACGGTTCGGTTCCTACCAAGGACCGAACCGGAACCGAACCGGTTCTGTATACTTAGAACCGAAGAACCGAGAGGCAGAAGATTGCAATCAGCGATTTTGGTAATTAGTATAAAGTAGGCTATAATGGAAGTTACGAACAATGTTATTTCGAAAAGACCACGAAGTAGTGTATTTGCAAGCCATACTTTATTGAAACCTGCAAAAGCAGAAGGGAGTGAAAAATAGTAAAGAAGAGAAGAGAAAAAAATAAAAAAACACTTCTTCTGACGGCAGCTTGCTTTCTCCGCCCATGACGCACATCATTACTTGTTCCTCTACTTTGCTACCCACAATGCATTTTTCTCCATGACGTACTACTTTACTAGATTTATTATGGCTTCTCGATCAGTTTTATCAAGTTTGTGCATTCCGTTTGAGATTGCGCATTCTGGGGCTCATAACAGAATTATCTTACCCATTCACCCTTTGCCTTTTATGAGACACTATACACTATACACACGTAGAGACACAGCAGCTGTATGTACTGCCGGTTGTGGTTCAATTCCTCCAATGTTACGATAACATATTGTACTAGTAATACTAAGTCGCTCTAAGTAAGTACTATAAGCTCCACTTTTTTTTGTAAAAACTGTGCTTCAATCTTTTAACCATGCAATGACCCACATCGTATAAGAATGTTTACATTCTGTTTCTCTTATTCATTTTGAGATCGCTGTTCAATGTACAATAATAAACTATTCTTTTTTACTGCAGTATTCAAGTATAGCGCGACATTCGAACACACACATCAGCTTTCATTTAAAGATACCGGATCTTGCCTTTTTTATATACATGAAGGGTTTGGCTCTTCGGTTCGATTCTTCGGTTCTACAGTTCTCGTCGGTTCTCGTCGGTTCTAGTCGGTTCTAGTCGGTTCTAGTCGGTTCGGTTCTTGCTTTAGACGATTTGGTTCGGTTCCCTTCAAGAACCGAACCGAACCGAACCGTGCGGATCCCTAATTATAAGGATGATGATTATGATTTTATGTATAATGAAGAAACAGGTTCTGATTTCAAATTACATTTTTAAACCAAATGCTAGAAGGAACACGATTAAAACTTAATAGCAAATTTACAAAGTCAATAACTAAAAAGAAAAATATGCCAATAATACTGAATAGTAACTATATGCCGCACATGTTATATAAAAATAAATCAGTATATGAGTTAGAGCCAACGCTCAATCGTTTATATATTATCTATGTTGATAAGAACTGTAAAGGTCATATAATATGGAATCCATACACAATGAAAGTGAAGGATTATGAAAATAAATTCATGTATTATGAAAACATGGATATGTATGAGGACTTATACAAAGATGAATTCGAAAACGAATACCAAGATCAGCATACATTTATCCGTTATGCACATAATAGTGGTCAGGATGATATTAAAAAATATACACCGATGGATAAAACAGTAGAGGAACTACAAGAATTAGCTGATACAGAAGAATATATGAAGGAACAAGAAGAAAAACATAATAGTAATAATACACAGAACAATAAACAACATAAACCGCCTCAACAAAATAATAGAGGATGGTCAACTGTAAAGGTACCATCATCAGCAGATTGTAGGCATTGGGAAGATGTGTCTAATGATATAAAATGTGATGATGTTGTAAATGATACTACTGATTGGGAAAACCCACCAGAAGATATAGAGAAACATAAATACATAGATGTAAGTACATCTGAATCAGAGAAAAGCAGTGACTGCAACATACCAAATAATATACCAAAACGTAAAAAGAAAAAAAGACACAATAAAAATAAACAGAGAAACAAGCAAATAGTAGAAGAAATACAGCCAAAAGATTATTTTAAAAAGCATAAGGATATAAAACAGGCTATAATAGATGATATAGATATAACAAAAGAAACTGACGTCAAAAATAAATCAACAGATACTAATATAAGTACAAGTATAACTAATGAATGCATAAAACATAAATATAATTGGGCAAGTAAACGAAAGGTTGATACGGTCAGTTTCAATATGAGATTTTTTAATAAGCAAATAAGTAAGAAATTAATTTAGAGCTGAATTCGACCACTGATAGTTATACCGGTCATAGCAATTTAATTATCTATATTACAGCTAGTAGATTATAATGGGTTAGACAACTAATAGTAGGACGCCCTATCGATAATGAATTCAGAATATATAAATAATTTAAATGTGATGAAATATATTCCTATTGATGAAAATATAAAAGATATTACATTGTTTATTGCAAAGTATTTATTATTAGAATATGTTCATTCTTATGAAAAAATATGTTACAATATATAAATTTAATATAAAAAACATAGCTTATGACCCCGTGTTCATTGCATATAAACTAATAAAATATAATGATTATATAAATTTATTTAAAATAATAGATCCCATTTTATTTATGAATATAGTTAAAAAGATATTTTATAAAAAAGAATATATTGAAATTAAGGAACAAGATATAGAAGGTTTTTTTAAGAATAATAATGAACTTTATATTGTAAATGGTAATGAATATAGGTTTAGAAATGATCTAATAAAAATGTTGCAGAATTATCACGATTAGTATTTGCTAATAAATAAATTTCAAACTCAATTACTTTTTTTTTATAAAATTGAATTTTATTTTTATATAAAAATCAATTATTCAAAAAGAAAATGGTTGCGTTAAATGAATATCTTCCTATCAACCATATTAATCTTAGAATTAATTTATGTAGAGAAATTGATACATTTATTGATTCAGAATTCAATTATTCTATTAAAGAAAATATAATTCAAAAAATTCAAAAAAATTTAAAAAATAAAATACAGTGGACCCCCTTTAATGTCAACCCCTTTAATGTCAACCCCTAATATTGTCAACCTTTTTCTGAGAACCTCACATTTTAGCAGAGATAAATTTCAACTTCTACATAAGGTCAGTGTCAACACCTTGGCCAGGGTTGACTTCTTATTGAGGTCAAACATATCTAATCAAAAGAGTTTATTTCATTATTGGTTTAAAATATATTGTTTAGGAACGACTCCGTTGCATACATACACTGTGTCGGGGTGCGCTGGTTTAATATTTTATTATACGGTTAAACTTTGTGCCACCCCCTTTAACGTCAACCCCCGTTAGCGTTAACACTTTCAGCTGTACTTGAGGGTTGATATTAAAGGTGGTCCACTGTAGAATCTCTTTTTTTAAATGATCATTTCTTAGATTTGTGTATGAATCATGGTTTTTGTAGCCATAAATTCAAAAAAGGAAAACGTGATAGACAGTTTTGTGGGAAGAACATCAAGACAAATTTACCTGATGGAAAAAAGGATTATCATTGCTGTCAACATAGTAAGCTACATATTCTAAAAAAAGCTATTCGTAGTTAATGATAGTGTTAAAATACAGAGATAAAAGAGCTGTATATAAAACCTGAGAAAAAAACAGAAAAAAAAATTAAAAAAAAAAGAAAACCTATAAAAATTAATATTGGTAATCCTTTCTTCTTATGCTTTAATAATATTCTTCTATAAACTTTTTATATAATTCTAATATATATTATGTTCTTATTATAATATGCCTAGACTATGCCTTTCAATATATGCATTCAATAATTCTTTTTGGTTAAACATATCAATAGATAACCAACTATTATCATTATTACTATATCCAACCCATTTTACCTGAAACAAATATGCATTCTTTTCTTTTTTATGTCTAATAATACTTTCTATTTCATATAATACAGGTGAACGCTGTTTTCCTTTTACATTTATTCTTCTTTTTCTAGTACGTTCATTAAAATTTGGAATATCATCATTATTTTCACTATTTTCTAAATTATCTGATTCACTACTATCATCTATAACCATTTCATCATTTGATAATGTCATGTTTAATAAATTACTCTGTAGTTGTACCATTCTATCAAGCTTATCCTTATTTTGTTTATTATTACTAACAACTATGTCAATTAATTTTTTTTCAATAGGAAAATCAAAATCAGGACTATGCCATATTTTATGATGTGGTAAAACAGGTATATTAAATACTTCTACAAACTTTGTAATATTTTTTAATAAACAGGCAGCACGGAACTGAAGATTATAATATTCAATATTATCCATCTTTACAATTGATTTATTATTATTAAAACGATAAAATTTATTTCCAATTTCAGAAAATTGATTTTCGATTTTACTTCTAAAGCTTCCAAATGTATTATTAAAATGTTCTTCAGTAATAGTTAAGTTTTCATTTATATTTTTATGAATTGGATATACAAAGTTATCATTACTACGCCGCAGGCTCATTTTCACTTTTTCACTACTACAGAAAATCACTGCGTATACAAACCAGTATCACTTCAGCAATGTGTCATTCTGATAGCATTACTGTATGCATATCAGTATCTTCCTATTTCATCCACAATAAACATGAAATCAAATACGTGATCGATAACTTCTAAGCAGGCATCAATGGCTCTATGTAAACTCAATAGCAGCAGTAAAGACAACAACTGATAGAATAAAATACCGATATGTCCACCTTCTTCTACAGCATTTACTGTCGTCTTTACCTTCTGGAGTGCATAGCAGCTACTATTTCCATCATTCTATACTCCTTTTTAATTCGCGTTTTTCCTTGCAAGTACTGATATATTCACATCAAAAAAGAAAGCGAGCACTATTTGCATTTGTTGGGGCACATTTTGCTGCATAAAAAAAGTGGACCAATCAGAATCCAACTATATGGCGTGAACAGCTTCCCAACTGTGTCAAAATGCTCAAAACGCGTCGCCTTTTGCAAACATTCCAAATTCGCCTTTCTGACCTACCCTTTTCCTAAAACCTTCACTTTCATGGCACTCTTACTTATCATCACTGTACCCATCGCTAAATTGCACCGCACCGATCGTTCTCCGTTCTAGTTGAGCATTAAAAAGCTATATGATGAAAACCGCAAGTTACACCAACAAGATAAACTTTTACACCGACGAAGAACTGCGGCTTGAGCCCATTACTTTGACAGAGACAAGATTGGACGCCGCGTACAAACAATTGAATATCCACGTTCCAGGAGCTGAAAATCTTATCAAGATCACGAAACAACTTAAACACCAAGGTCTGCAAGCATCCGAAAAGTCAAGTCTCAACAAAATACTCAATGGCGGCAATGACCATTATATCAACGTGTACCTGTGCACACAAAGCAACGAAGGGATCATATTAAAAGGACTGCTACTTTTAGTAGCTTTGGCGCATTTATTCAACCTTCGTGTGTATTATTTTTCGACTAGGAAGCATGCACGGATCATTAATCCTTCAGGCAAGAAGTTAGTGGCGGTACTACACCATATCGACTCGTATTTATGTACTTCTACACAATGGTTCAGCTTAGAAGACACTCCTGACCACAAAGTGAGCTTAGGAAAAGAAGGGCTATATGTCATAATGTGGTATCTTTTTGGAAGAGTATGCCATCTAAACGGTGATTTCTGTGTTATAAACAAAGTATATCCACCATCAACAGCTAAAGTATCATTTTGATTCATTTTATTATAAAGTTTCATATTTAAAAACATACTACCATCAGAACTATCTACACAGAATTCACTTTTTGATATAAAAATTATCATATCATTAATATCAGCTGCAAATTGTGTGCATACACCATTCTTTTTAAATTTATATGAATATAAACGTGATCTATCTAAATCTGTATCTGTATAATTAATTCGTGAATCATGACCATCTAAAATAAGTGTTACATGTTTAAAAAAATCTAGATTATATTTTCTTGCAGACAAAACATGTAATATTATATTTAAAAACATATACATTAATGAATTATTTACAGTGGTCCCCCGCTTTTTGCAGCAGCAGTTTTTGGTGGAAAAAACTGCAAAAAGTGGGGAACTGCAAAAAGCGAGGATGAGTATGAGATGTTACACAGCCTGAGTCTATTATGTTAATCAAGTGTCAATGATAGTAAACCAATTAACAGATATCGGTGTTGTACTGAGGCTACTTATTATAAATCAACTCTTATATAAAAGGCTGTCGTCTCATTCTTGATGTTTATATACTGCACTATCGACACCTTTACACCACTATGGTAAAAGCAAAGTACCCAAAGCTTACTGACGAGCAAAAGGACGCTATCTATTAACATTACATGTAGATGTCACTGGTTCAAGACTCTGTGGCCTAGGCTCTCAAGTTAATAGTGGAAAATTGCAGGTCCACATTTTTGGCCTGCAAAATGCAAAAAGTGAGGAAACTGCAATTTTATTAAGTGATGAGCGGGTATGCTCCAAAAAAATCTGCAAAAAATGAGGATCTGCAAAAAGTGGGGCTGCAAAAAGCGGGGGACCACTGTACTATTTCATTAATTCTTTTATAATTCTCTTCATTCATCCAAAATTTTTTGTATAATGTATGAAATGTACTTTGAGGTAAATATTTTTCAATTTCATCTCCAGAAATACCAGAAACTAAATGATATAACAAAAATAAACCTTTTTCTAATTCGAAATAAGGAGCTAGATACTCTTTACTTGTGTATAGCACAACTAAGGAAAAAAATACAGCTGTATAACCTAAATTTTTTAATAATATATCTTTAATTTTTTCAATAAATTTAATATGTTTAAGTTGTATTCTGTGTTTGAATTTATTATGCATAATAGGCCAATTCCATTCAAGAAATGTCCAATAATTAGCAATAATAGTATTTACTTCCTCTGTAATTAATGGTGTATAATCTATTTGCTCCATTTTTTATTTATATTATAAAATTCAATTTAGATATAAAAAATTAATAGTTCTTAAAAAAAAACAAATATTAATTTATATGGTGCATACTGACTTGAATCGTTAATATATTTGAAATACCGACCCAAAAAAAGAAAGTGTATCAGAGTTGTCCAAAGTGAATTTTCTGAGATTCTGACTAGCAAGATATGTTTAATAGCATATTATAAGCATTTCTTACTCGATACTTTATGAAAAAAGGTATTTTGGAGAGCTCTGATAGCCATCAAAGTTTTATCAGAATATGAAAATTTACTATGTAGACCCAAGATTTCGACAAGGTGGGAGGGGTAGATCAGTGAGGTGATGTAGGCTATTACAGTCTGTGTAACATTGCATTAGTCATGGTTACACAAACACGTTATCCTCATTATCATACTGCTTTTTCACAAGGGTTGTGTTTCCTTCATTGATACTCACTCATTGTAGTGAAGCTACACTACTTTGAGATTGATCCAAATAACTCAACTCACTCTGCCATCTTCGTAACCATTAAAATGCAGTAGAGAGAACACCACACACATGGATGAATCAAATATTACATAATTAGCACCATATTGATAATCTCTCAAACATGGATCACAATCGAGAATGACTCAGGACCAACTATTATCAATACTTCGTTGCAATATAATATCGATAATCTCTCAAACATGAATCAGAATCGAGGATAACTCAGTACCAAGGTACCAACCATTGTCAGTACTTCGTTTCAATCTACATTATCTGAGTTGAGCGAAGCGTACCTGTCAAAGAGAGAATATCATACGTCGATACTACAACCGTTGCTGGCGTTATATCCAAGCATACAAGGATATGAAAGATGATCGTGCCAAGATCGTAGAGAAATCTACTTCTAGAAGTTATAAATCCCACCGCTGAATTATTGCAAGTGATTAGTTTGTATTTTTACCTCCATTATTTCTGACTTTCATAAATAAATGAGTATAGCTATCGATTATGTAATTCCTTGACTAGTGCAAACATAGAGTATGATATATGAAGAAACATATCGGTTGTTTCGGGTGTTAATTTAGCCGCGGTGTTTCAAAAATTCTCAATTTTCGACAGCTCATGGTTTAAGTCAGTATGCACCATAACCAACAAGGTAATGCAGTACCCATAATGATGATGAATTAGCACTGAATATCAATGGGTTTACAGAAGCTGAATTTAGTGAAGTTCCGACAACAGCACGAAAGCATGGACGATGATTTAAAATGGACTCTGGAATGCAGTGGAAGAGAGGTCGAAGACGTTTTGTACATGTATGGATCCACCCTAGAATACGAGCAGTAAGTTTTTTTTTATACAAAGACCTAAAGAAAGACATTTATATCTTTGAAGATTGAACTAAATTTTCTTTTTTTAGTCTTTGTCATTCATTTGTGGTGGACCCTTGGGACAAAACGTACAAGCAAAAAAGCATTTTCACGAGTGAAGAAATCGAAGAGATCAAGAGTTCCAAAGCCAAGCAAAAGCCAGTCATCAGTCAGAAAACTCTCGAATATTTGAATCAATATACGAAGGTACAAAAGATAAAACCAACGCCGTTCAAAATCTTACAATAATATAAACTGATTTAATTTCAATACAGGTTAAAAGTTCTTCTCAAGCTCGGCATGTTATCAACCAAATACAACAATGGGATGCGAACTTTGATAGAATGCAATCTCACGACTTGGATTGGATACGTCACAGTTATTATACAATGTAAGTTTTGCGTGAATTATCTTCCGGCTGCAGTTACGTATACTTATGTTAAACTGATCTAATGAATATAGGGTCCGGGAGTTGGAACGCAGCAGGATCGATGACGAGAACAACGCAGAAACATGGTTGTTGGCACACATCTGGACTATGATGGATCGTGCATTAGATGATGTTGTGTTGGATGTAGTTCGGTAAGTTATCATACACATACACATACACAACTTTGTGTTTGAATTACATTTGCTAAAATAGCAATGGAATTTACAGTGCTGAAAATTCGAGCCTTGCATCAAGTCGTCGCAAGAACAAAGAACGGATACCACAAGGAGAAGAGAAACTGGAGAGGAAGAAAATGGGTCGCAGACTTGATCTAATTTTACGACGAAAGAAACTGGAGTTTGGAGCGGGCGAGGCTGGTAAACGGACGGATGATACAGATACCAAGCTACTTCGGGAGAGAGATTTAAAGCTCCCTAAAGCATTGAAAGACATGATGATGAGTCTGAAGAACGAAAGAGGAAGCGCTGATGGTCTGAGAGTAGTTGGATTATTGCAATATGGTTAGTAATTTTGATTGTATTGCCTTTGGGAGATAAAAAGATGGCTTTGTTCTTAACAGTATTATTTTTTAGGCCTCAAGATGACGACTATCACAATGGATGTTCCACATTACTACGTACACAGAATCACGAGAACGAAAAATGCCGAGGTGCCAAGTGATTATGAGAAGCTGCTAGAATTCAGAAAGGTGCTTTACATGACGTTATTCAACAAAGCAATAGTATTGGAAACAATGAATGTTTTACGAAGCCCAGGCCAAGAAGACAAAGAAAATAGCCTTAGTGACGTAATGGAAACACCGGAAGAAGATTTGTATCAGTTACCTAGCATGTTCGATTCACCAGACACTGTAGGAAAATTCTTGTGGTTCTTGTGGATTTCTTATGAATTTCTTGTAAATTTGTGACGTCTGTCACTACCTACTCTGGGTCGCCAAATTTTTTTGTGGTTTTTGTGGATTCTTGTGGATTTCTTGTGAATTTGGACCCCGCCGGCCTTATTCTTGTGGATTTCTTGTAAATTTGTGACGTCTGTCACTGCCTGCTCTGGGTCGCCAATTTTTTTTGGTGGTTCTTGTGGATTCTTGTGGATTCTTGTGATTAAACAGTACTCTCTTGTTATAACCACCTGGTTAACTAGGGTGACAAATACTTTTATATTACTGCAAAAGTTTTTTTTCTTTCTTTTCTTCCCAAACACTAACCAAACACCTCCCAACGCTAACCTTAATCTCCTAAGTCTTCACTTGTATGGAGCATCGTCTTATTAATGTAGAGACAAATCAAGCAGTCATTCTGGAGAAGCTCGACCAACTGCTAACGGCGTAGTCCCTAGTCGAGGTACCAGTTGTCGATGAAGCAGAACTTGCTGAGACGGTTTCCCTCATTCCCCACCCAATGACTCTAAATGCTAAGGGGAAGATGGTAAAGAAAGCGAGCAAGGATGATGTTGAGCGCCTTCTCCTTCAAGGCTACCACCATTTTGAAGGAGGTGCGTTGATCAAAGCCCAGACCGACATCAAGCACATTAGCGAACGTGTTGTGGTCGATCTGGTGAAAAGATTGCAGAATCGTGCTGACAACAGCGTGACCCACTACTTTGCTAAGCTACAAAGCAAAGATAGGCAACTGGGCTATTAGCCTTTTCATGAACCTGGCAAAAAAGCAGGGCATTGATTTTGCTGTCTGCCAGGGCCAGTGGGCAGCTCGCCATATCCTCCAGGAATGCTGGCATAACTATGGCAGATCCAGCAAGTCGAGAGCGGTTTCTAGGTATGATAACTACTACACTAGAGCAACCACAATCAAATATATATTAACTATCAGGTAGACAACAAGAACCGGCTTCTGCTCTTCCTGTCTCTACTTCTCTTCCTGCTTCTGCTTTTCTTCCTGTTTCCGCTTCTGCTTTTCTTCCTGCTTCTGCTTCTACTTTTCTTCCTGCCCCTGCTCCTTCCCAGTCCACGCAGTCTACCAAACGACGCCGTACGACAAAGCAGCTCGGAGCTGCTCCCCCCCCCCACAAAAATATACATAATAAAAGGTAAGTTAAAGTATCAGAAAGTTGATTATTGTATAAACACACACACATACACATATATATATAGCGAGAGTGTATGTGATATATAGAGAGAGAGAAAGGGGTGGTTTTCATCTGTATACGCTCGACCAGTATTCCATCAATCAATAAACCTTAGCTAGTATCATGTAATTGAATAAAGCTATTTTTTAAAATCTATATAATGAATATTCCACAAAAATGTTTTGTGATTTTCTTGTGAACGTGTGACCGCTTTGGTATTCCACAAAATGTTTTGTGATTTTCTTATGAGCGTGTGACCGCTTTGATATTCCATGAAACGTTTTGTGATTTTCTTGTGAACGCGTGACCGGTTTATCGCTACTTTAAACTCACAAGAATCCACAAGAATTCTTGTTACTTTACTTAGTGTTTACAAGAATTTAAAATCCACAAGAATTTTCCTACAGTGAGATTAACCAAATCGAACACGATCTTGTATATAGCAGCCCTCTTCTATTTTCACATTTCATCACTTATTGCAATTACCCGCTTGTAAAAACTTATCGATCCAGTTGCCTATTTTCTACTTCGAACACATCCGCTCTTGTTTTGCCGGAAATACCTGCTTGTCTATGTACATGGTAAATACAAATAAGGAAGGCGAGGTACACTGCTGATATCATTCCATTTGAACAAGGAAACGCTATTTGGTTGCGAAAGATTGGGCTTGCTAATTCGAATAAAGAAGATGCACATGCTCTGCATAGACAAACAAATTCAAGCTGTAGTGATGAACCAAAAAGTAATAGTATTGATTACTTGGTTGCTATTTTAAGAAAACGTGAACGGATAAGATGACATCTTCATAGCACTGGGGTAGGGTAAAGGCTGGAGATGTGTTGTACAGATATGGAATAAATTTAATGAAAGAATAGTAGAAGGATCTCTATTCTTTTATTCTCTAGTTAGTAGTTCAGGATGTATTCGGGTGCCTCAATTGATCATCCTAAAATACATCAAGCTAAATATACAAGCTGGTGCCTAAAATAACGATTCGAAAGACTCCAACACTTGTCTTGGTCTTCAACTTTTGCAGAATACAAACGAGGCGCGTACAGCTGTAGATGACTGTAATTAGTCCACTTGCTCTTTGTGTATGTCGATAAGCCTGTGTACGTCTCGTTTGACAAACATTTTTAATGACCATTAAGATTGGGGAATTACTACGCGCACGACAAAACTTGACCTCGCGCACGACAAAACTTGGCCTCGCGCACGACATTTTTTCTGATAGTTTAGTATTCCGCAGTTGTCGTGCGCACCGTCTCTCGAACAGTTTGAAAGACCCTGCGCACGACAAAGACTGACCTCACGCACGACAAAAACTGACCTTGCACATAATAATTTTTCTTTGGCAGTTGTCGAGCGCACCGTCTCTTGCACAGTTTGAAAGACTCTTCGCACGACATAACTATGATTATATATACCGAGTAACTTGAATGTGTTAAGATACCGTGTATCCAAATGGCAAGCAAACAACTTTGTGCTAACATAAGTACTATAATAAAGTGAAGCACGCACATCCCCACCCAAGTCTTGACTCCGCCATCCGTATCTCAGCTCGCAACAAAGGTGTGATTTTGTATTTTAATTAGCGAACAGAAAAGCATGCTCAGAAACACCACCATGCGTTTCCGTAGTTGCCGTATGCATTCATGAGATTGGAAGGTATTCCATAGTTCCAAGGTGGCCACTCTTTTTTTTTTGTTATACATTAATAAAATGGTGGAAACTTTGGGTTATTTATATCTGCTGACATTTAACTAGCGATTTGAAACAGGTTGGCTACTTTGGTAGCAAACAATATAAATGGCCGTTGAATATGTTCATCAAACCGAGGCAGGCTTATCGAAAGGCATGAAGAGCAAGCGGATCGATTGCAGTTATCTATAGTTGCCTAGCCAGGAATTCCCTGGATGGCTGTAATGATCCTAAATTGTATTGACTGGTAGCTATACTTGGGCTGCTTTTTGTTGACACGGTGTTATACACGCTGATATACAATGAAAGTGTTGGTCTATGTTTTGTATGTTTATAATGTTCATGTGCTGACTCTTAACTAACAATGTTTTGACTTTGCGTCGATAGAGCGCTTTGGCCATGGCTGAACTTCAAGAACTATGGTACCAATGATTATGCAGAAGATGGATGAACATGATTGCCTTGTGGACGCATCCTACCAGAGCTGATACTTGTTGCGAGAATGTCATCATAAGCTCAACTGACTGGCTAGCTGGGGAGTGGTTCTTCTGCAGGGCACAAAGGGCAAGCGGATCAGTTATAGTTATCTTTAGTTGGACGCGCCTCGTTGCTTTTATTCAGCAAAAGGTTAAACCAGGATAAATGCTGGGAGTCTTTCGAATCTCTATATTTGTTGACACCGACTTGTAGAATTAGCAAGATGTAATCAATTGAGGTACCGGAATACATCCGCAAGTAATAATTGATAGATTGTTTATTTACAAGAAAACATGATGAGAGGAGATGCTCTTCTCCTTCATGAAGGTACTACATATAATATTAATCGAGTATCCAAGGCTAAAATGTGTTTGTCGAACAAGGAACTGTACCATTATCTCACTTTGTTGTTTTTTGTTTTGGTCACGTACATACTCGATTAACACGTCGTAGATAAATCAGCACCGAGCTCTCTCTTATTTTCTTCAGAATAGAGCAATTTACGCTAACTACATTTTTAGTCGACCGACAGTGATGCCGTTCGTCACCGTGGGCGACCACGCCTTCCGGAAGGAGAGGCGCGGACGCGCTTATTAGCTCGGCACGTAGATGAAGAAAGGTCGCGGCGATTTAACGCCGCCTTAAGCAAAATAGAAGAGAATGATGATTTCTAGCTTGTGATGTATACGCTGCTCTACAGACACTCATTAAAATGATTTAACGTATTGTAGTGAAACATCAGATCAGGTTCAGGTGTTTGCTGCTTGGACAGCACTCCCCCTATGCATCCAGATGAATATGCAGTTACATTCTATTCCGAAAGAATTGATAGTTGGCGTCGTGTGCATGAAAGGGAAAACCAGAAACGATACGAGCATGGAAAGACCACTTCATGGGGCTTGGACTTAAAAATAAATGCTTTGGTCAGTATGGACTAAAGCTGGTTGCTTGGCTTATAAACCAATTGAGATTCATTTTAATGATATTTGATAATAAAGGTAGAGGAGAAAATGAACGTTGGTTGTCAAACGATCCTTTTTAATAAAGTATGCCCATTGTTAATATATTCAAAATGCTTGGTATTTTACTATAGCATCATACCGTACATAGAGATAAAGACTGCGAGGTTAGAAGCTGGTGCTGTGGCGCAGGTTCAATAAGTATTCATGCATTGAAATACAGGTTTGGTTTGTAGCCAAAAAAGCCAACACCAAGCATCTAGCATTACAACAGTAGAACTGTATTGGTGTGGTCCGCCATGGTGAAAAACGTGTCTGCTCGATGTGCATTTTTTAAGGGTAACGGCATTACATTTGATGTGGTATGCAACCCGTCACCACCGATTGCTCCTGACAATGCGTATCTCAAATATAGCATCAATGAAAACAGAGTTCATATTTATTAAAATCAAATTTGATATGTATTTAAGTTAGATTTGATTTTGCTTAGTATGGCCTCTGCCTTGCTGGCCATGGAAGGAATAGACAAAGCTTATATGCTATGATGATGGGACGACATTCCTTTCCAGCTTTTAATTTATTTATGGTGACATCGTTCGCAGCATTTTGTTCAACGCTGACTAGAGCACAATATCGCAGAAGACAGCTAATTGTTTGCAAGTTGGAATTAATGTGTATATCTTTTCAGAAATCGACAATACTGAAGAAACATTAAGCTATCATCGTATGGAAGTTGCAATGGCGTTTAAATGCTTTCAGCAATGGGTAATTTAGGTCTGCACGCGCCGGTAGTTGTGTTATATCCATTTTCAATGTTATTACAGCCGGATCACAACTAGCTCGTCCAAGCGCATCATGGGTATGATAGTTGGAAAAAATTATGTGTAAACTAGGATCTGAAATGTTAAATAGCGAAAAGCAAACCAGCCTTACTTCTAAAGATTACCAATATTTGTGCCTTCAAGATAATGATACATATCAAATATATAGCGAGCTCTGTATGTAGTGATATTTCCCGACTTTTACTTTGGAACCCAAAAGTCCATCGTTATACCGAAATAAGGTCAAGACTTAAAGCAAGAACTATTCAACAAGCTCACTATATTACTACTTTTATGACAGAAGGATGAGGTGCTAAAATAGGGGAAATGTGCATAGAATTGCATATGGGATGCATACACTGCGTATATGCATTGCAAACCCAGAGCTCCCCGAATGCTGATATATATGATATCTACAACAAAATCCTCTTGTTTGGCTGCCCTTCATCCTTCTTTAAATTTCCAAACACCTTCGATCCCATTGACATGCTTATTCAAAATTATTAAGTTGTCAACATGAGCATCAACGACATTAAAAGTAATTCTGCACCTGTAGACGACAAAATCAACAATAGCTTCAATACTACATCTTCCGACATTGATGTCAAATATGTTTCACAGCAACATGATGACAGTCTTATTGTTGCTGTAGCAGAGGAGGAGCAACCACCATTCTCAGCAGAGTCCACTACACAAGAAATCATTTTTGGTCGCAAGCAAAGATTGTTCATTTTGTTTATGGCGTGCGTGGCTACTCTAGGTGCGGCATTTCCAGTGCAGATATTTTATCCTTCACTTATTGCCATTGAAAAGGTAGATATATGATTTATACTAGCGACTGGCTCATACTTTAGTTCGGCTGATTGCTGGTGTCCTCCTTCGCTTTCTACTAGGAATTCAACACTACAGCATCTATTGTCAGCATTTCAATTGCAGGATACAGAGTGGTTCAAGCCTTCTCTCCGACTTTTTGGGGAGCACTTTCGGATCAATGGGGTCGTCGTCCCACTTATATGTTGACAATGATAATATCTGCAGCAGCTTGCGCCGGAATTGCACTGTCTCCAAACATCGATACCTTGATTGCTGTACGACTGCTTCAGGGGTTCGGCGGAACATCCATTCAATCTATAGGTCAGAAAAAGGAAAATTTAAACCGGAGAACTAGTTGTCCTGGACGAGCTGACAGCAAATTGTATTAAACGTAAAAGATCTGAATAATACTACCATTCAGGTGACGGCGTCGTTAGTGATATATCTGTTCCGGCTACGTAAGTATCTATTTTATTCTATGGAAATGACAAATTCCTCAAAAGCAATTACTCAAAATATTTAAAAATCTTATTAGACGAGCAGGGTATAATTCAATTTTTCAAATGGGGTATAAGGTGGGCAGTGTCCTCGGTCCTGTTTTAGGCGGAATCATTGCTCAGCACCTGTCATGGCGGTAAGGAACTTAAACAATACTCTTTAATCAAAGGACATACAACCGAAGCACAAGGATTGATACTTGAATTATCTGACTGGATGAGATTTTAGCTGGTCGTTTTGGATACTGGTGATTTTCACTTCCTTTGTGTTTATTATGATCGCTTTATTCATACCAGAGACGTTGCATACTTTAGCAGGTGGCTATTACAATCCTACGCCCTTGCAATGGATTAAACGTCAAGGACAGAAGCGAAGCCAGACGAAACAACTAGAACACAATTCAGAAGTTGTCGACAGCGCAGCAACATCTAAAAAGGAAATGAAGATATCCTGGGATAGCGAAAGGGACACAGCAGCAAAAAGTCGGTTTATGCGTAAACCCGATTTTCGGGCATCATATCGCTATATACGAATGCCTGACTTCTTTCTCGTGATGCTCAATGAGGGCTTGTACTTTGCAGCACAAGCTTGTTACATGATCAATCTGCCTTACTTGCTTGAAGACTACTACAATTTGGACGTTCAACAGATTGGTCTTTGCTATCTTGCGCAGACGCTCGGAACAGTTGCTGGTGGTCTCGGTGCAGGGCAATATTTGAATTACATGTTTCGACGCACTGCTGCAAATTACGACGGTAGCGATAAGGAAAAGAATACTGGACGCACAAACAAGCTGCCGCTGGATTTCCCAATTTATAAAGCTAGACTTCAGTCTGTATGGCCCAATGCGATCGCTGCTCAAATCACCACATTAGTATACGGTTGGTGCTTCTACTTAAGAACACCTTTGGCCATTCCACTTCTCATACAGTTTATCGGTAATCACGCATTATAACCCAAAAGTAAATGCAATGTAAATATGGCTAACACTGTATTGTCAATTTATGCTCTTCTCAATTTATCTAGTGGCCTTTAACGTACAATGCATGAATTCAGCTACACGGTGTTTGCTGATCGATTTGCGACCAGGGAAAGGTGCTACAGTTGCTGCCTCTGTTGGTTTATTTCGCCAGTTGTCCGCGTAAGTGACCCCTTCGCTACAGCTACAATTGAGTTTCTTGCTTGATAATCATATATGTAGTGCGCTTATATGCTTATTTCGTTGCTCATCTGGTTTGTAGGGCTATAGGCTCGATAGCAATGTATCCTGCCACAAAAGCCGTAGGACCAGGCTGGACATATACTATCCTTAGCGTCATTTTAATGATCTCTAATACCGTTATTCCTGTATTGTTAAAACATGGCGTAAAGTGGCGAACAAAACGAGCTATCCAAGAAGAAAATAATAAACAGTAAAATTAAGTATGCTAGTATATCATACTACATGAATTTCATTTCAGAAATTATAATACACTGGTCGAACAGTATTCTACCTGTCACTTTTTGGGTACTGCAAGCTATGAATTACGGAAATTTATCTAAGCTTTGCATCGTGCCGAGAAACATTGTTATGGTGTATCATAGTGTAGAGTGACTCATTTAAGCAGTTGAACGATATCAATACGTGTATTTACGGATCAAAAATTTTAATTTGCAGAGAAATTTCTTTGCGAACAATTACGTTACAGGCCGCATAGTATCTAGCCACAGTGTCTGAAATAACATCAGCCGGGAGATTACTGTATCGGACAGCGCTTTATCGATTCCATTTGACACGAAATGTTCGTCCATAGTTTGCCTGTCATAGCCTCCTTTTTGCCTATGCCCAGCTTCATACTTATGTGCAGGCCAGAATCGCGAACAGTCTTTTGAAATTGTCCTGTTAGTTTTACGCATATTTTTATTTTTTTAGATACCACCAAATAGGAATCAAAACAAAGAGATATTTACCAGGCGCAAGTACTTCATCCATTAAGGCCAAGTTTCCATTTTCATCCAAACCAAACTCGAATTTGGTGTCAGCAATAATGATGCCATCTCGTTTCAGCATACTTACTCTGGCCTTGATGTATATACATTTTCACGGCAGCGTCCTTGATCTTGTCCACCAATTCGTGGCTGCCGACCAGCTTTACCATTGTTGAAGAATGTATATTTTTATCTTCTACCAAAATGCAGAGGTTAGTATATGTTGCTCCAGAAAGTGAATCGATTTAAAGGACAAGTCTTGAAGAAAAGCAAAAACTACAGTATTTAACAAGTTCACCATAGTTAGCCTTAGTACTTTAAGTTAGAAGAGGGATTGACAGCGTCTCGCATTCGACCAATCCTTTAGGCATTGCCATGCCGCAAATGGTGCCCTTTTTTTATATTCAGCCCAGGCTGATCCCGCAGTATATACTCGTACAGTTACTTCGAAAGGTTAAGCATGCATCTTACTGACCCAAATTGAGCGACCTTCAACCTGATCACGGTATCTCTGGACGCTTCCAGACATCTTCTCAAAGTCGGCCGTATGCTCGTTTGAAAAAAGTATGAACCAGTGCCATCATAATACAAGCTGTCGCCAATTACCTATCGCTGGGGTTTTGATTTTATCATAAGACCCATCTGGCGGTTCCTCTCTTAACATTCAATTAATTGGTAAGGATTTATTTTTATGGAATGAATTGGCGGGCCATCATACTTCATACTGATTTCACTCACTTCACTCATTACACCATTAAAATGGTACAGTGAGTTTTAACGTAAAATGCATATTTTCAGCAACATGATGCTTATTGGCAGACCTTCGACCAGTAAAAGGCGCTTTTGTGGTAGTACCTGTTGGTCTATTTAGTTGGTTATTTGGGTAAGCATGTGGTGCCATTCAATAATTCTAATGCGATTTTGCATGGATAGAACCATTTTATAGTATTTTTTTATATGCACTAAAGAGCCTACCCTACTTTTAGCGCTGTTAATCCGTCTTTAATCTATCCGGGGACACAACTTGTAGGACTCGGATGGACATACGCTAACCTCAGTTGTTTGACGATATTATTTAATGCTATTATACCTTTATTATATAGTACGGTGTAAAATGGAGAAGAAACCGAATTTTAAAGATTCAGCAAACAACGATCATAGAATCATACTGGTGTGCCAACTTGATGATACTAATAGTTAAAGTGTATTTTACTGCTGAAAAGATCCCTTAATAGATCATTTACACCTCAGATGCAGAGGTACTCCATGTGATTAATAGACTGCTGCTAGCACACTTTACTAATTCAACGAAGATGCACCGAGACGCGTCAAAACATAAAGATACAGGAACAAGCAACAACAATGCCCGCCGCACGCGCTCATTCATATCTCAGACCACACCATAAGCAGCAATCAAAAAGTTTCGTGTCACCGACACACGTCTCGAACAAAAAAGCCCTCTCTTTCTATCACCACCATAGAAACACTCCTCGGCCCTCCATGCTGAAACATGTTGTACAACATATGGTAACTTTACGAATAGATGGGCAAAAAGTAGTAAGGTGGACTAAAATTGAATCCTTACATCTGTAGCATGGTCTCTGACTTTTTCTATCCCAACATGGGAGGAGTAGAAAGTCATTTGTACCACTTGTCACAACGGCTAATTCAAAGAGGACACAAGGTAATTAAAAAGACACAATAGCATTAGAAAGAAGCATGTCCATATATTGATGAAAAGACAATGTGTGCACACCACGATGTTAGGTTATTATAGCTACACATGCGTACGGCAATCGGACAGGTGTTCGTTACTTGACGAATGGACTCAAAGTATACTACGTGCCTACGCTAGTAATACACTACGAAGCCACACTTCCCACTCTCTATGGATTCTTCCCTTTGCTCCGCAATATCTTGATCCGCGAAAATATTGATATAATTCATGGCCATGGTGCATTCTCAGCGCTATGTCAAGAGGGGATCCTACACGGCAAAACTATGGGTTACAAGGTGTGCTTTACAGATCACTCATTGTTTGGATTTGCAGACGCCAGTTCAATCTTGACCAATAAGCTGCTGAAATTTACGCTAAGTGATATTGATCATGTTATCTGTGTCTCTCATACTAGGTATGCTATTGTTTGCACTTATGACCGGAAGAAAAATGGAGAGACGAATGAGGAGAAAAACTAAATGATGTTTATGTAAAAAGTAAAGAAAATACGGTATTACGAGCGGCACTTTCTCCACGAAACGTATCTGTTATACCCAATGCTGTGGTAGCTTCACAGTTTAAGCCTGATCCATCTGCAGCGGATCCCAACTGGAGTAAGTATAGGAAGGAGGCATGGGAGAGAAAGAACCAGGGAACGGGTAAATAAACTGATAATATTTAGTTACCGTTGTGGTAATCAGCCGCTTAGTTTACCGTAAAGGAATGGACCTACTCGTAGCAATTATCCCACGGATATGTAGTATGTACAGAAACGTCCGTTTCATCATTGGTAAGTTCATGCGAACGTAAACAGTGCTTATAATTTGGTCAAGCAGAAGCTGATATTCTTTCTATGTGAAAAAACGGCTGTCGTTATTAGGTGGTGACGGACCAAAACGGATTGATTTGGAACAGATGCGAGAAAAACACTTATTGCATGATCGTATTGAGCTTTTAGGTTCGATCAAACATCATGACGTGCGAAAAGTATTAGTTCAAGGCAACATCTTCCTCAATACCAGTTTAACCGAAGCCTTTTGCATTGCGATCGTCGAAGCTGCATGCGCTGGGTGAGTGCAACAACAATGGTCGTGCTTATGTGAGATGTTTTTAAACAGGAAACATTAGAATCTAACATGGCATCTGTATGCTATCAGGTTATTTATCGTAAGTACCAAAGTTGGTGGTGTACCCGAGGTATTGCCTAGCCATATGGTTAATTATGCTATGCCAGAAGAGGATGGTAAGTAGCTGTAGCTGTTTTAAGTCAGTTTATATAGGGGTGTAAATAACTATGTAAACAAAATGTGTAACGATAGCAGGCTAAACTGGTGTGAGATAGACAAAGGTTGAACACCTACAACTAACTAGACAAAACCAAAAATTTATCTTACAATCTTAGATCTAGTTATCGCCATTTCAAGAGCAATACACATGATCCGATACGAAGAAGTAGATCCCAGACGGTTTAATGATGAGCTTAAAGATATGTATAGCTGGTCTAACGTTGCCGAACGTACCGAAAAGGTAAATACGAAGCATTGTAGTGAGAAAAAGGAAACTAGTGTTCAGCAGTGCTTATTAAGGGAAACACTGTCAACGAACATACTAACACACGGAGAAAAAAAAACACCATTAAAGGTTTACGACTTGATATCTCAAACACAAGAAGCACCCTTAATTGAAAGATTGCGCCGATACTACGGTTGTGGACTTTATGCTGGCAAAATATTTTGTATGGTCATGGCACTTGATTATTTGTTTTGGATATTTCTGGAAATCATGCTGCCTCGCCACTCAATTGAACGTGCGGAAACATTCCCGTATAAACAATACCGCGAATATTTTAATAACCGGCCATCATCATTACCGACATCATCGCCATTACAACTACAGCAACAACAAGAGAACGAAGGCGGAACGGAGAAAGGATATGAAGAGTAATTACATACAGAGCGAGAGAGTGTGTCTGTGTATGAAGGGGTGCGGGCACATACATATATCAACAAGGGGAAATCAACATTTTGTAAATAAAAGGAAAAGAGAAAGCAAAGAGAAAGAGACTACTAGGCACGAAACGTTTTCTCCACCAGATGCGTATTCTGTAACAAAGCCTGAAGCTGCTCCATCATAATCTGGCTACCATGGTGATGTGCTGTGGCACTACTGCTGGATGACGACGACGACGATGTGGTGCTGCTGTTGTTCGGACTGTATATGAGGGTTTCCATGGTTACACAGCGCTGCTTAGCCTTGACAAATGCCTGCAGGCCAAACTCCATCCATTCATGCCAGTTGCGCGCGTAAAGTAGCTGTTTCGCCCACTCGCAAATGATTTTCCATGTGTGGACCAGCTGTGACGTCAACTGGACCTTGCCAAATAAGATGGAAAAGAGCCGCTGCTGTGCCGATGCTACATCTTTGATCTTTCCACCGTCGTGGTCTCGCACAATTTGGATATCGTCTAGCACCCTGACCAGCTTCACAGGATGGGGATCGCTCGCCGTTGTAGTTGTATTATTGTGGCGTTTGCTATATTGGACAACAAGCACAAGTGCTCCGACAAGGTCACTAAAATTTAGTGCAGCAGCACCACCACCATCGCTGTTGCCAGCAGCGCTTCTGTGGCTCATGCTATCGCCGGTTTGTTGTTCCTGTTGCTGTTGTTGAAATATCAAGAGATGCTTAGCAACCACACGATCATGTTCAGCTGCTTCTGGTGTCGCTGGTACTGCCGGTTCGTTGACGTGCCATCGTTGCTGTTGCTGTTGACACTGCTGCTGTAGCGGTGCTTGTTGTTTCAGAAATTTGCTCATGTCGTCAATCACTTCTATCAGTCCCTCGTAGTCAGGACAATGTCGTGGTCTTTCGTCGTGTCGGATCCTCGCTAACTCTCGGGCAATCCATTCTTGCGGTGTCACGGTATCCCCTTTTGTCGAATCCTGGAGCTGTAACTCCGCAGCTTTTGTGATTGTAAATGATAATGGTATGGATGTTGTATTAGAATTGTTGGTGCTTTGAACTTGCATTGTACACATGTCTTATTTTAGATGAATGGTAGATGTGATAGTAAGGATAATAGTAGTAGCAGTGATAAAGTAAACAGAAAAAGATAAAAAAAGATGTTTGCGTGCGTGTGGGAATAGTTGGTACTTTTTTAATGTCTTGGCAATAATAACTGATAGTTTTTTTTACAAAGAAAAAACGGAAACGACAATTTTATGGTAGCTAATATATAGTCGAGCAGCGCCGCTGGATGCACGAGGAAAGACGGAGACGAAAGAAAGAGGGAAATAAGAGAAACAGAGAGGTGTCAAAAGTATATCCTGCATGCAGCACTAGTAAGAAAAGGCAACAGATTATTTCGTTGCCTTATTTCGGCAAAAGCGATCAGGATTTCTTAATTAGGCAGCTGCTTCTCAGCACGTTTCACAAGAGGGTGTGTATATGTGCTCCTTTGTTTCTCATGGCGGCGGCATCCTATGGGATTCTTGTTATACACATACACACGCAGCAAGCCCTTATTTTTCTCAGCGTCACTCGCACTCACTATCACACATGCAATATAACAGCTGATAATCAGCGTTAGGATGGGTTTCATTAGGAGGCTTCATAGATTCAGTCATCACTCCATTGCCATCAAATTTAGCAAAGTTAGTGTGATACTAAAACTGCCACTAGGTAGTAGTAGTACTGTCAGGTTAAAATTCATGCGCGTCAGTGTGTACTATGTAGATCTCCACCTGCTGAGTTGATTCCTTCCTTCCTTCCTTGCGTTCCTTTTTGCCCAGGACACCTTTTCGTTTCGTACACATTACTATTGTTGTATCATGCTCTGCTATTATGCGGCTATAAGTACACCTAACTTTACGATCGCACCACCGGGCTTGATAAAAGTAGCACTACACATCCTTGAAAGTTCAAACAGAGAATCGTGCTCTATTCTTTCTACTATTGTATCCGTACTACCTTATTTGACATAATGCGGAAGGATATGCCGAGAATGGAAACAAAGAAAGGATTAGCCTGATAACCACCCCCCTCATTGCTTCCTCCTTGTTCTCATCCCTATATTTATCCGGAAAACCCCATCATGCTCGTCATTATCATTTTCATTTTCTGAAGAAAGCAATATATGGTAGATAAGCTGCAACGCCACGGTCATCTCATCACAATGTTAGCTTTGTACATCAATAGGTAGATAGATGGTCATGATGTGTAACCCTGCTAATCGTGATGAGCCATATTGCTTTTTGGTACTCTGGAGATGGTAGCAAAAATATAAGATTTGATGAGCCAAGGAAAGAGGATTAAGGAACTAAAGATAAAGTGGAAAGCCACAAGGAGACTTGAGACAACAAGACGCGGCATACGCAAAACCAACTGTTAAGGAGAAGAGGAAAGAGTATATGCGTCGTAAAATGCATGAAGAAGATGCAGCTCTATGTACCCTCTGAACCTTGTTTATCATAGTTCAGTAAGACGTGATTTAGATACGTGCAACGAAATTGATGTACGCAGCTTAACGTTTCCTCTTCTAGGATATTACTCAATAACAGCTACCGGAGCTTGGTTCCCCAAATGCGGTAAAAAACTTGCTCACTCTACCCTTGCTGATGTTCCTGATGATAGATGAAACGAACAAAGTCTACCCTTTTTGTTATATGTATTGTAAATTATCGAAACTATATGTACAACGTCGAAAAGGTATCATTCATGCACATATATACGTAACATTACACATATTAATTTGAGAATAAAAACAGAACATGTCTTTCTTGGCACAGCAGCAGCAGATGCATGCTTTATAACATAACATTTGGGCAACAAAGCCATGCCCATTCATCACGTGCACGATGTAGTAGGCGTTGTGCAAAAAGAAACCGTGACGCAGCAACCAAAGTAAACATTGCGATAGCAGTGACATAGTTAAAGCAGAAACTTTAATCAACAGATCCGCCGTGCCCGTATGTCGTGATATTAATATCGATTACTTTTCACAATTATGAAAGGTGGAAAGCGGCGGATTCATTATCAAGAATTACTATCTCACGAGGTACGACAGCGGGGTTCCTATGGTAAAAAGCGGCGCGCAATGCGTGATAGCATTCGCCATGTAAAATCTCATATACTAACTCGATCTAGCATAATGTAGTAACATTATCTTGACATGACGGAAGCCCTATGCATGAGCAAACATACGATACATCTGATATACAGTATAAACTTTAAATCTTGATTGGTATGTTAAAAGAACACATATTCATAGTATATGCTGTCTAAACATATTTGGGCATTTAATGTTACATTAGTCATTGTGTATGCCATATGTAGTATACTAAATATTTTTCAAGAAAGAGGTATGATAGCGAGCTATTCTTCAAAAGAAGAAGAGAAAGAAAGAAGTCCAGAACACAGATGCATCGTTTTTTTTATTCCACTCCCTTGGATCAACCAAGCCCAAATATATAACATCCTAGGCTAAAGTGACGGCTTAGAGTTACATCAAATGCAAATCATTCAAAACGATTTTCTGTGTATCTATACCAAGAACGGCATATCAAAAATGACGATTTATTTTAGGTATGTAGAGGAAGATTTGGAAATTATGAAGAGATTGAGTTAAGTGTAACGGTAGCGTGTTAATAAACAACGCGATGGTGGCGACGGCAAAGAAACCAAGCCCAAAGGCTACACATATACATACGTTCATTGTGCTATTTTGGCTCGTTAATCAAGTTTATTTCCAAGTTTCTGGGTTCACAAACAAACACGAATTGAAGATGGAATCTAAAAAGGACTATGGAATAAAGGATGTTTTAATACATACATACAACCGCAAAAAAAAAAAAACGAAAAACAAGTGTTGGGGATATTTTCGATTCATTTTATGCATCGGCAGCGACGACGACGTTGTTGGAGGAAGTTGAGCGTACGGGTTGATAATGTTGAGGCGGACGAACAGCCCAGTTGGACCGAATGACTTCGTCTGCACTCCGCCCTTTTGTTTCGGGCAAGATACACCACGCCAGGCCGGTCATGACGACGAGGATACCTCCAAACAAATAAAAGACGCCGTCTTGGCCGATAATATCCCGAAGGCCTAGGAACCCAGCCGAAACGACAAAATTAGAGACCATATTACACGCCAACCCAACAGATCCTGCACTCGAGACAGCCGGTGTATCCACCAACTCGGGTATCATGAGGAATGGAATGGGGCCCAAGCCAATTGCAAACGCCGCTACGAAGCCAATAATAGCTGCTGCTGACACTTTATCCTGGCCCGCGGCTTCAATACTCCATCCAAGCAATATGCTCATCACGGACATCATGGAGGAAGATGCAAGGAACAGAGTGCGACGACCCACACGATCCATCAGATATGCCGATACAATTGTCATGGCCAGGTTGACAACGGAGATATATACAGTGATCAAATCCGATGACTGAGGGAATACTGCTGACATGATCGAAGTCGAGTAGAAAATGACTGCATTGATACCCGAGAATTGTTGCGTCAATTGAAGCAGTAGGACGATGCTAAGCGGTCGTCGATACTGAGGCATCGATAATAACCGTATAACGTTCACCTTGGGCCGCTCAGATTCTGCCGTAGCAACAAGATGTTGTTGTTGTTCTTGATCGATTCCTCCTTCATTATCTTCTCCGTGTTCCTCTTCATCGCCATATGGATGATGTCCTCCTGTACCAGTTGCAGTGCCCATTTGTTCGTTTCGCCACTCATTAACTTCAGCCTCGACGAGTTCAATAGGGGGTCCACGCAGACGCAGCAACGAGGCTTTTGCACTATTTAGCCCACCGGGGATTGATGCAAGATGGCGTGGAGAATCGACACAAAACGGAAGCAGCAAGAGCTGTGCTATCGATAACACGACACCAATAGCCAAAATAGATCGCCAGGCAGCCAGCGTCGACCATGCCATGCCTATACCTTGTGCCACCAAAATACCAACCACAATAGCTAGCTGGTTCAATGTGCCGAAAAATCCGCGACTGCCTTTAGGCACGCATTCCGCAATATACGCAGGAACCACCACCGTGACGATACCGCTGCCTAGTCCCGCTACAAATCGTCCGGCCATTAACGTTGCTACATTGAATGCAAAGGTCATGATGACGGAACCGAGTCCCATCAACAAGGCTGTGCCGAAAAGGGATAATCGTCGTCCAAATCGATCGCTAACATACGACGCCGATAAGGCGCCAATGAGACCGCCTGCTGTCAGCATGGCCACTACGAGCGAGTATTTGGCATCCGACATGCGGATGCAGCCTGGTAGACCGCTGCTATTGTCCCCGTCATTGGGTTCGATAAGAATGCCTTGTTTGGTTTGACATTTGGAAATAACAGCTTGTGGTGTATTGAGTTCGCCATTGTGGTATCCATACTGGAATGCACCCTAAAAAAACGCAACATTAATTGTTAGTTAATCAGACGATTCAAGGGGCCTGGGACGAAGAAGAGAGAAACAACAGCTCAAAGCTCTGCGGAGGTTACCAACGTGATGGTAAACACAACAAACGCCAAGTAGGATGTGAGACGGTTAGACGACGCCATGGTTCAGTGATGTTATGAAACACTTTGTTAGTGTTTCCTGCTGAGGGTGAAAGGGGTGTGTGAAGGGCGAGAGCATCTCTCAACAATGCAAATAGATACAATATTATATATACAAGCTGAAATTGATTCCAAATATGGGCTTGTCGGATCAGCTCGGTTAACCTGGCATCCTTTTGCAAATCAGCAGATTTATTTATTATGATTTAACACGTTGACGATGTTTTTTATACACAGGTGGCGGTGGGTTCTTGTTTCTTTTGTTGTCGGTGTTACTATTAGATACTACTTTCTTGTGCTGGCTCATGGCGAGTGTGATGGCTACCATCGGATCACCACCGGATTCGGTTAGATACTCTTGCACTACTCGCCGATCAAGTTGAGGCAACACGTTGCATAGTTCGTTCAACGCTGCTTCAGGTCCTTGTTCAATAGGCTTTATTGTCCGTGGCGGCAGCGGCGCAGGAGCAGCAGCAGCGGGTTGTGGAGGATGATAGCGATGGTGCTGTGGAAACGTTGGTATGGAAGGACGCTCGTTACTAGGAAGTACAGTATCGCACGATGCTTTTCGGAGAGTGCGTGATAGACGTGATGATACCGAGGAGCTAATGGATAGTGGCGACGCACTAGGTAAGGACTCTGTCGAAGAGCGTCTGCTGGAAGTCGACAATCTGATGGACCCTCGCCATCGACTGGTTGCTGCTGTGCTTGCCGCAGTAGACATGGTAGAGTCAATGGATGGACGTGGTTGCTTCTGATGCTGTTTCTTTGTTGTTGCTGTGGATGAAGGTTTTGATTTCGGTTGCTGACATGGTCTATTTTGTTGTTGTGGAGATTCTATATCATCTGCGTATGGCATGATCTTGGGTCGCGAAGACCGTGATAGTGAGAGACGACTGATGGATGTTGGTAAAAACAGTCGACTAAGCGATGGCTTAGGTGTTTCTCCTGAAAATGCCGCTCGTCGAGGCATTGTTACGCTATTGGATACAGATGCTTTGCGTAAGAACATGCTGATAGATCCACTCAATGACGAGCTCATAGTAGGTGTAGGCTGGATCTCGGGCGATGCAGGTCGTGGAGGCGGTACATAGCCTATTGTGATATATTATATTGATTGTTTAGTTATACATGCAGAACACTTCCATTACTCAGTAGCAACAGCAACAGGTGTTCATGATGGTTTGAGAAGGAGTATCCTGCTTTTTACCTTCTGTCATTGGTTTGGGTAGTCCTTTTTCTTTGGCTTGTTTGACCCACGATGAAAGCTTCGAATCTGCCCGCATACATTGTTTATATGTTCGATCATAGAAGGCTATCCGCTCGCGTATGTCTGGCACTCGCATCATCTCATCGTAGGTTCGAGCATGGTATTTCACAGACGCGTCTGACTGCTGCTGCTGCTGTTGGTGTTCTTCCTTGAGTTGTTTTGGAAAGTAGCGCGAGGATTTGCTTGACTTTTTACTGAGCGTAGATAGACGACGTGAGCGACGTGATGAAATGGAGGAACGTGATCTGGGTGTTGCGATCAGTGGCGACGGCGAAGGCAGTTGTTGCGGATGACAAACCGATAATGCCATGGGGCTGCTGTTCTGGTTGTAATCAGTAAACTGGGGTGTGGTGACAGTGGAAGAGTTGCTAGTGGTAGTTGTGGCAGCAGTTGTGGCAGCTGAATCAATGGTTATAATCAATGGCGGTGGAGGAGGAGGAGGAGGAAACGGAAGAGTAGGCTCCTCCTTTTCCACCAGATATTTATCATTCATTCCTGTTGCAGCTGCTGGTATTGCTGTTGTGAATGCTTGTGTCGCCTCCTCCTTTCCTGATCCAAATCCAGCAGATGGTACAGCTGCTGGTGCTACCGATGGTGATGGTACTTTCGTTGTTGGGAATGGCGGCGGCGGCTGATAATTATCTCCTCGATCCTCCTCGCGGGGCTTCTCGTCAATAACCTCCTTGTCTTCTATAGTATCAACAGCAATAGCAGGTTCCGAACAGGCGGCTTCCGCGACTTGCTGTAGCTCTGGCTCCTCTTTGTTCCTATCCCTGGTGGTCGCAAACTGGTCCATCAGTGTCGAAAAGTCATTTGAGAAACGAATATTCAACTGATCGAGTGGCATATACGATGAGGTCGACTTTTTTTTGGTCGTGATCGTATGGCCTTCTAGGTCTTCTTCAACGAGGGTCTTATCCGCATGGATAGCAACAGAAGAGGGCGGTTCTTCAATCGCAGTTTTTTCATCCGATGGATAGCACAGTAGTGTCTTTTCTCCTGCATTCGTCAATCTGCTATTGATGGGGTACGGCTGCTGGCGTTGTTGGTGAGCGGTGTTGTCAAGGAGCCCCTCGTTATCATGCGGTATGCTTTTTTCAGCGCAACTCTCCGAACAAGAACAAGAAGGTTCTGTTTTTTAAGTGAATTGTCTTGTGAGCGCCCGTGCACCTTTTTCTTTTTCTCATTATGTGTGTATTACCTTTGTTTTCCCTTTCTCCTTCTTCTCTATAACTGTTAGGGTTGTCACTGTTGAAATCTTCGATAGCTAGTTGTAGATCACGTATTTGAGAGAGCACATCTAAACGGTTGTTGAAATTATGTTAGACGTAGTTTTCATTGATATAAATGAATAAATATAGCTCGAGCAACAAAACAAGGCTAGCCACCGTACTACTAGCGCTACGAATTCCGGTTATAGCACTCTGTCTAAAATGTGCTCCTTGGAGCAGCAATTGATAAAAAAAGGCTGCTATTAATGTGAATAGCGTACACATTATAGCAAAAAAAAAAAAAGGAGGTGGCAGAACTTCCTCTGATTGAAGGAGAGGACTAATAAGTAATTCGCACACCTGGTCTATCTTGGTGTGTGAAAATAGCTACTTACTAGTACTGTATATACTCTCAAACCCCCAAAGCCCACCATCCCTCCCTCTTTTTTGAGAACACAAGAACAGCAAACAACAAAAACCAAGATAATAAATTACTAATCCTAGTGCTACTCTACCTTTGGCGGAAGATGGCGACGATGATACTAGAGAAGAAGAAGAGGAAGCCATTGGTATGTGCGCTACTTTTTTTTTTGTTCTATAAAAAACTTATTTCTTCGTTGTCCTCCCCCACTTCAACTATTACCCCCAATCCCTTTTTTACAATTTATGTCCATGAACCAGCACAAAAAATTGACATTTCAACTGATATGATAACAGAAGAAAAAGCGCCGTCCATCCACAATGTTGCTGCCTCTCTTTTTCTTCGTCGTAGCGTACAACTAAGAGCTACATAAAGAGCGGGGCGTATATGGGAAGCTGGTGAGTGCACACAAGATCGAAACAACCATTGTGATGGACTATTTTGACTTGCGATGACACTGCATCAACCCCTTTCCTCTTTCTCTAACCTATTTCTCTTACCTACACTTCTTTTCGTGCGGCTATAGAATGATGCTATATTTTATTTTATGCACATCGTCAGTGGACCTGATTGAATGACTTGGCCAAATTTATCACCTGCGTTTTTGCACCAGCACAGCATGAATAATTCCACGCAAGGATATAAGAATGATAGGGACTATTTGCATGCAGCGATAAAGCGGTAAGTGCTGAAAGTAATTACTATAGTGACCCAAAAGAAAGAATCTATAAAACTTCAGTACCTACTACGGGCTTCTGCTTGGATCGTGGCATAGATATTGTTATGTCATACATATATATATATGCCAGCTTCTAAAAGATATTAGACAGCAAAAAGATTTGAAATAAAAAGTGACAGCCCCTGGTTCTCTTCTTCTTCTTAACGACCCTGAGAGCGCGTCATTACGCAGGATCATAAAGTATCTTTTTTTTACATCATTAAGTCTGTGATACCGATCCACAAATACACTCAAAACTAAGTTTAAAGCTTATTACAACAAACAATGGTACTGTTTCACTTACTTCCCACAAGTATATATTCTGCTAAACTTGGTGTGAGTTTCGCTAGAGCGAATCGGCAAACAATTCCACATTACATGTACACATATCTAGCATAACACTTTACTAAAATGCAGGATACATATACTAAAAGAACAGCACTAAGCTGCACGTGTACCTGCTTTCATAAGCAGAGAATCATCCATCAAACTGATGCAGGCGGTCCCCCCGACTCCGCGAACACAATCAGCTTTTCCTTAACAGATTATATATATTACTTTGTCGAAATATACACACTTTTTTGTAATAATCATCGAAGATCTGAGCTGAAGAATTTATAATTATAGTACAAACATATCAAAAGAAGGATTTATTATTTATAGGGGCACAACAACAAAAGAGCTGCAAAATTTTCTTTCACTCTTCTTGGTCCTCGTCGTCATCCAAATCATCACCATCGTCACCAGTCAGACGCTCATGCTTGCCCTTGAGCAATCCACGCGCGCTTTCGATGAAGCGGGCAGCACGCTCCTCCATCTCGCGGGTAAAGCTTGGGCTTGCACCCTGGTCAATGGCTTCAACAATGCTTGGGAACATCTCGGCTTGGTAACCAGTCCAAAGACCTGGAGCGTACACAATGTGCTTGAACCATTCACGACCAGGAAGGCCTACAGGGTCGATGAAACCACGCTCGAATTGTGCCAGACGCTCGTTGTACTTGACAAGCTTCTTCAAAAGTTTCTTCTTCTTGTGCTTGAAGATATCCAAGTGATGCTTGTGTAGCTTCTTGTGTAATTTGTGTAGCTTGTGTTCAAAATGCATAGTGGTTTCATGCAAGGCACTAACAGCAGCGGAGAGCTCGGGCAATGTGGCGCAACCTTGATCGTCAGCCATGGATGCAACACGGATGCTGAGCTCCTTGGAATAGTCCAGCGGTGACATTGGAATCAATGCATCGCTGGAAAGACGCAGAGCGAGAAGACCCCAAATTCGAACCATCGTCTGATGGTATTCATAGGTAGGGTCACCAAAGTGCTCCATCCAGAAAATACTGTAGAGAAAATGTTCAAATGTTAGGGACTACCAAGCAGCTAATAAGGTGAGACGCGCTGCAGATAGCAGGCTTTACCTATCGTAGTTGCTGTGATAAACTCCGTAGTCGCCATTGAAGCTCATGGACATGCTGGTGATACCAAGGTGGTCAAAGAATGCCATGTAGTCGGAACCGCCGCCAAGAGGATCAATCATCTTAACAAGTGGAGCAATGGGTGCTTCACCAGCATCATCGTGGTGGTTCTTATGCTTCTGTACAGCCATGGTTTCCCGGTCTTGCTTCCAGGCCTCATAGACGGTCGTGCTTGTTCGTGGATCCCAGATTTCTTGAGTAATGTCATAGATCAGGTTGTTTAGCAAAGGCGATGCTTGAGCTGAGAAGTTGGGACCAGTTACAGCTTGATCGACATTGATGTAAACAATAGCTTCATCATCGAGCCACGACTTGTTGTCTTCGACCCATTCAGTAGAGCCAATGGAGCCGTAGCCTTGACCGTCCCAGGAAGCGATAATCAAAGTACGGCGAGGTTGCCAACCGCGTTCCAGGAGGAGACCCAGTACACGGGTAAGTTCGAGCTAAAGATTGTGATTTTGAAGGAAGGAAAAAGGAAGAGTTAGCTTGTTTATCGCTGATGTGTAAAGGAAAAACTAGAAAATTAACCTGCTTACCAGAACAGCAGAACCGGAAGACGAATCGGCACCACCGAATCCCCAAGCATCACGGTGAGTACCTAGAATTGAATATTAGTATCATGAAGAGACAAAAGTCCAAAAATCATTGACAGTGTTTGCTGTGGTGGGTAATGAATAAACAATATATTTACCAATGATAACAGCACGATGTGGTTCAATGGCACCTTCGATCTTGCCAATCACGTTCCATACAGGTTTGATTTGATAATCGTTAATATTGACAAGATTGACCTGGGCAGCACTAGGACCGCTGTAGTAGTTGACTTCACAAAGGCCACCAAGCCAGTCGATTTCGCCTTTGAGACCAAGACCTTCCATGGCTTGGAAGAGTGGCAAGGCATCGGACCACGAAATCGGCAATGATGGGATCTTGGGCATGGCATAAGCTTCTTCGGGGTCAAGACGGGTGGCGTTTTCGGTAGCAGCGTAGCCAGGAGTAAGCATATCACCGGGCAAGATGGACATGTAGTGGACAGTACCGCGCTCGACTGAGGATGGTGATCGCCTAAAAATCAATGTCTTTTTTAAAAAAAGTGGATATAAAAAACATGCGATATAGGGATCTCTAAGTGCATTGTATGACGGTATATTACCATGGGCCGTTAGGATACGATTCGGATGGCTCGCCGTCAGCACTTTCCTTGTTGAACGGGCCGTCTTCCATGGGATCTGAGTAAAGCAAGGCGCCAATACAGCCAAACTTCTCAGCTGTTCCCACCTTGAGGCCACGGGCAATATTGCCATGACGCATAAGAGCAATCGTGCCGGTAAAGTTCACACCACGAGCAGCCAAGAATTGAAAGTCGGTTAAACGACCGTAGTTTACATAGACAACAGAGCCGGTGACGTTACCGTCAGCCGAGTAGCCGTGGAACGTAGGGATAGCGTCGGGATGACTTGAAGAGGGATCTCTGGCAATGGGTTCTTCTTGGAGTGTGGCTTCGTACAAAAATTCTTCGGGGCCACTGACAATGGCGAGACGACGCGTTTTAGGGACATTGAGCCAAGGATAGTACGTTTCGATGGTGGCGTTCGGGATACCAAATTCTTCAAACTTGTCGCGGGTCCATTCTGCTTGACGCTTATCGGCATGCGATCCGGCCAAGTGGGGTTCCGCTGCGTAGTAGTGGAAGAACTCGCGAATGGATTCGCTCGATGGTACGGTCTTGATAATAACTGAGGCATCGTCCCAAGGAATAGTAGAGAAGTCTATATAGTTTGCATTTTAATGTATTTTGTCGCATCAGTTCATCGAGTCTTAGCTACAAAGTTTATTACAACCTCCGAAGAGCAAAGAGCAATGTGTGTATATAAATATTTGTGGTCACACTCTTTTCTTACCTTGGAAAAGAACATCGGATGCAGGCATTAAATGGTTGAATAGCAAGACGCCGGCGGCAAGGAGAGCACCTCCGGCAAGGAATTTGGTTACTTTGGACCGAGGCCGCGTTGTTTGAGGTTGAAAGGTCACATGGCGCTTTTCACTAGGCAACAAGGGCGCATTGGCGTTTTGGCTGCGGTCGCCACTGTATGTCTGACGGCACCACTCCATAAATCGATCCATCACAGCCATGTTCTGTCGAGAAAAGGCCATATCCATCGGTTCATCACCGGACTTCTCATGGTGGAAATCAGACATGTATTGAGGATGATGTGGGTATGAAGGCGGAGGAGATGACCCAGTGTCCTGCATCTCCTGAGAGATGGATACGTAACCTTTTTTCATATGTGGAGAGTGCGGGAGGAAGAAGGGGGGCGGGGAAAAGGAAGAGAGAAAAAAGGGCGGTTACATTGGCAACAGACTGACACTGGTCATTTATATATTCTCTCGGATGGCAGCAAGCAAAATGGATATGAAACGAGGCCCACAAGTTATTGTACCTGGTATGAAATGGTGTGTGCAATTATTTGATAGTTTGACGTTTGCTTACTGTTTATGTATGGATAGGCCAGGAGTTGGTGTTTCGTGCTACTCCAAGTCATACCATCCAGCTGCTGGTCTGTGTGTGAGTAGTATGAAACTGCTTGCATACTTGTATGCAACCGGCCTATTTCTCTTGTGTACACAAAGCAAGTATTGTTTACCAGCTGAATAGCACCAATAACAAAAACAGCGGACTGGGTACACTTTTCATTATGATGAGCTTGTTTCAGCTTTTTCTTTTGCAAAAGAATGTTTGTCCCCACGTGAGGTCAATAGGGGTGGATTCTTTTTAGTACTTCTTCGTTGGCGTCTGGTGCATCGATTAAGCTTGTGCTGCTAACCAGATGATCGCTCTGCTATCCACTATTATGTGCCATGGTAAGTATTTCAGCTTTCTCAAATGGTTCAATACAAAGAAGGAATAGCACCCTTGAGCCAATGGTTCTGTTCTATCAATACAGTCGTATCACTATTGTTAGTTACTGCTGACACTGCTGCTGCAAGTGCGGAGTCAGCTAGAGAACGTTCGATAGGAAATATTTATGCGTTTCAATTTGATTACTTTTTGTTTTCCTTCTAAAGAAAAAGACGGATGGCGGTCCGTTACACACATATATGGATCGACAGTTTTTCGCATTTGATGGCTGATGTATTATGCAGAGTTGAGATATGTTGCGCTCATACATAAAGATTTTATTAAACAATGGCACGCGCAATATCAACGACATCATATCCTAACTACTTAATGAGTCAAAAGTCCAGCAATTGGTTGGACCGTCTTCTGTAGTTTTTTGCTGCTAAGCAGCAGCAACAGCAATCGAAATAGGTCGGCTGTATCAAATCCACTCAACTACTTATCAGGCATAATTGCCACATTTATCAATGCTACAAATGTACGTCATGGTCACCAACGACCATATAATAAGCAGCAAGCAGACTCTTCATTTAAAAATAAGCAACATCTATTATCTGCTAAAAACAAATACAGTAGTCATACATCATATACACCATGTACGCACTATAATACTGATTGTCTTTCTTTGTTATACCTGTTATGAAGCGTTTATGTTTACAAAAATCCGTGCATAATAAGCGCGTTACTGATTGTACTCATGACGTGTTGCTGTGGTCGGATGTAAATTAGGTTCGTTCTAGCCGAACACGTCTTCCCGTAATCAACAGCTTTCTCGAAGGATAAAAAGATCTTCGTATCTGTTTACTATTATCCTAGTAAAGAATGATTATGAAAGTAGAAGATGGAAATGCTGATAGGTTGAGCGTGCTATCCCGTCATTGGGTTTCTATATAATATATTTCTGTATCATAGCGAAGTATCTTTATATAAAATTGTGAAAGGAGGGTATGCCATTTCCACAAATTTTAGAGTTGCGCAGTCTGACAGCAGATGATATGAAGAAACACGGAGAGAGTATGTTTATGCATAACAGTTTTGCAATCCACACGTGAGACGTAGAAGACAGTCGACTGGCTGTCGTTGCTGTTGTGTAAACACGCACCCAATCATACATATAGAACGCACTGGAGTAATATTTCCGAGACACTGAATTTGATCGCAACATCACGCATAACATCCAAGGACTATCTGTACCAAATATCATATGCGGACGAAATTAAAAATAAATAAAGTAGCAAGTTAAAACAGTTTACCAACGATAGGAAGCTAATTTTGTGTCCAGCCTCTGTATACTGTTATGCATCATCTGATTACATGTCTCGATCATTATATAGCAGCGTACTCGCTAAAGGGAGGACAAGCCCGTTTGACTAGCATACTATATATCGGCACCGCCTGGTCATATAATGCTATGTCGCAAAAGAAATCAAATTGCAGAAGCTTCATCCTACGGATGATGAACGTTTTTGTAAAAAACAAACATACAAGAGTGGATTAATATCACTCCTGCTCATTCTCAGATTGATTAGAATGATGATTAACAGAGGATTATGCAGTTCAGCGGATGTATGTGCGGAAAACAAGAAAGGGAGTGGATTGGTGCTATGAACAAGGGGAAAAATCAAAAGGGCTTGTATACAAGAAATGATAAGCTACTCTTTCTTTTGCAGAGGTGACTGGAACCGTGAAACAGGTGTGACACCAGCACGGAAAAGCGGCGTTGGTGTTGCACCAGGTGTCCTTGATCCGTGAGGTGTATTCCTTCCGTACGATGAGCGTAATGCGTCACCAAATGCTGATGTACGAGGTGTATGGCTTCGTCGTAATAAATGTTGTGCCGCGGGCGAGGCAAGACCAGCACCCGATCGTGGCGTTCCTTTACTGACACGTTCATTGGCTCGTTTGCGGTGGGCTCGTGATGCCTTTTCTGACAGTTTCATTCCAAGCTGCTCTCTTCTCGATTCTTTTGGTAATGAAAATCGAGGTCCTATCGTACGAAATATAACCAAAGCCATGAGTATAACTGCTCATTTAATAATGCCACTTGGTTTATTTGGCCTTTTCTTTTTTTGTGTGTATGCACAACTAACCAGGTGTTTCTGATCCGGATATTAGCATAGGTGTCCCTTCAATAGAACCCCAGGTCATCATTGGAGATCCTACTCGGGACGGTGTCAAAGTTGGAGTAGCATCTACTAAGCGATAGCCTCGATAATCGGATTTGGCGTCCGAATACACTGACTCATTATCATCGCCTACCCCACACATAGCCTTCCATGGAGTTCCATTGGCAGTAATTGGAGGTGTAGACGTTGTCTTGGACGCGGTTCGTGAAGCTGGTACCTATTTCATTTGCATATAAAAAAATTAGCACTTCTAATCCTCAAAATGGTGACCATGAAATGAAGTTTATTACCTCTGGTACAGCAAACTGAGTGTTATTGTGACTGATGGCTTTTGGCGGTGCCCGAGAATCAACGTCATTCAATAAGGATTGGCCGGTACCGTTGGGTATGTACATTAATGCATTTTTGGCAGTATATTTCCATACAGCAGGAGAGGTAGCGAATTCGATCATTTTTTTCTCTTCGCCGGTAATCATGGGCGCCTTTTCCTTATCCAGCAGCCATTTGTACTTTTCTCTTCGCTTTGCATTGGTTTTTTCCAAGATTTCTGTGAACGATGCGTTGTCCTCACTTTATAATTATCCATAGAATGTCAATTATCATCCTTTGTAACAACAGACTTATAGAACTTCATTAACTCCACCTCGTCTTTTGCATAACCCAGCTAAATCCACCCTAAATCTTACCTTGTATATAAAGTTTGAAACTGGTCAAGTGAAAGATCGAGGTTGACGCGATCAGCTAAATCGTCTGCTTCATGATTGTAATAGTTGAGAGGGGTTGAGGAGGAGGAAATCAGAGACTTGCTTGATTCTGCAGCTGTTGCCGATCCTACAATTGATTGAATACACCACACAAAACAAAATGTTATAAAGCCATGTAACTTTAAGTGATAAGAAGTGAAAAGACGACGCTCACGAAGCACACAAATTACCTTTGGAGGAGGTACCTAGACGAGTAGAGGGTGTTTGTTGTGCACGATGTAACGCTCTTGACGCACGTTCGAGATCGGCAAGCGTTCCGGACTGTTGAGCTTGTAGGTAATTTTGTTGAGCTTTGACTTTGGCAAGATGTGGGAAAAAGTCTCGTTCAATAATACTGCTGAGAGCTTCAGTATAAGTTTCTTCGTCAAGAACGACGGGTGTTGTCATTGCTGCGTGGTTTATGTGTATGTATGCTTAAAGGTGAGAACTGCGGAACAGTGTGCTGGATTAAAAAAGTAGGAGGTTCAAAATCGCTTTAAAACTGTCTATCTTGCTGATACTTTTCTCTTGCACGTCAAGAGAACAAAATGAGCGACAAGCGTGAATCGGTAGATGAGTTTACGCATGACTTGGCGATCGAGCTTTCCCGTGCGCTCAATCTTACAAATCCAAACGATTTACTTGCTAAACGAGTAGTTCAACTTGCCAAAAACGACAAGAATTTCGACAGATTCGCGGCAGGTAGATATAATCCTTCAGTTATTGCTTAGCTAACTATTTGATCGATCGATTCAAGTGCCTTCTTAGATTAGCTGTAATTGACTTATCCATATTCGCAAACATTATGTTTATTTTAATAATTGAATTAGCATGTCAAACTTTTGGTCGATTTAAACGAGAGTTCTTACTCGAAACGTTCAACAATATTCAAAACCACTTGCAATCGATCAAGTCAAGCGCTCGCGAAAGTAGCGGATCCGGCGACCGAGTACAACAATTCTCGGACGGAACCAAAGGCGAAGTGCTCATGTTGGGTAACAACCTCCCTGGTGGTTTAATAACTCGCAACAAATCATCCAAATCGGACGAAGTGTGTATACTATATGCTGAAATCATCGTTAAAGTTGCAAATTTATGCAAAGAACACAAATTGGAGCTGACCTAATTCTAACCTTACCACACATAGCAACGACCCATCTTTAAAGCACCTCAACCAAGAGCATCCATGTTTGGATTGGATAAGCTGGCTCAAAAGAAGCGAGCAGCTGAAGCAGCAAAAAAAGCAGCAGAAGCGGAAGAACAATCGTCCAAAAAGCCCAAAGTGATGTCTCGCTCGTGGGATGATGATGATCAACAATCTTCAAAAACTGATAATAATGGTTAGTAAAGAAGAGACCCTAATAGTTTGATTGGATTTATCGGTGTATCATGCTAAAGTCAATGAAACGACTGTTATTATGTACAGAAAAAATCAGCAAACATCGACCACATTATCGTAACTCAGGAATGGAAACCCCTCCAGTTTCATCAAACAATGATATTGATCTTGCATTAGATCGACGGGATAGCAGAAGACGACGAGATAGGGAGCGAGGTAAACAAAGTTTTGATCGATTGTAGTAATCCTCTTGCCGTGAACATGTGTTGCTTACTGATATATATAAAATTGGAATTGACAAACATTTATATTCAGATAATACGAGACGAGATAGTACAAGGGATGAAAGAGATAGTCATAGACGGAGACGTGAGGACTTTGAGGGATCAGAAACGCCTCGGCGTGGCGGTTTGATCAAGCGTAGCCAGTGGTCATCAATGACACCGCGGCGAGAACCTGGAACACCGGGTCGATCCAGCGGCCCGGGCGACCCACGATACGATAGTGGATATGTTAGTGGTCGATCAGCAGCAAATTCACGATATGATACACCCGCAGTACATTCATCCGCATATGATGAGACAGCGCTGGAATATCCTGAAGAGTATACTGGCAGTGGAGATGATCGACGACGTTGGGAAGAAGAACAAGCACAGCTCGATCGCGATTGGTATTCCATGGAAGAGACCGGAGTAAGTGATTAGATATAAGAATGGAAACAGTAAATGTTGGGAGGTGAAACGAAAGCAATTGGAATCAACGACTTATACTATGCTCGTGATGTTGTTACATAAAGGCAATGGACGAGACACATAATCCTTTTGCAGAATACGAAGCTACCAATAAGCTCAAGGAAGAAACTTTGGAGCAAAAGCAGATCAAGAAGCTTTCTGCACGCCAAGCACAATACAATCGCGATACCGAAATGTGGGAAACAAGTCGTATGTTGAGTAGTGGTGTGGCACAGCGGCGAGAAATCGATACCGATTTTGATGATGATAGCGAGGTGCGTATCCATACAGAACAGTTTTCTGTTTAAGTGCATACATGTATGACATTGTATTTGAATGAATGTGGAACTAATTATCTTGCACTACCAAAACACTTAGAACCGAGTTCACGTGCTTGTACATGATATTAAACCACCATTTTTAAGCGGGCGTGTTGTTTTCACCAAGCAGTTAGAAGCAGTACAACATGTAAGAGATCCCACCTCTGATCTTGCTATTCTTTCAAAAAAAGGCAGCAGACTTGTTCGAGAAAAGCGGGAGCAAGCAGAGCGTGCAAAGGCTACAAAGTTTGAGCTGGCAGGAACCACATTGGGCAATGTGATGGGTGTTAAAAATAAGGAATCGAACGGTAAACTAAATATGCATACATTGTTGAATATTATCATCATTATTATGGATCGATATCTAACAGCGATCATACATTTATTAGAAGAGGAAGAAGCTGAAGGAGATGGAAGGGGTGATTCCAAGTTTGCTTCGCACTTGAAGACTTCAGAAGCAGCCAGTGAATTTGCAAGAACAAAATCGATGCGTGAACAAAGAGAGTTCTTGCCTGTTTTTGCCGTTCGCGAAGAATTGTTGCGCGTCGTGCGTGACAATCAAGGTAACAAAGAATCTTTCACAAGTTTTACATATAATGTTTTTTGAAATTAACTCGTTGACTAAAAAATACTTGGTTGCGTCACAAATAGTGGTCATTATCGTCGGTGAAACTGGTTCTGGTTAGTATGCGGATAGATTGATGGAGTTTATCAAGCTTTTGAGTGAGCTGGAGCAAAGGATTGATTAATAAATATTTCATTGTATTATCTACAGGTAAAACAACGCAGTTGACGCAGTACCTGCATGAAGATGGTTACACTCGCTATGGCAAAATTGCTTGTACCCAGCCTCGTCGTGTGGCAGCCATGTCTGTTGCTAAGCGTGTTGCTGAGGAAGTTGGCGTAAGTAGTAACAAACCTGAGAACAAATGATGCGATGAGATGCTTAAAATTTAATGACAATTAGGCAAAACTCGGCGACCTTGTCGGTTACTCGATTCGTTTTGAAGATCAAACTACGGAAAGCACTCTTATTAAATGTAATACGTGATAAAGAAAAAAAAAGTCGACTAAATTGCACGCTAACGCATACTGGTGTTATCTAGATATGACGGATGGTATTCTGCTTCGTGAATCAATGAGTACTCCAGATCTTGATCAATATAGTGCCATTATCATGGATGAAGCTCACGAACGTGCACTGAACACTGATGTGTTGATGGGTATTTTAAAGAAATGTACGTTTATATTTCGGATAAAACCGTTAGCAAAGATGTCAATAAGTCCCAAAAAAATACTAATCAGTATGTATGCATTTTCTAGTGATGGCAAGACGGCGCGATCTTAAACTGATCGTAACATCGGCCACTATGAATGCAGACAGAGTAAGTGATAAATATACTAGATCGTGAGTAGAGAGAATGCTCTTGTTGCTTAGACTCTATACTAAAAAGTCATTTTTTTAGTTCTCACAATTCTTTGGCAACGCCCCATCTTTCCATATCCCTGGTCGTACTTTCCCCGTCGATGTCATGTTTAGCAAGACACCATGCGAAGATTATGTCGACAGTGCCGTGAAGCAGACACTCGCCATCCATTTATCACAGCCGGCCGGTGATATTCTGGTCTTCATGACGGGTCAAGAAGATATTGAAGTAACGTGTCAAGTACTACGAGGTAAGTAGAATTTGGTTACTTTAGAAAAGGAAAACGTTGTCCTAGGTTATCGAACGTGTATTTGGCTAAGATATCTTTTTATGTAGAACGTCTCGAGCAATTAGAGAATCCTCCTCCACTCGCTATTCTACCCATCTATTCACAACTTCCCGCTGATCTCCAAGCAAAGATTTTCCAACGGTCCGAAAATAACGCACGAAAAGTTATTGTCGCCACAAACATTGCAGAAACATCGTTGACTGGTAATTTGGATTTTGCTGGCAAATTTGTCTTTCAAGAACCCATCTTTACTAACCTAGTCCATGTATATAGTTGATGGTATTATGTACGTGGTCGATACCGGTTATTGTAAGCTCAAAGTTTACAATCCACGAATTGGTATGGATGCACTACAGGTTACACCTATCAGTCAAGCAAACGGTAGCCAGCGAAGTGGTCGTGCAGGAAGAACTGGCCCTGGGTAAGAATCGTACCAAGTCACTAGCATCATTTTGTCTTTCTTTTCCTTTAAAAGAAATACTAATTCCCGTTGTTATTGTAAAGTGTGGCATATCGATTATACACAGAAGAAGCCTATCGAACCGAAATGTTCTTCAATACAATTCCAGAAATTCAGCGTACCAACCTTGCCAGCGTCGTTTTGCAATTAAAATGTCTTGGTGTCAAGAATTTGCTGGATTTTGACTTTATGGATCCGCCCCCACAGGTAAAAAGCACTGATTTTGATCATGTATCTATTGGAAATATACTTAAAAAAATTATAACGCTATAGGATAATATTCTCAATTCGATGTATCAATTGTGGATCTTGGGTGCATTTGATAATAACAGCGACTTGACCGAGGTGGGTCAAAAAATGAACGAGTTTCCACTTGATCCTTCTCTTGCAAAAATGCTTATTACTGCAGAGGAGCAGGGTTGTACTGCAGAGGTTGTGGTAAGTGCTAGTTATTAAAGAAGGAAGGCGAGATAGTTAGATCATGGCTTCTCATTTGCCCTTTTATACTAGACCATCGTATCTATGCTTTCAGTTCCTTCTGTATTCTATCGACCCAAGGAACGCATGGAAGAAAGTGATGCTGCTCGTGAAAAGTTCTTTGTACCAGAAAGTGACCATCTTACGCTTCTTCATGTCTATACGCAATGGAAGAGTAACAGGTGAGTTTCGATTTTATCATTTTAAAAAAAAAGCATTTATTAACTCGTTGTTCTGCTACGTTTTGGTCATAGTTATCGAGATGACTGGTGTAAGAAACATTTCATTCACCCCAAGGCTATGCGAAAAGCACGAGAAGTTCGATCACAGCTGATCGACATTATGAAATCCGTAAAGATGCCATATGTTTCTTGCGGTACTGATTGGGACATCATCAGGTACATTATATCTTACTACTATTTGATTACTTTTAACCAGAAACCGAAAAAAAAATTCGTCTGTATTGCTTACACTGTCATGTAACGATATTTTCAGAAAATGTATCTGTTCAGCTTATTTCCATCAAGCTGCAAGACTCAAGGGTATTGGCGAATATGTCAACTGCAGAAGCGGCATGAAATGTCATCTGCATCCAACCAGTGCACTCTTTGGAGCAGGATTTACACCAGACTACGTTGTGTATCACGAGTTGGTGTTGACGTCAAAGGAATTCATGCAATGTGTCACGTCGGTAGATCCATACTGGCTCGCAGAATTAGGTCCCATGTTCTTCTCTATCCGTGATCGCAACCGACAATAGTACTGTCGACAACCATAATGAACAATTAAAAGTCAATAATACCATTGCTTGTATATTACAATAATCGTATGATATGATAAAACGTTTCCTTTTTCTTTTCATGATGACTATTATTTACAAAATATATATGCTTTTATGATTGACGCTTTGATGATGGCTCATCTTCATGTGAATGACCATTCACTCCCTCTGCCTTTCTCTTCTTATCAATATTGCTTCGTCGCTTGTGTTCCAATTCTTCTTCATGATCGATTTGTTCTCGCAGTTTGCGCTCCAGCTGGTTGCGAACAGTCTCACCATACTTTTCACGCTGCTCTGCGATCTTCCGGTCGTAAAGAATGTGTTCTTGTTGAGGAGCATTGACCAGAGATTTAAAGATACCTCGGCTGCTGTCTAGAATACGCATGGCCCGTCGCATATCCGCCGACTTGCGCTGCTCCTTTGGTAAGTCTGCCAATAATTGACAATAGGATTGTTGGACAAGGGCAATGTTGTAGAGCGTTGTTCTGTCTTGCGGGTTCAAGTTTAGTGCTTTTTCAGAGTTACGCAGTGATTTGAGCATGATGACTGGATCTTTTTCGGATCTTGCCAAAAGGAATTGTGTGCGTGCCAGGTATAGGAACAAGTTTGTATCCTTTTCGTCGCGGTATCGTTTGATGGCATTCTCGTACTAGATGCAAAAATAAAAGTTAGTCTCTCAAGTAGGGTATATTTTCATGTTGACGTCTTTTTTACCATAACCACTGCCTGTTGGAATTGCTTTTGCTCAGCAAATATATGTCCAATGTTGACCGAAATGCATGGGTTGCTAGGTGCGGATTCGTGTACTTGGTTGAATAAATCACGGGCTTGATCGATATGGCCGTTGTCAGCCAAAATGATGGCTAAGCCGTTTGCTGCATAAGTGTTTTTCGGGTCTCGCTTGAGGGCTTGGGAAAAGAATCCATTGGCAAGTTTATACGAATCAGCGCGCTGGATATCACCGAGGTAATGAAGCAAGAATTAGTTAGCTTTGTTCTACCTCTTTTATTCTGAATCACCGTACCTGTTTTTTGTTCTTGTCTCCTTTGAGCTCCCTCGCAACAGAAGCATGGTAATTTCCCAATGCCACGTGTGTATATACGTCATTCTTGTCACAGTCCTTCAACACCTTTTCAAATGCGCGCTTGCATAACCGCTCATTGATGGTGGCCTGTGCCTGACCAATCATAATCCAGGCTTCAGGGTTCTTGTCGTCAGAATCAAACACCTCTTTATATTGTTCGATTGCTTCATCCGTACGACCTCGGAACCGAGTAATTGCACCCAATCGCAAATGTGCTGATAGTTTTTTTTTTTTGGTTCAAGTCCATATCCATCAACGTTTAGTATCAAGATAAAAGTATCCTAGCCTTCATGGTTTTAATATACTGCAATGAAACCATACCTTCAAAGTAATGTGGGTAATTCTCCGTCAATGTCTTGTAGATTGTCAATGCCTTATCAACATCACCCTTTTCTTCGTACAGTCGTCCAAGGTTAAACGTCATGGTTAACTTCAAGTCGACATCGCTTTCTAGGTCATTGGTATCTTCAGTGGCGTGTTTTTCGTATTCTTGAATGGCCATACTGTAATATTTCTCGGCTTCCTCCAACATTCCGTTTGTGTGGTTCATGACGGCAACGTTGTTGAGAACTTCGGCTTTGACGCTGTCGTATTGGCTGGTAATTTCTTTATCCTCGGCGTTCTTCTCATACAAGTCCAATGATTTTTTGTAGTCTAAAAGTTTTGTTGAAAAAGAATGAGCTCACCCAGGCTGTTTCCCCATCTCCTCCTACTTGATCAATGAATTATTCACTTACGGGTCAGTGCCACCTTTTGATCCTTTTCTTGATATATAACAGCTGTCTCGAGCTCAAGCATTGGATCTTTGGTGGATCTTTCGAGTATCCGTGAAAAAAGCGTCATTGCTTCTTTTTCTTTTCCAGATGCAGCATATAAGGAACCCAGAATCTACAGGGATGATCAGTAACTGTTAAATTATCTTTGTGCCGCACCCCCCCCCGACCAGTAAGTAATCTAAATATTATGACTGTATCCTACCTTCATAATCTCATCATTGCCGGGTTCTGCCTGTAGAAGCTTTTCAAAAATAGGTATGGCAACATCATGATGACCTTGAGGAAAAGAAAATTCGACAGCTTAATAGGTGTAGTTCTTTACCCCATAATTTTGCCAAAATAAATGTACCTCTCTTCATATGCATTTGGCCTATACCAAACTGTGCTAAGATATGATTTGGGTTTACATCCAAGCATTGTTGATAATAGGTGAACGCATCATCGAATTCGTGCTAATTGATTTTTTTCTCAGTGTCCATTGTCCATACTAGTATACAACAATTCTCCTGTTCTCATACGATAAGGGACATATTAATACCTTCTGATGATGAGCGCGTGCGACTTGAAACATTGCTTCGGCTTTTACAACGCGGTTTGACGCCGAGTCCAAAGCTTTTGTACCACTTTGGATCGTCTGCATATAAACAATAGAAACGGAATCAGTAATTTAAATAATAATTTTTCTGTCGATTTATCATCGTCACTTATTTTTTCCTTCTCATACCTTTTCAAAATCTCTTGTCAAAAAAAAGTGATTCGCCATCATGTTCAAGACAACCGGGTGTTTAGGGTCGACTTTATGGGCTTCCTGGATATAGGCGAGACCTTCTGTAAGCGCATTCTCGCGCTTAGTCAAATCCACTGAAACCTTTTTCGCTTGATTGAGTTCGATAATGGCAAGCAAAGCGAGAGCAGTAGCACTGGCAATATGACCCTAAATCGGTTGTAATAGATATTCAGTTTTCCTACCACGCGACAAAGAACTGTAAATTTGGATCCCATTTTCTTTGTGAGCTTACAAGCTGTACACAACGCGTCAATGCTGCCTTGGCTTCGTTTGTCATTCCCAATTGTGCGTAGCATTGAGCCAAGCCAAGTCGTATCTCTGCTGCAGATAAGTTGCGTCGTGCATGGACGAGTGCCGTTTGATAACTTTTGAGCGCGTCTTTGTATTGGCGTAAGTGATATTGTATCTTTGCTTTGCCGAGCAGTGCCGGAACGCAATTGTGTCGAATGCTGAGAATGTTATCAAAAGCTTTTGAAGCTTCTTTAATGTCGCGTTTCAAGAGGTACAGGTTGCCCTTCAGGACCATCGTTTGCTCGTATTGGTTATGAATGCGATCCGCTTCTTGAATATACTTGGACGCCTTTTCAAGCATTGACTTTTGTTCGGATTCTTCCGCTGCTGACTTGGCAAGTCGCATATGGAGTGTTGCAAGAAGCGTCAATAGTGGCAGCTTTTGTCGTGGTTGCGTATGCGGCGATTCGTTTGCTATTTATTTTATTCTTTTGTTTAGCAGATGAATCATAAAATGTCAAAATAAAGCTGTTTTTATATGCCTTTTTACCTGTCTCGATGCACGCATCTAAAACTTGAATGCTTTGAGGAAGCTTGTTTTGATGATAGTACTCGACCTAAAACAACAAACATATAGGGATCGAATGAGTATATTCGTAGGGTTATATAATAGGCTGCTTCTTCCCAAAAGATTTACCGCCAACATTCTGTAATATGTCAATGAGACGCTTTCTTGTCGAAAAATATCAGTCAATTCGACTGGATTGGGCGGCAGATCTTCACAGGTAACCTCCAGCAATTGTTCATGCTGTAAGGGCACCTCAATCGTTCGAGGTCGCATATATGCCGTTGCCATTTTGTTTATTGGTGGGATGAGAGTGGTTTGCGTTTACAAAGAAGGAAAGCGCGAAGAAGATGTGGGCGGACTGCAATTCGTTTTTATGGAGCTTTAATTTGTCTTCATATCCATCAACAGCGTTTCTACCAAATATTGGTATGTACGTTAATAATGACATATTTAGAGACGCTCCTTGTATTGAGCTATGGGAATATAACGAAAGTTATATCGGATACATTGCTTGTTTCTGACTTTAGGCCCTCAAAGACCCCAAAATGGGTGTATACTAAGAGAAAACTATTTATGACAACTCATTGCCAGAACGCATTTCACTATGTAATACATACCACGGTAGATATTAGGATATGTAAATCGAGCTGCCATGCTTGTTATCATACATACCCGCTGTTATTGCCTATTATAATCTTTGCTTCTCTTTAATTCATCCATCATGCTGTTTGGCTTTTCAAGTCTGGCTATATCCTTCGCGCAGCTTTTAATATACAAGAAGATTCGGATGGACTACTATATCCAGCAAAGTTTGCGAACTAAGAAGTGAATTCGATGTCCTCATGGGTTTATCTCCTACGTAATTTATTCAATCATTATTGTAGACGCTACATACATGACTTGGAACAGCTTGATCTTGTGATTCGATTCTCATGTTTGTTACTGTATTGCGTGTACTCAAGAGGGGAAGCTGTATATTCAGTATAATGGTTTTTTTCAACAAAGGAGACGAATTACTGGTTTGTAGCTGATCATGATGTAGATGCTATTATAATCATCCGCGGATTTTCTGGTTACATCCTGAGAAAACTGAGCAGGATGAAAAATAGGCAGGAGCATATATGTCACGTGAAACTATGTTGTAACAAAGTCACCCTACTCATTTCTCTGATTTGCTGTCTCATCAGAGAATCAGCTAAAGAGACACCTATTACTACTATACATCTTACCCTACTGCGGGAAAAGTGCTCTGATTAGAATAGTGTATTGCGTCAAGAAAGCTTTTATTCATAGTTTGTGTCTGGGTGGATTATTTCTGCAGGCTACTCGAACAAGACAACGCGAGATATAAATATATATATATATGTAAATAATAAACAACAGAAAACTAGGTGACATTATCAGATGCGTTGACCCTCTTCTGCCGCGTCGATCTGCACGTGTCTATAATTGATAGCCCTCATTGGGTCTTCAAGTTGTGCTGGTTTTACAGGCGATGAACGCGTTCTCGCTTTTGTCAGCACTGTAGTCAAATCATTCAGCTGGCTTTCATGATTTAAAATTGTTGAAAAGAAAGGTAAGAAAGAAGTTCTAAACGCCACACGAACTTTGAAACTCCAACAACTACATTAGCATGAAAAAACCAAGTAGTGGCGACCCATACCTACGGCCCACCATGGCGGGGGCGTAGCTGAAAATGTATACGCATTATTGTTGAGAATACAGAGGATTCCCGCAGTTACTTTATATGCATGTCCAGCGCGCGTATATGTCGTCATGCTTCGTCGCCCACGATCGATGACCGGGGAGGAATCAGGTGCCGACCTGCTCGTGAAGATGAATCAATTACTACTACACGCGTAATATAAGCATGTATGGATAATCTGTGTCAGTAGTACTCAGTCTACAATAACTCTAACTCTATGTGTAAGCTGTAGGCAGCAGTATACTGCAACGACGAAGGGAGTTGACAATCGTGCGAAAAAGGGCACGTCACGACCATGCACGAAAAATTATAGGAGAGCGAACTCTTGGTAGTTGCTGGAAGAAACTTCCCCTACTTCTGTGCTCGCCTCCTTCGCGACAAGTGCATCGTACTGAATAACCTTTCTTCCACCAGACCTTGCGAATCCAAAAATACACGCATTTTTGTTGGTGGTGCAACGCAGCTGAGCAAGTGGGCATTGCCCCGTATTGTCACGGGCCCGAATAACTTTATTTTGTTTAGTAACGAAAAAGTGAAAAAAAAAAGAAGAAACAACGAAGTCTTGGAAAATATACAAAGAAGAAAAAAGAATGCACGCGGATTTGAAGGAACATGTGATGGGGGTTATATAGTGTGTGGATGTGTGTTGATGTGTGTGTGTGTATTGTCAGTGCTGCTGGTAGTAGTAGAGTGGGTGGGTGGTAAGGATGCATGGCTTTGGATGAGTTGAGTTGAGTGGGGTAAGGTGATGTATTAGGAAAAGCAAAGGGAGGATAAAAGGATAACAAAGTGCGTTCTTCTTCTTTAAGGCCACTTTAATATTTCGGGAATGATTTGTTCGTCCCAGCCATGGCACGCTTCCGTCTCGTGCGCACGGTTGCACAGCTGCTTCACATCCAACGCAGCCCACATATCCAGCGACCGCACTGCGTTGCTGATAAGCCCGTTGATGAACGAAGTGACGTTTGGATCGTTTACCATTGAGCCTGCTCCGTACTTTTCCATGACCCCGCGCGTCGACTGCTTTACCGTCTGCACCACGTTGCGCACAAGGAACCCGTTGTCGAACGTTGCGTAGCCTTCGAGTTGAGTGCGGATGCGTCGAACGATCCGGTCTTTGACCTATATCAACAAAGAAAACCATATTCGTTTGAGTATCCACTGACGCTTTTTGTGAAGAGACTCGCTTCTTTTTTACACGACTTACATCGTCCAAGAAATGGCAAATGGAGGGTGGGTTACCGCAAATGTAGTCCATTTTTACACCTATCGTAATAACAGCGAGTATAAGTTTCTTACGCATACTATGTATCGCCACAAAGAGCAAAGGAAAAACAATAAGGAAAAGCGACAGAATACATACATTCTTCTCTGTACCAGCTTTCTCCGGTAGGAGGCATTTTGCGTGTCAAGCGAGCAGGATGGTTGCAGTCGCCCTTGAACGGCTTCTCCTCCGAGAACATGACAGAAAAGATACCATCTTCGAGCGGCTTGCCGGTAGCTTCGTTGACAAACAGTTGGAGCGTGTCAGATAAGCCGTTGGTGACGCCTGTCCGCAGGACGTCGTCAGGCACCGTCGCTGAGATTTGTGTAGGAATAGTGAGATTGAATAGCGTGTTGGAGAAGGTGTTTTGTAAATCTCCAACCGCGAGCTCGACAACAGGGCCGTAGAAGCCAGCGAATGCATGAGCAAGACCGTGGCGACATTCCGGCTCGCATGCAAGCGCCGCACTGACGAGTGCTGACAGCAGCAGCAATGTGTACTTGAACATTATTAGAGAGCAGTAGCCGTAATAGAGGTAGTAGTAGTAGTAGTAGTAGTAGTAGTAGCAGTAGTAAGGTGAAAAGTAAAGAAGAAGGAAACAAAAGAGAAAAAGAAGGGGGGGAAAACCTATCCTTTTTGTGGGTGAAGGGAGTGATGGAAAGGACGCAGGTATAAAAAGTGGCTCTCTCTCTCTCTCTCTCTCATCAACCCTCAGCCCTATCCCGAAAAAGACTTTTTTTTGCTCAATTTAGAAAATTGGCAGGGCAACAAACCAGCCCGGGTTACACAGGCGGGCTTGTCGCGGCTTGGAGACCGCCTTGTCTCGACCAGGCAAGAGTAATCGACATCGTGGTGCATGGCCCTTTTCAAGAAATATACACCATATGAAGCACAAAACAATAATAAATTGCTAGTTTATAATAAGATAAATCATCCTTCTAGCTTAATCTGTACTTGCTGCTCGGCTGCTACTGCTGCTGCTACATGGGTGCTGTAGTAGTGTCAAACGAAAAACAAGATGCATCTCTCCACAGCCGAAACAAGCGGTTAAACTTTTGCTAGGTAAAAAACTTTTTTTTAGCTTGCACCTTGGGCACACAAGACTACCTTTTCCGAAAGAGGGCTTTTTTTCGCTCCAATGTTTACTTGTTGTTGCGTACTATTATACCACTGTTTCGCCACATATCACAGTCCACATACATCTCGCAGCAGCAACAACAACAACGGCACCTGCTTAAAATAGCTTTTTCCATATGTACAACTGTGTACAGCTGTATGAGGCTTTCCCAACGATACACATACAGCATTTGCCACAGTACTGAGATAGATGACAATAGTATGCTAAATAATGAACCGTATGCAGATTACACGTGTATCAATTGAGGCCAACGACGACCTTGGCATTTTTTTCATATAAAAGCGCTCCTGCTGTTGCGTATGATAGGGAGATTTATAGATACTCCGTGTCGCTATGTTTCACAAGCCCGGTTACGTGGTACAGGTGTCCTTTATTTATGTCATTGCTCGGTTGGGCCCCAACTCCACCTTAAAATAAGTCGTCTACTCTAGCCTTATGGCGGGGCTTTCCCTCTCCCGAATTATGTCAGTGGGAAAAACGCTTGTGGCGCGGTCTCAGATATATTATACTACGACCATTCAGCAAGATAGTTAACCCGTCCCGCGCTACTAGACCTACTTTTGAGTGTAGTCTAGGTCAATGATGAAAGCACTCTGAAGTGATGAAAGACAAACAAAGAAGGAAGGCAACATTATTTTTAAAACTTCTTCTCAATCACCGGACTTGTGTTGGACGTCTTTGTGCGTGAGACAATTTAATTATAGTTTTTACCGCCACTGCTTCCTTGTACTCACAAGATCGCGTGAGATACATGAACTTTTCCTTTTTTCTTTTTTATCACCAAAAAGATCCTCAGGCTTCTCGAGAAACAATGAAATACTGCATATACCCGCCAACAAAACGCTTGTGCTAAATGGAATAGAGATATCTTTTGATGCCATTTATGGTAGGAAGAACCTAGCACTAGATCCCCTTCTATTATTAATAATGACATATGATGTTGCAGTAACTGATGTACGTGGTGTATAAAGTTTATATCGTTGATATACTCTACTACTAGACCCTGTACTGTAGAAGCATAAAATGTATCACTAAAACATGGTCAAAAACATGCCATCTTCAAAAACTGTATACCGTTATAACCAAGACATGCATATAGTAGAGGCTGCTTTTGGCAACTGGAAGGTCCGGCTTCAATTAGCACTTGGATGAAAAATAAAGTTACAAAGACGTGTCTGGATGAAGTAGTAGCATGTCTCAATAACGAGTTTATTTACTTTGTTTAAACCGTACCTACTACTGTACTCTTATGGCTCTCCGATCAATTTTTGCTCAGTCTTGGTGATGTTGCTAGCATCTCCACTGTATAGCATGGAAACAACTGATATGAATGTATATGTCTTCACTGCTCTTTCAGAGGGTCAGATTTGTAACAACTTTAGTTTCCAGAAAAAGAACATATACAAAAAGCTGTATCCGGGATGAAGAACTCTATGAGAAGGGCTGTTTAGAAGTGCACATTGTCCAAGACGTGGATTTACGGTTGAAAATAGGATACCATACATACAATGCTTTATATATGAAGATATGCTTAAATTATGAGTGTACAATAAAGAAAACCTGGTTGTGAAATCCAAACAGTCTAAAATCCATTCTGTTACCGTTGTTATGATACCTTTTGGTTGCGGACACCTCAAAAAGGCCCTTCAAGTTTCGGGAAGGTTAAAAAAAGCCCAAAGCTTAATCTGATATATTAGACGCGTAAAGAGTTAAAAATGTAATAATGAGAACGTATATGCAGATATCTTATATCCACTTGTTCAACGATGGATATACAGTTAGAGGGTACTCGTGGAGGAGGGGGTGTATGGGCGTCTCCACGCTAATGCTGGACTAAGCCATCAATCTTCCGTCTTGCGGGAGCTAGCAAACTAGTAAGTTATTGCTCCAACAATTGCTCTTGGTAGTCAGAGGCACCCGTTTGAGCATTTCGGCGAGATTGCAATACACAGGTTTTGTGTATGCACTTTTAAAACAAGATGCACAGTGTACTTCGCTTTCTATAACCTTGATCGATATGCCGACACTATCTCGGGAATTTTCAGTGTGCTTGATTTGTCTTACACTCTCACTGACAACAGCAGCAACTATGACAACGAACTCCAACTCTTCTATAAGACTTCGGCGATACCTTTCTAATTCTTCCCTATGAAATTCGACTGTAGCTGCAATTATGACTACTTATTCGGCAACTTGATTACTACTTGACTTATCACCATGTCGTAGCAAACTCCTGTGCTGTCAATATGCGCTGTAACATATGAATTGGAAAGTCTGCCTAGTTATAAGCTATTGTAGTGACGGAATAAAATCATTTCCATGAACGAGGAACATCAGACTCTTTTTTAGATCTATAGCAGTATATTTGCTGTTCATTACCAATATCTGCTCTTTTAGGCTGTTTCATTCAAATTCATACTGTATACAAGACTTCTCAACAGCCCCCACATATGTCTAGTCGTCAAAGCATCGCCTATGTGTACTTTGAAGGTAGCGCCAGCGCCATCTCAGGGCTAGCTCAACATTACAGTACCAATGCCTCCTACCTACAACTTGCGGAACTTTGCCTTAAAAAAATTCTGGTGAAGAAGGTGCTCCGAACGCTTTTGCTCGTTAATATGCCCCCAGAAACCGATAAATTCCCCCTTTTCTTTTCTTTTTCTCTCTATTCACTGACCGCTGAGGGGGCTTCCCACTCCTCGTTACAAAGTATGTGGACTAATTATACCTTTTCTAACATTGGTTCTATGATTCTTTTCTTATTTTTCTTCTTCTTTTCCTTTGTCTCTTCCTTTCTATACATGTCGTAAAATACCATATACGAATTAAACATATTACCATCCATCGTCATCCATCCATCCAGTCTATGCCCACGTTGCCGTTTGCCGACAACCATCATCATCACCTTTGAATAACACCAAAGCAAAGACAATGTCCGCTTTCCGTGTAACCACTACCAGCAACACAACCATTACAGCTGCTGTGCCTCCTCCTGCTCTGGGACGAGACATGAATCCGACAAAGACAACGCCAGTATTTCCTAACAACAGCAACGATGCCTTTTGTTCTTCTTCTTTGTCGCTCATTACCGACGGCGACGATCAATCCATTTCAAACAACGACTCGGATTTTTCATTGTACACTGCCACGACGCATGCAGAATGCTGTTGTTTCTCCAGTACTTGTAAAAACCAGCAACTGTGGATGCGTATTGTTCAAAAACTAGAAAATGATGCTCGTTTAGCTGCTGGTATGTTTAGTCATTATTATTCTCTTCTTTTATTTGTAAGGAGCAAGAGGTGCAATTGATTTTGCTTCTGTGCTGTAAGCAAAAAAGAAATGCATGCATGCTACTTGCTCTCTCTCTCTCTCTCTACTACTGTTGCACAATCATGCTTCTACTGTACGTACTATCATTGTGGTAATCGCTTTTTTACGGCAACAGAAGAAGAAAAAGGAGGAAGGGGTAATGCTGGTGGGCGTGGGATAAGAATTTGAATTCGCAAAAGGAGTAGGTGATACGTATATTAAGTAGTTAACAAGGCGTGAAATGTTTATGTGGGGATATTTTTCTAATGATACTACATCAGTAATAGCAGCAGTAGTAGTAGCCGCAGCTTAAAACAATGTAATTCAGACCATCTTCTCCTTACTAATATCGTATATATCAAAATGCAGCTATCGGCCAAAGCTTATTATTGCAGCATGAACAGTATGTCTCGGACACAAACCAGACCAAACGAATGATGGAGCGACAGGTAAGCCCCTTTCTCTCCCTATTATATGTACGTATCAGGCACAGTATATACTTACTGATAAATGAAAACAGTTGGACAGTTACCAAGAGCAGATCCACAAATTACAGCAGGTGCAGGATGCCACAGATGTAGTAAAACAAGAACTGGAGGATGACAAGAAAAAATGGATTATGAAATGGAAGCGTACGCAAAAGGTATTATCATGTAATCACAGTCATTGTTTGCTTTATTCGCCCCGTGATAAGCATATTGAAATTTATGAGTATATATTAGACGTTGGACGCTACAGCAGCTGACTTTGAGGCGGCCAATAGTAGATGTATCACTTTATCAAAAACGCTCCAAGTAAAGGAGGCAGAAGTGGAACGATTACAAGTATATGAAGCGATGATAAAGAAGGCCAATGCTCATGAAGATGCTTGGAGAACAAAGGTATGTTTACATCACCACTTGACAGCTAGTGTGCAGTACGTGAATTCATTTTCTCTCCATGGTTGCCATTAACATGCAAATCCGTGATATAATAGCTCGAGGATGCTCAGCAAGAAATCGAAGCAAGCCGCAGGAGCGAGAAATTATCCGAAGCACGGTTCAGGAAAATGAAAGAAAAACATGGTACTGCTTCTGCAACTGTAATCTCAAATCATAACAGATCTTGCGACAATTACGGAGTAGGGTGGGAAGAGTGCTACACACCATGGGGATGATCACCATTAACACCTGACCCGCTAATCAATGTCAACGCAAACAACACTTACTGGGAAATTATGTAGACGCAATACAGATCGCCCACGGACAATTACAGCGGTCAATTGAAGAAGAGCGTCATCATATCGATCTTAGCTATCGTTCAAATTCAAAGTTACGAAGCAATGCACTCAAGGTGAATATACTAATATTATAAGAGTCTTTTGCTTTTTTGTGTAATTGACAAATCCCAGTTACGCACGGGCGCATACCATTTTTGTTGTATCCGTACAATACTAACAAATTATTTGTACTTTATATGTGTTTATCATGCAGAAGATGAGCTCTAAACGACAACAGCCTCCTTCTCCTGCATTATTAAAACCAAGTCAAAGTACCCCAACTACCGTCGATGCCAATAGTGGCAATAGCAGCAAGGAGTTCCAAAAGAACTCTTGGCCACAAGCTGACCCTAGTGCGCAGCCACCTCCAACTCCTCCCTATGTTCCGTTCATTATAACCCCTTCTCCATCGACACCTGTTCCAACTTCCACTACTACCAATGAAGACAAAGATGGCTATTCATCTGCCATACATCACCACCATCATCACTACTATTATATGGACCAACAAGAGAAGAACAACAGCAGCAGCAGCATGTACAATGGAGCCGAAACGACAAAGGATCTTTCTGAGGTACACCATAAACAATTATGCAACAGAACTCATCGCTATCATATCCTCTCCAATGCTAAATATTCAATGTTTCATTTCGCCTATTAGTTGGGTGCATTACATTCTAACGTGACACAGATGCTGGAACGATTACATGCGACGGATATGCTTGCTCTGAATAGACAACTCGGGCGTGCTTTTGACATGGACCATGTCAGTCAGTTGAGCAACACGATGATTGATCAGATCCTAAGTGAAACAGAGGAGGAGGTCGCTTTAATAGTAACTACAGCAGCAGATACTGCAACAGACGACATGGTTGCAATTGTGCGACTGTGTCAAGACATGATCAAAGAAATCGGACAGCTCCGGGCAACCTTGAATGACTTACAGGCTGAATACGTGAACAAGATCCAGGAGAATGGAACGCGAGTGGAAAAGGAGCTTATGCAGCGACGACAGCAACGAAAACAAAATAAAGTATAGTTGGTCAAGCACCAAAAAAAAACAGGTCGTCCTTTGATTGTTTGTTTCTACAAAAGTCAACAATGCTACAGCTGCTATCACTGTTTTATTTGCTTATATTTATGGAAAGAAAAGAAAAGAAAAGAGAGGCCACTGATAAACCTCTTTCTTCAAATATGAAATGCAATGGTTTGAGGCTGGTATATGAAGAATGCATAATCAAAGTCAACAAAAGAAGAAAAGGAGGGTTCAGACATTATGTATAAGAAGCACAAAGGTCGAGTGTTGATCTTGTTATTGATTATTGTTGCGAGTTAAAGATGAAAGAAGTGCCGTATGCATGTTTTTTGACTGTCTTTTCTTTTCACATGATGTCGTGCCATGTTTCGTGTGATGGTCCATCCTCATCGGACGAATAGTCAGGGTCCGAATCGTTCATGTCTTCTTCTTCACGCTTTGCCATGCACTTGAGGCAACGCGCTCTTTCAGCATGTTTACGTTGGTTCTAATTTCGTGTTTGATGATTGCTTGTTAGAGAGAGAATAAACCGTCGTTGTCGCGCACACGCATCGGTTCTTCTGTTTTCCCTTCCTTTTGTTACCTTGGCAAACTGTTCGAGCGGCTTCTTTAAGGTGCACGTCATGCACTGCAGCGTTGCAGATTGCTTGGCCGTGCACTGTTTGCAAGTGACAGTCTTTTGCTTTTTGTTCCATCCGGGTGGGGCGTAGGCTTATCATAAAAAAAACATACAAGGAAGACGCGTTAAAATATGAGCGTGATTTATCAAAGGTCTCATAAATCATAGATGATCATGTTTAGACACGTTACGGTTGTGAGTTGCCTATAAAACGCACATTAGTAAAACGCGTCTACAAACTAATGTTCCATTGTCGTATCTAACACACTCATCACCGTAGTTTGTGCTTACTTTGGCCACTTGAGTTTTGGAGAACGCATCGAGCTGCTTTTCCTATTCATCAACAAAAAAAATATATAAGCAACGGAAAGAATGCAGTAGACAGACCACAGATATTTACCTGGTCGCAAAACACGCAGCGCAAAGTTTTAATGGCTGGCGCTTGATCTGTCGAGAATTCACGATTAGAACTAGCAGAGAATTAATCTCGAAATTCCAAAAGGAGGGGTACGTACCATTTGCTCGGAAAGCACCGTAGCCGTCTTGAACAGCAGGCTGAATGCGGAATTTACCGGCAGCACCTTGGCGACTCATGAGTAAAAGAAAAGAAAAGTAATGGGTGAAACGAGACAGAGAGAAAGCGAGAAAGGAGCCAAAGGGAACCCAGCAAGGTTAAAGAAAAAAAGGAACAGGGCAACCAATGAAATACCGAGCTATCTTCTTTGGAAAGCAGCTCATACACTTCCCAGCAGATTTGCCCTTTTCTTTTTTATACTTTTCTCTGTCGCTTGTTGCACAGCACATAATACGCTCACTACCCATACGCACACACACACACACACATACACACACACATATCCCGTTTTCCGGTTTCTGTTGTTATGGCTGCTCATTCAATTCCGTCCAACACACCCTATCAAAGGCCAGTGCCTTCGCTGCCATCTCAAGGCCAGCTGCCTCCACAGCCGCAACAACAACCCCAGTTCATGCAGGCTGGCATGCCCCCAGGGTTTCCGCAAAATGCCACACAGAACTACCTTTTCTACCAGCGTCAACTTGCTGCAGCACAACAGCAACATCTTCAGCAACAGCAACAGCAGCAATTACAAGCGCAATTAGCTGCTCAACAACAACAACACCAGCACCAACAGCACCAACACCAACACCAGCAGCAGCAGCACCAACACCAGCAGCAGCAGCAGCAATATCACCAACAACAGTTACAACAACAACAACAGCAGCAGCAGCAGCAGCAACAGCAACAAGATCGTTCAAGACCAGACCAACCTCATAGCCAACCACAACAGCAGCAACCACAACCCCAACCAGTGCCTGGACAGCAGCTGCAGCAGCAGCAGCAGCAGCAACAACAACACCAACCTTCACAACAACCTCCATTGTCTCAAGAACAACAGCACCAGCAGCAGCAATTACAGCAAGCGCAGCATATAGCACGATCAGGAGGGCCGTTTCCTCCAACGCCCATCATTGCTAACCAACCACGGACCCCTGCCTACGCCATGACAGCAAATGGAACTTTAATGAAACAGCATTTGCCTACGCCTGCAATGACAGCTGCCCCTCTGCCAAAGTAAGCTTTTATTAAAATTTTGGTTCGTTACTACTTGAAATGAAAGTACTGATTTTTATCATTCGTGCATATATCAAAAACCCACAGTAGTACGGGCTTTCATACAAGTCAGGCTGTTTTAAAGCTTATGCAATTCAGTGACCGGCTTAGTCCAGGCAACGAGGTTAGTAATAGTCCATGAGTAAAGATAGGCATCGAAGAGAGGAATATTCAAGCATTGAGAGAGGGAGGGGGGGATAAAAGGGAGGCTCATCTTGGGTGGGGTTGAAGTTGTCGGGTGTGATTTTTCTTTTATTTGAATTGTCAAAAGTTGACAACTCACGCCATACACGTAACGTACACGCATGTTAGGCAACCGAACTATCTACGTGGACTAAATTTGTAGATGAATTCTTTACACGGAGTGGATCACTGAGATTCACGTTATGGAACGCATCGACAGAAGAAAAGAGACTCCATAGTAAGTTTTCCCTCCTTTTGCTGGCATTAAACAAACAAGACAATCGATCGAATGGCAGCTTGTTTGTATATATCGAAATCATCATCATCATCATCACCACCACCACCATTAACAAACAAACAACTATTTCATTAGCAATTTCACGACCTTCGATTGCACGAATTTTTCAAACACAGTATGAATGCGGAGTTACCTCACTACAACTCACAATGGATCAAACCAATGAATACTTTCTTGACAAAGCGATGCTGTTGGAGTGTCCTCGATCCAGTTTTATTTATCGCTACGAGAATGGCTCCTTGGTAAGTACACGGTCACAATGGATTTAATCAATCAATCAAACAGTGAAGCTAATCCATATATGTATTCTCGATCCGTGCAGGTGATATTATTTGGTGTATTATCGGTCGTTCTGGTGTCGGATTCTGTCAGTGGCAGTCTCAAGATTGAAAAGTTTGATTTTGAATGCTCAAAGCATGAGGAGTTTGTTGCGCGACAAAATATCAATATTGTTTCAACACCGGCGAAGAAAAAGGGCAAGAAGCCTCCGCCATCGATTTTGCCAGACTCGCCTGTGAGCGAATGGGGTGTACCTGCACGGATATTGCAGCTGATGCTGGTATGTCTACACTAGGCAAAAGATGAGAGAAAAATATAATGCAGGATGTCTTACGTATCGATGGTATTTCATTCTAGATATCGGATACTGCTGCCACGTTTTCTGAAATCGCCTTCACTGCCATAACAACAGTGGTTCCTCCAGCTAGTAAGTCATCGATCTGCGCGTTTTAGTGTACTTACGCAACGTGAGAGTGGAGGCTGCTGATGTTAATAATGTTTATATACTGGGATAACTAGTGGCATTAAAGATACGTGCAAATTTTGCCCAACAACATCTAATGGAACTGCATCGTCGGCAACAACAGCAACAGCAACAGCAACTGCAACAGCAGCAGCAGCAACAACAACAACAGCAAGGAATTCCCGGCGCGGCAGTAGTACCCCAGCCTACAGGCTTTTACCCAGGTGCTTCGATACCCATGGGCGGCGGTATACAGCAAACGATGTCTGGACCCGTACGAATGCCCTCTTATACCAACATGCAGCAAATGCCATCCTCGCCTAATGTTTTACCGAACGCTGTGCCGAATAATGCAACTAATTATGCTCACGTACCCTCGCCGCTGGGATCCAGCCCTGTTATCACAAGTAGGTTTTCATATTATGAGAAACGGACTACGTTAGCATCGTGTTGGATAAAGGTTGCTTATCTTGTAACCCATCTTCATAGATAAACGTAAACCTGTCGATAACGAGGATGAAGAGCAATCACAACAACCGCCACAGCAGCAAACGCCACAGCCACAGCAGCCGACACCTACGAAAACGGCTACGCCGCGTAAGAAGAAGGCTGCCCGCAAAGGATGAATCATTAAGTAGCCACTTGCTATTACTACTACTTGGTACTATGGTCTCACTATCTTATAAAGCGAAAAAGAAAAAAAAATAGCCTGGCATTTACAAACAACACACAACCACCACCATACGCAACCCCACTTACGCACATATCATAATTCTCTCATGTATAATAATACCTATCACGCTTTCACCCATACTTCTATTTGCTCTCTCTCTCGCTCTCGCTCTCTCTCTCTCTCAAAACTTTCAATTCCCACATATCCACATATTCTTTTTTCTCCTCTCTCCCTCTATTTGTTCACCGCAACTTCATGTAATATATTTCCTCTATCTCTGCTCTTTTCTACTTTTTCTGTGAATCCATAAAAATATCCTACATTTCTGGTTGTATAGCGTATAATTCTCTTCTTCTTGCTTTTCCACGCAAACACCACACAAAAAAACAATTGCTCTTACACAATGTTCAACAGAAGAAAAGAAGGGAAAAACATGTTATTTACAGAATGATGTGATGGTGCTATGTGATATTGCTATATACTATAGTTGAGCAGTTAAGTTTGTTGGTGTAGTAATGGGTAGTGGCAGTGGTGGACTTATGCTTTGAACTTTTTCGAATCTTGATATGAGCCATCATCACCCATTGTTCCTGCTTTCCGCTTGAGTGTCTGTGCCACCTGTTCCACATCCGGTGCCTTTTTTGGTAGACTTTCAGGTTTGGTAGCCAAAGGTGCGTTGCGGAAATAAGGATGCTTGAGACATACGGTCGTATTCCATCGTTTGCTTGGATCAAAGGCGATCATTTTCTCCAATAGGTCCAGAGCGTCAGAGCCAGCTGCAGTAAAGTATGATCGCAGAGGCACTTTGGGGAATGTTTTGAATGCAATATAGTTGGGTAGCGATGTCATCCCCTGTATAATACAGATTAGTTTTCCGAAAGAACCGGTGTGAGAAATATTCCTTACTGTGTGTACTAGGTGAAAATGATATAATTATACGTACAGGCCAGTCAGCTTCTGTCGGTGTACCCAGCGCATGGAATATTTTCGTCAATTGATCCAGATCTGAATCTCCTGCAATATACGGCGTCCGTAACATGAGCTCTGCAAAGATGCATCCAACAGCCCAAATGTCGACCGCATAGGTATATTCTCGAGCACCAAACAGGAGTTCAGGCGATCGGTACCATCGTGTCACCACCTGTGAAGTCATTTGTCGTCCAGGATCGCCCCAATCCCTTGCCAGACCAAAATCTGCAATCTTTAATACGCCATCATGTGTTATTAACAAGTTGTTGGGCTTCATATCCTAACGTTATCATATAATGTGATGTTAGCATTAACAAATAAATAGGACGCTTTCTGCTGTAAAATATGCAATTTACCCGATGAAGAATATAGTGGCGGTGGCAATGATCCAGTCCTCGGAGGGTCATTAACATCCATGCCTTGATATCGCCTGGCATGAATAAAATGGATCTGTCTTTGATCACCTGCTCGAGGTCCGAATCCAAGTACTCCAACACTAAATTCAAGCTCGTCTTGTGCGAGAACACGTCAATTAACTATGTTGTTGTATGCGACCGTTTATCAAGTCAGCGTGTGTTAAGCATAGTAGTCTTACTGTATGTCTGTGAATGCGCGCGCGCAAAAATACTATTGTTACTTACATCAATGACATTGGGATGCCGCAGTTCTCGAAGATATTTGACTTCACGAATGGCCGTTAAATCCAGTCCGTCTTTAAATTGTCCCATTTTGATCTTTTTAATGGCAACCATGCGTCCCGTATCCGATTGAGTACCTGTTTTATTGAATAAACCCCATTTCGCAGCAGCGCGATCGTTTGATCAGATCGATCTGGAACTCTTTTTTTCCTTCCCCTTTGGAATCCTTCCACGAAAACAAATGCTAAAGAATATAATGCATAGAGCAAACGTACCTCTGTATACAACGGCATAGGTACCTTCACCTACTTTGGCCGTCTTTTGATATCTTTTCTCAGTCTTAAGATTGCTTCCATCGGCATCTTCAGGTTTCATTGTTCGTTTTTGGCAGTGACAAAGAGGAGTCGAGTGCTGAGTTTTCTTTTAGCAGCAGATATGCTTTTCTTGACAATCATCTACGAAATGTATTTACCACGGTAAGTACGCACGACCAGCTTTATGATAGAAAACAGTTGAGTGACGATTAAATCTGCTGTAAGCGGCATCTCGTATTCTTCTATGTTGGTAAGTCTGCAGACATAGCCCTTTGGCATGCGATTTGCTGTATTAATCAAAGTGGATGTAAGTACATACTTCATCCACGATAATACGAACGATCTGTCAACTTACAGTTTTAATATAATGCCATGCTTTTTAACGAGCGAGCCAGCAAAATCTTGTTGTTGCCCTTGCTGCCCTTAAAATGAATAGGGAAGAGGTGTCTTTGTCTTCATCGCATGATATTAATTGCTATTTGTACGCGTGTGCAAAATGTTAGTAAGCAATCGTCCTTCACCAAGGTCAGTAACATGCAAATTTACATCATTTGGAATCAATTCATGCCGATTCTTTACTATCAAAATTCGCCTTGGAACCATCGGAGCAGCAATAGTTGTTTCTTGTGTACATGGCTCGCGCAACGCTGGTGCTATCATAATTAGCGAAATATCATCATCTTTTTAGTACCTCCACCACGAGTGTTCTACAGAGAGCATCGTCGTTGCTATAGAAAGAAGCGACATATAAATTCGATTGTTTAAATATAAATATATGCAAGCGCCTTATGTGTTGATTTGTTTACATAAATGGTGAAAAGCTAGATTTCAGATCATCGTAGTCGACAATCTTGTCTGTAGCATGATATTCTTGAACTAACCTGTTAAAATTAGATGCTGTTATAGTATCCATACGATTGATTATCACAATAAAAGTAAAATGAGACAATAGACGAATCCATTGAAACACTTTTTTTAATTCAAATCAAAGATATCATTCTATCCTATGTAAATATCCTATGTAAATACTACTTCTTTCATACTGTTTTCTTTATTATGTCCAGTAAATGACTCTGATATGATAATGTTATGATATGGCTATGATATGATCCAAGATACTTCAGGTAAGCTGTTGTCTTCCGTTGTCAAAAATGATTTTCTTATATTTGGACTGTTGTCCTCTATTTCATCATGATCTTAACTCTGTCAGACACGACAGCTGTAACATGTAATGGAGAGTTCGCGGGCTCGAAAGTGAAGCGTGCAAAAAAAACAGGGTAATGCACGCTGGAACTGGCTATTCCGTGTACACCACTGGGATCAGCTGATTCAAGCAAAGGGTAGGAAAAACACATGTTTTTGACCCACGGGCACGGGATTCTCCGGGTGAACTGGTTGTTGATTGGCTGGTTGCTGCGCAGCGAGTTGTGAATACTTTGTCGCATAAAAAAGAACAAAGAAAAAGGTACATCCCTCGCGCCGAGACACCTTCTTCTTTTCCTTCACCGTGCTTCCATTTATTCAACCTGAAGAAAATGTGGAGCTCCTCCTTTTCGCTCATACCGCCTGATGATGAGCTTCATCCAACGCTTTTATTGCGTAAGTTAGTTGATTTTACCTAGCAGTAACCGTTCCGCTTGCAACTACTTTCGCGTGGCAATCACACAGCCATATCAATAACATTAACTTTCTATTATAGTAGACTTCCAGAACTACCTAGCTCAAGAAACCGAATCTCCAAGTTTGTATGGCCTCTACCACTATGACCTAAAATATTTCATTGAGAACAGTATCCTAGAAGCTATGGTGCAGATGTGGACAAAACATTTCGCAACAGCAAAAAAGGTCTTGGATTTTCAGGTAATATAAGAAGAATGCAACTTAATTATGTAGATCCCTCTTCTGATATACTTTCATATAGACTAAGCAGCCTGACTAGTAAAACATTCTTAAGATAACCTTAGAAGAATAACTTTTAATTATAGATTATTATAATATATTTCAAATAATAAATTATATTGAATAACTAAACTCGGTTCTTGCTGCAAGGAGATCGTATGCCGGAATACTGGCGGATTTAATATCGCCTAATTTTTGGCTTATGCTCTTGGCAATATGCCAGATGCAGAGTCATAAATAACTCTCGCCAAAGACTTGCTGAACGGCATAGATCTGAGATCTGTCTTTGTCGGAAAACACAAAACCCGGGTTTAATCCTAAATCTTTAGTCTTCGTAAGAACGCTGCCAGCGTGTTGGTTCTTGTGAGTTTTGGTGCTCCTTCGAGCGAAGTATAGACTGGATATCCAATGGAGTATCCAACGCCATTGGTCATTGCTACGATGCCAAACAACTCGCAGCCCGCACGTATGGTTTTGAATGTCGAATCGATGTAATACTCTCCAACGTATTGGCATGATGCCAAATTTTCAAAAAACGGAGTAATGAATCCAATAGCAACAGCATAATCATCTCGTCTCCAATGTATCTAATTTTTATGTGTATAAGATTCTATGTGCTACGTTTAATTCCATCCGGCTTTAGCTTTAAAAGCAAAGAGAAGGCTGATGGTTACTAATATTCAAATCACATACCTCCACAAAACCAATGTTGTTGTATCTTTGGAGAAGCAGACGACTTGATATCATTTGGTCGTCATGCAAGCGGTACATTGACTGGAATCCTACCGACCACCAGTAATACACCTGCATGGTCGTGAGGCTCCGCGCCATGTCAGGATACCTTGTTCTCACTGCCTCGTACAAAGTCGATGCATCGACGCCCCGTTCTGTTGCTCGCTCGGTTATATATTGTCTTACAACCATAGGAACAGCGTTTCGTCTTGTTTCTCGATCTAAATCCACTCGATCGTGATTAATCGGATGTCGAATGTTAAGTTCGATATAGCCGAGCTCCTTTTTGATAGTGCCTTTTACGCGACCATGGCATTCGAAGGCTGGAAGCCTATGGTTCATGCGTACAAGGAGATGTTCGGCCGTTTGCTGTTGAATCTCCTAGGATCTGTGACAATATGCCCCAAAGGAAATGTTTGTCGAGAGCTCTGGATCTCCTATATTTTTAAGAAGATATGTATATTGGCCGCATCGGTGCACTTCCTCCAATATTCTTTCAACTAAATCAGCTGGATCCATCGCCTCTATATACGGTTCAATGCAGATACAACCATGGAATGCGTAAATCTGCAACAAAATTGGTTACTTATCTAAAGAATACAATTGGTCCATTACAAAGCTTCACATACCTCGCTTCCGTCAGTATCTGCATAGGGTAAGCCTCATGCAACTCCTCCAACTGCAGCATATCGTCCAAAGCAACAATTTCTAGAGGCGTTCGCTCAAAGCGGCAAGGGGAGCATATCTTAAAGGGCTTTGTTGCGCCTCTGAACAGGTGTCCTGGTTTAGCCTGGTAACCACTCTTAAGTGCTCTCCTCGTCAAATGTGCCTTCCGCAATTGAACGAAATTGTGGATGACCGGTGTTGCCGCGATTACGAGGACGAATTGCATCGCCGGTAATGGGATTGACCGGAGCTCCACCAGGAAGAGAAAAGCTTATATCATTGGTAACGTCACTGTTCGTTTTGTGTAGGAGAAAGTAGTAATAGGAACAAGGATGAAAATAATTGAAACAAAAAAAAAACGCGAAAAAAATTGGTGCATGGTGGTATAGGTATTTCCGGGTAAATAGTGTTCCCGAAGAATGCCAGTGAATTTACTCTGGAACTATATTTAACCGAGGCTGATGCCAGGGAAATTCAGTAAGCGCACAGCGGAAGTTCCTGGGCTTACATTTTGGCCAATCAGAAGGCTGTATAAGAATCCTTGAAGCAGCCAATGACAGCTCTGAATAAGCTTTTACGTGTAACACTTCAAAATACTGGTGCATGACACTGCTGTAATTTTAACTTGATCGAGTAATATGCCATAGTAGTGTCTCTAGTTGAAAGAACCAAACTGTATAATATCAACGACAATAATTGCAGGGGTTACAAAGGGTCATAGATGCAAGAAGGACATTACTTTTATGCAATGCCATTTGTTTATACAAGGTCCTTTATTTCAAATTGCGTAATGAATGTGCGCATAACTGATACACGATTTATCACTTACGTTTTGTTTGATCACTGATAGAATGTTTGGATGATAGACTAAGTAGCAGTATGCTCTATCAAAAGAAGCAGCGTTAAAGATAAAGGGATCCCTTTGTGTGCGATAAAAAGGCTATTTACCAGTGGTCATTGATGAAACATGCTGCTGACGACACTAGTGAAATCTTGTGATTGATATGATCAAAAAGGTTATAAAAGTAGCATACTGCACGACTCATCGAGACGTTGGCTTTTCTTCCTGCTTTTCTTCGCGCTAGCCCTGCATCATTTTTCTTTTTTTTTGGCCTTTTGTACGTATGCATTCATTAACATTCTGTCATTGCAGTCGCTGTTTGATCGTCACGATGAGTGATTCTTTATTTGCAACCTGGTCTAACATTCTTTTCGATATTTTCTTTAAAGTTTTGTCTCTCTCTGTCTCTCGCTCTCACTCTGCTTGCTCTGTCTCTCTCTCTCTCTCTCTCTCTCTCTCTCTTTCTCTCGGGCACTGACCTGCACAGGGTAGCGTCATGTGAGTTGTGCTTTTATGCTGTGAAGCTGTGTGAGAAGTTGTCATTCGTTTGAGAATTATCAGTTCTGATAAATTTCTTCGTTATTATAATCGGTTGCATAGCCCACTATTAAGGAGCAGGGCTCTGGTTGAGTCCTGCGTTGCCCGGCGGCGCCTTCCACTCAGGTAAGTGCACCTGGCACGACGACAATTTCTTATCAACGACTAACATCCCTCTGACCTTTATGTATTACCGTATAGTGAGGATGACGTACCCTGTCAGCAGTGTGCGTAGAAAGCCGTAAGTACTCTTGGGTATTTTTATGGGTTGTTACTTTTTTATTCAAATTACTGTTATTAAGCCCAGGCATGTCTTACAGGCCAAATTCAGCGGTCCCTTTGAACCGCTCGATTACGTTTATGTCTGTGGCACTTGCAAAGATCGGTTGAACGCAAACTCTGCCGAGCGCGAAGCACAAACATACCACCATACGATCCTTTTGAAGCGCAGCAGCATTTCCCTTTTGTCGCCACTGACTTTGTGCCATCAATTGGAGGCCGCGGCGGAAGAAATGCAATTATGCAAAGACCTGCACGCACTGAGATCATCAATATGATGACTGAGCATGATCATACGCAACCAATGATACCTGATGGTAAAATGCCGTGTTAGACATGCACCCGAGTCTTTTAAGATTTCTATTATCGTAACCTAACAATTATGTAACTGCTGATTCGTTAAATATATAGACGCGCATAGACGTACATCTGATGAAATTCATCAATATGCTGCTCAACAAGTTTACAACCATTGCCAAACATTGATGCTTGGATTTACCTCTACCACAACTGGTATCAATCACGTGCATGGAAGCAATGGGCACGCAGTGCTGTTCCGGATCGGATCCCTGCAGGCAAGACAGCCATGCTTATCGAAACCCGTTGGAAGGTCTTGAAGCGCAACCACGTGGTCTCAGGAGGCAGCCATAATTCGGGCGATCGTAATAATGAAGCGACAGCTGAATTTGAGGTTGAAGTTGGCAAAGTAGTTATATGAAGGCGTGACATTTGGTGTCGTTGTGATAGGTATGAAAGCATGGAGAACAGCATGTATCATGTACTGAATCTTGTTTTTTTTCGCAGGAACGGAAATTACATCACTGTATGAATTGAAGATGGGTATGGAAAACGGCATATATGTGTATCATGAGTTCCCACACTGACTTTGGGTATTATGCCTATTACACATAATACCCATACCCGTGTTGCAACATTCATAGAGGTCCTGTTGTCGTTCAAAGTGTGTATATATATGTATTCGTTTGTGTTTTTACATTAATAGTACAGTTTCTCGACTAATACACTGTTTCTTTAGTATCGAATGTTAGTGTCATTATTGAAACCAGAACATGAAAATGAAGACGATCGTGTTTGGGTAGAGTACCGCAAATATGTTCGACCGACACCTGCTGCATTCAATGTTTTGTACGATGAAGAGTGGAGTGGTGATGTCCTCTTTACATGTATTATTAGTGTTACAATGACAACAACAGTGTTTTTATTATAATACTATAACATAGCCATTATAGCTACTTTAACAATGTATAACGAAAACTTTCTCGTTCTTTATTTATACATGATGCCATCTTCTATCAGTTAATGTATGCCCTCACCTTTTTCACATCGCCACACGCCCTGTATTTTTGCTGAAACTGCTATATACTTGAGGGAAAACTTAAAAGAAAAGGCAGCGTTAAAGAGTGGCTGTTTTCCCCTTTCCCTCCTTCGACTCAAGGTTATATTACTTGAGCATTGTATCAGCCTAAGCAAATCTGCTGATATGCTTAAAAAAATGAAGGTATCCACGTGCATAGAACATGCACGTAAACCAAAATAAAGACAATGAAATAAATGCGATCTATCGTCATCAAGGGTGTTCTAATACAAGCAGGGCTTTAACACAAACCATGCTTCTTGCTAGATGAATTACGATGGCCTGTAAATATTTTGTTTCTTTCTCCTAATCACCCACTTAACCGTTCACCAAAGAGTAACGAAAACACAATAGGAGATGTAAGTTTGGCCCGCAATTTCCATCAAATACGATTACTGGTACGTACTGCTGTGTATATATGTAGTCGTAGAAATGAAGACAATCCAAAAATTGAAGACTATCCTAAAGTCTTCTTTTCCTCGCAAAAGGAAAAATTTGGAATATGATAATAACCAATTAGCCCGTTGTTTTCACATACTGGAAACTAAAATTAGAATGAGAACAATCACTTACCGCGCCGTATACTCAACTTTCACGAACAAAAAAGCATCGATGATTTTGTACTAGTGGCAGTGAAACAGTAAGTAACAATGATATGCTGCGGCGTTCTTCAGAAGCAGATATCGCATGAGCCAACAGTTATTTGTGTCTGTGATGCGCGAGCTGGAAAATAAGTATGAGTTTTTTCAGCAAAGGCCAGACGCAACGGGAGAGTTTTCGTTCCATCCGTTTGCAAAAGGAACTGCAGCGATGCGCATGCTGGCGTACGGTGCTTCCGCCGATGCAGTCGACGAGTACCTCAAGATCGGCGCATCGACAGCCAGACAATGACTGCATCACTTTTGCCTGGGTGTCATTGAATGCTTTGGTGACAAATACCTGCGTTCGCCGAACGAAGAAGATTTGAAAGAACTGCTGGCGGTTGGAGAGAGACGAGGATTCCCTGGCATGTTAGGATCCATTGACTGCATGCATTGGGAGTGGAAAACCTACCCAAAAGGATAGGAGGGCATGTACCGGGAAAAGAAGGCAAAGCAACTGTCAACTTGGATGCTGTTGCCTCCCATGACTTGTGGATATAACATCCATTCTTCGGTGTACCTGGTTCTTGCAACGACATAAATGTCTTGTATAAGTCCCCTGTTTTTGATGACGTGATCCATGGTCGAGCGCCATCTGTCAAGTACACCATCAAAGGTAACGAATACGACAAGGGATACTACCTAGCCTATGGAATCTACCCTATTTGGTCGACTTTGGTGAAGTCAATTCCGGCACCTCAAGGAGAAAAGAACAAGTAAATGCTTAATGATAGAATCAAGGTTATTATCTATCTCAAACATAGATCTAAATATTGCTACGATATACTTTGCGCAAGGACATTGAACGCGCTTTTGGTGTCCTTCAAGCACGCTTTGATATCATTCGACAGCCTGCACGTGCTTGGAATGTGGTTATCCTCAGCAACATTATGCGAGCTTGCATAATTTTGCACGACATAATTGCTGAGGACGAGCGTGCAACGTACCCTGGTCGCATTACTCTTACCTCTGACTATAATACGAGCGAAGGTTATAGTGTCGCGCCATCTTTCTCGCATAGAGACATTAGCGATGATTACGTGTACCTCTCGCGTCTCAAAGAGGTGCGTGATGGTCATGCTCACAAACAATTGCGCACAGATTTCCATGGAGCATCAATGGCAAGAATATGGCAGCGCTAAGTAAAGCCATTCGACATTTTTCTATATATTTTAATATATTTTATATTCGTCTTCTTCCTGCTCATACTTCTTCATGACTGCTTGCTTCATCGCGAGCCACTTGCGTCATATTTCGGTCAGCGTGCTGACATCGGCGCACATCACCTGCTGTCGGTACGTATCATTATTGAAGCCTGATGACTACCTTGGCAGCTACGGCGTTCTTCTCCATGGCAGCGGCCTGCTTCACGGCCCACTCCTCTCTCTTCTTCTCCCGCTCTTGGTTCTCAGCATCATCGTCGTCAAGACGTCGCTCCTTTGCAAGGCTGGCAGCCTTGGCTTTTTCTGGTCAACGGGCCGCTCAGTATCATCTGCTGGAACAGATGCTTCATCTTTTTTCTTGGCAACGACGGCTTGCCACTTCTCCTCTTCCTCAAGATGACATAGCAATGCTGCATCTTGAAAGCCTTGCCACTGTTTAACGGAGGCTTTAACGCGTATTCTTTTTTAACGCGATCTTTCTATTGATGGATGAAAGATAAGTAACGTAAAAATGACTCTCAAGGAAGTTGCTTTTTACCAGCTGCTCACCGCTTTCGTCGCTAGCTTTGTTGTTGTAAACAGAGTTTACACAAGCGATTCTTGAGACCCTTCAGATCTCTGTTGTGGCTGTTGCCGTTGGTTTCGAACTTCTCGGTGACATTCTTCCAAAAGTTCGAGCCTTTTAGGCTGGCACCTCTTTTGGAGTCTATGGAAGTGCCGTTCATGATCCTATACAATTGAACTGGGATGTCACATCATGGATCTATAACAACATGACAATGTGGACACGCACAAGCTACGGCCTGACATTATATTTAATATTCAAGGAAAGGATTGGGTTATGGAGATCGGTTGCGGGGAAGTTATAAAATCGGACGTTGTTTTTGATCTCAAGGAGGCATTGTACACTGGTCAACATCGATGCGTTACAATCCTTAAACAAACAATTTTTCAATCAGTATATATGAGCAACATTGACGGGAAACGGATCTTAATACCGGTATCAAACCGACATGATAATTAATTATGACATTGAAAAGATGAAAGTATCACGAAAAGAAAGGTATGATTATGAAAATAATACACGGGATGAGAATTTAATGTATAATAGCTATTTATAATTGCGTTACATATTTGTAGAAGAGGATTACACAAACAAGGCTAAGCTGTATCAACAGAAATGACTATGGAGGAACAATTGAGTAAGAGGAGGTAGAGACCAAAGGAAGAGGAATGGTAATAGTGGCAAAAATAGGGTGTGGAAGGGTATTAACTTTCTTTGTGTGCCAAGTGAAGAACAGAGATGGGTCTTTTTAAGCCCATTTACCAATCAACGCCATCAAACCAGCACCGATATACATGGACAGGAAGCAAACTGCCTTGTTTGTGAGCGAACTTTGTCGAAATTTGAGGTTGTGGTTGATTTCAGCGCTCATCAATGAAACGTAGGCATTGTACAGTAAGATACCAGCCGACAACGAATCCAGAACAGCATTGGCCAGCACGGAAGACGAAGAGTTTGGATTAAATGACGAGTGGATACCGATACCAATGGCAACACCGATGGGTGTCATGATGATGAAAAGCCCACCTAGAATGAGAGGGCGAACCCAAGATTTGTGTTCCATTTCGTTGATTCTTGTGCCAAGGGCGATACCTTCAAAAAACTTTAATCACTCCGCGTTAGTACCGTGTCATAAAATGTATGCTACACTTATTGTAAAAGTGTGAAAGCTGCATGTGCATTATTAAGACATCTTACCTGGTGGAAGACTAGTGCAATGATCAATGTGACAAATTCGTCATTGCCGGTGTTGGCAAGCGTAATGCCAATGATTATGGAATGCATGACAATGCCGAGTTCGAGCATCATGACGCCAACATTACGGAAAGCTTTTTCGTCTTCTTCAAACAGGGCTCCACCGTGAACATGGCCGTGTTCGAGACCAGTTTTTTTCTCCATGTCGTCCTCGTTGAAGCTGGCTTCGGCGCTGTTTTGACGTTTTGCGCGTAATTTGTCCATGTAGGTGGCGGCACCGAGTTCGAGTAGCTGGAGGGCAAAGGATGATATCATGCAAAAGATGCCGGCGAATGCACCGTAACTTTGCCACCCTTCACTCAAGCAAGGGCTGCTGAAGTTCTCGAGAGATTCAGGAAGCATGTGAATGAACGCAGTAGCAAGGATAACGCCGGTGCCGACTAAAATTAACGTAATAGACTTTGTAAGTAATTTTTATGCTGTAATAGAACTTTATATTATTGCATAGCTTACAGAATTTGCCGACAGTGAGAACCCAATAACGGAAGCTTCCCTCGCTGTACGGGTGGATGCGGTGGAGAAGCATGGGGACAAAGGTGCCTATTTTTAGAGTAAGTGGTACTTGTCAGTCTTTGGCTTTTTTTAATGTTGACATTATGAGATTCGGGTCAATCAATGCCTTTCCTATAGAAACTTACCAACAGCACTTGTGACGAGGATAATGAAGAGGGAACCGATTCTAAGGGGCATGTTGTAATCATCAAGGCTTTCACGAGCGCATGATTCTTCTTCCGCGCCTTCGGCTTCTTTGGTTTTCGTCGAGAAAATATTTGATACGGGAAACGTACTTTAGTCATCAAAACAATAGCTAGCGACATGAGCAATCTTAATAGAAATAACTACCTTGAGCGCGCACCACAAGAGGCAAAAATGCCCAAAAAAGTAGAAAACTGAAGGCGAAATTTTCCATTTCTGTGTAAAAAAGATATAAGAGGTAAAAAAAGAAAAGAACGGACCGCCAACCGAGTTGTTTTTATAGGAGTTTTTGGGAAAAAAAGGCACGAATGTTCATTGTCCAATCATATTAAAAAATTTCGAGAGTCACTTTCAAATTCATGACCGTGAAGGTACTCGTTTCCTGTTTCAGCGCGATGAACACAGACGTGTTGCGTGAATGTGCAACCACATCAAATCAGCTATTCTATAGTACGCTATAGATGGTTTTTTATGCCAGCAGCAATGACAATAAGCACATGACAAAGAGCTTTCTTTTAGCTAGTTTAAGTGATGTTTGTATAATCATCCCTGGCGTTTCAAACAGCAAAGTGGAATAGGCTATCATGGGATCAGCATCATACCAACGTCAAAAAAATCATAAATTTAAAAAATCCTTTTGAGCGGAATTATACTACAACATCGCCATAGTTACCATTGCTCACTAACACATATTCTCTATCTATCAGTATAGCGATCAAGTTGCCTCGCATCACCTTCTCGATCTATCGGCCAAGAAGTTTCATCTCCACTGTATGCTGCTAAGTTAAGCATAATAGTGCTGGTACCACACTGTCCGCTCAGAAATTTTTGTCAAAAGAAGAAAAATTTTCCCATTTAGAGTTATCCCGTAATCACACCGACAATTTTTTTCCCAAATCTGTTAAATGAAGAAAACAAGCTAGTAATGAATAGATGATAGAGTTGAGGATTGTTAACAGAGAAAGAAAATGATATGAATGATGCGCTATATCTATGACAGTCGCCATAGACATTAGAACTGTACTGTTCTCTTTAAATTATGTGGGGATTTGCATTACTCAAATGGTGCTAATTTTCGAATTTGCTTGCACTGAGAAATCTGTCCAAGTCATCGTTCGCGTAGATGAAACAGATAGCAACGTGTTTCGATTAGGCAAGAACAATGTCTGAAGTATCCTCGACGGTGCGGTCCCTTGAGTTGGTAAACTAAAGCATGGCCCGCGTTGAACTCCACTATAGCGAATGTCCCTAATCATAATCATCGTCAGCGAATCAATAACTGCTTAATTGAAGAGCATTTCGCACAGCCCCAGCACATGTGTGTTGGTGTATGTGTCGTCAAACTTTCGTACCAAAAGTGCACTTTAGATTCAGATTGACTGCCGCACACGACGATATAACCATCCTGGTGCCAATCTGGTTTGATGTAGCGCGATAAATTCTCGCTTTCCGAGAATCCAAACGATAATTGCAGACCACATACTCCTAACATGCGTTGATCGTATATCGCAAATTGATCACTCGTCTGTGCTTGACTATTATTGCAAAGGAGTTAGTCAACGATGTTGTTCTCATGCCGTCTTTGCCATCCCTCACTTTCTCTCTTTCTCTTTGTCTTCCGTTTTCCGTTTTCCCCCTTCTGATCTTTTTCTTTTTTTTTTCGCGGTACTCGTTTTCTCCCCGCCCTTATTTTAAAATACCGTACCTGATCAGTGACAGATTAGGATCTTTAGGATTCTTCTCAATATGATTGATCTAAATTCAAAAATAAACATGAACATCGTAAGTTTTTGTTCTTCATTTACCCGTCTTCTTCCAGCTCCTTTGCGTACGACGTGGAGAAAGTTCTTTACCCTATTGCCTATCCTCAGCTCGTTGATCGTTTTCTGAGAGACCATATCGTATGTGAACAACTTGGAATCCGCACCGCCTGTATACAGTCTGTCATTATATGAGTCATAGCATAGTGCTTGCACGCTGTTTGTATGATTGATATTAAGCTTGTTCACGTCAGTAAGAGCAAAGTCTTCCTGCGGACTATCCCGGATCATGTCCCAAAGACACTAGTGTAAAGATGCAGCTTTAACATTAGTATATCTTATTAAATACGTCGTCTGTAATGGATATTATAATAAATGGTGTATATTATCTATAAACTTACCACTAGATGATCACTGCCTCCAGTAACAAAGCTAGCACGTTCAACTCCTACAGAACCAGTCTGTCCGAGCTGAACTGGAGCGATATCCAACATCTCCTTTACGTGAGGATTCTCATTGAACGCTTGCACTCGTATATCAACATCATCCTAAACAAGATAATCAGTTAATACTAGCTCTTATATAGATTATTTTAACACAATCACGCACTTACTCCAGTCTTCCCCAAACTTTCCCACAAGATCTGTGCGATATTATTACCCTTTTAACTTCCTTGATATGAGTGAGAAGAACCGAAGATTCCACATTTGCTTCCGGTTTGGATCGACCCATACATAGTGCTAGTGTGGTAGGAGTTATCCAGCACAGTTCTTCTATCCATCCATTTTTGTAAAAGTGCTCGGGTCCTTTATTCGCTATCATGCTAGATATATTCAATACGTTAGCTTTCGCACATTGCAGGGAGTGGGCTGAGGATTTACTGCTTCTCACCTTCGAGTTGCCGCATTCCTAGTACAACCATGTTTCATCGGTTTTTTAAGTAAATTAAAAAGTTAGCATAGTATATCACTAGCTGCTGCCCCTTTCCTAAACATACCAGAACTGCATGTCACTGAATTTGTAGTTTTTGATTGCCAGTTAGTACACCAATACAATCAAGTTGTTCACCCCCGAATAAATGTTTTGCCTTAAATACTTTGTGACCTCAATTACCCTTTAAGTGATGTAGATATCAGCAGATCCTTCATGCTCGAGTCATTTTCAGCAATATTGAAAAGTAAACTTCGAGGTTTTTTCGCAAATGCAGTCATCTTGACATCTTGATTTCTGTTTATATATAAATCGCAGACATCCTGAGAAGCAAGCTTGATTTCTTCTGTTTTTTTAACGCGCTTAATAGGATGTGCTGTACTTGCTGGATTCGTTGGTATGCTTGATTTATTTCGATGTGGAGTAGGCAGGTGATCCTAAATACATACAGATATGTTAACATAATATCGGACATCCTAACAGGATCTTTTTACTCATTCGATCACGACAAATCTACTTTATCCCAACTGATAATCCATCAAATGAAAATTAAATCGTTACCGATCGTCGCGCCAAAGGGGCCTGGGATTCAGCAGCACTACTATTACTACTATGTCGTGGTATTTTTGCCGGTGGTAATGGACTCTGTGGAGGTCCTGCTGAACGTTTTGCGTACATCGGTCGCTGTAACGACTGTTCTTCGTCTATATCCACCACCATGGTATTTCGGTTTGGCTTAATGTTACTATTGTGAGTAGGTGGTGTATCAACTTTGCTTTTCCTTCTATGCACTGATGCGTTAGCTGCCTAGTGAAATTAAAAAAAACATGCCCAAGCATTGTACAACATATAAATATTTACGTTAATCGTGACAATCCACCCAGAGACGAGCGCGGCGATGATGATGATGATGATGATAGTGTTGACGGTCCTTGCAAAGCCATGCCAGTCAACTGCGCAATTCGCAAACTTGTCTCCTGCATTCGCTGGCTGAGCTTACGAGTCTTTTCCACGTATCTTGCTTGTTTGGCTTGTTGATGTCGAAGCTAGTATATCAATCCATACTCTTTTCTGTCAGTTTGAAGACGATCAAAAATACCCCTCTCCTCTTTTTCTTTTTATCTTTTTCCTTCCCCAACCCCTTCTTCCAATCGTAAGAATAACAAAATATTTGGGGTTCTGTGAGATAGGTTGTATAAAGATATTTCACCTGAAGCATGAGATCTTGTAAGTTGAGCGGCGCAGTGTTTCTTTCTTCCTCCTGGTCATCGCTAGAATCGAAAGCATTGGACGAATCGGTGACGCTTACATAGTTCTGATTATCCATCTCTGTTTCTGATTCAATATTGGCGCAAAGTAAGGGAGAGCTCGGCTCCTCTGATTTTGTCTTTGTGTTGTTGTGCGGTCGTTCGCGTTCTCTACGCGATCTCGACGAGTTATGCTGGCGTGGTGGTGGGCTTTCGTCACCGCTGTTATTTGCTGATGTCGATTTGACGTGCACAATTGTAACGCAAGAGATCGAAATCAACGCGTGTTAGTAAAAATATGAAATGAAATTTTTGAGTGGGTGCATTGAAAGGTAAAATGGTGGCGTACCACTATTAGTAGTGTATTGCTGTGGCGATTTTAAGGATGAGGCAGAGAATAAAGATCTTGGGAGCATCCTGCCAAAGTCGTTGTGAGGGGTGAAGGGAGGGGTAGTCTTGAAAATAGAAATATAAAAGATTCAGCTTATGCAGAAACTGGTGTTGTCTTATTTTTTGACGGAATTCCTTTTTTTATTAACAATCACTTGGATTGGTCGCAAAAGCCGCTTATTGGCAAACAAGAAATATAGCGACAATAGGTACAAAACTAAACAAATTTCACTTTGTAGAATGAGTTTCCTTCTATTATTCCAAGACCTGCTTTTTAAAATGAATCCACTTTGTCATCCTCTTAAATACCTCATCAAGACTCTTGTCTCCATAGAAATTATTCAATAACGATATGAACGAAACGACTAGTATCGCTAGAGAAATGACACGTATTGCCCATAGTAGCAGAACACCTTTTCTGCTTCTGCTTTCCTGTCGAGCGGGGACCATCGATATGCCGATCAAAAAGCCTGCGAACAATCCGCCCGTGTTTGAAAAGCTATCAACTCTGCGGGAACTATTAGCCAAAAGATCAAGTACTACCATGGGCATCATACTACTGCAGCAGTAGTGTAGTAGTAGTAGTAGCAGTAGCAGTCCTCTTTTTTAAAACAATGATGAAATTTTGTTCTTATGTATTGCGAACTATTACCCTGGTAAGATTCCAAGAATACAAAACCCGAGGGCTACGTATAGATATAAAAAGACTTGCGTTAGAAGACGGTTACACATCTTCGAAACCAGAAAACTGTTATTGGTGATCTACTTGCTTGTAAAGACAATGAGCTTGATTAGATGCTTGAAAGGTTGTTTAGCAATGCGCCATCGTAATGCCAGGTCGATAAAGAAGCATCCCATCAATCCAAGCACAGCTGCACCACACCCCAAACTTGCTAAGAGCGTAGATTTTTGAAAATGAGGATATGATTAAAGCACTTTTATGCTATGCGCCTTAACACAAACTTACGTGTAGTGGGAGGAGCAAAGTTTGCACCAAAAACATTGCCGAATATGCCTGAAGTAACGTATGCGACTAACGTACTACTGTTCAATGCTCTTGTCCTTGCCAAGTGAACGTCCGTCTTTTATACGGCCCCCTCCTTGTTTTGTTTTTACTTACCTCCAAAGCGCCACCCACTCATAAGACGCTCCAGTTTAAATCCCAAGAGTACTAAGGTTATCATGTTGATGGCCCAATGCAGTAGACCACTATGCACAAACAGCGGAGTCAGGAACCGAAACGCTTGATCAGGGGTCTTTGAGTTGGCAAACCCTCCAAATCCACATATATCTTCGAGACTACATATGGTTGGCTCGATCATAAAAGCACCCGTATTATTTGTGCCGTTTGATGCTTCATTCGCAGGATCAAAAAGAGAAAGAGATGTTGAAGCCTGGATTGCTTCTGCTGTCGTTGCATTGATGCAAACATAATTTTGAGTTGGTGGCATATGTGTGGTGTTACGCATGCATGGTGGAAATCTGGCACCGGTTTGTATGAGAATCTTTTTTGGTTGGGAAGAAAACATAGTGAGATTTTTATAATTCATAGATTATTTTCTACATGAAAAGTTAATGAATCATAATCCAACCTGTATTGATGGCCCAAGCATATAATTGAACGGCTTTAACTCAAGAAACTCGCCTACATGTTGACGTTTATATCATATATAAGTTTTGCTAATATTAAGTATAGTATATATAACTTTTTTGAAAGAAAAGCATCTCAATCTCTTTACTTACCAGCAGTCTCTTTACTGAGTAAAAGTTCTCCTGACATAACAAAGAACATCATGATGATGATAATCCATATAAACACTGGCGGCCAATCTGATGCACCAAAAGGAGTCACACCACTCGAAAACAATGTGATCCATTCACGTAACCGAGATGAGGACCCCTTTTTGTTATCGCCGATCTCGTTTTCATTATACCGGTCTTGATACGACAGTTTGGCATGGTGATGTTGGTGGTTGTCAAACAATATCGCTTTCTGCTTTTCTGTGTCAGCATAATCGAAACTGCTGGAAATAGGATGTTTTTCTGGTGAGGCAAAAGAAAGTTGTGGTGACAACGATGGTGGCCTTGTTGTGAAATCTAGAATGACCGATTGGGATTCCTGGATATCGTCGGCGCAAGCAGTGCTGTTTCTACTACTTGCTATGCTATGGCTGTTGTTGCTGTTTTTGCGATTCGCTTCTCCCTCTGGACGAAAAGATGTTGTTAGCACTGGAGTCCCGCTATCACTGGCGTTCTTTGAGCAGCCAACCGTCGTTGCTTCGCTGCCGGTAGAAGAGCTTCTTTGGTGCGGCATAGTATATATTGCTGTGATTGGTATCGTTGTTGGTACTGTGATAGCTATTGTTCACAAAGTTGATATATTGTTGTACAGCAGTATCAAAATTAAAAGAAACCGTGTAAAACCAGAAAAAGATACGCCAACTTTAAAAATTCGATTAAATAAGGACGTAATACGGGTTTTGTTAATATACTATTTATATATGCATTAGCATAATCCAACGAAGCAAGGATATCGGTAAAAGCTTATAGCAAGCTATTTCATCAATGTCATCATTTGTTATTCAGTTTCACATTTGTGTGCATGAACATACACATGCACAAAACAATAAGCCCAAGGTTGACCTACTTACTAACATTATGCAAAGAGCATACTATTTACCGGGAACATGGGTTGTTGCATTGACAGGTTATTGTCTTGTGTCTCTGCGGGGACAGATGCAGATTAAGCATGACAGTTCAAATCTACTGAGCGGAACATTTCGGGCTACAGCTTGCCGAGAGATATAGCTGGTCATATCTTAAATAGGAGTTGTGCATAAATTTTATCAAGCAAGAGAAACTCTACACTCATCACTACCGGCAAGAAATGGGTTGATGTTGAGGTACTGTATAGGGCTAAATAGTGATAAAAGCAACAACAACAACGAATAATATTTTTAAGTACAGTTCTGACCACATATACCCTATGTACATATGTGGTAGTATATGTGCTCCATGTCACGATGATATGGATAGTAAGTGTCATAGTACATATACAATCCTTTTTTCATTCTTTTCCTCAATCTTCTATATACTGTATTTTATCTTTCTTGGACCCTGTTCCATGACTGAGAGAGAAAGAATATACACAACGATCATGTCAATCCCTACACATTTTATTGCTGATCCCTTTTCTTTTTCCAACAGAAACGTATCAGTTTTGGGTCACATACAGTATATCTAATGCATAGAAATTTATCTAGCATGACGCTTAACGCGTAGGCGAGTGCGTGGCAACATTCTTTTTATAGCACAGTCCGTTGGGCATCTTTATATTATCCACGTTTTATGTTGTGTCAGAAGTTACGTGATCAAGCAACCATGGTCCCCATGGCACTCGTTGCCATGGCAACAAGCGTGAACTCCCACTCACAGATGCACACGACCTTTCTAGTAGGGCGTTAAATATACGTCCCTACCTTTAAAAGCATCGGTGCGGCTGTTCTCAAGAATAGACCCTGCTCTTTTTTTTATGTGTGTTTTAATGGAATCGATCCTTGTTCGCTTACAGAAAATGTGTATAGAGCAGAAGGAGCGTTTGGAGGTGGCTGATGAACAAGCTACACAGTAGCGCTTTGAGCATATAGGCGAAGTGTTAATGAGTTAGGGCATGGCAAAGCATCCCCTAACTCGTTTCGCATTGTGTGTATATATTGGTAGGATGCGTGGATGAGAAAAATTGATCACATCTGTACAAGAACTTGCAAAAGATCCGGAAGCTTCTAACGCAGCATCTAACGCAGAGTATGGTGCCTACTGGCTTGGATAGTATGTTTTGTGAGTGATAAAGCATCTGCATTTCGGAGAGAGGAAGCTTTAAATTATGGGCTCGGAACATTGAAAGGAAGAAGGTCAGGCAGACATCTGCAGAGCTTCTTTTGGTGCTAGCTTGCTAATATTGCGCATCTGGGTGGCTCAGTTTATGAACCTCTTGTAAAACCCGAATCTAAGCATGCTAGGTGGATACTCATTTGTCTTTGGGATATACTGTATCAATGGTCGAACTCGGGAGGCAGTTCAAGAAACAATACGATGGGCTGTATTTCTTGCGGGAGTGTTATACAAAGCCGAAAGTGTCTATAGCAGCTGCCAATACAGCGAGCTGAGCAGCGTTACCGTCCTAACTAGAATCAAGTTTCTCTGTATATTTCGAGTATTGTTGAACTTTGTCTACTCAAGTCGAAGAGAGCTCCGTCACAATATGTTATGCTTTGCCCTTATCAAACAGGTCCAGGGACGTGAAAATAAGTGTCAATCGTACTGAATGCCGGTGAGACTCAGATTCAATCAAGTTCCCTATCATGTATTCGAAACAGTTATATGCTAGAAGCCCCAGATTAAAATTATAAGTTTTTGCGAGATAAGGATAGATACTGTCGGAGGCTTGAGCTATCATACCGGAGGTAAGATCTGCAAGAGTAACGAGTGACGTTTGTGGATTGCGTGTAGCTCTCAGGGTGACAATTTGGGCGCTAGTGTCTAGAGACGGTGCTTTTGGGAATCTGTTTAGCAAGTATAGAATGGGGCCTATGATGTTGGATGATATACGGGAAAGTCTATATATTCATATACACAGGATGACCGCTTTGGAGTGTATTACCCCGGCAGTTTATGCGTACATCTCCCCCCTTACGACGACCAAATCAATCGTGGCGTATTGCCTACGCATGTCGTTGCCTGGTTAATATCAGGATTGTCGGCAGTGGATACCCTCCTGTCAACCTGCAACCAACGGATATTCTGAATTCATTTGATTCCCAGCTGTATGATCGGTTTTTTGCTCTTATTAACTTCTCTCTCGGCACACGACGATCAATAATGCTTGGTCTGTCGACTCTTCCTGCAAAGCTAACAACTGCTCGCTGGTTGAAACAGTCGAAATTGATTATGACGACAATATTTGTACCTTATGTACTTTACTGTACTCTTTGGCTAATACTCTGCAGTAGTGCGCCCTTTCTCTTGGATTGCGATCGCAAAGCCAATAAGGGTAATTTTCCGGCTGAATATCATTGATGCGTTGTATCTTTTGGTACTACTGCCGGATAAAAGCAGGATTTGAATCAAGCTATGACAAGCTGTATGACGTGCATGTACACATGGTCTTGAATTTGACACTGCAGTCAACAGGAAATTGGCTCATGATGGATGGCCGGCAATATCAGCATTACATAAGCATATAGAATATGATAACCAGCTATTACCTTTTACTACGATATACCACTGCTTAATGATGCATAATCTGAACCATAAAGTTCGATATTTGTGCTTAATGGTCTGCATGTTTGGAATGCCTACATAGTTGCCACATCATTATATATATAGTATCCAACAGAAAAGCACAAGTTTAAGTTAACATGCGATTAAATTACGGGGAGGCTGCAGGTACTCTATGCACCAAGCAAGTCTTTTAAGACCTTACTGAAGGGCTTTTATTAAACATGATACCAAAATCGTTGTCCAACTTCATCGGGAAGCTCTTGAGCAAGAGAGCGTGTATTGATATAGTACACGGTAGAACTTCATAGATTTATCTGGCAAAGCTTCTACTCGAAGTCACTTACTTTGTAATGATGAGCACTTGTAAGACTGAAAAACTGCAAAGACCATGTGCAAAGTCAGGAAACCGTAGATATAGATAACTTCGCAAAATGTAACAATCTCGTTAATTGCAGAAGCAGCGTTTACTTAAGATCTGAGATTGCAAATATAAATCTCGCGTACTACGCGCTTAAAAAAGAACAGCCATTGTTCGTTTTTGCAATCGTGCAACTCGATTGAAATACCTTTCAAAACAGCTGTAGCATCATTGTAGTACTTGGCTGCTAATGACAAGCGAGCGTAAATTCCAGTGCGAGACGGTCTGTGCTTCACGGAACACTCCTTTTTTTTAAATGTAGTGGAGCTGACATTCAGGAAGACAAAGTCCAACGACAAGCGCTACAACTTTGTTAATTAGACGGCAGCCTTGAAGATCCTGCCATTACTGCAGCCTTCGAATTTCTTTCAAACTACTATACGCAATCAATCAAACTTCAACGACACTTTTTGTGTTTATTTATTTTTATCATTTTCTTATTTATTTTTGTAGTGGTGCACCTTGTTGGTCAAGGAAACACACACAATCAGATAGTTTAGACGTCAACAACACTTTTTGTGTTATTGATTTTGTCTTTTGGTGGGGCACACCAATGTGCTTTTTGTCATTTTCCTATGGGGCCCCGTAGGGAAAAGTATACACCGATGCCCCCAAACATCTGTTGGTGCTACTGCATAAAGAAATCCTTCTTGCTCTGAAAAATGGACCTGTATTTATACTTTTTCAAAAAACCAAAAAAAGTCACACGCTAGTGGATCAGCAGGTCAAGACTGGTTTTCAAGCGCAGTCGCCCCATCACGTGATTAACTTTGTAGAGCCCTTCTGCTTCTCCTTTGTTCTTTGCTGTGCCAAAGCAAAAGTAAAAGAAGTATCGTTGGATTGACACTATGGAAACACACACGGTCGCTGTCATGCCGCTGTAGTATATAGTGTCTCACCTTGTGCACCATCTCCGCTTCTTCTTATATGGGAACCCCGAGTCCGGTTTTCAGGTACATACCAAACGCTCGCCCTGGTTTCCTTGTACTGTACTTGATTGAAAAAGGCAAGGTAGCTGCTATACACCCAAGCAGTGTAGCGATGATACTAAGCAGGCACCGTAATACACCGTTACCAACTCGTATTGGAAGGACGACAAGTTGCAAAACATAAACAATCCAGCGCCCATTTCATCGTCGGGCATTGGGGTGCTTTCCATTTTCGGTGGTTATGATACAGTAAAAGCAGGGCAGGAAAACCAGTCTCTTTATGAGCTACTCTATGCACTCAACTCGAACAACCTGATTAAAGTACCAACCTCACACCGATTAAGTTCTAACAAGTCCTCCAATCTGAAGACCGAATTTACGAGATGGATCGACGGCGACGAAAAGCACACGATTGCCCTACTTCCCAAAGCAGACGGAACGTATGAACGGCCCACCGACATTGGCTGGCAACTTTACCAGCAGAATCAGAAGAAAGTTGACGGTAGATTCAGCATTGCCAAAATCTGCCTCGGTGCTATACAATGCGTAAAGGACTGTTGCCAGAAAAAGGACGTTCAGGTCAGACATGCCAGCACCAAGTCGCTCCAGGAAAAGCAGAAGTGTGTTGATTGCGAAGGAGAAAGGCAACACATTGCCCGCGACTTCCAGGTGAACTTTTAAGTTCAATTGTTGAATGGGTACTGTCCGGTACTATGACACGCATTCACATAGGCAATATGAAGCAGCTCATATAACAAGCAATCAGTCGCCAAACTTACCGAAAGGGTTTGACATTGCCTTATGGAATAACCTATGGCCCTTGTTGTCGGTAGCAGCTCTCATATACCAATGAACCCACCACAACCTGTGCGCGAGATCGACGTCGATTTACAGCACACTGGTAAAGTGGCGTATCACCGTCGTAGCATACTTACTGCCAACGGCTTCAACGCAAAGGGCGCACCCAACATTGAAACGGTAGCTACTCCAGTTCGACAGCTTAATATCGATTTTCGCGGTTTTGTACGGTCACCGCTGGATATCCATCCCGGTACGTTATACTTCTCCTTTTCACTCAACAGCGTATTGACGGAACCCTCCAGCCGATTATTACGGATGTCACATTTACTCTTGCTTTAGTGACGGTTGCTACTTGTGCAATTCTGTCATTTTCCACGAAAAACTGCAAAGATATGTCCCAAGGGGTTTGGGTACGGAAAGTTCACCACGTCTCTAAAAACGGGTATAGGCTGCGGTGGATCCGACTTTGTTTCAAGGCCATCAATGTAACCATGATAGTTGACCTCTCCGATCTTCCCGTGGCCAGTCGTCGTACGATTCAACTTCATGTCGTGCATCATGATGATCTCGCCATCCTTTGTCAGTCGAATATCTATCATGAGCGAAAATGTTTTGTTTAGATTCCGGGGAAAACGCCGTCAAAGGAATTGAATGGCGTAAGGAGTGCGATTATACGACTACATACGACATAAATTTATACTCTTAGTATCTTTTGTTGAAAGGAGACTTGCCAAATCCTGAAATCCGTCATCGACGACGACGCGGGGCAGCTTTAAATCGAAATTTAAACATGGCCGTTTGAATGGTGAGGGATGATATACAAACCCCTACGCAAGGGTTTCTTGAACTATATACAGATATGTTCGCACAGTCACCCTGAGTTCTGTGCGCACGGTTTGTCTGTCCATGCGAAGATCTGGTTACACAAAAATGAGCAGCACCCGGTATATAGGAAGCACTCCACCCTAACCTTTTTTCCCGATTATACGGGCTCTTTTTTTTTTTAGTTGTGGATTCCTCATTGTACCGCAAGGAAGCGACCAATTACACAAGGTCACTAAGTCTTCCTTAAGAAATACATTTTGAACTATATAGGAAGCACCATGTGCCTGCATGTTAATGCAGATTTAGATGATGCTCGCCGCTCCACCCCGGATACTGGTACTGGAAAATCACATATGCCACAAGAACAATCCGGCACCTCGTTCCCTCGTGTACTGTGTGGAGACACAAGGTTATTTTTAGGAGCTTGAATATACTAGTTATACAGCCTTGTCGCGTAATTCTAGGCTGAAGTGGAAGCATTCAACATATTTTTGTCAAATGATTTACAAACGTCACGGCGATAAAAAAAAAATTAGGCACGCCAAAATACACAAAGTCATCTCGTTGATCAGCGTAAGGACAATGTTCGTCGAGAATCGACCTAGTAGTATGGTATTGTCGGACACTTCCTCACCTACTTGATTTCGCCTGATGGTTGACTGTTTGTCGTATATATTAAATTAGCACAAAAGGAAAGTTACAAGCTATAAACCTCACCCTTGTACCCTCCATCATGAATCTTGATATCATATGCAACGTAGCACTTGTTAGAGCATAAAGTAGGGTTTATATGAAAGCCATATGAAAGCCATGAGAAATGCGATGTCCACTGCTGACTTTTTTATTACACACTACACGAGCAAATGGAAGATCCATTTCTTTATGTGAGCCTCGTGCGAGGCAATGAAAGTCCGCTAAAAGGCCCCTATTATACTCCCCCTCTCCCACCATCCTCCTCTTCCGATGATGATCCACAACAGTAGAGCCTCCCTCACCAGAAAAAAGGATTAAGCGGATCGTTGGTGCTAGATCCTCCAACTTTGACTCCTTTTAATGAGTTGTCTCCTAATTTACAAATCTATCTGAAAAATTAGAGATATAAAGGCAAGTGTTCAGCATTTAAATATCGTCTGTATGATACTCACACAGGCGTCTGGTAATTCAAACGCAGAGAAAAATCCTCAGCACCGATTGATGGGTTGAGCAGTACAAAGCTGTCATTTACTTAAAGAAACCCTCTCCGTCCGCGCCCCACCCCCCCCCCCCTCTTTTTTTTTTACTTTCTGTTATAAAGTAACACTGTAACCAGACCCCATTTCAGTTCTTTTTTGTTTCCCCATATTCCAAAGCCAACTAATTAGTTATAAACTTGCCTTAAATCCTCATAAAGAGAAAAATGAAAGAAGGACAAAGTACGATTGTCGTTACCACAACATACACACTGTCTTGGTGTTTTTTATCGCATGATCAAAACTTCTATGTATACAACATGCACACACATGGAAATACAGTATGCTAGTGCATGTCGTACTTACGATGTCGGAGCAAATGTTGTGTAGTGCCGGCCAAGGCCAAGGTCACCCCAGATTCGTGCACCGAAACTAGAAATACTGCGTTGAAAAGACACTTGCGAGAAAACGAACCCTTTTATCTCTTTCTCATCATTTCTCCACTCATTTACATGGCTTTTGCAAACAACAGAAAGACAAACGACCTCTTATCTGCAGCCCCTGTCACCGCTGCTGCCGGTCTGGTCGCGTATGGCATCTACACCGCCTACCGCTCTCATCAGCAGAAAAAGGCTGTTGAGATGGGCTACAAAGAAATCCCCACTCCCAAAGGCGCTGTTCCCTATCTTGGTAGGTTTTCTTTTACTCCTTTTTTTTTTCTTTTGCACACATGGCAAAACATCGCAACCGATTTTCATATAACGGTTTGTTACTGCTGGAAACCCCCCCTGTTTTTGGGATACACATATGCTTCGAGCATAATGTCATCACAGCAACATGGCAAGCTCCACCACCACCACCACCACCACCACCATTAGCAGAAAACAAAAACAGAAAACTCGATCCATTGACCATTCTACCTCAAATAAAAAATATAGGCCACTTGCCTATGCTTGCCGAACTTCCCGCTCTCAAAATTACCGAATGGCAAAAAGAGCTAGGTAAGCATAATTAACACATTTACCTTGTGTATGTGTGAAACATCCAAAATGTGTATAACACAACAAACCCTTTTCATAGGCCCAATTGTCCGCGTTCACATGGGTCAAAAACCTTGGATTGTTATCAGTGACCCTCATCTTGCCCACGAAAGTAAGTATGTAAACGCACGCTCTTCTTTGATCAACGATTGTTTAACGATTGTTTATCGTTAGTTTTCAGCAGTAACGGAGCTGTTACCTCTGGCAGACCTTTCCAAAACTATGCTGCCAAGATTCACGCGATTAATCAAAGGTACGTTACACAAATCAATCCTTCTAAGAATCAAGAACGAGGTTCGACTCATGTTCTGTGTGACACATCTAGAGGCATCGCTTTCCCTAATCCAGACAAACGCTGGAAAAAGACACGGACTGCAGGTACACATTTCTCTTACTAAACTATTTAGCAGTCATGTTCCACCAAGTCTACGTGTGGATGATTATATCTTCCAGGGGTGTGTGTGGGAACCGTTCAATGACTAACACGGTATATATATCAACAAACGACATTGCCTCCGATAGCTCTCGATGTGCTGGCACCCAAAAACATAAACAAGTTCGGTCCTATTCTCGAACGCGAAGCCGATTTCATCGTCGAGCATTTGCTCAAGACGACGGAGGAAAAGGGGAGCATTGACGTTGTCAAGCCACTTCAATTCGCCACAATGAACTTTTTGTTCGTGACGTGCTTGGGTATGCGTGCTACGCACGTTAAAGATCCTTTGTTTGTCGACGTTGTCAGCGTGATTGATCGCAACATGAAAATGTGTGGTGTTGCCGAAGACACTGCTTGGTTCTTGCCGATCCTCTCCGTCTTGGACTTTGTTCTTCGCAAGGAGGCTAAACAAAAAGCTTTCATCAAGGAGAAGCGCGATCCATTGTTCCGTCGGTTGATCAAGGAGGCGTTGGAGAGCGATAGGGATAGTTTGGTCAAGTCGCTTTACGCGCTCAAGGACGAAACCAACTTGCTTGATGACGACGGTATCATGGTCACAATCAGTAAGTACCCTTTTTTTTTTCTTCTGTGTGAAGAGGGTCGCGTATTGATGCTAGTGCATAAATCTGCAATTTTGCATAATAGACGAATTGATTGGTGCCGGTGCCGATACAACCTCCGGCACGCTTGCTTGGACTTTTGCTATCTTGACCCATCACCCCGAAGTCCAAGCAGAAATTGTTCGCGAGCTCGACGCATTTATTTCTGTTCACAAGCGCGTTCCAAAGTTCAGTGAACGCGAGGAACTGCCTTATTTGATTTCAGTGCAGAAGGAATGCATGCGATACCGACCTCCTACTCACTTTGGTTTGATGCATGAAGCCACGGACGACTGTAAGTTGTGCGCAACTCTTGATGAAACAAGAAATGGATCGTCTATTTCCATAGGCTAATGTACAGGGTATACCATAGTGGAGTGCCGTGGCTATTTCATCCCAAAGGGTACTGTTCTCGTTTCGAACATGTACGCCACCCACAAGAATGAGCAAGTATTCCCTGAGGCGGAGAAGTTTATACCCACTCGTTTCCTCAGCAACCTCAAGACCATGTCTGCTGCTGCAAACTCCAGTATTGAAACCCGTGATCATTACAACTTTGGCTGGGGTCGTCGAATCTGCCCAGGCATTCACCTGGTAGGATTATTTTTTTTCTTCTTTTGTAGTAGTACTTTACAGACATACATCCACATGCGCTGTGTATTCACCGACTTGAGTCAATTTTTTTATAGGCCGAAGTGGAAATGTACAACATTCTCGTTCGCGTTTTTGCATATGCAACCGTCGAAGCACCTTTGAACGACAAGGGTGAGCCTGTACTCCCTGATCTGGATCATTGGGAGGATGCCGGTCTTACAATGCCACCCCATGATACCACTCATCGATTTGTCAAGCGTAGCACATCACTCCTCTAATTTCTTACCCACCCCACCATCTGCTTATATGCACACCCACAGCGTCCTTTAGTACGTCAGATTCACACCATGCTACATTAGATAATCAATCACAAATAATAACTTTTTTGCAAAAAATAGCAGAGCTATTAGTATATATATATATATATATATCCTTTTCATTATTTACCAATTTGCGCAAGTGGAGAGGGGGGGCTGTGAAGTGATGTTTTGCTAGTAGTGACTTGTATCTTTTACAACAACAACAAAATGGGTATGCCAGGTTATTTGTGTGTGCTTGCTTTGATGATGATTAACAGTTACGCATGGTTGGCTCAATGTAAGGGATACCAAGAGCCTCGAAAGCGTCTTCTTCCGTCTTTATCATCAATGGTTTTTGAGTTTTTGCATCAAAGATCCGATGGCCGCTTACAGTAAAGTATTTTTCCTATATTGATAGTGTTATTTCATACCTCTGATAATTCAAACCAAGTACACGCTATGACTACTACGCTTTAATACCTTTTTCGCATAGAGTCGCAGGTCGCGTTCAAAATGACGGGATCCCGTCCACGCCAAAACAGCCGCACCGTATTCATCAGGCGTCGCCACAACCAGATCCACTTGGCGAAGCATCTGTTTCGATGGCTGCAAAAATGCGCAGAAGCACTATTTGAAAAGGTGGATATCTTATTTTTTTTAAAAGACTGTTTCTCGTGTATCGTAAGTGGCAAAAGCATATTTCAATATATCTACCGTATCCAGGCCTGCCAAGTCGGCACCTCTAGTAGTCAGGAGCCTACCATGATACTTTGTAAACTTGTCAGAAACAAGCAGACGATGCTTGAGATAACCTATGCCACGAACAAAAAAAAAAAAAACAGGTCAAGATGTGTGTATGAGCTTCATAATCAAAAGTTGATTCCCTCTGTTTGGGTAGGATTGTTTTTCAACCTCTTTCCTCCAAATATTCCATAATGTTTCTCAAAAATGATTTATCTTGATGCTTGGTTGGGTCCGTCCATGAAATAACAATATCAAGATCATTGCACTGCTTTGTCCCACGTCTATATCAAACTATGCGATCAGGATATCATGGCGTCTACATATTCAATAAGCAGGTCGACATACCTGTAGCCACCCACAGGCGTCGCCAACGCGCCTTCATCCAAATCAGTGATAGCCAATATAATGATCTCAATAAGTTCTTCCACATCTTGACGATTCATGCTACATATGCGTAAATATATTGAAAAAAAGAGCAACTTCTCAGTCAATACCATGACACCTTATAAGGTACATATCAGTGCAACGAAATTAATAAAAAAAGAAGCTTACGGCTGCTCAAACTCAGGAAGAAGCTGGATACCAAGTTTGATGGATTCGTTGGGTCTGCCCCTGTCAAGAACGTCTTGAAATGTGCGATAACCGTTATCCCACCACCGATTTGCAGTAGATGGACCAACGTCTATCATTAACGTATCAGCCTATTTTAATCGAAAGCAGCACTTTTAAAAAAACTCTTACGAAAGGCTTTGCAAAAATGTTTCAGTGTTCTGAACTTTTCATCGGATAGCAAGTCCTCAGCCTCTGGTATCGTGCCCGTCTCGAGATAGATGGCAATTAGCTGCCCAACTTTGGGGCCAATACCTATGTTTTATATAGTTTTAGGAATTCGTAGACATATTGCATTATTCTGACTTGCTTTGCAAAAACTTTACCGGGAATCCTCATGGCTTCTGCAGCAGACTCTAGGCTTTTTGGATATGCCTATACTACAAGTCAGCAACAGCAGTTGTGGGTAATACCACAAACCAAACAAAGATTACCTTTATAGCACATGCTGCACGGCGATACGCCAAAGCCCGTGTATCGACCAAATCAATCAAACGTCGCTTGTCTTCCAACAGCAACAAGAGAAACACCAGTCTGCGATTGTGGAATGGCTCGAGTGGTGTATTCCGTAAACACGCATACTTTGTGTATACATATTTTTGTTCACGTTGGTTTGCGACTGCAGTTGTTGACACTTGTTTTTCGAAACCTTGGACAATGTTTACATGGTCAGTTGATAATGAGCTAACTTTTATCTGCTCGTACCTTCATTGTAAGCCATATTTACCAGGCTTTTCGGAAGAGTCGCTACCATATTATAGACATGATAATTAAGTGTCTACCCAAGCTCGACAACACAAAAACCGATATGAATACTTACTGGTCAGTTGTAACCGTATGCTCATCGTCACTCTCGTCCCTGTCATCTGGCGGCAGTGCATCCGGTGGCATATTGGCATATCGCCTGTGAAGCAACTCTTTGACGATATCAAATGGCTCCTCATCTTCTGAGCCACTTTCAGGTGGACTGGCTAGCGTACATGGATGGCTAGAGCTCCTGCTGGGGCTTCTTTCGCTGCTTTGACTGCTTTGACCATTGTTGCTTTCCACAGGTTGCGGTATACTGATTATGTGCTTGTCCAATGGCATTTTCTCTTGGCGTTGAGCGCTGATATAAAAGTATATCAACCAACAATGTCATCAGTATGGCGTACCCACAAGTATCCATGTTTTGGTTACATGATTGTTATAAACTATATACCATTCTTTGAGCCAGTCGATGCTGACAACAGAAGCCTACCGGGAATATACATATACACGGAAAGCAAGTCTAATAAGTGCTCACGCTACTGCAAACCTTCGTTCCCTCTATGATTGCACTTTTATGTCGTATATACCTGGTGGTTTTTTAGATGTCTGCAGATACGCTTCGATGATTTCAGGTTAGTGAGGATAATGTCAGCTTGATCCTGGTCATCACAATATCGAGCGCCTATAACCAATACCTTTTGTTATTGCCATGGATGGCTACATAGGATAAGAGTTTCTGTAATAGCAGCATATATACCTAATCTCTCAGCTGCGTGTTTTAGCCGGTCGAGCTTATATGGCTCAATCTTTCCGGATATAAGCGAAACCTTTAGACCAGATAACGGGCGGCTACTCGTTGTAGACATTGTGTGTACATACGTAATCCAACAAAATGAGAAAGGAAGGAAAAGGAGAAAGAGAGACAAGAAAAACTGGATTCATGCAGCAGATGATGTAAGGTAAAGCTTGATTGGATCGCGAGGACGGGATATTATGGATACACACAACACATTTTTTTTTATTTCGATGGTAGACGAGTATATTTTTTGAAAAGACTTTTTTTTATGGGGTTTGGGAACGGAGATGACTGACTGTATTTATATGTATAAGAGAGAGAGAGAGAGAGGGAGACAAAGATATAACGTCAGAGAGAGAAAGAGAGAGAAAGAGAGAGAAAGAGAAAGAGAAAGATAGAACGGGAAATGCCCAGTTACTCTTCCTCAACCAAAAGGTCGTCGTCCTGATTCATGACACCTCGCAAGCGGCGCTCCTTCTCGTTCTCCAGCTGCCCATACAAGAGGTACAAGGCGCGTTCATTGGACTCTTGCGTCCCTTCGATTGAAAACAGACGCTCTCCAGACTCGTCGTGAGGCATCTTGGCAATCGAGATCCGGGAGCCAGACAGCCGGCGAATTTCCGAAATCTTAGCCCCGCCCTTGCCTAAATATGACCTTTTCACGGTGAGTCTCGCAATAGAAGCAGATGGATAAAGAAAAAAAAAGAGCATAGAACGTTACCAATGATACATCCCACCATGTCGCTTGGGATCGAGATGTTTTGCGTGCGGATGTTGGGGTTGTTCAAGAAGGACTGCGAGGTGCGGCGAGCCTGCGCGTTGGGTGATCCCGAGGAGGTAGCGAAATCCGAGCCGTTTCCGGTTCGGGTGATGGATGAGCTGCGACGATGATGGCTAGGCGCTGATGCAGAAGAAGACGTTGCTGTTGCTGATGCTGCTGGGTTACCGGTCGTCGTTGATACGTTGACCTTGGAAGGATTGTAGAGGATCGTACCATAAGCGCGCTCCTTATCCTCTAGCAGACACTGGCCGATTTCCTGGACAGCGAGCTGCAGGGCAGATACTGTGCCGCGCACTTCGACGACACGCTCGGTGCTCTGTGGCAAGAGCGACTTGGAGGCGGTCATGCGCACGCCCGACGTGTCCTGAATGTGCTTGATTTTGGCACCCTGGCGCCCGATCACCGTGCCCATCAAGTTGTGCGAAATCAATAAGCGCAGCGTTACACTGTCTTCGCGTCCTCCGCTCGTCGTCGTCGTGCCTGCTCCCGGTGATGTTGGTGGCGTCGTGTTACCCACCGGATTGTCGAGCAATGTTTGCGCAATGAACGAGTAGGCCTTGGCAACGCCTTCCAAAGAGCCAGTGACAGTCAACACTCGGTCATGGACTGCTTGCACCACTTTGGATACACCGGCCTTGACTTCAGTGGCGTCTCTGAGCTCAGCGACATTTTTACCACCTGCACACAAAAACAAAAGAGTTATCGTTTTCCATTGTAGGTTGTGAGTGTGTGTGAATACAAAAAAAGAAAATAAAGCTCTCTCTCTCTCTCTCTCTCTCTCTCTCTCTCTCTCTCTTACCTTTGCCAATAATAACACCAGCTTCCTTGGTGGAGACCAAGGCGCGCAACGTCAGTTGACCATCAACGTCTTCGTCTCCAGCTAAACCTTGGTCTTCGGACGCGTTACTATAGTTGCGAGTCTGTTCGACAGGTTGTCCTGGCAGCGATTCGCCTTGTGAGTTGCTTGTGTGAGTAGAGTTCGAAAGTTGAGACATGAGCAGAAAAGAGATAGAATGAAAAGAGCTGCAAAGTGAAAAAAGGAAAGTTAGAGAACTAATGTTGACACGATGCATTTTCTTTTCAGCCCCCACCATCACCCTACCCCTGGACTCATGGGCCCCCACTTACAATTAAAGTTTTCTTTTAAAGAAAAAAAAAAGAGAGAAGGCGCGGGATGGGGAAAAAGTCTTTAAGAAAAGAAAGAAAGGAAAAACGACAGAAGAAAGGTTAAGCTTGCGAGGTGTGTGTGTGTGTGTGTGTGGGAGGGAGGAGGGGAAAAAGGTTGCGCGGTTATATAGGTTGGGGATGAGGGAAGAGCGGGGCAGAAGGACAATGGTAAAAGTTCAGGACGACTCTTTCGATTTGTAATGTACAACAACAAGTGGTGAAAACGAAAAAGAAAAGAGGCAGAGTTCCCCCCTCTCCGCAGGCTGCTTGTCGCAGCAGCTTATAACACATCCTCCACCTGCCCTCTTTGCACTGAGCGGGCTTTATAAATAAGAAATTAGGTACACACACAGAGATGTATATATATATATTTACACAGACATTGTTTATTTGGAATCTACAGGTAACTTATATAGGATGATAACTATCGAACAAATTTGGTTTTTGATCCGGTTTTATCCTACATTAGACATGACCCCTTCCCGGTTAGCTGCTGCACGCAAAAAAAGAGGAACCAATTCAATGTAGCTAGCTTCATCTTCGTCCTTACCATGCAGGCTCTGCAGTGCACGAGCCATTTGCCATCCGCATCTTCTGACATCCTTGCACCCGAATCCATCTGTTTCGAGCACCCGGCACAACGCAAACACTTTTTATGCCATCGTGTTGCTTTGGGTCCGAGTGTGTCGTCCATAATCGCAATGCTTGTGTGACAGCGCGGGCACGTCTTGGACCCTCCGAGTTTTGGCAGCGCGCGTGTTCGATTCATCAGGACGCTAGAAGGATGGTCGAGCGATCGTTGGCTGGATAAAAGTGGTGTACTGGTGCTACTGCCCGAGGGTCTGTTTCTAGATAGCGGTCGTGATGCAGTCTGTGAGGAGGGTGGCCGTCTGTTGCTGATACATGCTTCACAATGAGGCTCGTTGTATGCTTCATAGAATGGCTGATCTGACGGTAAAACAACATGACATTGGTAGCAGCGGAAGCACTAAAAACAGTAGTATTAGCCTGAGTTTGCTCTCTTAGTACATTGCAAATCTATAAATGAGTCTAATTACCTGAGGATGATACGTTCTGGATCCATTTTCGTAGCATTTTTCTTTGATGGATTGCTTGCAAGCATAGCATTCGTAGTGGCGTCGTTGTTGCTGTTTTTCATCTTCGGATGTTCTTGAAGGAGCAGGTTGACACTAGAACAATAGTGCGAGCACATGTTAATGCTTACTCATCTTTCCCTTTTTGCATTGTTTTCTCGCTTCTTACCTTTGGATGATAGATTGCATGGCTTCCGTGGCGAACAAATTTAGAGTCTGTAAAGTGACCACGGCAACCAGCACACTTTAAGCAGTCATAATGATACCAAGCGTCATCACCGTCTAAAGATGGCAGCTTGATTTTAGAGCCGTGCAATAACGCCTCGCCACATCCTAAACATGTTCGCTTAGTTGAAGTGGTCGACATTCTTTTGTTTCCTCGTTCTTGCGACAGTGACTTGGACAGCTGCTGCTGAAGTTGTTGTGACAGACGGCGTGGACGCCCGTTGGTACTGGGGCTAGTGATAGTCATGACTGGTGAATCACCCCCGTTTGTGCTGCTGCTGCTGCTACTGCTACTACTCAATGGTGATGGCGAAGGACTGATGGATGCTGCTGACACAGGACTTGCTGACGGTGAAGAGCGAATCGATCCAGCAGGCGACATGGACGATGGCGTAAGTGGTGGCAACGGTGGAGAGGCAGAGGCATTACGCGCGACTTGCTGTTGCTCATCCTGCAACGATTTCTGATAGTGGTTGAACAAAACGGAATCGATCCGTGGACGGGAGGATGAAGCCGGCGGCGGGGTCCGTGGTAACCAGAAAGCCGCCGATCCCGCGGAACTGATGGTGTCGCGCAGAGGCGACGTTGCCAGTCCAGGTGTAGAAGCAGCTGTGGTATCACCCCCCGCACCCGATGAGGTCGTAGGGTAGGATAGCTTGGCATGTCGGGCTTCGCCAGACTGGGCTATCAAACATCGTTCACAGCAAGGTCTTGCTTCGAGATCGACCATCGGAGCGTCGCCAAGAGTGATAAAGCAGTTGTGGCAACGGAAGCAATCCTTGTGCCACACTTGTGTTTCATGCTCGACAAAAGTATCGCGTTGGTGGAAAACGGGATTTTTGCATTTGGCGCTAAAATGTGTGTGTGTGTGTGTGTGTGTTTTTTTGTTTCTGGGTCAGTCTATCTGGTACATGGTCAATTGAATGCAAAGAATCCTTACCAAGGGCCTTTGCTGAAGAGTGCTACGTGGCATTCTTTGCAGTAATACGAGCCAGATTCAAGGAATGATGGCATGTCGTATCGCAAGCGCTTGCTGCAATGTGCACAGCTGTTTTGAAGAGACAAGGACAGTGGATTCTGTTTCCGTGTGCTTCCACTCAGCAGAAGAGCGTCAGGAATGCTGTTGCGCTTTGGCGATGAACGTAGCGGGGTGCTGACTGTGCTTTGGACAGTCAATGGTTCTTGATGTTCCTTGGTATCGAATACCGTATGCGGGCTTCCTAGAATACCGCTGGCATACCTAAATAAATGAATGAAACACGCGATCAGCACGCTTTCCACAAGAACAATCCAGGCCGTATGAGAAGGAATAAAAAGACATTACTGGCTCTGCCACTTGTCTGCAATCTTGACACTGGCTTCCTTTCCAATCGTAGGCGAGTTCATGCCGCTACTCGCTATAATCGAGGCTAATGCAGTCGTTGATTAGAATACAATATCACAAGTGTTTATAGCATCATCATCATCATAATTATTGACTCACCCACTGGTCTGCCACCACATTTTCGGCATTTGCCCGACGACAGAATATCGCCACAACGGTTACAGCACATCATCTTTGCGAAAGTAAAAATTTAAAGGTCGACAAGCAAAAGTATATGTAGTACGTGAGTGAGTGAGTGTGGTGACAAGAAAGAGACACGAGTATAAGTAATGAAGAAGAAGAAGAAGAAGAAGAAGAAGGAGAGAGAAAAGGACACAAAATAAGTGAGAATATAAAATGCTCGTCCCTCTTTTTCAAATGCGTCAAAACGGTAGCCATCAACAATCACCTAAAATGGTATCAACCAAACCTGTCTCTTCTTTCCTATCATCATCAAGTGATCACCAACAGCAGCAGCAGCAGCAGCAGGAACACGCATAGACTCTACATGTTTATCTTTGTTTTTCCCCGACTACAGTAAAAGCATGCACATATTACGTTTATAATACTTTTAGCTTCTGTTCTTGTATAGTATATCGCTTAGTAGACTGATTCCGACCGTTGGGGGTGGGTAGTGACTTTGGAATAGTCCGTGTTGTAAAATAGAAACGCCATTGTTTTGATTTACCAAAAGCGTTAATTTTTTTCTATTCACCACAGTATACAAAGAGTTTACGTATGAGATCAACGAACAGCCGTTCCCTGCATGTCAGCTGCGCACAATGGGTGCACAACAGCCTCAACTCTATCGTGAAACCGCAGCAAGCAGCAGTAGCGCTGATAGTTGTAGTATGTAGTTAGCAGTTTGTTATCGAATACATAACGATTGTCGATTTAAATGGAATATGTCAATTCTTTCTATACAACAGCAAATTTCCCAGGGGCTATGTTACACCAAGCCGCAAGAATCATCGTCATCCCCATTACTCGCTATTACTGCTCCACGACATATTAATGAACTATAGAAAAGGTGTGTGTGTGTGTCTGTGTGTTGTTGTTGTCAGCTGGAACCGTTCTACTGTATAAATAACCACTACTGCACCCCGACCATGTCAAGTGTACGTTGTCATTATATGTCCGATAAGACAAAAAAAAACATTCGTGCATAGTAGGCTAATAAAATACCGTCAAACATGTGATGGTTGTTGCTGAGTAGTTGCCTTCTACGCAGCCCAAAAATATAGTCTGTTGATCTTGCAGTCAAGGGTTTCCTGGTTGAAAGGCAGATAGTTTGGGCACTGTGATCCCATCACGGTAATAAGTTCAAACAGACCAAGAGCTGCAAGAAGCTGCTGTTGTTGTTGTTGTTGTTTTGGATTGCAAAACCAAGATTGTCGCTTTATATGGCCAGAAACAAACAATTCATCTATTCCAAGAAACCAGTCAGCAGTTTTTTTTTTTTTTGGCCCGGCGACTATCCGCTACGTTCCAAGTGACAGCATGGTTTATCTGCTAGCATCGCGCATCAGCAACAAACCTCTATGACTGTATCCAAACTATCCTAATCCATCAACCACATTCGTTCCAGCAGCAGCAGTAAGTCGTCAGCATGCGTTGCGTAGAGTAAAAGAATTTCTTTTAGCGATTGAGCTAATGGCAAATATACAAAAGAATTTGTTCGATATCGTGTGTTGTGCGTGTATGAAAAATAGTGGGTAGTTGAAGATGGGTGGATGATGATGCTGATGCTGATGATGATTTAAAATGCGAAAAAAAGGGTGCTTTGTTTTGTTGTGATGTGCTGCTTAGAAAAAGTCGCCACCATCACCTAGAATAGCATGGACATAAAAATAGTTCACATATAAATAAACCTGAACCAAACCCCCCCCCCTTTGTCAGTCAGTATATCAAAGAACCCTTACCGTCATCGTCGTCAACGTCATCGCCTTCACCGTTATCAAAGTAGTTTTGCGCGTAATCGTTGTCATCGACAAGATCTTCTTCGTCTTCATAGTCGTCGCCATATTCTTCTTCTGGATTTTCACCTTCCTTCTTTTCACCTTCTTCATCATCATCATCCTTGCCATCGCCTGTGTCTTTGCCTTCCATTTCCATCAAAGCTTGCAACTGTGCAAAAGCATCGCCCGTGCCGTTGGCCATCTTACGTTCTAAAGAAAAGGGTATTTGGTTTATGTTGAAAACATCATGTCTAATTTGAATCCGCGCCCCTCCACTTTAACACATACTCTTTCTCTTGCTTGGATCCAAGATGCTTTGTAGTTCATCGGGAAAGAAATCCATATCTAATCAACCATAAAGAGTGAGTAATATTTCACAAAGCAGATACCTTGAAAGAAGAAACGAAACTATTACAAACCTGTTCTAATGTCACGTAGTGATTGCTTTACTTTTCGCTTTTTGTATTTATCAGAATATCTTTCAATGTCGGGTGGTGGAGGTGGCGGTACAAGATAAAACGGTGATGCTTGAATGAGCTGGATACACTCGTCTTTATGCTTCCACTGTGAGCCTTCTGCAGTGCTTGGTTTCCGAGCCATCGGTACGTCCATTTCCTAAAAACAACATATAGACCGCATTCAATGAGTCAAATTCAGGTTTTATCGTTTTTTTTTGGGTTTGGGACCCATCGATCGATCGAAAGGGAGAAATCATGTAGCTTAAAAACTTACAGGAAATAAGGCTGTTTGAACATTGAACAAGCTACCAGATCCCAGATCCTTGAGCAAATCAAAAGAAACAAGCTGCATGGCCCCGCTTTGGGGACCTCCACCTCCTCCTCGGAATCCACCACGACCTCCTCGTGACATTTATGTAGAGTTAGTGTGTATGGGATAATAAGTTGGAAGAAGTTATCTGGAAATCAAAAAAGGCGTGAGCGTTCATTGAAAAGGACAGTCCCTCCCAGCTGCGCCGATGTGGCTGCAATTTGCTTGTCATTAAGGCGCCACACCCCCCGCGCTTTTTCCCTTTGCATGTATGCATAGTAACAACAACCACAAACAGCATGTTCACGTTCACTCATGTAGTATACATACAATGGATGAGAAACGGTGAATGACATGGTTAATACCTTGTCTGGATACCTCATATTTCCTAAATGTCCTGGAATTTAAACGCACAACGACGGATGCTGATTGCCATATTTAACTACTTCCTGACACGTCATGGACAGACTTTTATGAAATGGCACCATCTTCACATTTGAACTCTCTGGCAGAACCATTTTTCCATAAGTCGGACGCCCGGGCGGCTTCGCCAATCCAAAAGATACATATTTATCGGACTTGAGAGTCCATGCTTCTTCGCTGTCAGCTAAACGGCAAATCGGTAGAAAGAAACCCCCCCCTCCCTTCCTCCTACCTCTCTCTCTCGTCTCCTGAAATAGGGATTATTATTTTTATTTGTAGTAGCTGAACTTTTGGCCTTTTTCTTTTTCCTTCCTTCTTCCTATTAGCCGTTTTCAACTCTTTCTCTCTCTCTCTCTCTTTTTCTGCTCGGTATTATCTCGATTAAAAGATGAACAAAGAAACTGCCTTTGCCAACCACGTTTTAGCTTCAATTCGGAAAGATTTGGATTTTCTGAAACAGCATCAATATTTGACGCAACAGCAATACGACGAAATCAAGCGTAATTTACCCGTCAATGCTCCTTTGGCGGGTGGACCAACAGCAGCCAATGCTGCCCGTGCCGTCGGCGGCGGCGGCGGTAGCCCTGGCTCGGCGCCATCGCCAAACAATGAAAAGGTCCTTTCTACCGCCGAAGCATTGTATCCGTTTGATGGTCCTAACCCACAGGACTTGAGCTTTAACCAAGGCGACATTATCAGGGTTCATGAAAAGGGTAAAAAAAAATGTTTACAATGCCCAGTTACTTTGTTTGTTTACTGACAACAAGTTCTTTGTTATTCTCTCTCTATAGTGAACAATGACTGGTGGCGAGGCTCGTGTAATGGCAAGACCGGCTTGTTTCCCAGCAACTATGTGACGGAAAAGCAAGCAGCAGTGTAAGTTAGTAATAAAATCTATAATTGACATGAATATAAGCTAATTAAGCTGCATTTTGTATGTAGTCATACTCCTCCCCCACCACCTCCACCTGCTACCAACACATCGATGCCAGGCACTCCAACAATGCAAGAAAAAGGTGCTCCTCCTCCATCGTACGGAGGCGCCGGTGGCTATCCACCCGCACCATCCTCTTACAACAACACTCCTCCCCCTTCGTATGGGGCTCCACCCACGGCTTACCCGGCTTACTCCTCAGCGCCACCACCTCCGCAATCCCAAAGCTATGCTGCTCCTCCTCCACAATCCCAAAGTTATGCTGCTCCTCCACAAGTTGTACAGCAACAAACATACAGCGCTCCACCGACACAAGAAGCACCCACTTCTTCTTCTTCTTCTTCTGGCCATGGTAGTGGTATGGGCGGAAAGCTAGGTGGCATTGCTACTTCCGTGGGCTCCAACGTTGCAAATGCTGCGCAGTGGGGTTTCGGTGCAACACGTAAGTTTCAAACTCTTTTCATTTTTACTTTCAAGTAGTGTTGTTGCGTGAATATCTATTCTAATACTCTTTGTTTACATTTACCCCCCCTCCTTTTCTCTCTTGTTCCAATGAAAACAAACAAAATAGTCGGTAGCGAAGCAGCTCACAGTCTTTTCAACTGATCATATTCCACCGTTTACATCTCGTCGTAATACATATGCAATAAACTCTAAATTACTAACTTACTTGTTTCCCTTCTCCCTGTTACACATATACAATGCAATCCAGGCGACATAGAAGCTGCGATCTTGCTAAGCAGCTGTCGGCATCGATATGTACAAACTTTGGCAAAAATGTTGGAAGGAGGCATTTTAAAATTAATGCGCCTTACTATCGCGAAATCTAGTGATCATCCTTTTGAGTTATTTTATCATCCCTGCTTAGGTATAATTGACGATTTTCATCTGCTCCTTTCTTGTATCTTTTTAGCGGCCTCCCTGGTCCTAACTACCCATGAGACAGTAATGCATCATACTCTCTAACCTTCAATATCTAGAAAACACTCGTATACTGTACCAAACATTGTTTATTTATACAAATGCTGGGGATTGTCGAAACAGAACAACGAAGCTTCTTAAACTCTTTGAGTTAATCACCATTCTTTATCAAGTACAGTTGATCGCCTTTAACTTCACACACGGTAATTTTTAACTCTGTCGCTATTTTCAAAGTTCTTGGGGCTAAAGTAGATTTCAACTGTATTCTCAAACAATTTACGAGTTTATGCTATGGAATTAACCAGGACCTAACCTATACATAAGGACTGTATCAAAGGATCAGGACATATGCCCGTCACTAACCATGTATCGACTACATCTTTGTCAAGATTACTAATAAGTCAAGCATGATATTATGGTAGCTGTTTCTGGATTGTCCTAGACTCTATAATGGTACGGACACCAAAAATGTAGAAAATGCAGTTATTTATCTAAATGCACCTTTCTTCTACAGCATTTATAGAGTTTATGCTTCTACTACTGCTGTTTCAATAGTATGCATTTCATAGCTTGGAATCACTAAAAGCTCTCTCAGAATCAATCCGAACATTAAAAACCGTCGCAGGACGATCTTTGTTGTCTCTTCATCCCTGCATCAAATTCAACCAGGCGTGTTGATGCATTGAAACAGTTGACTCTTACAATGAAGACATAAATGATCGCCTAGATATGACGTCCTCAAAACAGTCTTAACCTTTATTTGGTATATAAACAACTTGGAACACACAAGATGAGAGCAATTTATGTACTTTTGTTGTTGGGTGAGTGGGGGTGGGGATGGTGGAATAAGATAAATATGTATGTATGAGCTAAAAGCTTATAAAGTAAAACAAGTGAGGAGCAGCATTGTTGCGGAGCTTTTTTGTAACCTGATCGATGGTATAGTGGTATTACAACCTTCTATAACCACTAACTACTACTAACAAATTTAGAGTGTAAAAAGTTCGGAAGTTTATTCCTAGAAGCTGAATGATACTGTAATATACAAACACGATGCTACTATAAGTGCTGCATCAGGAGAAAAAGATTCAAGAGGTATCAACCACAGGAACAAAGATTATGGTTTGAGACATTCAAAGGTGCAGAAGGCTAAACGGTTTTTGGGCATTTGTATGTGGCACGCGACATCACGATCTGATTCAGATTTCCTCCCTGATGGTAAGTATTGGCAGTATAAACTCTACCGGATGAGCTAAGTTTAGCCATTGGTTTGTTCCACGTGCATATAGCTGTTATGCGCTTCCAAACCACGTTGTCAAACAATTCATCGTGTCAGTAAAAATATTGAATAAATGGTATCAACTATCCCGTTGTTGTGTTTGTGGCTGGCAAAAGAAAAACCATCTTCGATTGATTGGTTAAAATGAAAAAGGTACACTGATATGCCCGATCTTTACTTTCATAGTCATGTGAGCATAGTGATGACAGGCCATATGGTTCCTTTAGCTGCTCAGACCCAGATATGTTTTGGTTAAACGTGTGGCAGTAGCAGCTTCTTTTCATTAGAGGCCATGCAAGCTAATGCAGCAAGAAAAAAATGGCCACATGAAAAATTCCCATCGGTAGCATTCATAAGTGAGTCAACAGTGAATGCTATGAAGAGCTTCAGGGAAATGAGCGACGTTGCAGCAAGCAAAACTACGACCAAAGAAAAAACCGGATTTGTCAGCGGTGAACTTGTCATAATCATTTGATGCAGCAAGACTTTGACAAGCTTCACTTTTGGAGTGACACAAAGCAAAAATGTTAGGTATTCAAAGCAGCAGTAGTATCGCAGGAATTGCTTACAGCACAGGTTAGGAGTACATCGTACGTTCTGGTATTTTTGAGCGAGACACTTTTCGTCTTAATCGATACGGGACTAGAAACGTTCGGACGTAGTGATGAAACTCATAAACAGACTGTTTAGAAGTTTCCAAATATTGATCTCGACAGCGAGTGAACCTTTGGGTATGATATTATTTTTCTAAGTTTATTTGGAGGATTCTATATAATGACTACGCATATACATCCAAGTAAGTAAAAAGAAAAAAAAAGGCCCGATCTTCTTTCTCATTCCCCCTTCTCTCTCTCTCTCTTTTTCCCCTTCTTCCTCCACTTTTTTATTCACTTTCCTCTGCAATTCTTGTCTTCTGAGGCGTAAATGGAGACATCACGCACGCCGTCTGAAATGGCGGGATATGATCGCCCGCTCGACACGTTATTCAGCCGATTGCCATCCGTATTTGTTCCGACGCGCCATGTAGCCACGTTGGGTCAGCTATCAGACATTGCTCGAGCATACGGCAAAGGCGACGACAAGGATGATGGCATTGGCAACAAAACATATTTATTGACACACGAGAATGATGCGAGCTCGCAGCAACAGCTACAATGGCGGTTCTTTTACTTGGATACGGATCGTATCGACCAAGAACTTGAAAAGATGACACATCACCAACAACAAAGCTCGATGGAACGACAAGACCGTTCCTTTTTACGGACACTAGAATCTGAGCTCACCAAAGTAAGAAAATATGCGACAAGAGGTTGCACAAAGGGAGGGAGCGAAAAGAGCTTTGTGTAAGAGGCAGACTCTGTTTGTCACCTTTTTGGAGGAATAACAAAAACAAAAAAAAAATTGATTGTGTTTTAGGTACACGATTTCTATCATCTCAAACTGGGTGAAATCCAGCGCCGACTCGACTTTTGTAACAAAAGCAACAATGACCCAAGCTATCTAAAAAAGGAGCCCCACAAACGTCTCTCGCATCTCGAGTCCGAAATGAGTGCCTTGCCCTGGGATGTGCAACACTTGGCGCATTTCGTAAAGGCAAACTATTGCAATTTGTTTGCTATCGTGCACAAATACGACCGTCATCTGTCATCCCCTGCGCGTCTTCCACACGACCAACAACAACAAACGGTTCTGCAAAACCAAATGTTTCGGCTCGTGGCCAGCAAACCGTTCTGCGAGCCTGCTCAGGTGTTTTCCCTTGTCGTCGCGCTTAACGAAATATACAAGGCGATGCGTTCCAACCAACTCCGGTTAGTGAACAGTTGTCATAATGATATGTCAGCGTTCTCGGCTGTTGTAGATCGTAATGATCCCCATGATAGTGATGATGATGATGCTGAGACGCACTACTATAGCACTCCAGCGTCCTTGCATTCATGGGATCCGCATGTCGGTGGAGATGATGATGAGCTACGCCAAGTGCCCAACTATACAAGCATTTACATAACAAACACAGGAACCGTCGACTCAACTACGAGAACCACCACCACCACCGTACCACCTCGGCTGACAACAACACTTTTGCCTACAGCGACACTGCCACCATCTCCTGCCACGACGTCGGACAGTGAAGATTATGACGATGATGAAACTGCATCACTGAGCTCTGCAAACAAGAATAATAGCGACATGCTCACCGTCAAGCAATTCTGGGTCCATCCTGACAATCTTACGGAAGTCATGCTATACATTGCAAAGTACACTGACCTAAGCGATTCACATCTTCCACCTGCGCAAGTTGACACTGCCTCACGACGTAGCCAGCAAAGCAATCAAAGCACCATCACAACGCTGCATCTCGATACACCCAATCTTGAGAGCTACAACAATCGTGTAAACTACTCTAACACGCAGCAGCGAGAATGCAAAACTTTGCGAATGCGATGGTACGAGGAAGATCAACGAGATCCATCCGTTTCAAAACCGGTTGTTGCCATGGAGGAGAAAGTGTACCGACCCTCTCATTCTACTACAGCATCGTCAATAAGACACAAAAGTTTTGACAAGACTCCTTGCCACCTCCAGGAAGAAAAGAATTCATTTGATGAGCACGATTACCAGCAACAAGGACAACAACGTCGTCGGCATGACAGCAAAGCATACACACGGCATCGTTTGTGGCTTAAAGCAAAGAACATGGAGCCATGGCTCAATGGAGAGTGGTCCTTTAAACATCTTCTCAACAAGCCTTACTGTCGCCACCGAAGAACGTCGCTTGTGCATGGCTCCAGTGACTGTACTGATTCGTCGATGGAAGAGAAAATCATGCAGATGGAAAATGATGCTCGATCGAGACGGATCGAACCAGGTATATTAAACCGTAAAGGATACACGTAAAATAACCAAACTAATATCACTCAATCTTTGTTTCCTTAGTGTTGAAGACAACGCTTCGTCGCACAGTCTTCTCTGATCACGAGAGCGAGTTGGTCATTTCAATTGACACGGATATCGCCATTGCTCGTCACGCACGTGTTCAGAAAGCTGTCGACCGTAACGAGGACAGCTATCGATGCTACAATTCCTCCTCGTCGGAATGCGATGATTACTTTGATCATCAGCCACCACCACCCAAGTCCCGTATCAGCTCGAATGAAACCTATCCGTATCCGTCATTTTCATCGGATGACATGGTTCGCTTCCCTTATGCTGTCGTCAAAATCAGCTATCCCTCCGTCTCACGTCAACGGCATGCCTGGTTGTTGGATCTTTGCTCTTCATCTTTGGTAAGTCCTTGCTACTAACGAAGATGCATTCATTGCATGCGTTAAATCTGACATTTTACATATACCGTTGATTCAAAACAAATAGCTTGAGCCAGTGCACGACTTTTCCGTATATGCTCATGGTATTGGCGGTCTTATGTCAGATACAGTTCAAACAACTCCACATTGGGTGAGATGCCAATCTTTTTGAATTCTCATACTTTTTGCTTTGAAATTAAACTGATTAATTGTCATGTCATTGATAGCTATCAAAAATGAACCAAGATTTATCACGATCTGAAAACCGCGGACAGCTTTTAAAACAGCTATTACGTGTGAATCTTGCCATGGAACACAACGCTTCATCCGGAAGTAACTTGCTAAAATTACCGCCTACCCCTTTTAGCAGCACATCAGCAATTTATTCTCCTGCGTCGACAAACAGCAGCAGTAGCTGTATTAGCAGTAATAATCGGACTCCAAGCACACGCGCAACCACTCCCAGCAGTACCAAAGGCAAATCAGTATCTGAGGAAGATCTCAGGTCAGCAGCAGTAGAAGCAGTAACATCCAATGAGCGCCAACCGCTCCTCCAAAAACAGCATCCACGGCCTTCGGTTGGATCTTATTGCAGCTTCGATCATCCTTCTTCTTCCCGCTCAGACCCTGCCCAGTGTCGAGATTGCATGACCCGACGACAGTCATCGCCGCCATTCTATAACAAAAGCACCAGCAATAGTAACAGCCGTTCGCCGTCATCAGGCAGCCTCTTCAGTCAGTACAACGATAAAGAAACGACAACTACTAGTCGGATAGCCCACTTGGTGCGTACGATGTGGCCAACATTAGGCGACCTTGGCAATTTCAAATCTGTTCGACCAGGTGCTATCCTACCTATCCATACTGCACAGCATATATCACAAACTAACGACACAGCAGCAAAAGATGATAATTACAACAAATACTTTGTAATTGAAGATCAAAAACAATCCCGTGCATTGAAACTAACGATAATATGTTTAATGTCGGCAGTCGCATTGGCTCTGATTTTTTACTATGCTTTGTCCACCTTATAAGCAAATAAAGTGTTCATTAATATACCCGTTTCCAATTTTTATTAGCTGTTGCTTTATTCTGTTTGAAAAACTCCGTTGAGGTGGTATTTAATCATGTTTTGAGTCTGTTTGTAAAGTGGCGTTTCGAAAGGTACATTAAAGTATCCGTGGTCTACAGTGCGGTGTGATGGTTAGTATAAACGATGACGTTATACTATCAACAGTTAAAAGGCTAAACTTACGTGCTCCAATAAATCGCACTGCAGTAGTAGATACACCAGCTTTGATAAGTTTCCGTGCAAAAGCTTCGCCTTCATCCCGCAGAGAGTCTGTTTCCGCAATAAATAGGATTGCTGGAGGCAATCCCTGAAGCTCGTCAACCGTTGCCAATAACGGATAAGCAAATTTGTCCTTGATGTCCTTTTCAGTAAAGTAGGCTTTGTCGAAATATTCCATTTCTCGACGGGGTAAAGGGTAGCTGCCATTGCCATACTGTTCATAGGACTCAAAAGTATTTGAAGCAAGGTACAGCCAAGGATAAATAAGAACCTGGGTCTTAATCTTATCAAGCGTTCCGCGCTCTTTTGCCATGACTATGCATATTTGTTTGGAAAACAAACAGTAAGCAGTTCTAGCGGATTTGTAACATATAGTTTAGCCTGGCAAAATACTTCCGAGCAATAGATGCTACCAAGTTCCTACCAACTGAATCGCCATAAAGCGCAAGTTTTGAAGTATCCACGTTGATGCTTTCGCTGTTTTCCAGTACCCAAGCAAAAGCAGTATAGCATTCATCATGAGCCGTTGGATATTTCACCTCAGCTGCAAGGGAGTAATCCACAAAGATGCCCGAGACTTTGCTTTCATTACAAATCTGGGATGTTTTTAAGACGGTTGTAAGCCACCACCCGCCGACCATCGAATGAAATGTTTTGAGTGTCGTATTGTTTTGCTTACATCGCGGATTCCTTTAACATGAGAATTTCTGGATCCAAACACGAACCCACCGCCGTGACTATATGTATTCAAGGTTGCTGATTTGGTATATGACTCAGTTGTATTCCCTCTTTTTAGTGTACTTACAAAAATAAGACTACTGGAAGTACTTGGTTTTCAGTTCCGAGGGGACGATACAATACCAATTTAACCTCGATACCATGATGTGTGATTGTTTTATCTTCCACAATAACTTTAGGCAATGGATGCTTCGCGGCTAGTTTGTCAATATTTTCACGGTACTGTCGTATAGTAATTGTGCCCCCGCTGGGGCGAGGGTTATTTCGAATCTCGTCGAAACCGGCTGCGTACGCGGGAAGCATTGGTACTGAGCTTTGAATCGTCATCTTGGTGCTTTGGTACGTTGGCGTAATTTGTAGATAGAAAAGAGAGCAGAAGAAGAGAACGCCGCCTCTTTATATTTTTCACGGATTTCATAGTCCTAGTTAAACGAGCTACCTTTATGCTTAAAAAGCTCTGTTCTTTTTTTTACGAATGCTTTACTATTGTTGCCCACCGAGTACGTTTCTCGTAACTTCTTTTAATTACTCAGTGAGTTCATTTAAAAGTTCCATAAGTCAAGTAAACCAGCATAAAATACAGCTTTATATCACCAGATAAAAGTGAGTAATGGCTCAAAACATTGTGTTTCTTGGTACACTCCACTGTATGTCAAGATAATGGCGGCTTCATACATAATTATTAAACTTGTTTTTGCTGTCCACCAGCAGAGTATTGGCTGTCGATGACACCAAGTATTTCTGTTATAAACAGCCAGCTTTCTACTATTAGCGCCATCGATAACATTTTCTCAATGGTTGTTTATTAAAGTTATTGATCAAAAAGTCACACCACCACAGTTTTCGGGCTGAGTCGCTATTGTGGGATGCTCACTGCATAATGATGATCGCACGGGCGTTTACGCAGGGCATTACATTGGATGACCGAGTGCAATATCATTATCCAAAAACCGTGCATTGACTGGAGAGGGGGTTATCAGCGAAAACTACTGGATTTCATGCTATGCGTTACCAAAGCAGCAAAAACAACTTGATGATACAAGAATTTTGTATGGTCACTACCATATCGTTGTGCGTTTCAAACATCAAAGTATGATACCTTTACTAGGCATCTTAGTCGCTAATATGCTAGAATTGCATAGATAGGTCAATATATGATATACCATACAGCAATAACAACAATATGGAGAGGGAGTAATCTTGAACAGCATAAGTACGTTTTGGATTATGCTGCTGACTTCTCTACAATGACATCTTATTACTGTCGATGAAACAAATTTAAGAGGGCAGATCTCAACATAAATGGTCGTAATCCTTTGTTTCACACTGTAATATTTGATGACACTTTTTGTTCTGACAGCAGCTGTCAAATGTAAGCTACTCTGGTGAATAGAGAAAGCTATATTATAATACCACAGCGAGAAAAGGCAGCATAAATACGATCGATGTGATGCACTGGCTGCATAAAGGACCTTTATACGTCAGGAAATATAATTTCTCTAGGGTAGACCCTCGTTAATTTCATCATTAGAATCATCAAATATTGTATGGATATAGTGAGGGTTGAGAGTTTGCGAAAACAACTTGTACTAGTACATATACATTTATACTTTGATTAGGCGATGAAAGCAAGAAGGAGTTTTTTGAGGAAGCAAAAAGAATTAATACTGTAGCACCGCAGAAGTTGTCGATAGAGCACACGGTAACGTGTGCTAGTTCAAGGATCTAAATAGTCGAAAGCAGCTATTAAAAGCACTGCTATCAAGCAAGACATCACTGCTAGAAACGCTGACATTGTCCTTTTTAAGCGCACCAACTTGAGCTTCTGAACGCACTGCTCTTGAATTTTGCAAGACGTGGTGCCATTATAATACTTGGAATCAATATGATATGATCAAAAAGCAGACGAGGAGCACCGCAGCGAATTTATGAATCGTGTAGCACAATCATATTACTGGATGGATAAATGTATATCATTAGAAGCATTTTCTCTTTAATGATTGACTTGGTAGTTACATAATCATTATTTCTCAATTGATAGTTTAACGACGACCAGATAGTATGGAGGCATATCTGAGGATAGGAATACTTTGATCTCTCTCCAGTGTTTGTTTTTCTAGAAGCGAATGCAATGTATCCGGGAACGAAATTTGTGCACTTACGGGGTTTATGGATATGAAGGAAATAGGGAGATGTCGACCCAAGATTATGTAGCCTTCCTTCATGATACAGTATATCCAAAGGTCAAGGACAAGATGCAAATTTATGTAACTGCGATACTCAAAGTCGCATCTAAAAATGATTTTACCGCTGCTTATAAAGGGATACATAACCCCTTGAACTGACGAAAAATATATCAGATGATAAAAATTAATTGTTGTACATCTATAGATTTATACATATGTGAAAGAGTTAATTCGGGAAGTGATAAACTGTACAATATAGGTGATTATTCATTATAGCAGTTTAGAAGAGAAAAGGTACTTTATGCAAGCAACAGCCATAACATAGCTAAAACGGCTGTTGTAAAAGGAGGTGGGGGGGGTGAATATAATCTAATTGTATGTGTTATGAAATGTACAAAGTCTATGATGACCCAAAAATATGATCTTTCAAAGGCTCCAAACGAAACTTAAACTCTCGTAACTTTGCACTGGTTGGTGCCCATCGTAAAAAGAGTTCATGAAGTCGTCCTAGTTCCTGTGATGCCCAACCTACTTTAATGATTGCAGCGTCTTCAAATATTCCGCGCAGTACCCAAGGGAGATAATAAGGGTTCAGCCGGAGTTCAGCTTTGAAAGGATCCATCAGTGCTTCTTCGTTTTGTGGTTGTTGCTGTGATGCAAGAGGTATGCCTCTACTGTTGGATGGTGATTGTTGTATTGATGCTTGTACCGGCGATGATGATGATGCTGAAACTGCTTTCTGTGGTGATGGTGGTGACATTGTAGATAGTGGTGACAATCCTGGGGTATCAAAGAGGTATCGTACGGCCAACATGTATACGTCGACTTCTTCGTAAATCGTTGAATGACCTCCTTCGAATGCATAGATGCTACCAGCTAAGACTTCACTGACATGGATAAGCAAGCCATGATCAGGAATACCAGCATTTCGTAATCGTAGCGCAAACACCACCAAGTTGATCAGGAAATCATCGTCTGTATAAACATGTTTGTCGATATATACAGCTCGTAAAATATTTGGATGTGAGACACCCGCCAGTATAGCTGAATAGAGTGGCACGACTTGATCTTGCAATGAGCCAACGAGAACCATTTTAACGCCACTGTTCAGTATGCTCCCCAATGACTCTCTGAACTTTTGAGATATGACACTATTGGAGTCCATAAAGTCAAAGAGTTCTCGTGCGGCATCCGCTTCAAAGTACTAACAACGATAACGATAGTTGAATAGCTGGATTGAGTGGTTTCCTTATCGCAACAAGTCGTTGTGCATGTCATTTAAAAACAAGTATATACCTTGACTATTAAGCTTCCTTGAAGCGAGGGAAAAGGACCATGGCCAATGCCAGCCATTGCGAGCATACAAACGGACTGCCGATGCAAGTGAATGTGTCCACCTTGCAGGAGTTGGTGCAACAACATGACCGATACAGGTGTGCCCTGCGAATGGGTTCCCCATAAAATAATATCGGCCGAGGATATCGCTTCCAACCACTCCAAATTGGATACGAGCTGAAGAAAAAGCTTGTGTATCCGCTCCTCGACTTTGCCTTCTCCTTCCAGTGGAATCACAGTAACCGCATCGTCCGAAAGAGTCAGTTGATGCTCCGTCTTTAGATACTGTTCCAATGCCGCCATCATTTGTTTACAGAATTTTTGCGATGTGCCCGTCGGTTCGCCAATCATGCTTCGGACAAGCTATACACGCGTATTGCATGCATTTAGATGGATTCATGCCTTGAATTGAGGGGATAATAAAGTAGTTTACCTTGGTCGGAAACCATCCGTGAATACCCACAACTGCGAATTTTTTGTGCATATGCGTTGTAGAATCCACTTTTGGAACAGGGGATACTATCTTGGAGAACTTGTCTTGCAGCGACTTTGTCCAAGATTCCGCTTCGTGGGATGTAGTCTGCTGGTTGTTACTGAAGATACTGCTGAACGAGCTAAAAGTGGATTCGAGAATCGAACCTATTGCATAAGGCGTTTGGGGTTGCTGTTGTTGCTGTAATGTAGGTGGCGCGAAACGCGACTCGTAGACCGGTAATACGACATTACGGCAGGAGTAAGAAGGCGCGCTTGTTGGTGCTGCGGTGGTGGTGGCGCCACTGCTAGTAATTACGGTAGCAGGAGCCGTCATACTTGATGCATCCGAAATAGTTGCTCCTGTAGTTTGTACGACTGAGACACCTTCGTCATTTGTTACATTTGGCTGGTCACATGGCTCTTTGCCCCGTGCAGCGGCGGTCTCCAATATCCGTTGCTGATCTATCGTAGCTCCTGACTTGGTCATGACAGCATCGGAGCTGTTGCTCGAAAACAAAGAGCCTGTTTCGCTTAAGATTGTTGCTTGTCGGTGCTGTTTGATAAGTCTTGCCACTGCTGGGGATTGCGGCGGTGAGTGATCTTCATATTGCTCATCAACTGCCGCTGTTGTTGCTGCTGCTGCTACGCCCGTTGCACTGTCAGAATCTGACAAGGCGACACTGCCATTTGCTGAGACTCGAGTTGAGAAGGTGTCGGGCATTGCTTTGGCTGAGTAATTCCACTGCTGCTGCTGCTGGTATATTGATTTTGTCGTTTCATCTCCGGGCTGTTGCTGCTGTTGTTGTGTTTGCATAATTCGATGCAATGATTCGACGCTCGCTTTAGACATAATGGATTCGGCTCGTATGCCGGGCCAACGGTGTTGCTGGTGTTGCTGTTTTGCTAGCTCGACCGAAAGCGCGATCTTTGCTGTTGGCTTTTCGTCAATAAACTTGTGATTGCTGTCAGGAGAGTTGTCCTGATCGGCTTCTCCTTGGTCTGCAGCAACGTGAACATTTGTGGTTTTGATGACTGGACCTGGTTTTGCGCTAATCATTGTTGTTTTCTTTTCATAATGCTGGTGCTCAAAAGATCCATTCTGCTGTTGATGCTCTTGTTGCTTTTTTCCGATTGCCCAAGAAGTGATCAAACTGAGACAGATCAACATTCACGAAATGACCCAAGCAAAATGTGGGGTAGTGAAAAAGAGGAAGAGATAAAAGGAAGAAAAAGTAAAGTATATATTATTTTATGTAGTTTGTATATGATCAAATAAGCTAATAGCAAAAGTGTTAACAAAAACGTGGACCAAGAAAACGGCGGCATGCCCTGGTTTTCCTTCGCTTTGCCTCAAGAGATAGTGTCAGCATAAGGAACCCATATGACCCAACCTCCCCTTTTCAATTTCGGCTCCTCCAATTGCAGCCCGCTATTTGTTCATTACGTTTGCGCTGTGTCAGGAATGCATAATGAATACATGCTGCAGCGGTCCGGAGCACATGGGGAAAGAAGGCTGATCTTTTGGTGTCTGTTGCCCCAACCGTTGGATCTGCGTATCCTCTTGAACGTCTAGGTGATATCCCAGTTTGCCTTTGAGCCAGGATGTCGCTTACTTAATACGGAACATCTTCAGGTGGCGTAATCGTCTTCTTGGCTGTAAATCATCATCCCTTGTTGATATAAGCCCTTATTGCTCAGCATTTGGTCTGCGCTAATGGCTATAATAATCATCAACCATTGTTACAATCCAGCCTGAGCGTACTATTGGGTAGTATTACAAACAACCATGTGACCTTTTCGTTAAAATCTGCGCTGCACACAGTGGGTTACGTTACTAGATTGAGAAGCCTGGGCCAAACTTGACGTCAGCCTACAATTCCAGCAAGTTCGAACTAAAGACAAATGATTAAATCTATTGATAAATGCTAGTATAACGCAACATTCAAAAATAAAGGTCGACGAGTGCGTACATTGCAATGCTCTCATATAAGCCTTTTACAATTTCACGCATTGATGAAGAAACGTGGGAACGTAACTTTCTATATCCGTTGATATCTTTGTGGGTCTGTCAAGATCAACCTAACGTACGGGAGCCAGCAGGTTCGATGGTAAGGCTCAAACAGATGTGGCAAATGACGACATATCAAATAGACCTTCTCGTATATGATCTCCTTCTATAACAGCTATGGTCTCAAACATAGAATCATCCTCCAGCAATAATTATAGGTCCTAATCATGCTTTTGCTTATCCGAGTTATTAACAAGCGTGCAACGCTCCTTTATTTTTTCGTAAAGTGGTATACAGCTCAAGCTGTAGTTGCTTTATTAGTAACATTCACATGTTGCGGTGCCCATGTTCGTGCGTTACTTTTCTTGTTGTTACCGTGAATAGCCGGTACACTTCTATATCAGCCATACAGTAAGACACAATGCTTCTACATTATTTTAATACATTCATTCCATGGTTATTTTCTTTGCTCCCTTGGGAGATTTATCCTAAAGCAACTAATTTGAATAGACAACACTTTGGGTTGTTTCACAGAGGCGCATATAGTCGCTGCGAATAAAATGCGTTAAGCTTTTTCCATGATCCACGTTTTATCGCTTCCAACGAAAATGTCCATGATAGTGATAGATACGGATATCAATGATTATAAATGTGTCACTTACTCCAATTTATCAGTTATCATACCAAAATACTGCTAATAGAGAGTTTTAAAAAAAGTACATTTTATTTGGGATGTACATATGCTTAATCCACAAGGTCAACTGGCCATGCAAATCTTTGATAATACTAACGCTGGTTATGCAAAACGTGAAACAGTTCATGCAAGCTTTCTTCATTATCAGTGCTGCAGTAAAGTTTTGTTTGTGTTAAACGCGAGGAACGTCCATGCTCATCACGGTTACACCACCGGCACTGTTGTCCGTAGAAATAGGTTTATGTGTATCGGAATGTTATGAGTGTCCCATCTCTGTAGCATTGCTATAGCATCTAGATACAGTTGCACCCCGGTTTCTGCAACCCATGGGTTTGCAATTCCTCGTATATCTGCAACTTTTTCTTTGAAAAATCCAAAGAAACTTAGTAGTTTCGCAAATTTGCAACTTGCAAATGAGTTTATACGATTTGCACGTTATCGGGGTAAAAACAGCTTCAATTTTTTCAATATCAACTGAAAGAAGCATCTGCTGCGTATTATCGAGGAATAAAATGAAACGGTTACTGCACTAGACAGCTTCAATAAAAGAACGGTCTTATATATGCAAGTAGTAACATTTAGAGCTGTGTGAAATCCCCACAGAACGTATCGTACATCATCTCTAACAGATAAACAATGGGCTAGTGTTTATAGAATGACTTATCTTATGTCTATTTGAAGCAGAATTGTTTACCTCGTTACTTGCAAATCCTCACTTTTTGCAATAAAAAATCGGAAAACCCTCGGTTGCAAAAACCGGGTACAACTGTACCCGGCATCAATCACCTGCTATGTTCTCATCTGCGTTATCTTGTATAACACTCCGATCGCTCCAAAGAGATAATACATATTGAGCTGATAAAGGCGTTCTTCCTATACTGTAAAGCAATCAATCATATATAAATGACATACTTTCGCGCCATCGCAAAAGTTTGTCATTGCTATTGTTTATCATTTTCTTTATACAATAATGGGTTTCATCAGCGTTACCTTACTTCCTTGGATCACCGACGAATTTCTTCCCATAGCCAATAATTACTTGCATAAAGGCGCCTCGTCGGTTAAAGACAACTGGAAACCAATTGTATCGGCCTTTGGGATAATTACCGTCTATCATCTTGTTGAAATCAGACGCCACCGGTATCGATATATTAACGAATTACGACAGAAATACCCAGATCCAAGTATCGCATTGAAAGATTCTCAAGTAGCCGCCAAAGTGTTTGACATAGCTATGAGAAAGGAATTTCCAGGTATATGCTACTATACGATGTATGATCAGAATCGTTTCTCACTCTGTTATCGCTAATTGTAAAATATAGCACTCCATTATGTGGCATTCAATATCGCATTGTACCGATCTGTCACTATTCCATCCATCAGCAGGCTTCTTGTTGCTACCGGGGAGGCCCACGTTAATCCACAAAAGCGAGAAGAAGACTCATATTTGCTACTGGTAAATACGTGCAAAACAATTGGGTGTCTATCAATTCCATGTAATTTAAAAAAAAACGACCTTTTCTTTTCTAAATCATATGTTTTTTTTTTATCTCAAAATGACTCCAAAATATAGCACGAAATGCTAGATGTATACCCCCACATTCAATCTGAACGAAAAAAGAACCCTAGTTTGACTGCCGAGAAAATCGAAGAACAGGAGCTCAGACGTACACATGCCATAGCTCGTATGAACGAGATCCACAGTCGCTATCGTATCCTGCACGGTGATTTTCTGTACCAACTCGTGCTGTTCGTAAGTGAGCCGATTTATTGGATCAATAAGTTTGGGTACAGAAAGCTGGATGAACTCGAGATGAACGTAAGTCTTCAATCCGATGTTATATAGGCCAGTGCGTTTTTTTTTTGCCGAGTGCTTTAAACTTTGATGTAAATATTTACACAATCATTTCCTAATAGGCCATATACAAGATGTGGGCTGATATTGCCGACGGCATGGGCTTGGAAAATTATCCATCATCAGCGAAAGCTATGATAGAATATCATAAGGTATATAAATCAATCTGTGTCAAAATTAAAAGCATTAGCAATATAATAGAAAATCATCACTGAATGTAACATCCACAACGATGACAGAAATACGCAGCAGCACATTCGAGATATTTCCCCACAACCGAAAAGGTGTCTGAAAGCACGATCAACAACACAGCTTCTCATTTCCCGAGCTGGGCACGACCCTTTGTCAGAATGGCCTTTTCATGCATGATTACACCGCAGGATTGCAGGGCAATGGGCCTACCACAGGCTTCCGGGTGGTTCAAGTCACTTTTTGACTCGTACTTGTATTTGCACGGGTATTATGTTCGCTTCCTGCAATTTCCTCGCAAAGAATCGTATCTGGGAACACCCGTTCACCCAAACGAAAACAATCGGTATATGCCCCAGTATGACTCAGGCGATCACCCAGCGTATCCAGAAGGTTATACTATAAATGGTCTTGGTCCTACGAAAATCAAGACATCCTTATGTCCAATGCCTAATGTGCGCGTCGGCACATGTCCCGTCGCCCACTTCAAGTAGCTATTTTATATATGCACAGTGTCAAAACAAAAAGGCAATATAGCTTATTATTTTATGTAGTAACATCTCTTCTCTGCTCTCTTTCCAAACACAAACCGGATAATTTTGTTTTTTGTCAACCCCCTTATTTCTTCGATCTACACAGATACATACAATCTCGGTTGTTATTGCTGGTTTCAGAATCGTGCAGCTTCATTGCTCCTTTGTTGTTGTGTAGTACCCGTCGTAAATCCAGGGGTTTTTGATTTAGTTGCTTAGCTCCAATAGGCTCTCCGTGTGCCTGGACCAACACACCGATAGTAATAGTATCAAATCTGGGATGACACGATTACGCCACATTGGTCGATAGAAGAGTCGTATACATGAGGTGTTCACACTGAAGGCTTGCTACTAACTAATCGACAAACCAATAGGGTGCTTGGAAACAAACATTGTCACGAACAGAAGTACATTACGCACGTATATCCTTTTGCTTGATTTAATATAGGGCCGGTCAAGCAATATATTTCACCCGCTTGTTGCTATTTGATAACGTTTTAGAAGATGGCTATATTTAAAGAGGCGTTTTCACAATCTGTACACATCGTTACTGATATTGACAGGACCGCGTTGAGCTAACAATATTCTTTCCGCCAAGCAAAAGAAGAATGCAGTCTGCAAAGACAAAATACACCAGAGCTACATCTTTACCTGTTAGTATACACATGACACATTGCAAAAAAGAAAAGGACATGCATTCGCTATATATATATGCTCGTATATGTGTGTGTACGCGGTCTTGTTCCATGTACGCCAAATCCAGGAGTAGAGAGGGCTTCTTTTTAAGTAAAGAGCAGCAAGGAGAAAGGAATTCCCGTGCTTTGCAGCATCTTTAAATACAAAAGTAACGCAATTGGTCTATTGCTCGCTTCCTTTCGCAGAGCTAGCATCTTCTTTTTTGTCTTTCTCTCTTGTTCCGCACCTTTTCGCGCTACTTTTTAATCCATCGTTCTTCTACGAGTCATGGCTCTTGCGTCGTCTCGTCTCCTGCTTCGGTCTCGGGCTCCTGCTCTTATTCATCGTCCTAGCAACGCAGTGCGTGTAAGTAGTGCGTTTATAAACACCCAGTCCCAATATAGCGCATACCACGATCCCTTAAGAGACAAGACTGTCCATGTCACGCCATGGCGTGGTGTCAATGTACTTCACGATCCTCTTTTGTCCAAAGGTATAATATACAAGAACAGTGAATGGCATATAGAATGAGTGGGGTTGGATATGGATGTAGTATAAGACAACAATTTTTTTGCTAAGAATGCATCGCACTCTTTTTTTTCTAAAAAAAAAGGCACTGCATTCAGTATCGATGAGCGTGAGCGATTGTCCATTCGAGGATTGGTACCACCACGATGTCAAGAAATGCAAAAGCAGTTGTTGCGAGTCAAGCGTAACCTTGATGCTTGTGAAACACCGCTGGCCAAGTTCGTTTTCCTGGCAGCTTTGCACGACCGTAACGAAACCTTGTTTTATAAGCTTATCATTGAACATTTGGAGGAGCTAGCAGGCGTCATTTACACGCCTACAGGTAAGATTATGAAGAACACAGAGGAACAATTAGTAGCAGAGACGGAGCAGTAGTAATAGTAGTAGTAGTAGTAGTATCAACTAAGGGTGTGATTCATAGTGGGTCTGGCAAGTCAAAAGTCGCATAGCATCTATCGTCGTTCAAGAGGCATGTATTTCTCAAGTCAGGACCGTGGCAATATGTCAGCAATGGCATACAATTGGCCACATGATGATGTGGATGTGATCGTGGTTACGGATGGATCAAGAGTGCTCGGTTTAGGCGATTTAGGCGCAAACGGAATGCAGGTAAATAATGACATAAACAACATGCGTTCGCAGGAAGGAGAAGAGAGGAGGAGAGGGAGGCGCAAACGTCGCCGCCGGCTGTAATTTATTTAACTCTATCTTCTGTTTTGCGCCTGCAGATCCCTATTGGAAAATTGAGTTTGGTAAGCTATTACAAGCTTTGATTGTTGAGCTTCATTTAGGGGCGCAAGTTCGATATTAACAATATTCTCCATATAGTATGTTGCAGCAGGAGGCATTCGTCCACGCGCGGTTCTGCCTGTTGTTCTTGATGTCGGTACAAACAACGAAGCTTTATTGAATGACCCGCTGTACCTGGGCATGGGCCATCCACGCCTCGAAGGAGATGAGTACTATTCCTTTGTCGAAGAATGGGTTACTGCTGTTATGACCCGCTGGCCAAGTAAAGTATACGACGTAATTTTTTTTTTTATCGAGGGTTTTCATTTAGAAATTTCTTCACATTATATTGACGCATTGTGCATGTAATTCAAATAAACAGATGTGCTAATCCAATTCGAGGATTTCAAGTATCCGCATGCATACAATTTACTCAACAAGTGTAAGTAACGCAATTTTGTTTGTTTGTCACTTGCAGCAAATAAATGCAGAAAGGCACTCGATCCCCACAAACCCCCCTTTCTCCTCCACAGCAGCTCATCTTTTCATGTATAATTTAACAGACCGTGACCGTATCACTTGCTTCAATGACGACATCCAGTCAACATCGGCGATCACGCTGGCGGGTGTTTTGGCAGCGTTGAAGGCGCGAGGTTTATCACAAGAGGATCTTGCCGATGAGCGCATCATTTGCGTCGGCGCAGGCTCTGCTGGCGTGGGCGTATGTGAAGGCATCATCGACTGCATGGTCGCGCAGGGAAGAGTCAAGTCACGAGAGGATGCATACCGTCGAATCTATATGCTGGATCAACATGGTTTGTTGGGCAATTCGGCCGTCGCGGCTAGCGATCCTAGCCGTATCATGCAAGGCCCTGAGCGTCCACAAGGCTCTTTGGACGAGCGTCAGCTATGCTATGTCAAGCCAAATCTTCCAGATCGAATGTCGCTGGAACAGCTCGTGGAAGAAGTGAAGCCTACCGTGCTACTTGGACTGACGGGTATCTCTGGCGTTTTTACTGAAAAGGCTGTGCGCACCATGGCCCAGTATCACGAGAAGCCCGTCATTTTCCCTCTGAGTAATCCAGATAGTCATGCCGAATGTACTGCAGAACAAGCCTTCAAATGGACGGATGGCCGAGCCATCTTTGCATCGGGCAGTCCGTTCAAGGATGTACAATTACCTAACGGCAAAGTGGGACGAACCAACCAATGCAACAATTCATACAGTTTCCCTGTAAGTGTGGTCTTTTTGATTTGATTTGAGCTCATGCTACTATCATCTAACACATTGACTGCTTGTAATTTTTATAGGGTGTTGGCTTGGGTGTGGTAACTTCGAAAGCAAGTAAAGTAACGCCAGAAATGTTCCTTGAGACAGCCAGAACAATTGCAGATATCGCAACACCCTCGCAACTCAAGGAGGGTATTCTGTTCCCAGGTGTGTCGCATCTGAGAGACGTTGCCTCAAAAGTAGCCATTCGTGTCTGCGAAGTTGCCTACGAGCAAGGCATTGGCCGAACACGATTGAAGGAAGGAGAGATCCTGGCCGATCTCGTCGAGAATTCAATGTACCATCCAGAATACGTCCCACTTGTCCACTATCATTAAGCACAAACAACAGTATCGGCGATACAATAGATACACACACGTAGCCATACGCATAGAGTGTTCATGATTATTTTTATACATAATTAAAAAGAGTTTGAGGAAAAACAAACAAGAAGGAAAAAGAGACATCTTTTTTATAATATGCAAAGACCAAACAAATATACATGTGTGAGTTATTGGGTGTTGCGTGGTTTTGTAGGAGAGAGGACGGCGGTTTAAAAGAGAGAGAGAGAGAGAAAACGGCAAAAGCGAATCAATAATTAATATATGGAAAAAGAAAGAAAAAAAAAAGAGAAACTAAAAATCAATAAGCGGCACGGCCGCAGGGCTCAACTCCATCCTGCTCTTGAAATCCACTGGATCTGAAATGACGACGTTGCCTTCAGGCAGGTTGTTGTGGTCACGTACGGGAGTCTGTTGACCGCTTTCCGCCGAGGAATCGCCATCTGCAACCGATAAGCGACGCGCTGTCTTTTTGCTGTCAACAGTGACAAACGTACCGCTCACCGATCCGTTCGACTGAGCTGCACTGTTCTCTACCATGCCCATGGCAGCTACCAGTTTCGACATCAATCCTTCAATCTCTTCTTCGTCTCCCTTGGACTCGTCAATCAGCATCTCGCGCAAAACTGCTTGGATCGATGCTTCGCCAGCATCGCCCTTTTCCACTGCTGCTCTCAGATCATCCACGCTTAATCGCGTGACACCCTGTGCAACCAGACACGTGTGCAGCGACTCAATGTTGACCTTGTATTTGGCTGCTGCCAGAGGCGTCTTTTGGGATTGAATGTGGACGGATATTTTGCGTGCCTTGTCAGATACCGGATCAATGTACTGGTCAAAGAAATCCAACAGCGAGTCCTTGGAGATCGACTTGAGCTGAGCGACATCATTGTCCACTATTAATCACAAGTTGAGAGATTAGCTCTTGGTTCTTTCTGTTCGTTCTTTCCACTTGTTTTCTTTTTTTACCTTGCTCGAATTCATAGTAGCCCGAGTGAATGTGTGTCCAGTATTTGCCGCCTTCTTGTCCGAGATTCTTATCTTTTTCTAGTTTTTTAAAAATAAGAGATTGTACCTGGGCCTGGTACTCTTGATCGGACATGCCCGCAATGATACCACGCAGCTTGACAAGGAACTCCTCGATACGATTCTCGAGATAGACAGTGTCTCGTTCACTCTGGATAATGAAACGCATGCCCATAGAGCCCGTCTGTTTTCGGACGCCACTGAAAACCAAGTAACCTAGATATCAAATATTTACGTCATAGGTATCATCAGAAACGACAACATAAATATAAGACACGTGTAAACATCTTGTGCAAATAAATAAATAAATAAATGATACATTACCTAGTTGTTCCTTGGTTCGCAGCTGATCAAAGCAAGGTTCTTGTGCAATTTGAGCCAACAAGCTTAATCTTGCCCGAAGAGCCGTCTGTGTCACATTGCCGACTTGGATCAAATACTCTATGCCGGAATTGACATTGTTCGGGTCCTCGACTTGACGCTTATATACCCATTTAGATCCTTCCGGCAAGATGAGGCTTCTATGTCCTATCAACTGGCTTGGAAGCAACTCACGTGGCTGCAGAATATCAGCAACCGACTTCATCATCTGCTCTGCTTCTTGTTGTTGCACGTTGCCATGCACAAGTGCCTCTAAGTGCAAGTGCGACAAGATAGTAGGGTAGAATGACTGGATATCCTCGGCCGTAATGGCATCAAGTTCCTTTAACTTTTCTGCATTGGTCCACATTTTATCTTGGGTGAAATATGACAGATAATACAATGCATGTTGATAAGGTGGCTCCAAAGAAAAGTTCCTGTAGGATCTTCGAAGCTACATAATCATATAATAAAGTTGTTATTATTTCAAAGCCAATACTGACTACAACTATAGATATAGACAGCAAAATTAGACGAACCTGATCTTTGAGTAGCTTAAACCGCTCAGGATCAACTTGGAGGTCACGCATCTTTTGAATGACTTTTACTAACAGCACAGAAAGCTTGTCGTTGTAGCCACCTATAGCCAGCTGATAAGGAAAAAGAAAGGAATTGTGTCAACTATTGCTCAATCTTGCCCTCGAAACACTCTAATTGACATTACCAGCATTCCTTCCAATTGGTTCTCGATGTTGTATGAAAGACCAGCTACTTCGGCATCATATGCATATTCATTCAACGAATCCTTCAGAATATCCGTGTATAATCTAATCAAACAAAACGAAACGCAAAACAGAAAACGAGCATGCACCAGTTACTAACCCACAGACATTCTGGAAAAGGTTTATATCTTACCGAGTCTTGACGCAATTCGTAGGCGTAGCATAAGCCAATGGGCTGCGGAAAAGAATCCACACATTTGCTCTTGGCACCCAGAAAGTGTCATCCTTCTTGTACCACAATCGCGTCTTTGGTGTATTCATCACCAAATCAGGTCGCTTGGCTGGATGCTTGATATCTTTTTTGTGTGTTTCAAAATTGGTTGGAATGAAATCGTTGCGATCAGGAAGATGGAGTGCTGTGTTTAGCTCCAATTCTCGCAGTGACTGAACAAATTGACATGCCCGCATTGATTTAAAACAGAGTAAGCAATCCACTTCTTCTTCCTCCCCTCCCTCCTTTTCCTCTTTTTGCCCTCTTACCTCCTTCAAAGGATCACTGAATTCCATGATCTCGTACTCCGTATCATACCAACGCTCCCTCTTTGTGAATTCCACATTGCCAGGTGGCTGTTGGCTTGCAACCATAATTCTGAAATTGTCGGGTCGCAGGTAGCCCAGGTCCCGGTTGATCAACTCGGGATTGTACTCTCTAATCAAGCTTGGTCCACTGAGCACATTTTGCGATGGATAGCCGTGTTGCATAAGGCCAGCAAGGCGGGAAGTGTACTGTGAGGGTGGGTACTTTTCCTTGAATCGAAAAGCCAACGATGCCAAAGATCGTACTTCATTGAACGTCGATTCTTGGACACCTGTTCTCCGCAATAATTCGATATATTGGAATACGCACAGGACAACGTCTTCATAGCATTCTGTTTTTGTGGATAAAAGGTAGCACAAGGACCCAGAAAAGAAAAGGGTTTATCTTCGTGAGAAGTATGCTCCAAATGTTGTTTTAACATGCACACACATTCACACACACACACACACACACACATATATCCGTGGAGTCGACACTATACCAGTCACCTCTCTCTAATGGAAATTCTCACTTACTAAGACCCTCTTCTGTCAAGTCGATACTGATCCGCAAGAATTCGAATCCAATGCCACCATGAATAGACCCAACTTGCAAGTAGTTTGCCCAACCATTCTTCTTCAACAACGACAGAATTGAGCCGTGTCCTTCATGACCGATCAAATGCGAAATGTATCTACCGGGCTACAGATAGAATCGCATGTTAATACCATTGATATGAAAGCAATTTTACGCAAACAGGACACACTTTACCTGGACAGCGTACAAGGGTCGTTGATCGGGAAAGGGAAACGTCATTTCCAAGGAACGCACATCCTTAACAGGCTTGATAAATATTTGTTTCTGTTTGGCCCATCACAAATATCAAGTAAAATAAGGTTAGTCCAACGATAACCTTAGTATTTTGCCTACTGCATATCAGCGCGGGGTAGTAGCCGGCGAAGGGGGGAGGGGGGAGGAAGGCTGGGTGAGCCTTGTCATACCATCAATTCCTTCTCTGTCAATGGATGGCCAGGGAAACTGGGTGGCTCGATCCCCTTGTTGCGCACATCTTTGAATCTCTCGACTGCCCAATCGGTCAACTGATCGAGTGATTCTGAATGGTAACACGTGATTATAAAAGGTAATTCCGTTAGAAAAACCTTAATATAAATATACACACAGCAAAGGAATAGCACACAGAGAAAGAAAGAGCAAAGGAAAGGGGATCCTTTCTTTTCGCACTTGAACTTCGTCTCCAATTCCATATCACTGAACCAGACCAACCGATTTGTTGATACATTACCTCGCCCGAGAATACAAAGCTTCATGATGTTGGCAGAATAATAATTGTCATGGAACTTGAGCAGTTCGGCACGAATGTCCTGACCCTTCGCCTTTGGATCGTCGTACAGCGTTTCCAAACTACCAGTACCGAAATGGCAATAAGGATGATCTGGATTACTCAACGATTTTTCGAGTTGGAACATACGCCAACTATCTTGCTGTCGATTCTTCTTGTGTTCTAGTGTATATAACAATGGTCATGTAAACCCCCCCTTCCAATCTTAGCTTCCCACACATCTTTTATCACCACTTTGCCCCATCGTCATAGCCATAGCACTAGGATAAATGGATTTCCGTCGATTTTTACCTGAATCCACAGCCTTAAGCTCGCGTTCTGTACAGCTTGCAGAAAACAAGGGCGAAATGAAAAACTGGGCAAACCGATCTAGCGCACCACCCAGATATTCATGGCCGATTTCAAAGTAGTAGTTGGTGTTTTCGAGGCCAGTGAATGCATTTGAGAAACCCGAATGTTCAGCAAGGTACTGGTTGTAGTCGTTTTCTTTCGGATACTTTTCGGTTCCCATGAAGAGCAAGTGTTCACAGAAATGCGCGAGACCTTGCAAATCGTCCTATCGTAGCCCAAGATCAATCATCTGTTGTGCAACAGTAGCCAAAATTTACAGTGGTAGTGGGTAATAGCAGCAGCCTTTCCAACCACCCCCCCCCCACATAACACATTTCCCCCAGATTCCACATTTCCGGGGAGACAGCCTGTTTCCTTTTCGGATAAAGACTACCGGGGAAGCACTACGGCTCTTGCCCCTTGACTTTAGTTTCTTGCTCACGCACACGCAATTACATCATTCATGGGATAAATCCGTCTTATCGTTCCGGTCCTCTATTATCATTATTGCTCCCACTACCAACTCTCTTTCGTGTGCCCCTCTCCCCTTTTAAAATATCCTTTCTTTTTCTCCACATACTCAAGCACGTACCCATCTTCTCTTCAACCCCCCCCCCATTCTTTGGAAAAAGTGCTTCGTGGGAGTGTTTAAAAAAAGAAACTTTAAAAAAAAAACTGCTTACCGGATCGCTTAAATGACCCACATGCACGTCCAAAGCTGCGCTGGATTTGTCTGTATCGCTATCATGGATCAATAGCACTTGTAAATCGTTACTGGCTAGTTTGATTAAACGATAATGCCGGTCGTCATTATCGGATTTTTCCAATGGACGAGTAAATGTCCAATATTTGCCAGAGCTGGAAAGTTCCCAGTCTGAAGGAGAGTCGGTGGCAACAGCTGGCATAGGTGCAATCGAATCAGAAAAGTGTCTTTTTGGCTGCTGTTGATGCAGGTTACGTGCTGTTGCTGTTGCTGCTAGTGCTGTAGTGGTAGAGGAAATGGGTGGGTGGTTTACTCGAGTGTTACTATTACTGCTGTTGCGTTGCTGTTGCTGTTGTTGTTGTTGTTGCTGTTGTACTAGTAGTGCAGAATAGAAAGGGAGTGATCTGTTCTTTTGCAGATGACTATTACAAAAAAAGAAAGAAAGAAGCGCGTGCGTTCAATCAGTCAGTCAGAAAGTCAAGACCACGAAAGCGAGAGCGGGGCAATTGTTGCGGGGAAAGAAGAGGAATGCATAGAACAAAGATCCTGCCTTAATCTTCCGATGGATGTGCACCGAATTTTTTTTGCTCGAGCAAGACAAAGCACTTACATGTTTAACGTAGACCGTCGACAATTCAGGAAGCTCAAGATACGAAAAGCCGACGGGGGCATTCAGTGGTGGAAGGGGAAAGGGAAAAGAAAAAAACGAACGTAACCTGTCGAGCTCAGCCTTAATACATAGCGGAGTAGGCGTTTTGCCACCACGACGTCATGCTTGTTCTCGCTTTTGTATGTTAGGGCCTGCTGTTTTATGGACCGGGTTACCTTTTAACCGACAACAATAATGCAATGAGCATGAATGTGTGCCAAGAGAAAATGCGGCTCCGCCCTCGCCCTCCTTCCCCCACATTAACGATCCTTCTCGGTCAACGTAAAGTAGCATTTATTCTTGCAGATCATTGAATTCGTAAAAGAAAAGTATCTCATTTGCAATATTAATAAATATATGCTCGTGATGATTGAGATGGTGCGCGATGATGAAGAAGGCTTACGAGTTTCATCAGTGGACTTGCAAAAGCCCATTGTTTGTTTGTCTTTTGATTTTTTGTCAGCTTCTGCCGCTAAAATATGCATCAAAGAAACACGCTAGCTATTCCTTCGAGCCGGGTCAGCATTTGTCAATCAATCTACACACTATACAGAGAGAAGCAAAATTACATACAGTAATTTCTGAAGCGAGATTTTCTAGAATGTTCCCTCCGGAGGGGATACTCCCTTAACTACACTTTTACTTTGATTAGAGAGCGTCAGTTTCTATACTTTTTTTTTACAGGAAAAAAAGTAATGACACTATTACGGCATTGTTTCTTGCTTATTTGCAGTTAAAGTGATATATGCGGGTGTTGTGCATGTGCGTGGACACTCTCACTTGCAGCTCACTATGTAGTACGTGCAGCTTGCATGATCGATGCTTTGATACATCAGTCTTAATGCCTTTGAAGGAATATATTACGTTCTTGCCTATGACAGACTCGAGTTTGTTTCTATAAGCAGTTAAGATACCAATATATATGAGCTATTTCATACACCCATTGTTTAATCTACATATCTTTTTGATTCCCTCTAGATTGTGCCGTCATCATCGACGCACTCATGTTTATCCCCTTTTTTTACGAACAATTGTTAATCTATTAATCGAGAAGGGGGAGAACACATCAACAAATTGAGACTTTGAGAAACAAAATTAGTATATATACTCTCACTTTAATGAAATTAACTATATTTTGCGCGAGAAACTACCCATTTTCTTGACAAAAGGCTTGAATGCAGCAGAGCAAGGATAGTGCACATGTTCTATATAGCGCTTAATATATGTGTGTCTGTATAAGAGTAAGTGTGTGCACTAAGCGTAGTTGGAAATGTACGTAACTTCAAATATAAACAAAGTATTTATTTATACGTGTCAAGTTCTGTACAACAAACACATTGTCCATGATTTTTCTCGCAGGGACATGGGGGAGGGGGGAGATTATATTAACTCGTATCACATTGTATGCTTACTATGTATCATATAACATTTTACCTTTTGCGCATTGTCACTCTGGCCCCCGATACGATACTGATCTCTGTATGCTTAGAAACCTATACAAACACAATTTCTTTTGCGATAATGGTCAAATGATGATCAAGACAGTTCGTCAAAGCTTACAGTAAAAAAAAAGAAAGAAGCACGATGTAAAATGATTTAACGCTCCATAAGCACAATTGTCCAGATGAGTTGCAACAGGTTGTTAAAATGAAGGAACCCAGAATTTTGGGGCGGCTTGAAAAGTGGGTTATATATCCGGATCCAACCCAATTGCCCGTACATGAGGTCAGCCCGCTTTAATCCGCCACAACACTTATTCACCGCCGCTCCACACTCATTTTTTTTTTTTCGTATTCTTGAACACGCACCCTGAATTCAGCAATGTCAGGTAAAAATTATAATGTTCTAGTGGACATGGATGATGGTGGCCATGACTATTCACAGGTAAAAAAAAGGCATACGCGCTTCAGCAAACGCTATCTACGACAATCATAAACGTCATACTGTTCTATGATAAAGAAACGCTTGGCATGTATATACAAGACAAAACGTGTTCCTAATGCAAGTTTCTTTAATGAATAGCCTGCCACCATTGAAAGTGATGGATTAGAGTTCCAAGGTAGCTATCACCTACCGCGCATCCCTGTATATACAATTACTGAAAAAATGTTTTATGAACATATTCTAATTGCCCTTTTTGTGCTTTTCAATTTTTATTGTAGACTTTTCAAATAGTGCAGGAAACAACACTTCAGGTGAGAAACGAGCGAAACGACGTATTTTGAATGTATTTTGTTTGTGTGTGAATGTATAATGTAACAACTGACAATTGCGCATGTTGGTTTCTCTTTTTACAAAATAGCTCCTCCACCTCCACCACCGTCTGGACGTACCGGCAGTTTCTTTGATACACAACAACAACAACAACCCACACGGTCCAGTGGGACTGGCAAACCAGTTTGGTCCCTGGATTATTACTCACAATTCTTTGATGTCGATACCTCTCAGGTAAAATGAAGCTTCCCAAGTGCTGTGAGAGAGAGAACACACCCGAAGGGGATGTTCATAATAAATGGGGATTTCATAGGTTTTGGAGCGATGCTTGAAAACGGTGTATCCTGTGGGCGACTTTGCAAACGACACACTCAACAACCAACCTGATCTCTACGGACCGTTTTGGATCTCGACAACGGTCGTGTTTGCGCTGTTTGTCTGCTCCTCCTTGGCTGGATCCTTGGCTGCCTATATTGCCAACGTACCCCATGAGAGCGATTTCCGTTTGCTCAGTTATGCGGTCGGTGTCGTCTATACGTACGGGTTTCTGTGTCCTGCATTGGTTTGGGCAGCTACAAAGTACTTTGGTTGCCAACCAAGTCTCCTTGAGATCATCAACTATTATGGTTATGGTCTGACGATTTGGATCCCTGTGTCGGTAAGATGACGGATACACTCAGTGTGGGGGAGAAGTGGGTTTTTCATTACTGAATGTATATATATATATATATATATATTGTAGGCTCTGTGTGTGATGCCATTCGATATTGCTCGATGGGTGTTTGTTGGCGTCTCATTTGCTTTGACAGGTAAAAAGGAAGGAATAAATCATCTTGAACTGGTGTACTCATTTTTTATCCCGCAGCCTACTTTCTTGTCAAGAATCTGTATATTGTCATTTCCCGAGCGGACGCAAAGACATCCCGTATTCTTTTATTAGTTATCCTGGCCGCTCATGCTGGCTTTGCTTTGATCCTAAAGTTTGCTTTCTACAGCTACGATTTCCGATCCGCAGCCACACCCACAGACCAATAAATAATTAACATCCTCAACTTCCCCCATCCTCACTTTTCCTCACCATCTTCTTCATTCTTCCCTATATCTAAATGTATATAATCTAAAAAAAATCCGTTTGTCCAAGTGGCGCGATATGCATAAAAACCTATTTGTTGCGGAAGATAAATGGTCAGACTTTTTTATTCCCCCCCCCAATTTTTTTCTTAAATTCGACTCATCTATCAAGACAATGCCACCGACATCCCGACGACAACAAAAGATTCTAGAGAAACAGAAACAAGAGGCTGCTCATCGCAAACAGAAAGCGAGTAGCTATGTCAATCAAGCCCCTTTTCGCTATGCCGAACGTAACTTTAAATCGCGAGTTCCGCCACCTGATTTCAGCAAAGTAGTTGATCTTGACCATCGTGACAGCAACGATCCACGCATTATACAGATTCCACTACCACAGAAACTTGTTTCGCCCCATTTCGCCCGAGAAGATTCTAATGCTTTTCTCTTGAAAGACATTCCTGGTAAATATATCTCTCTGCTATCCATTTTACCAAAGTTTTTTTTTAACATTGAGATTGTGTCGTATAGGACTTATTATTATCCAGAATCCATTTACTGACAAGGCGCAGCGTCATTTTATACGACAGTGTCTATCGCTTTACTCACAAGCACCCAACACATCCAATTTGGATACCCATTATACCATTCCTGCCGACGGTCTGTGGAACCTCTGTGAACGAGAGCATCGAGGCGAGCTTGAAGAAGGCTATTGTATTCCACGGAAAGATCGTACTACGGAACAAGATGCATCATCAGACGAAGAAAAGAAAAAACAGGATCCACCCCCAGTAGAAACCGTGCCACTGATGCCACCCTCACAACTGATCTACAAGATGCGCTGGATCACATTAGGCTATCAATATCATTGGCCGACCAAAACATACCATTTTGATCGACGCTATGATGTACCTGAACAAGTCGATGCGTTGACGCGTGCCGTCGTCACTGCTGTTGAAGGTGTCGGTCACGATGGATGGAAAAACACATATCGTGGCGCTGATTACAAGACAGAGGCCGGTGTAGTCAATTATTATCAATATCGTGATACCTTGATGGGCCATGTGGATCGAAGTGAGCTGAATATGCAAGCACCTCTTGTATCCATCAGGTACAATCACACCTTCGTCCAGCATACAACGCACGTTCTAAAACTCTTGTTTATTATTGTAGCTATGGCAACGATTGTATCTATCTGATCGGAGGTACAACACGAGAGACCGAACCTGTACCTCTTCGCCTGCACAGTGGTGATGTGATTGTCATGACCGAACCTTGTCGGAAATGTTTCCACGGTGTACCCTTGATCATTAAAGATACATTACCGAGCTACTTGTCACCACAGAACGACCATGGCGAAAGTGATTGGGAAGTATACGGACGATATATGCTGACCTCACGCATCAACCTGAATCTACGACAAGTTTATCCGACAGATGATCACAAAAGTATTTCTTGATTGAGACTGTGTACGTAGAGTGATTTTTGTGCTATACTTTAACTGCTCTTGTAATATTGATGATACACGTTTTTTTAAATTAATACAACCAAGTATTATATATTTATACTATTCTTATGCTTGGTTTCCCATTGGAGTTATCTTGACAAATACACAGCCTTCACTTTCAAGGGCATGACGCAGTCCCAACAGATCCTGCTCCCGTGTTGCCTCGTCACTACCATCCCACATACCCACAACAGCCCCACCACTGCCTGGGAATTTTGCCACGCAACGGTGCTGGCGTGCCAATTTAACCATGCGTAGATTTGCTGCACCCACGACCGCATCGCCATATGTTTTCCGTCGCTGTTCGAAATTGGCTGTCATGAGCTGAGCAAATGCATGATGATCGCCTTGTTCGAGGCTGTGTCGTGCTTGTTCCGTGAAAGATGCAAATCGTGCCATTGCCTCTGTGATCTATAATATTTTTATACAACAAAAGCAAATAAAAAATGTGTCTTTTTTAAGCATTTTCAAACTTGTTTTTTTTTAAAAAAAAGACATGCCACGATACCTCAGGATCACCATTTAAAAATCGCTGTTTGACAGTGCTGTGTACTTTTCCCGAATCTTCAGGTCGGGCAACATACGCAAGGAACAGGGGTGGAACCAGCGACGTATCCAACTGCTCGTATTTTCCATATCCATGCGTCTCCACAAACTGTCTGTCGAAATCCATATAAACAAGTCCTCCATATGCCTAAAGTGCCATATCGCAATGTAAGTATTAATGATATGATAGATGTGTGCATTTTCATCTTTTTTTTTACCTGGATCACTCGGTCTTGGAGACCTGCAGCAATTCCCAATTCGTCCACCTCCACTGAGAGCACCAAGGAAGCCTGTTTCTCTAAAGGAATCTGCTCGTTCGTGACCTGATAAAACTTCAAGAGTGTCTTCCAACAAGCAGTGATGATGGCTGATGAACCTGCCAGACCGACTTGCCGAGGAATGTTTGTATCAAACAACAACTTGAATCCTTGGCGTGTATCAATCTCAATGCCTGCTTCACGGCAATGGCAGTAGAAAACTTTACAGCATGCCAGCAGTAATCGGTCGCCGTTTTCATAGCCCTCGGTTTCGATCAAGGTGGCCAAGGAACTGAGCGTACTGAATCGTCTTGGATCGGCCACAGGATTCGACATGATAGTCACGTTGCTGTATTCTGGCTCAGAGTGATCGTGAGGGATCAGGGTGACTTGGGCCCAAAAGTTGGAAATCAACAGCGACATGGTTTTGCCTAATGCGTGTAATTTTGAAGCAGATTTTTGTTTTTCTTTTTATTTTTAGCTCTCCAGTGTAGCTTCTCCAGTACCATTTTGAAACGAAAAACCAATGTATCAGACATTACCGTAGAAACCATCGCTAGGATTGCCCATCAATCCAACACGAGCATAAGCTCTCACTTGAAGTATGTCCTGTCTGGCCAAAGTGGATCCATTTCTATCCCGTCGTGTGTCGAAATAATCGATCCATGTTGACAGATAGGCATCAAGCGAGAGTGATTCATCCATGAACATGTGGGTCGATGGCTGCTGTGCTTGTTCAGGCTGGATACCACCACTGGACACCAATGCATCCTGCAAAGTCGCGTCTTGTGGGAGCGACGCGAGCGCATTGAGCGTTTTGCAGCTCATTGTACAGAACAACCATTTCTTGCCATATGTAAAAAGACGGTCTTTTGAGGAAGGGGAGGAGGAGGAGGAGGAGGAGGACAACAACTCGTGTTGGATCAGATCGGACAACCAGCTGTCTTGCTCTGAATCGTATAAAAAGTCAGCGGTCATCAGGATGGCGCCCTGGTCACATTTCTTGACGCGGTGAACAAATGCGGTATCAGATACAACGCCGGCGCTATAGAACACAATAAGCAACATGAATGCATGCAACACACTTTTTTGTATCATATAAAAGAAGGCGTACCTGAATCCACAGTTTATTAGATGATGGGTAGGGAAATCGTGTCCAGTAGCCCAGCGCTCGTAGTGCTTATAACTTTTCCCTACATGTTAGTCCAGCCTATCCAACGCTTACTTACTATCCAAGCTTCTAGCAACTCACTTGTATGCATTGGCAACAATATACACATTCTTAAACAATGTTCTTGCTGCATCATACCACCAGCTCAATGCAGGACGACCCGAGATGGGAAGCAACGATCGCGGAAGATCGTGCCATTGCAGTAGACGTGAAGTGTAGCCGTTCTACAATGTAGCGTTTGTTTAAAAAGTCCGAACGGATTATATTTTGTGTGTGTGGTTTTCTTCCTCAAGAACTTAGTGTGTGCCCCGGCCTATTTGTTTTCGTACCTTGATATCTACTTCTAGTTTTGAGGGCGTCAAAGTTGATGCCAATAGTATGAGCGTGTCCATAATCTCTGTGTGTGTGTGTGTGTGTGTGTGTGAAAGAAAGAAAGAACGAGAAATTAGCCCTTTTTGATTTGGAGAGCGCTTTGTAAACTTTTGTGTATGTAAAACGCGGGAAATTCTAATTTTACGGGACATGCACTACTATTTGCATAACTGTAAAAGATGCACTTGGTTTTGAGAGGTTAGACAGAGCATCGAGTGCATTGATGCAGCCTTTGTCTTGCTGTCTATATAATCGTATCAAGTAGCTCAAGAAGGGGTTTTTTTTATGAAAGAGTGATCGTTTTGACTTGAGATCGGAACAATACTGCCAGAAAAAATTAACCCGGTTGACTCTGGGTCGAATGATCAAGAGCCCGCGATATTGAACCTTTCATTTAAAAGTTGCATAAAGCAGCAATTAAAGTAGAATTTGAGTTGCATACCCACAGCAATAGCGTATATTCCTGCCATGTGCACATGAGTGACCCCCCCCCGTCCCTGTGATAGAAAGCCCTGTTTTCAGCTTTTCAGTGGGCCAGGTCAAGTCGTACGCATTGCAGTAGTATATATTCGTTCATATCAGAACTGGCTGCACTACTTTCCATAGTGGTATATGATACATCAGATATGATCTACTGTACAAGAAGCATAAGCAACATTGCTATCATACGATATCAAGCTTCGTTTTCTTGTGCCACCCCTTCACGCTCTGATGAAAAGGATCGGAGCAAGGTCTATTTTAAGGGGGCAGGACAGGGCAGGACAGGGCAGGTTATAAAGACAATTAGCTGGCCACGTTTCCCTTTGTCGGGCATGAACGAACCAAAAAAACCAGATCACCTGAGTAGTACAAAGTGAAGGACTTTTATTTTTTTTCTTTATTCTTTGGATGAAATACTCTATGTTTTGTAAGAAGAAAGTATGGGTGGTGTGTACTACTGAAACTACGATGCTCTAAATGTGTAAATATTGATAGGATAGGTAGGTATGAATGGTATATAGGTAGGTATGAATGGTATATAATAAGATGCTCTCTTCAAGATGACTATGTGGGAATGGTATGAGACATTCTGTTGTGGTGGATGGGTTAGGGGTGTCTGGAATGATGGCCAAGATTATTAATTAACAATGGGCGGTAGTAATAATAGGAATGATAATGCCAAGGTGCACAAGGGGGGGGGTTGAATACTGCTTTTTGAGTTTGTTTGTTTGTTTGTTTGTTTGTTTGTTGCCACAAGACAGACACAAGTTTTTGTTTTGCTCTTTAGGCCATGTGGGCAGGAGCGTCAGGAAGGGTTGCCACGACAGCGTTTCTGCGACGTAGTGCATAGACAGGTAGATCGATTGTATCGCCACCGTCGAGCGTAAGCGTTGCTGTTGCATGGGGACTCTGCTGAAGCCATTGGGTGATGGATGCTGCCGAAAGATAGTCGGAAGCGGTGGCGAGGATCGTTCCGTTGCTGTCCTGAATCGAGTACCGGCGATCTACACTGGCAAAGAACTCCTTGTTGGTGTCTGTTGGCGTCGTAGCTGGCGAAAGTGAGGTCGGGGTGGTCGACATGGTTTTTTTGGTCTTACGGATGATGTGCGCAACGAAAAGAAGAAAAGAGAGAAAGAGAGACAACTTCCATGCGCCGCCACCCGCTCAAAGACAGAAAGGGAAAGGCTTGTATGTGTGTGTATACATGCATGTGGCTTTTACTTTTATTTTCTTCTTTTTGGTAAACGCTTTGATACACTTTAGAGATCGCTCTATGTACTAGCAGCGACATAGTAGAAGATCACCCTCGTCTCGTCTAATACCAACAAGACTATCATTACTCATTTGCCCTTTTTCTTCTCGGACCCCTCCCTTCCCCTTTACATAATTGCTCCCCTGTCTCCATGATGTAAAGCGGCCGGCAGCGAAAAGTGCAAGTGCTCAATCGGATCATGTTCCTTGGTTTCTATGGCTTGACAACCTATCGCCACATATGCTGGGTTGATAAAAGGCCGGGCGTTCCTGCCGAAAAATTACCCACTCGCATTGGTTCCATCTTCCGATATACTACTACTATTACTACTTTATGCTGCCCCCACCCGATGACACAAGTGAGTCATCCACCTCACCCGCCAGCATCTTGACTCCCCATGTGGTGGTTTACGCCGTTTCTCAAAAGGACTCATACCTAAAGACCCGGTAGACATATGGGATGGGATACCCACACGAGTCGGCATAATAATACTACATATTTTTCTTGAGAGGTTCATGAGGCGAGTGAATAGCGGCTTTTTGCCGTGATTTAAGGTGAACATGTATATTCCATGTGCCGACGCGAGAGAAAAGAGAAAAACGGGGCTCAACAGTAAATAAACCGGCGTCGTCCTGCTCCACTTTGCCCTCTTTGCCCCTATTACACCAACCAGCAAACAATAAAAATTCTTTTTCCGAACTTTGACTCTCTCTCTCTCTCTCTCTCTCTCTCTCTTTCTTTCTTTCTCTCGATTAACACTCATTGAATGGCGCGAACAGCAGCAGGAGGAGGAGGAGGAGGACGTGACCGACCACAACCCATAGCGCACCTTACAGGTGGTGCAGTATCCGGCATGACCTCATGCATCATGTTACAACCATTAGATCTGATAAAGACTCGACTTCAACAGTCCAACCGTGACGCTGCGCACTTGAAGAACACCCTCACAACCCAACTTAAGAAAAAACAGTAAGCTGCCTATTTTTTATATTTTGTCACAGTGTAACCTTAATAAAAATTGCTACGCATAAAAAAAAACAACCTTCTACCCCCCCCACACACACACATGCACACTGAGAAGGGGTTAAGAGATCATACATATATCTTATGCAATTGATTAGTACCATGTTAACGACCATACAAGATATCGTCAAGACGAACGGAGCAGCAGGACTTTGGCGTGGTACTGTACCTACGATTGTTCGGTGAGTGAATGGATAAGAAAGAGGGAGGGCGAGAGAGAGAGAGAACCCCTATGCTCACCTCCAATCGTAGAAATGTTCCGGGGACAGCCATCTACTTTACGACACTTTCAGAAATACGCAATGCTATCTCTGCATCACGATCCACTTGGCAGCCTGTGTTATCAAGGGTCACTGGTGTTTCCTATCAAAAGCAAGAAAAGTACGAAAACTTAATAGCCGGTATAACAGCGCGTGGTGCTGTTGGATATATTTTGATGCCATTCACTGTTCTCAAAGTTCGCTATGAGGTAAGAAGCCCCAAAGAGGGGAGGAGTCGCGTCTGTTAATTGGGTGATGTCTGAACGCGGGTGAGTTTTTTACATGTTTCCAGAGCAATATGTATAACTACGGATCCATGCTGGAAGCTTTCAGATCCATCGTCAAATACGATGGAGTTCGTGGTACGTTTCGTTGTAACGGGGAGAGACAAAGGATATAGTACAAAAGGCTGAGACCCGTTTTTTTTTTCTGAATGTTTAGGATTGTTTGCTGGTTATGGGGCGACATTTATTCGTGATGCACCCTTTGCTGGCATCTATTTGTTCTTTTATGAACACTGGAAGTCAATGGCTAACGGTACGTAGCACTCTTTTACTATCGCTTTGTGAGATACAACAAAAATTAAAAACTCCTTCCTTCCTTCCTTGAACCCTCCCTTTTTAAAAAACAAGGTTGGAAAAGCCAACACGATGTTCCTGTTGCCAACGTCGCTATCAATCTTGGTGCGGGTGTAGTGGCAGGCACCACAGCAACGTGTATTACACAGCCATTCGACATGATGAAGACCCGGATGCAACTCGACCCACACATTTATCCAAACATCTGGGCTACTACACGGCGGGTGTTCTTAGAGGACGGTGTCAAGGGATTCTTTGATGGCATCAGCTTACGGCTTGCCCGTAAACCTCTAAGTTCGGCTATATCCTGGGCTATATATGAAGAAGTCGTCCGCTTCTTCTCCAAACGTCGAGAAGCCATGTCTCAAACCGCTCTTTGAGAACTTTTTCTAATCAACACTAATTCATACATATAAAACAGCATCTTTCATACACAAACATTCAACACCCCCCCACCCTCTCACATCTCTTCCCTCTTGCCCAACAACTACAAGTCGCGTCGCATTTCTTTCTCAATGGTAGATGATATATATATCGCATTCATTTTTTGTTCCTCTTGTTTTTATCCCACTGTTCATTCCTCACGAAAATAAACATCCCACATATATCAACAGCATGCTGACAACGAGCAGATCTTGATGTAGATAGCATCTGGACTTTTCCTTATGCTACCGCCGGCAAAACAAGATAATTTATACATTAGTAGACGCGTTCCATCACAACAAAAAAATACGCGCTTCCCTTACGTCACTCGTAGGACCCTACCAGCTCCCCAACAGCGAAAAGCATCGCGCGAAAATCCCCTAGTAACAGAAAGTTTTCAAGTTTTGTTAATATGAAAAAGACACAATGGAAACTGTAGGAGCTTTCCAGCTCGATTTTCATTTTAAAACGCAGAAAGCCTTATGTAGGCTTCTCCTCGCTATTTCCACGCACAGTAGTACGACTATGAGTGGCAACTACTATAAACAAAAATACGGCAACAAGCGGCAAAAGCAAGCATCGCACCAGCAAGCATCGTACCAGCAACAAAAGCAACGATTCCAAGATAATAATGGTGTGCGCAGTATGTCAATTCATCAGTGTACAATGAAAGGCAGAAGATCATAAAAAAACTCTTGACGTTTCCTCCTTGATTTTGACAGCTCCTGGCGATCTTGCACACCATCTCCAACAGCTGGATCGCCAACAATACGGCGCGTATAAAGAATTGCTGAATTGTAAGGTTTCTGAAACTCTTACAAGTTTTTTCTTTTGGTTATTTTGGCTGACGTCTGTTATTTTTTTTCCCTATTGTAGACGAATATTCTCTTCCTGGCTTCACGCTTATTTTCGACAAAGTGCAGTCAGACCCGTTTGCGCCACCTTCTCGCATCCGAGTCCTCGTCAAGAATGACATTGCTCAGTTTCCGGATATCTATTACTCCAGCAATGATCGGTACTTTTAGCTTTTTTTTTTTATATCGGGCCTCAAAGATGGGGAGGGAGAGCTTCTTACTGTAATTTTGCATAGTCGCGTCGCGCTGTCAGATTATCTGACGCGTGAACTTGTCTCCAAAATTAAAGTTTTGAGAATGGATCGCCGGTTCAATACCAGTCATTGGAACGATGTGAAAGGTGGTCAATTTGAAATCATGCAACCAGGACAGCAAATACTCGATCGCACGAGTATCGTTATTTATCAAGGCCATATTGAAGCTCGATTTACCTTTGGCTTACCTGCACGCGGTAAAAAGTTTGTTTCATACATCTGTCCGCTTTTTCTCTTTCCCATTTTGTTGATCAACTATTTTACTTTTAAAATTATCAAAGGAAGAACGATTACTGCTCAACGGGCAATGGATGTGCTTACAGGGCAGTTACCCGATATTGTTAAATATGCTCTCAAGTTCACTTTGCTGGATCAACAGGATCTAAAGAGTTTCATCGAATCCTACGAGGATCAACAGTGGCTGCGGAAACAGCTGGCTGTTCAAGGTGAAAAGGGCCAATCTATTTATTAATAAGAGGGGGAGAATTACGAGAGTTGTTACGTGTATCCTAATTTTGGTTATTGGGTGTTGGTCATCACCAGATCTCGTCGCCTTTGTGCCTGACGGAGCCATGCTCCCCCGTGAATCTGGAGTTTCGTATAAACCGCTCAAAACACAGAACGCAGTTCCTTTCAAATCACCAGAATCTCTTAAAGTTGATTTTGCCTGCCCATCCGGCAAACGTGTGACAGGCATGGGTATTCGACGAGGCATTACAATGATTGCGGTAAAGTGGTTTCTAATACCAATGATATCCGGTACAATTGCTTAAGGGTTATCATTACGTTTTAAAAAAACCAATATCAAACTAAAACATTTCTTTCAATTGTAATGGGTTAGGGTGGTGGTTACCATGTGAGATACCGAGTTTCCAATATCTTTCTTCATCTCAAAAGGTGTTTTGCAGCTTGAGGAGTGTGCAGACAGTCACTGATTTGTTTGAAAAACACTATGTAGGGCAAATCGACGCTTCTGGAAGCTTTGGAGCATGGCATCTATAATCACATTCCTGGTAATATTTTCACCCTCTCTTTATTCTGCATCCATATAACTTTTCTGAAGAAGCAACAACGATGGATGGACTAAGAGGAAGGGTTAATAAAACGACAGGTGATGGACGAGAATATCTGGTCTGTGATCCAACCTTATGCAAAATCAGATCCGAGGATGGACGCAGCATTGAAGCAGTCGATATCAGCCCATACATTGACAACCTGCCTTTTGGAGTTGATTCCACATCATTCAGCACCAAAGATGCCAGCGGGAGTACATCGATGGCAGCAAGTATCCAGGAGATGGTTGAGGTAAAAATTGCGAACTTACCTTGTTTCATGAGCTATTTCCATGTTTATGCATGCTACTACACCTACTACTACTACCATCTAAATTGCCCAAACTAGATCGGTGCAGGAACTTTGCTTTATGATGAAGACACCTGTGCCACCAACTTTATGATCCGGGACCAACGCATGCAACGTATCATCCAGAAAGAAAATGAGCCAATTACGCCACTTGTCTACAAGATTCGATCATTGTACCTAGAAAAAGGTGTCTCGAGCATATTAGTAATCGGTGGTTGTGGTGATTACGTTGACGTGGCAAACTGTGTCCTTGAAATGAGAAATTATTCTCCACGGTAAATATCTACATATGCAAAAACCGATTCCTTGTGCAAAAACGCTGCTGCTAGGTTTATCTTCTTTTTGTCAACTAATTTTCAAATGGTTTGCAGTGATATTACAGAATTTGCCAAGGAAATTGCTTCTCAATATCCATCTGACTTGCGCCAAGAAGGAGGTAATAATCTTACCTGCACTACCGCTTTTAAAGGGCTTTTTTTATAGTATGTATTAAATCAGTTAATAGGAACGACATATGGAAACGTGGCGCATCGCAAACTTTGCATCCCGGAGCATACATTGGGAAAACAAAAAGTCAACAGCATGTCCAACATCAGTTATGACGGTCAAGAGTTGGTGTTATCTGCAGCATCAAATCTTGTGGATCGAGGACAGACAAACTGGATTGTGGCCGCCATTCCATATTTGTATAAAGAAAGAAGCACGATACAATTCACATTGAAGGATGCCTTGTATCAGTTGGACAGCAAGATCGATGCTGACCCTACTCCGCATCCAAACCAGATGCTTCGTGCGCCAATGGATATTGTGGACCTTACTGTAGCGACTGGCGAGTATGCACGGCCTACTGTATTCCAGCTAGCCCAAGCCATTAATCGACTTCGTGGTCTCAAAGCGGTTTCTCCTCTTTCTTGAATACCTGCACTGATTGAATTGCCCTTCTTCAATAAGTTCCTCGTTCTATCCTTTACTATCACCGATCTATCCATTTCAATCATTCAATCTATTTTTCTGCTGTACATCCCTTGAAAAAATACTTGCTTTTTTTCATGTAATTTATTACAATTTAGTCGCACCTGATTATACATATATTGATATAGTTTCTCACTTGCATGATTCATTCGTCTTTGCATTCGATAATGATGATGATGATGATGTCTGTTCCTCTTGTTGCTTTTTCAAGAATCGTTCAGCTTTGGCGTTATCCACCTGGGATGCCATCCGGCTGACAAACACATAGATTGCAGCAATAACTGCCAAGCCAGTCCAAAACCATGGATTGCTAGATAAGTGGTCGTTTTATCAGCAAAATAGTATAGTCAAATAGAAAGTGTCACCCACGATCAAACTGCTTACGTTAAGGGGGTATCGACTTGAAGCATTTCAACATCATAGACAACTGCAGAATTAGCTGTATACCATGGGATTAGATAGTGTAGTTGCTAAAAACCTAAAGTTGCCAATCAGAGACGCGACTTACGAGGAATTTTGCCCGGTAGTCCCATCTCACCAAAGGCTACACGAATCAAATTGAGTAAGAAATAGATAAGCGTAAAAGCAAACGGGGAGACAATCTATCTTACCCATATCAGCTGGCACCAATAGACGGCGAATCTCGCCCTCACACATGCCCTGGATTCCTTTTTCCAATCCGTCCATTAATTTATCTCTTCCTAAATATACAAATATATGATAAACACCGTGAATATCGTTGTAGCCCACACTCACAGATTCATATCCGCTTGACGGATTTCTATTTACTTTTTTTGGCCATAATTACCTAGTTTAAACGAAAGAGGTTTGTTGTCGGAATACGTATTTTCGAAAGGTGCCTCAGTGTCCCACGCACGCGCTATAAAGTGCATTTTGACTCTTGCATTCTGTGACACTGTGGTTCGACATGTGTCCGATGGCTTCAGAATGCCTATACTCAAAAAGGAAAAAGTAAGTTTTTCGTCTTTTCTTTTTTTTAATAATGCTCCATTGAGCCCTTAATGTCTGGAAACCGAGGTTGTTGTTGTTGGTGAAATAAACTTTACCGCCTTTTAAAGTGGTAGGTTGCTGCTGGCCTTCTTCCTGTGCCTGAACTACTTGACACAGCAACAGGAAGCATGCGAGATAACAAGACAATAAGCTTTTCCACATAATGTGTGTGTGTGTGTGTGTGTGTGTGCCAGATAAAGAACGAGAACAAGAGAAAGAAGAAGAGAAAGGGAACGAGCGGTTAACGATTGTAGTAGCGCGCACAGGACAAGCGGAGTGCCATGGTCACAAAAGAAGCTTATGTTCGGTTGGCAATTATACATCAGATCATAAATCCGGTTAAACTTTTGCAAGTCGGTTGACATGGAAAGCTGCACTACCCAAGTTGCTCTCTCTCTCTCTCTCTCTCTCTGATGCACTTGAGGATGGGCACCTCGATACAAACCACTCCGTTTCCGGAAAAAACAATAGACGACGATAGGCATTTGACATCCATGCAGTGAATGCTCTTCTCCCAAAAACGGCAAGAAAAATCACGAAAGAAGGTTTCTTACGATAGATGAAAAATAATTCCTGTCATCACACCCTCTCATCATCACCATCATCATGCTGCTGCAGCTATACTTTTCTCCCTTCCCGCATGACGTACCACAAAACGCCATGGTACTTTGGAAACAAAAAGACATGCACAACACGCATCCTTGGAAGCAGCACGTCTTCTTCTTCCAACTTTCGTTTTTTTCTTTTATTTCCACGACCGCCCCCTTTCCAGAAAACACCAAAAAAAAAAAAACCTTAAACCGCACCCGTTGTCTTTCTTTTTTCTGGCTTTTATTAACCAAACCATGACGACGACGTTACCAAGACCACCGTCGTCCGAGACCGAGCCACTACTGTTGCGTGACAACAGCAGTGATAACAACAACAACAACTACTGGTGTTGGTTTGTTCTGTTTGCTTTCTCGCTGTTATCCTTTTCCAGTGCACTCATGTGGGACACTTTTGCGCCATGCCTCTACATTTTCGCCGAATACTACTTTGACGGAAACATTACTACAGCCACAGTGAATGCCATCAATGCAATGTCCTTGATTTATATGCTAATCTACCCACTTGCGGTGCAACCCACGCTGCGCTTTTTCGAGGACGACGCTGTGGCAAAATGCCCTGGATCTGGTCTCAAACGCGGTATTCTGATTGGCGCGTCTTTAAACATGCTTGGCGGCGCAATCAGGTGGTTCGGAGGTGCCCAGGATCGCTATGTCGTGTTATTCATGGGACAAACGGTTGCAGCAATAGGTACTAGGTTTCTTAAAACATGGAAACAGCAAAATGCAATATCCCTGTCCTTTACATGCTGTTGTGGTTTTGTTGAGAGGAAAAGAAACGACACCCGTGTTTTAATACTACTATTTTTAGCACAAGTATTCATGCTATCTATCCCGCCACGACTCGCAGGCACTTGGTTCCGAGAAAGCCAAGTCAATATTTCAACATCCATCGGTGTCTCGAGCAATAATCTCGGCGTAGCTGCTGGGAGTATCTGGGCGCCCTTGGCTGTGCATGCCGCGACCATGACAAAAGACATTCCGCGATTGCTGTTTTGGCAGGTAAGGTCAACTGGGCAAGTTTGTATCCTAGAAATTTCTCCCCCCCCCTAATCACTATGGTAACAAAATTCCCTTTTCTATGATATAAAAAAAAGTTTCTCTTGTGTGTGCTGGCATGGGCCCTCATCTATATCGCATTCAGCCGTAGTCCCAGTATCATCAACACCAAGTACAGTGAAGGCACGAGCAGTAACGACACTGTGAACAACTATAAAACGAACAACGATGACGACGACGAAGAGGATGAAACGACTCCAGAAGAAGCTCCAGCAAAAAGCAGTAATGCATACGAACAAGCAAAAGTCTTGTGGTCACATCGATCGTTTTATCACTTGTTATTGTCTTACGGCATTATCAATGGTGGGCAATGTGCCCTCGTGACGCTTCTTGCTCAAGTACTGCTTCCTTCGTTTCAAGACGGCCCAAGCGCAATCGATGAAGGATACATTGGATGGGTCGGTTTCATGATGCTGCTAGCCGGTATCCCTGCAAGCTGGGCAGTCGGCTTCTATCTCGATCGAACATTCCAGTATCGCGTGACCTGCAACGCGTTGGCCATTCTCAGTTCGCTAAGCATAGCTGGAATGTATGTTGCAATTGAGTTGCAATATCTTCCGGCTGTCACTTTCAACTGGTAAAATAGGAAAAATTACCGTTTTCTTAAAGTGGTGCTGCTGCCATAGAGTCTCAAAAAGCTAAAAACAATGTGCGCTCTCATCTACTTAGTATCATTTTTGGACTCGCATCGTCAGGTAAGAAAAAACATCCTTGACACAAATTACATTCTCCTTAAAGTCGATACATTTACCCCGGGTGGGTATATTTTCCAATGACCAGTCATTTGATATCGTTTCTCAACAAACAACCACATATTCTTCTTTATACTTATGAACAAAAAAAAATACCAGCCATTATACCCGCAGTGTTCCAGTATGCAAGCGAACTTTATTACCCGATCGACGAGAATATACCCGCTGGATATCTGTGTACCGCCAGCAACTTGAGTGGAGTGCTTCTTGCAGTAGCGATGGGCTGGACAGAAAACAACAAGACCGTGTTTTCTATGCGACTCCCTGTGCTCGGACTTGTTCTGATTACATTCATCAGTAATATATCCATGTTCCGGGTCAAAGGCCCATTGAAACGACATGGAGTAGAGTCCGCTTCACATGTACAATAGATGATGATGCTTTTCCTCCTTCTCTCGCTTCCCGGCAATGTACACACTCCATGTATATAGAAAACTGCTTTCTTTTTTATTATTATGTAATCAATATATAGTACATTTAGCGCGTTTGAAATTTGAGATATGCCTTGATTTCTTTTGGAATTATATGAAAATGTGAGTATGTGTGTGATGTAATGTGGAAATTATGTGCCTTTTGCTGTTTAAATTTCGAAGCGTTGTCTATTGTGTAGGCTCTTGTTTAGACAATTGATCCAGCAAAAGGTGTCTCGAGTCAACACCTTGCAGACGTCGACGCTTGCCATCGAGCCACAGCATGGTCTCGGCGTAAGTCTTTGGTAAGATGCGACGAGGCTCGACCTGATCATCGGTAGCAGCCATGGTAAAGTAAAACACATTCGTCGTCTCGCGTTTGGACTTTTCGATATCCACGACCTCGGCAACCACTCTGACTTGGAAGGATCTGTGCGGATGTCCCTCTGCATAGATGATTTCGCTCTTCAAGTTCAACAGCGTGCCGACATGGACAGGTTTACGGAAAATGACTTCGTCCATGGCGAGCAAGTCCGCGTGACGGGACTTGAGGTACAGAATTGCATCCGCATACGCCAACTCATAAGCACGGCGCATGAGATAACCGCCAAAAATGTTATTGTGGATATTGCGGTCTTGCGGTTGCATCAGAAAGTTACTGTCGATCCGCGTGTCTTCCATCCACACAAAGTCTTTGGGTAAGGGCTTCTTGTCTTCGGCGGACACGGAACTCGTAAACGAATCTTCTTCAGCGCCCTTGTATTGCGAATACTGCAAGTAGATGTCGTGGATGGCCAAACGCTCCTCGTGGGTTGGAGGGTGGCGACTGAGCGTCGTTTCAGCCGCACGTTTCTTACGTGCCTTGTTGGACCGAGCAAATTCAAACAGGCGTTCTTCGGCCGGTGTCTCTGTCTTGAGCGGGTTAATCTTGGCTGATTTACGGGTGACTGAGTCGATAGCGACCATGGTAAAGCGCGTTGCTAGCACCGTGTTGGGACCCATGTGGCCAAGGTCCTCGAGTGTTTTCGGTGTCGTTTGGATTTCCTCGTTCGCATTTGACGGCAATCCTTCCGGGACAATCTCCGCCTTTAGAAATACTGAGTTTATCGCGATAAATGTCAATTTAGCAACTAAACAAACAACGTAGCAACACTTGAACGGTGCTACCCACCTTCCATCGAGCTGGTGCCTACATATGTGACTTGGCCGATCAACTTGTAGTCTTCCACAGCTTTAGGCAACAGCAGATCCAATCGATCGACACAGGCAGTAACAATAGTGACGGGCGGAGAGTTGGGATCTCCGTTATCAACATGCTTATACGCAATTGCGCCAGCCATAGCATCCAGGTCTTGAACATTAAATTGCTTTTAATTTCGTGGCTATTACATCATCATCACCCTCCTCTGCCGAGTGGATCCCTCCCCCCCCCCTCTTCCTTACCTTCAAGCAGCTTGCCGGTGCGGATACGGCCATCCACAAAAATGTATTCTTCCAACAACGCAGGTGACGACTTGAATGGAAGGTCCATTTCCATGTAACTATCGGACATCTAATAAAATGACAGCAGCCAGAGAATTCTATTCAGCTTTTGGCGGGGAAAACCATAATAAAGATCACAGCAGATAATGGGGAGATTGTGCAAGCCCAACAGCGACAAGATGAAGGCCGCAATACCTTTTTTTCAACCAATTTACGTGGCTGCTGAGGTTCTGTGGGGTCGATTGGCTTTTGATTCTCTCGGTCCATGATCTTGTCCATCCAATAATGCGTAGGGCGAACAGAGTAGAGTGGATGGTGGACAGCTATATGTTTGTGGGAAAAAAACAAACAATTCGGTTGGCTTGGTGGTACGGGAGAACGGTTTGTTCTCGAAAAAACATAAACTTACATAGAGTGTCTCTTGAACGCAAGCGTGTCGCTGAAAAGGCGCGTGCTTGCATCATGGATTGGCGCCATGCCGTCAGTCGTTGACAGCTCTGCAGTAAACGAAGCCTCGACTGAATCATTTCTTATCAAAGAAGAAAGTAAAAGTAAAAGAAGAAGAAAGCTCAACACTTAACCCCAGCGCAGTAAACCCCTCCCCTTCTCTATCACCTTTTTTTTTTTGTTCGGTTCGGACTTTTTGGTGTTTGGCATTCGCGAGTCTGCCCGATATAAAAAAATAAAAAAGCAGCTTTGGGCGCCGAGTACAAAAGATCTTGAAGAACCAACACACGATACTTTATATATCAAAATGCTTACTTGCGAGAAACTGTGGGAACGTAAACTCAAGGATCCGATCAATTGCCTTCAAGTCGGCAAACCATTCCTGGAAGAGCTTAGTGAAGAGAATGACATTCTCATTGGCACAACAGCAGGACGCGTGCTCATTCTCAATCAAGACAAAGTATGAGTTGTCCGTCCTAAACGCGAGGAGGGAAGAGGGGACAACACAAACAGAGAAGGGAAAGAATACTCCCATGCTCACATACTCTTTTTTTCTGCAAAACCACTGGGTTATATGATTAGCCACCCGAAGTTCTTTTGGAAACCAAAGGAGGCTCAGTCCAGGCACTCAATCTATACGATCTCACAGGTCAACGTGCCCTTGATCTGGTTGTTGGCGATTCTGACGGGGTCATTACAATGTTTTCGAAACAACAGATTCTCAGCAAACAAGAGATCGGGACAGCCGTGTCGACAATTGATATTTTCAAGGATTTGGGTATAATTACACCATTTCACAGCGTACAAGCGGGTTCATACCTCTCTCTCTTTCTCTCTCTAAACCATTTCATGTTTCTCTTTTTTTTTTCTAGAGCAGGGCTATGAAATCATTGCAGGTGGCATGAATGGTACAGTCACTGGCTTTCAACCTCACGAGATATTCTGGTCGCTCAAGGTTGCAGAAGAATCGGCAAAGATTGCGACGTTGAACATGGTAGCTTTTCCCAAATAATAAAAAAAGCGCGCGTGTGTGTGTGTGTGGGGGGGGGTGGGCATGAAAAAAAAATTGGGAGGCGCATGAATTTAACAAAAAAGATGATAGAAAGGCCGACGGTCACCGTACATCCACTGTATCCTAGCAACCACATTGAACGATCCATTTGGACAGTCCATGGCTGTGCTTCTTGTGTGCGATGGATGGCCATTTGTCCATTTCTTACGCGGAAGTAACCGGATCCTTTCGTTGAGAGTACCTGCCGTGATCTGCTCGGTGAGTCTTTATTTTTACTTGATATACGTATACCCGAGAGGATCAAACCTCCCCATTAATTATATAGAAACCAAAATAGATGACAGCCGGAAGATTCCTTACCCATGCAACAGCACGCAGATTCACTAAATCAGACACTAGATCAAAAATTGATCTAGAAGACAAAGCATCATCCACGGACAAACAAGTACTGCTGGCAGGAGAAGACGGATATGTTTATGTCATGATCAACTATGAGGTAAACTATAAAAAAAAAGGGGGGGCATCTTCTTTTTATGTTTTTCAAGCCATTCATCTATAATCCTATTGTTAGATCCATCCGTTATTCAATGTTGGCTTCCGGCTGAGCAAGATCATGGGCTTTAGACCATCGTTTCTGGAAGACGATGACCCCGACTTGGTGATCTGCGTGGGCTATGCCAACCGCGCTCTTGTTTATCGCAGTGATCAAGTAAGTCCGACGACGACGACGACGACGGATGAAAAAGTAGCATGTGTGCCCTGGTTGCCTAATCAAGACACTAACCCCAATTTTCCACAACAGCGGATATGCGAGATCGCCACCACCGATTGGCCTCACAGTGTCACCATGGGTGACGTGAATGCAGATGGACAGGATGAGCTGGTGCTAGGACTCTTGGATCAAACGGTCCAAGTCTATCGATGGGTCAAGCGTGACGAACAGCACCAACAGCAACAACAAAAGACCTCTTGAAGGAAAAGAAAAACAGATGATGCTGCTGTTTTGTGACGGGGGAAAAAAAGACACGGCTAAATATTTTTGAAGCAAACAATGTCGGCGGTCCAAAAAGCATCAAGAGGTGTGTGTGTGTGGGGGGGGGCGGTCCTTTGTGATCCTGCTTCGCGACACGTTGACAGACGGGATGATGTGGAAGCAACATGTGGGGGTTGTTGCTTTGGGAAGTAGCATAGCAACCCAGAGTTAATGATGGCATATTGCATAACATGTACAAAACAAGCCATGCAGCGAGTGAGTGAGTGAGTGAGTGAGTGATTGAGTGTAGCACTTGAGTCATCCTCTGAAGACTCCGATGCAAAATTATAAAATAAAAGAAAAATATGCCTTTCCCCAACCCTCTTCTTCTCTTCGCTCTAACAAACACTTTTTCAAAAGCATGTCTCAAGGCTTCTCCACACAGCGCCCCCAGCCTCCACACTTTCTGACCACGGCCGACTACACCGCCGAGCAGCTGCTCGATCTTGTTCATCGCGCCATTCAGTTCAAAGTCGAGTCCAAGTACAACCACCCGCAACCCCGGACCGAGCGACCATTGACTGGCAAGACCATGGCTTTGGTCTTCTCCAAGCGCTCTACGCGTACCCGCGTTGCCACAGAGACCGCCACTGCTTACCTTGGTAATTGACTCGTTCCTCTTTTGCAATAGCATCGTTTTTAAACATAGGAGCCTGTTGTCCATTTCATATATAACTTACACACACGCATTACCAACAGGCGGCCATGCCATGTTCTTGGGTGGTCAGGATATCCAATTGGGCGTGAACGAGTCGTTGTTGGACACCTCGCGTGTTGTGAGCTCCATGGTCGACGGTATCATGGCTCGTGTGAAGGGTCACGAAGAGATCGAGGTATGGTTTATATTTATATAAAAGGGAAAAAGTGATAGATCGTGCCGTGTCAGGTGGTTTGCTGGATGATCTCTCTCTATCTCTCGATCTCTCTCTAAAAATAAAGCTCTGTGTAATGTGTGTGTGTGTGTGATTGATAGATGCTCGCCAAAGAAAGCACAGTCCCTGTGATTAATGCATTGTCCGACAAGTACCATCCCACCCAAATTTTGGCCGACTTGATGACCATCCACGAATTCGTCCACCACCGCAACAACAACGTCACCGACCGCTACACTGCACACACCCAGCACCCCCGCGAGACCTTGAAGGGCCTCAAGGTCGCATGGGTGGGCGATGCCAACAACATTTTGCAAGAAATCCTCGTCGCTTTCCCCAAGGTCGGCATCAGCGTCGCTGCTGCTGCCCCTCCCAGCTACAAGTGTGACGACGATGTCGTTGCGATTGCCCACGCCGACGCAGAAAAGACCGGCGCCACCGTCACCTTCACAACCAAGCCCGAAGAGGCCATCAAGGATGCAGATATCATTGTCACCGACACCTGGGTCTCGATGGGCCAGGAAGAGGAAAAGGCCAAGCGTTTGAAGGAGTTTGAGGGTTACCAGGTGACGATGGATTTGGCAAAGCGTGGTGGTGCCAAGGAGAACTGGGTGTTCATGCACTGCTTGCCCCGCAAACCAGAGGAGGTCGATGATGAGGTCTTTTATTCGGACCGTTCGCTCGTCTTCCCCGAAGCAGAGAACCGAAAATGGACCATCTTGTCTGTCATTGATGCCCTGATGGTCCGAGGTGGTATCTAAGAAAAGACACCGAGTACATAGCAGAATGTCATGTTCCTCTTTTTGTATAGAAAACTGAAAATAAAAAAGTACATATATAAATAAATCCACTTCTTTTCGTTTCCCATTTACACCATAATTACCACAGCAACATGCCGTATTTTTTGACAAGGCTCAATAGCCAAGATTGTACTAGGCAGAAAGTTTATTCACTGTTGTTAGTTAAGTCATTTAACCACACCTCTGCCTTTATACTGCCCGATAAAAGTTTCTTAATACAGCGAAGGTAATGTTAGCGTGGCCGTTACAGCACATACAGTAGCTACAAGGATGATCGACAGCCAAAATAAGCAATGGTTCCATGTAACTTATATTCCTGGCCCGTTTGACATGTGCGATTGGATGGTGCCATGAAGCACAACATAGACATAGGATAATGTACATTAGAAAATCAAATCAGCAGCTTTTTAATAGTATAAAGATAATAAAAAAGAGGAAATAGGAAAGGGAGGGGGCGGGAAGGGGGATATGTATACATGAAGAGAAAGAAGATATGTTTTGGTGGTTCAAGCAAAAAGAGAAAGATGTTACAACTACTAATAATGCCATTTTTGATATTATTCTATTCACAAATCATGGAAATCCAGACCAGTGATGGTCTTCTTGACGTATCCAGCACGGATGACCCAGTCACCGAAAGGCTCGCCCTGATTCCGTTCGGCTGCATAGCGCTTGATGATAGGCTTGATCTCGGCCAGAATCTCCTCTTCACGCAGAGACTCCTTGTACAACTTGTTCAAACGTTCACCCTTGTGGCCACCACCCAGGTATACGTTGTATGCACCAGGTGCCTTGCCGACAAAGGCCAATTCAGCCAAGTAAGGACGGGCACAACCGTTGGGACAACCAGTCATACGGATAGTGATGGCATCATCCCGCAGACCAGCTTCTTCTACTGCAGACTCCAAGTGGCCAACCAAAGTGGGCAGGTAGCGTTCAGATTCGGCCATGGCCAAACCACAGGTGGGCAGAGCAACACAGGCCATGGCGTTCAGTCGCAGACCAGTGAACTGGATGTTGTCCATCTTGTACTTGGCCAAATGCTGCTTGGTCTTTTCCAGGTCGGCCTCGGGTACGTTGGCAATCACCAAATGCTGGTTGGGCGTCAAGCGGAACTCACCCTTGTGCCACTTGGCCAACTCGCGCAAGCCAGTCTTGACAGGGAAATCAGGCCAGTCCTTGACCTTGCCGTTTTCAATGAACATACCAAAGTGCCACTTGTCCTCGACACCCTTGCACCAGCCATAATGATCGGCGTTGTCACGGAACTCGAACGGTCGCTCGGCTTCGAAAGTGACACCGCTGCGCTTCTCGACCTCGGACTTGAAGAACTCCACACCGTGGTCGTCGATGGTGTATTTGAGACGGGCGTGCTTACGGTTGGTACGGCAGCCATAGTCGCGCTGAGTGGTCATGACAGCCTCGGCAACAGCCAAAGCATCCTTGGCAGCAACGTAGCCAAACATAGTAGCAGGACGAGGATATGTCTTTTTGTTACCGTGGGTTTGACCCATACCACCACCAACAGTGACGTTGTAACCAACCACAGTCTTGTCTTCGACAATGGCAATGAAACCAAGATCGTGAGCGTAAACATCGACATCGTTGTTTGGTGGCACAGCGACGACAATCTTGAACTTGCGTGGCAAGTAGGTAGGACCGTAGAGCGGCTCAAAGTCTTGTACGGCGTGACCAGCAACCATTTCATCAGCAAGCCAGATTTCGTGATAGGCAGTAGTCTTGGGAGCAAGGTGGGGCATGAGCTCCTCGTGAGCGAATTTTTGTACCTGGGCGTGAATCTCAGGGATCTCAGTAACGGTAGTGACCATGATGTTACGGTTGACATCACCACAGGCAGCCAAAGTGCTCAACAAAGAATGGTTGATGCCACGGATAGTGGAACGCAAGTTGCGCTTGAGAATACCGTGCAATTGGAAGGCCTGACGGGTGGTCATCTTGATGGCACCGTTAGCGTACTTGTCTGCGAGGTCATCCATGGCGATCCACTGCTCGGGACTGGACACACCACCAGGCATACGCACACGAATCATGAAGCTGAAAGCCTTCTCCAAGCCTTGCTTCTTGCGTTCCTCACGGATATCACGATCATCCTGGCCGTAAGAACCATGGAACTTGAGCAACTTGCCGTTGATTTCGGAAATAGCGCCCGTGGACTCGTCACGGAGATCCTCGGCAATGGTACCGCGCAAATAGTTGGATTCAATCTTCATCTGATCGTCGGTAAGCTTGGGAGGTTCGTCATCAGCGCCGATATCCTTGACACCAAGAGCCTTCCACAACTCAGGCTGCCATGCCTGGAAACCGGTCTCGTAACCGTCGGCATCCTGATCGTCACCCATGCCAAGGTCAGTCAAGCGACCAGCACCGAGCGTTTCGAGCTTGGCATCGATCTGCTTGCCAGGACGGTTGTAGAAAATGGCATCCTCCTCACGAGGCCAGTAGTGGCTGTCACCAAGACCAAAGATGGCATAGCGCAGCTCGCCCAAGTTGATATCACCCACAATCAAACCGTTCAATGCCTTCCAGAATTCACGGGCGTTCGAGGGCATCTCACCCTGGCCGGCAGTCGAGATAATGACGACGAGGTTGGTTTCACCGGCAAGGTCCTGGATATCTCCATAGTCATCCATAGCCATCAGCTTGACCTTCAAACCGCGGGACTTGGCGCGTGTAGCAACCTTCTTGGCCAAACCTTCAGCGTTGCCGTTGTCCGAACCAAACAAGACAGTGAGAGGAGGGCCGTTGGCACCGCCAGACAAACCAGAAAGCAACTTGGCATAATCCTCACGAGCCTTGGACTTCAAAGCATTGTGGCGCTTCTTGACATCCTAGAAATTTACAAATATGTAGATATGTGAGTTCCTTCTGCACGATACTTTGATATATCCAACGATTGCTCTCTAATTTATCCAAGTAACATACCGACTCAACGGAGCTCACAAGAGCATTGGAAAAATCGGGGTTCTGAGCAACCAACTGCGTCAAGTGGTTCTCGCGCTTGAGGAAAGTCTCGAGATCCTTCTTGATACGCTGCGAGTCCAAAGTGAATGACTCCTTGTCCTCCTTCTCCAAAGCAGGGTTCCATCGGTACAAGGGCCACGAGCCATTGTCGACGCTGACCTTGGTTTCCTTGAGGGTCTTGAGCGAGTCGCGCGATTCAGCCAAAGGCAAGTAGGCCAAGACAATAGAGGGACCCTTGAAGGAATCGGCTTCAAGCAAAGCGTGCAAGACACCAGTGTACGACGAGTAGATGGCAACGGAAGCAACATAGGCCTCACCATAGTTCATGGCGTACAGACCGATATCCTTCTTGCGCTGCTCACGATCCACCTCGGATGAGTAAGGGGTGGTATCGACAATGAGCATGTTGACGTTCTCGCCAGAGGTCAAAACGTGGTGCACACCAGACTGACCCAAGTCATAAGCCCACGAGTCGGATCCGACCAACCAGTTGGACTTTTCGCGCAACAAATCCTTCTGAGCCAACAAAGTCTTGTCGCCCTGAGCCTCGAGGGTCTTGACCACGGCTTCTGCAGCCACGTCCGTCTTTTCGGGCTGGTACTTGTCAGACTTGGCGAGCAACAGCCAGTGCGAAAGCGTCTTTTGTGCTTCGACGGCCAGCTTGGTATCTTTGACGGCCTTCTCGACAGCGTCGATGAAGCGGGCACGCTCTTGGATCTTGCTGATCAATTTACCGTAGCCATACTCGGGAGTGGCGGTCTCGGGCTTGGAAGCGTTGGGTGCCCACACGGACTCGCTGTTGACGGCGTTGGCAATTTCCAGACGATCCTGGAACACTTGGTCCAAAAGCTTGACATAGGGTGTCTCTATGGGAGTCTGTTGCTGGGCTGGCTTGGCCGAATCAGCAGCCTTTTCGGCAACAACGAAGCGGCGCTCCAAGGTAGGCTTCTCAAGTTGAGCGAGCACAGCATCGACGTCCTTGGCCGAGACAGTGGCAGCATATTGAGCACCGGCAATATCAACCTCACTGTCACCAGCAACTTGGTAGGCCGCGGCGACCTCCAAAAAAACTGGGTTCCACGAAGCGGTATAATCCTGGGGTTCCAAGACAGCGATGCGCTTCACGGACTTGGGAATGGCGTTGAAGAATTCGGCGGCCGAGAAAGGACGGAAGACACGGACCTTGAGCACACCGACCTTCTGGTCCTTGAGCTCTTGGACGCGCTTCTCAGCAGCATCAGCAGCAGCGCCTAATGAGACGATCACATGCTCTGCCTCGGGGTGACCGACATAGGAGAATGGAGCATAGGAGCGGCCAACGACGGACGAGAACTGCTCCAAGACTTGCTGCAATGATCCAAACACATCGACGGATTCCTCCGGTTTGGCAGATTTGTATCGGAGATAAGCTGTTTGTTGTTGAGGTGCTGCATCTTCCTGCTTATACTTTTCAAGATCCTCTTCCGTCACCAGCTTCTGCACCAGTGCTGTGTCGGGCTCAACGCGTTTTAGTTGGTTGTCGTAAAAGTGCAAGAATGCTGTGCGGGTCTTGATGGATGCGGCGTGAGCAATCGTTGCCAGATCACGCGCTTCTTGTTCCGAGGTTGAAACGAGCAAGGCAAGACCGCTCTGGCTCACGGCCATGACCTTGGCAATGGCGTCGGCAGACTGATCGGCCGCGACATGAACAGCAGCAGGTGACCGACTGCTGGCCAGTTGGAAGAGTTGTGGGATAGCAGCGATAAGCGAGTTGGACGAAAGGTGTCGAACGTCGAGTTGGAGGCCGTCGCTATTGTTGTTCTTATTGTCGTTGTTGCGGATCGATGCCATTATTTATGCCGAGTGATATAATACAAAATGAGAAAAGGGTGATATATGTGTGTGACGACGGATAAGATGCGAAGAGGGAGAAAGAGAAGGGGGGGTGTTTTTCCTTTAGTTCAAACGGCAAGAGGCTTAATGGGATAGGATGCCGCTTGCTTATGAAGTAAAAAAAAAGAAGTGGTTTGGAGAGTAAAGAAAAGAAGATGGAAGGCAAAATGACCAAAATTTAGCAGCCACTGGGATTTTTCATCTCACAAAAAAAATAAGCCCGTCTCCAGGGCGGGTGAAACGCCATCAAGAGTCCAAGCACGCAAACTTCTGCTCGTTTAATTGGTCCGCATTTCAATATCCGCATCTCAATCTGACAGCAGTGGGATAAGGCGACACTGACTAAGATCGCCAAAAGGATTCTACAGGCTCTCCAGGAGAATTACACCATTTTCTTTTCAGTCTTGAAACTGCGCTTGTTTTCTTCCGTATATCGACCTTGTTATTCTGCGCTTCAATTGATAACTGGCGCTGGTTGTGGGGAGAGGGTGGGGGGAAATCGTGTGTGCAAAGAAAGAGACCTTCAAAATGGCGCAATTTGTGTATCAGAGCATGGTTTACCCGATTCATGTGCCATGCTTGTGTATCCACAGCAGCAAAAGAAAAAAAAAACAGTCTGTGCATTTGTTGCCAATGGCAGCAAACAACAATAGCTTGTTCAGGAGAGACAAACGATAGACTTGGTTGCACGCTCCAGCCAATTGTTTGGTCAATCCTATAAATGGTGTGTAACATTCAATGTAGACGGATAAGGAGAAAACAATAAACCTGGTTCCTATTGTACCTGTCTCTTTTGCACATTACAAAAATGAGCGAGCTCGATCCTAATTTCGAGCACAATCCTCGAGCATCGCGTTTGACGAGTCGCAGCAGCTATCTCGGAGGAGGGGTAGAAGCTCCCCCGGCTGTCAATGACAGTAGTTCGAGCAGCATACCCAATTCACAAGCCTACCATAACCTTGAAAACGAAAAAGATCTGCCGCATTTACTGCCTACAACGATTTGGACTCGCTTCGTCGATCGCTACCGTTTTGGTAAACTAATACTTGTCGGTGCAGGCATGTTCGGCGTGATTGCCGTAATGCTAATCGTCCTAGGCACTTTGGACGTGTTGCGGAATCGCACCTATCGCTCAACGCTGGGAATTTCTGTTGGAGGAACAAAGTATGAGGGTGATAGCTGGGGAACGGTTTCAGCTGGGCATTTTGATATGGGTGGCAAAGGCGATGGCACTTATTACGGTAAGGAAGTTTTATATATATCCTTCCACGCATAATTGAGTCATTTTGCTGACAGGTTGCATTGTGTAAAAAAAAAAAATCAGATCCGGGAGTCGGGATTCTTGCTTGCGGGACAAGCTATACTGCTCAAGATATGGTGCTGGCGCTGGTAGGCAAATATTTGCTGCTGTCTTTTTTAATAAGGCATGTGGACACATTTTCTGAATGCTTTAGCATCATAGAACTACATTGATTATGGAGAATATGCGAATCCCAATGAAAGCCCGGTCTGCGGTGCATGCATCAAAGTAACGGGTCCTTTGGGCACGGCAGAGGCTACTATCCAGGATAAGGTAACACAGCACTTTACTTTCCATCCATGTCAGATCGCAATAGTCTAACGTGTAGCGTTTATATCATTGTTACAAATTAGTGCCCTGGCTGTGGACAAGGTAAACGAAAGAAAGAAAAAGAAAGTAAAGGTCCGAGACTAACATGAATTTATGATGAAGGGTCTTTGGATCTCTCTCCTGCAGTGTTTGATCAAGTTGGCGATTTCAACGAAGGAAGGATCCCAGTATCATGGGAGCCGTGTTAATTTATCGCTCATCCAATTTATAGCATCCTCAGTTATATACCATTTCAGCCATCACCTCCCCCTTTATAATTTCTAATATAATAGTAATCATAGTATTAAACACAAATGAGCGTCAACAAATTCTATATTTCCATCATCAAACTATACAACCGCTTTAGGGGCAACCATTGTATTCGACAACAGCATATTTACCACTGCAACGCCATTCCAGCGGCGTAACAGTCTTTTCTAACTCTTCCTTCAATCCTTCTGGCAAACCAGCAATTGTGTCAGCCTTGTTAGTACGGAGAGAAACAATGTTGGTGAATTCAGTGCCCATTTCTTTGCCAATAGCTGTCTTGAAGGGTGTAGTAACGGGCCAGTCACAGTCGAACAAGAGCTTTCTAAAGTTCAAGTCACCCTTGAAAATCACAAGGTCGGATTGACGCAAATCATTGAACAACTCGGGCGCTTCCGATTTGAGATACCAGTAGGGCAAGCCAGAGCACCAAAACTTGTGTTCACGGACAATAAGTTTGCCATCATCGACATAGGACTTCCATCGCTTGACCATGGTCTCCAGTGCGATAAAATCGTCTTCGGATCTGTTTTCGTGGTCGGGGAAGAACGTGCGGTCGAGACAGCAGTCGAAGAGGATAGGGACATCTTTTGGCATCACATCACTGACAAACCAGGGGATCGCCTTGCAGTTAAGCACGACCTTGGACGCCTTTCCAGACTGTAGGAGCCAATCAGCGAGAATTAGATCGACGTATACCTCAAAGCCTAGATATAAAACAATGAATCCGGGGTGTTAGGTGTTATGTCGACATAATACACCGAATTTTACTAAAAAAAACCAGCACCTTACCAGAGTTATCGAGGATAAAATCAACACGACTACCCTGTAGTGACTTGATCTTCTCCCACAGCTTTTCAATGTCATCCACCAAGATTCGTTTCTTTTGCTCTGCCAACTTGTCCTTTTCAATTGCCTGCAATCTCTTGATATCTTCTTCGGTCATGTTGGTCAGTAAACTCAAGTCGGTGGCATTGCCCCACAGACAGACTTGAATTAGCTCGTCATAGACGATTTCGAGCTGTTCTACGGTCATGGGCTGAATAAGGGTGGGCATCTTGTGAGCCAAGTCAAAAACTGAACCATGCGATCCTTTAAATGTAGCCAATTTCTGCACATTGAAGGGATCGTATTGTTTCCAGCACGTCGAGTTGCTAAAGTTCTCGTGAAGTCGACGGTACATGTAGCATTCGTTGAAAAGCCAAGTTCCGCCAAACCATGTAGCTCCAGCGAAATAGCTAGCCAGGTGTCTATTCCAGTCGTCTGTATCGTCTTCTTTGTCGTTTATAAGTCTATGCATAGGAGAATTACATATCCCGCAAAAAAAAAAAAACGCCCAATCCTCAGTCAATCATAACCACCTATCGCTCTCTACAGAGTACATGCTCATAATCCTTCGAAACTCTTATCAAGTAAATACCGAAGAGGTCTGTCAGCAGCAATTTCGTTCTTCAAGTCAGCAATCGCGTCCAGAATGGTTTTGCCTTCTTGGCGCGCCTTGTCATCGGTCGTTTGTTGAACTTCCTTTTCGAGATCTGCAATGGCGTTGTCAAGAATGATGGGCCATCTTCGGACAGTGCTGTCCCATGCAAAGCTGCCTTTGTCAGCTCCTCTGTATGCGGAAAAAGGTGGGTTGTTGGGAGTGACAGTTGCCATTGTGTAGGGTCAATGAGAAATCAAGGAGAGTGAAAGCCGTCGGGAAACGCTGGGAGTTCTAGCAGGTTTTTCCGCGCTTATAAGTAAACGCATATAGGTGATTTTTCATTGGCAAGGAGAATGGTGTTTCCGCGCTTTAAAAGTAAAAATTATCGCTTTTCATTGGCAAAAACAAAATGAATAAGAGGCGATGGTTTCAGATTGCGTTCGTATCCGGTGGTATCAGATCTTCTGTTGATCACTATTGCCACGAAAATAATTTAGATATGATGCTATGTTGCCATAGATTACATTAGATAGCAGGAGTAGCTGTTTGTTGTTCATTTAAATTGAGTACAATTCGCTTGGTATTTTAGATGTCTAGTGAGGTGCGAAAACTAAGAACTCAACAATGCAAAGAGCATTATTCATAACTCTGGGTGTGCCAAAAATGATGTAAGATTATCAGATCCAATCATATGTATATTTTTTGTTAGATGTAATATATCACCCTTCTCCCTGCACTCGTGCGATCATCAAGTAGCACCCCTCCAGGTAATTCATGTCTCAGGCCGAATGAGGTTTATGGTTTAGGTTGTTATGTTTCGTTATTTAAACAAGTACTTACTACAACAACCTATCATTAGATACAAATACTCAAAGTGCTACTTCCTGAATCTTACGACGCATCATCATCAGCATTGATAAAATAGTTTACTCACAAGAGATCATGAACACGCTCCTCGTGCCGGCTCAACAAGGAAAGTTTGTAGCGTATGATACGGATCTCACCACCCCCCAATGCTCTAGTACTGTATTTCGAAAATAGAAGAAAATGATTATGAGATTCTTGCACGTATCGTTTTTTTACAGATATGATACACATCAGCATCAAAAACAACATACGTGACTGAATGCATTGGCGTATAAAAGCCATAAGTATAGGTATTATATAATAAACCAAACATACAAAGCACACCTAGTGAATTATACCCCGCCACACAGCACACCGAGCAAAGCATCGCTTTAATAGAAACGAGACGCATGAATTACGTGTGGCTGGAAGAAGTACATGTATCCATAAAGAAAAACACAGCAAAGCACCATCTAATAAGAGATGGTTACAGTACAACAACTTGCAGAAAAATCATATTTAACACGACGAAAACATTTTTAACTCACGTAAAAACGCCTATGGTACATGTATAGTCTAAAAACAAGTACGAAAGTGCATACAAAATGTACAAACGCATACTACAAACATTGTCGCAACACCTTCACGGGATATTCCATCATACAGTTTTACTGCTAATTTTCTTTTTACGTAACTGATTTTTTAAAGAGTTCCACTGTTGCAGGACCTTGGGGTCTACTGTATTCTCAAAACAAACCTTTTAACATCTTCTAATTTACTGTATGCTTTAACTGTATGTAGTTGAAAAGGTGTGGTAACATGGAAAAATTTGGTTCGGATTGCTGGATAAAACGATAAATGTTGCGATGGAAGGAATGCTACGCCATTTGTCGTTCTCGTAGAATTACGTAGAAGTTCTTCATGCATTGTCGTCTTGGATCGGAAAATCATGCTCGCAACGCCGGGTCGTAGCCACCATTTCATCCAATTCGTAGTGCGCGGGAAATCGTGTTCTATATCAGCAGTAAGTATGTCGAATATTCGTACATGACTCTGGTATATACCAAGAATACATCTCAAAGTTCCACCTGAATAACTTCACCCAATTTCTACTGATCAATGAAAGTAGCAACCCTTTAAATACGTCTCGCCTCTTTTGACACCAGGAAAATGATGTTGAGAGCGACCAAAAAACCAGCTCTCTGGGCTTGCGAAAAGTCCATCATTATTCCACATATCAATGTTTCACCAGCACCATTCTTCTTTATATCCAGCACTTTGAACAGTGTATTTAAAGCACGAGACGAAACCTTTCATACTCAAACCCCTTGGGACATATCTTTGCAGTTTTTCGTGGAAAATGACAGAATTGCACAGGTAGCAACCGTCACTAAAGCAAGAGTAGATGTGACATCCGTAATAATCGGCTGGAGGGTTCCGTCAATACGCTGTTGAGTGAAAAGGAGAAGTATAACGTACCGGAATGGATATCCAGCGGTGACCGTACAAAACCGCGAAAATCGATATTAAGCTGTCGAACTGGAGTAGCTACCGTTTCAATGTTGGGTGCGCCCTTTGCGTTGAAGCCGTTGGCAGTAAGTATGCTACGACGGTGATACGCCACTTTACCAGTGTGCTGTAAATCGACGTCGATCTCGCGCACAGGTTGTGGTGGGTTCATTGATATATGAGAGCTGCTACCGACAACAAGGGCCATAGGTTATTCCATAAGGCAATGTCAAACCCTTTCGGTAAGTTTGGCGACTGATTGCTTGTTATATGAGCTGCTTCATATTGCCTATGTGAATGCGTGTCATAGTACCGGACAGTACCCATTCAACAATTGAACTTAAAAGTTCACCTGGAAGTCGCAGGCAATGTGTTGCCTTTCTCCTTCGCAATCAACACACTTCTGCTTTTCCTGGAGCGACTTGGTGCTGGCACGTCTGACCTGAACGTTCTTTTTCTGGCAACAGTCCTTTACGCATTGTATAGCACCGAGGCAGATTTTGGCAATGCTGAATCTACCGTCAACTTTCTTCTGATTCTGCTGGTAAAGTTGCCAGCTAATGTCGGTGGGCCGTTCATACGTTCCGTCTGCTTTGGGAAGTAGGGCAATCGTGTGCTTTTCGTCGCCGTCGATCCATCTCGTAAATTCGGTCTTCAGATTGGAGGACTTGTTAGAACTTAATCGGTGTGAGGTTGGTACTTTAATCAGGTTGTTCGAGTTGAGTGCATAGAGTAGCTCATAAAGAGACTGGTTTTCCTGCCCTGCTTTTACTGTATCATAACCACCGAAAATGGAAAGCACCCCAATGCCCGACGATGAAATGGGCGCTGGATTGTTTATGTTTTGCAACTTGTCGTCCTTCCAATACGAGTTGGTAACGGTGTATTACGGTGCCTGCTTAGTACCATCGCTACACTGCTTGGGTGTATAGCAGCTACCTTGCCTTTTTCAATCAAGTACAGTACAAGGAAACCAGGGCGAGCGTTTGGTATGTACCTGAAAACCGGACTCGGGGTTCCCATATAAGAAGAAGCGGAGATGGTGCACAAGGTGAAACGCGGATCGACACTAAAAACTACAGCGGCATGACAGCAGCGGCCGTGTGTGTTTCCATAGTGTCAATCCAACGATACTTCTTTTACTTTTGCTTTGGCACAGCAAAGAACAAAGGAGAAGCAGAAGGGCTCTACAAAGCCAATCACGTGATGGGGCGACTGCGCTTGAAAACCAGTCTTGACCTGCTGATCCACTAGCGTGTGACTTTTTTTGGTTTTTTGAAAAAGTATAAATACAGGTCCATTTTTCAGAGCAAGGATTTCTTTATGCAGTAGCACCAACAGATGTTTGGGGGCATCGGTGTATACTTTTCCCTACGGGGCCCCATAGGAAAATGACAAAAAGCACATTGGTGTACACCACCAAAAGACAAAATCAATAACACAAAAAGTGTTGTTGACGTCTAAACTATCTGATCGTGTGTGTTTCCTTGACCAACAAGGTGCACCACTACAAAAATAAATAAGAAAATGATAAAAATAAATAAACACAAAAAGTGTCGTTGAAGTCTGATTGATTGTGTATAGTGGTTTGAAAGAAATTCGAAGGCTGCAGTAATGGCAGGATCTTCAAGGCTGCCGTCTAATTAACAAAGTTGTAGCGCTTGTCGTTGGACTTTGTCTTCCTGAATGTCAGCTCCACTACATTTATAAAAAAGGAGTGTTCCGTGAAGCACAGACAGTCTCGCACTGGAATTTACGCTCGCTTGTCATTAGCAGCCAAGTAGTACAATGATGCTACAGCTGTTTTGAAAGGCATTTCAATCGAGTTGCACGATTGCAAAAACGAACAATGGCTGTTCTTTTTTAAACGCGTAGTACGCGAGATTTATATTTGCAATCTCAGATCTTAAGTAAACGCTGCTTCTGCAATTAACGAGATTGTTACATTTTGCGAAGTTATCTATATCTACGGTTTCCTGACTTTGCACATGGTCTTTGCAGTTTTTCAGTCTTACAAGTGCTCATCATTACAAAGTAAGTGACTTCGAGTAGAAGCTTTGCCAGATAAATCTATGAAGTCCTCCCGTGTACTATATCAATACACGCTCTCTTGCTCAAGAGCTTCCCGATGAAGTTGGACAACGATTTTGGTATCATGTTTAATAAAAGCCCTTCAGCAAGGTCTTAAAAGACTTGCTTGGTGCATAGAGTACCTGTAGCCTCCCCGTAATTTAATCGCATGTTAACTTAAACTTGTGCTTTTCTGTTGGATACTATATATATAATGATGTGGCAACTATGTAGGCATTCCAAACATGCAGACCATTAAGCACAAGTATTTATCACAGTGTTAATTTAATCGAACTTTATGGTTCAGATTATGCATCATTTAAGCAGTGGTATATCGTAGTAAAAGGTAATAGCTGGTTATCATATTCTATATGCTTATGTAATGCTGATATTGCCGGCCATCCATCATGAGCCAATTTCCTGTTGACTGCAGTGTCAAATTCAAGACCATGTGTACATGCACGTCATACAGCTTGTCATAGCTTGATTCAAATCCTGCTTTTATCCGGCAGTAGTACCAAAAGATACAACGCATCAATGATATTCAGCCGAAAAATTACCCTTGTTGGCTTTGCGATCGCAATCCAAGAGAAAGGGCGCACTACTGCAGAGTATTAGCCAAAGAGTACAGTAAAGTACATAAGGTACAAAATATGTCGTCATAATCAATTTCGACTGTTTCAACCAGCGAGCAGTTGTTAGATTTGCAGGAAGAGTCGACAGACCAAGCATTCTTGATCGTCGTGTGCCGAGAGAGAAGCTAATAAGAGCAACAAACCGATCATACAGCTGGGAATCAAATAAATTCAGAATATCCGTTGGTTGCAAGTTGACAGGAGGGTATCCACTGCCGACAATCCTGATATTAACCAGGCAACGACATGCGTAGGCAATACGCCACGATTGATTTGGTCGTCGTAAGGGGGGAGATGTACGCATAAACTGCCGGGGTAATACACTCCAAAGCGGTCATCCTGTGTATATGAATATGTAGACTTTTACCGTATATCATCCAACATCATAGGCCCCATTCTATACTTGTTAAACAGATTCCCAAAAGCACCGTCTCTAGACACTAGCGCCCAAATTGTCACCCTGAGAGCTACACGCAATCCACAAACGTCACTCGTTACTCTTGCAGATCTTACCTCCGGTATGATAGCTCAAGCCTCCGACAGTATCTATCCTTATCTCGCAAAAACTTATAATTCTAATCTGGGGCTTCTAGCATATAACTGTTTCGAATACATGATAGGGAACTTGATTGAACTGAGTCTCACCGGCATTCAGTACGATTGACACTTATTTTCACGTCCCTGGACCTGTTTGATAAGGGCAAAGCATAACATATTGTGACGGAGCTCTCTTCGACTTGAGTAGACAAAGTTCAACAATACTCGAAATATACAAAGGAACTTGATTCGAGTTAGAACGGTAACGCTGCTCAGCTCGCTGTATTGGCAGCTGCTATAGACACTTTCGGCTTTGTATAACACTCCCGCAAGAAATACAGCCCATCGTATTGTTTCTTGAACTGCCTCCCGAGTTCGACCATTGATACAGTATATCCCAAAGACAAATGAGTATCCACCTAGCATGCTTAGATTCGGGGTTTACAAGAGGTTCATAAACTGAGCCACCCAGATGCGCAATATTAGCAAGCTAGCACCAAAAGAAGCTCTGCAGATGTCTGCCTGACCTTCTTCCTTTCAATGTTCCGAGCCCATAATTTAAAGCTTCCTCTCTCCGAAATGCAGATGCTTTATCACTCACAAAACATACTATCCAAGCCAGTAGGCACCATACTCTGCGTTAGATGCTGCGTTAGAAGCTTCCGGATCTTTTGCAAGTTCTTGTACAGATACTTGCACAGATGTGATCAATTTTTCTCATCCACGCTTCCTACCAATATATACACACAATGCGAAACGAGTTAGGGGATGCTTTGCCATGCCCTAACTCATTAACACTTCGCCTATATGCTCAAAGCGCTACTGTGTAGCTTGTTCATCAGCCACCTCCAAACGCTCCTTCTGCTCTATACACATTTTCTGTAAGCGAACAAGGATCGATTCCATTAAAACACACATAAAAAAAAGAGCAGGGTCTATTCTTGAGAACAGCCGCACAGATGCTTTTAAAGGTAGGGACGTATATTTAACGCCCTACTAGAAAGGTACATAGTGTGCATTTTCGAGTGGGAGTTCAAGCTTGTTGCCATCGCAACGGATGCCATGGGGACCGTGGTTGCTTGCTCACGTAACTTCTGACACAACAAAAACGCGGATTATATTAAGATGCACAACAGACTGTGCTATAAAAAGAATGTTGCCACGCACTCGCCTACGCGTTAAGTGTCATGCTAGATAAATTTCTATGCATTAGATATATGTGACCCAAAACTGATAGGTTTCTTGTTGGAAAAAGAAAAGGGAACCGTTTTGTTTATTTTGTGATGGAAGATTCTACTAGGGCGGATTGATGCATGCTCAATGTGCCTCTAGCAGAGTCGCAGCGTTATAGCCTCACAACATTGTGGTGACCGGATCGGTGGTAGGATTATCACTGTGCAGGTCAGTGCAAAGTAGGTGCTCGATAATAGCAAGTCTGTACTCAAGCATATCCCCACGGGCAAGCTGTTCGTGCCTTGTGTCTGCGCGTAAAAAGCCATACCACATTCGCTACATACGAAGATTTCCGGGGAGTCAACGGGTGCTTGAGTGATTGTACTTGAAGACGAAGAAGGGTATAAATGTATGGCTTGCTGTACCTGATAATTTCTTAAAGATCTCACTACAAGTCTTATTAGTATCTATGAAAGCTATCACAGTAGCAGCCTCATACGAGCGCAATGGATAAAGCAGAAAAAGATGTTTCCACGAATGTGTCCAAGGATGATTTTCACTCATTTCATTAGTCCCTCGTTGATTTCTTAGTGCATATAAGTTCCAAATTTTGTGTTAAAACAGTGAGGATTGAAACTACAGTAGCAAGATTAACTTATACTAGGAATTCTGCTATTCGTTTTTCTTTATAACTCTGTAACAAATTTGACAATAGCGAGGGTTGAAAGTTGACGGGTGTGAAATTTAAAAGGGTCAACTACTGTATATGTACATACATTGGTGTCCATCCAACCGCTTCCAGTTACTTACTTTAGAGCGTTGTTCTTTGTCAACAAGGGCATTATATTACAAGTTAAAAACTGTAACCAACAACGCACATGATTACTCAATATGATCTGTTCTACGTGAAAAGAAACTCGTTTCTCGAATCTCTTTACTACTGAATTTGAAAAACTCCCGATTATACCCAGAAAATATAGCTGTGTTCACAATTTGTTAGCTAGTGCTGATCACATATAAACACCGAGAATAGTTGATGATTTATCGAGATCTCGGTTAATCCATTTTGGGTGGTTTGTTTGAATTTGTCAGCCTTCCTTTTGCGCATGTCAAGGGAAGCGACGGGATATTGATAATTTTCCGAACTGTCCCTTACCCTGAACTGTTTTGTAGAATATTGTCAATTACCCGCTAGTGAGTGGGAGCATGAATGCGGCCACTTGTAGTATACCAAGAAATCGTGGTTTTCGAAAAAGAAGCTTGGTCATGTCTTCGTGCGGTGGGAGGCTGGGTCAGTTTTCCTATTGCAATCGTGATGAAATAAATTTATGGCCGAGCAAAATATATGCAAAATGGAGTGCGGGATAAAAACCTTACGTAAGTAATGGTCAGGGCCAACAATAGTTGGGTTGTGGGAAAACCGCGGGTCAACAAATATAGGTAAATCCGGGGTTTGTTACACAAGTCCAATGAACAAAAATCTTGGTATGGAAAAACTCACATACACAAGGTACACAAGCTGGGCTTTGAAAAATAAAATATGCGACGTGATCGACTCTCAAACTTAACATCATGATCGGAGTGATTTGGGAAAGTGTTGTATAGGCTTTTTACTCATAATCCTATCGATCAGCTACTCCCTAGCACGTAGGCGCAGCTGTGAAAAAGAGAATAGTAGTCTAACCAGATTCACGATGGACTCTTTGAAATAAACATAACAATATAAATATTCGTTTTATCCCCGGTAAAAGCAAAATACATCTGCGCGACGGAACACCTCAAGTAGTAATATGCGTATAATAGCCTCGATTCTGATAACGGCAGGAACTCTTTTGAGTACCTCTTTGGCTGCACCTACGCCGCAGTTGTTGACCTGGGATGAAGCTTACATCAAGGCAGAGGCGCTTGTTAGCCAAATGTCACTCGAGCAAATGGTTAATATCACAACAGGCACGAAATGGCGAAGAACACCGTGTATCGGAAATACCTATAGCGTCAGTGAACCTGATTTCCCGGCCTTGTGTCTTCAAGATGGTCCTCTGGGTATTCGCCATGCTGACAATGTCACTGCAGGTGTCGCAGGTGTAACTGCTGCCTCTTCTTGGGACAAGCAGGCTATTCGCGAGCGTGGCAGGTACATGGGTCGCGAATTCCGTGGCAAAGGTTAGCATCGTAGTTATAAATTACGGTTTCGACACTGCTGTCGGTTTTTACAAGTCGTATTAACTGGCGTCGTTGCAATAGGTATCCATGTGCAATTGGGTCCTTCCGTTGATATTGTGCGTGCTCCTGATGCCGGACGCAACTGGGAAGGATTCGGTGAGGATCCATATCTCCAGGGCGTTGCCGGTGCAGAAACAGTATTGGGTATCCAAGAAGAAGGAGTGGTAAGCTATTACAGTCGATATCATTATCATTACAATTTATGTCAGGCACTAATCTTCCCTTCTATCTTTTAGGTTGCTACGGCCAAGCACTATGTCTTTAATAACCAAGAAACAAACCGCAAGGCTGTAAGTTGGTCTAATGCTATAGTGGCCATATAAAGCAACGAGTAAAATAGTGCAGTAAACTGAAGCATCCCTTTTTTCTTCTGCCTTGTATTAGTCTACCTCGAACGTTGACGAGCGTACGTTCCATGAAATTTACCTCTGGCCCTATGCTCGCATGGTTGAAGCTGGCGTCGGTTCAGTAATGTGCAGCTACAACATGATTGATGATATATGGGGTTGTGAAAACGACTATACCATGAACACCGTTTTGAAGGGTGAATTAGGCTTCAGAGGCTACATTATGTCGGATTGGTAAGAAAAAGTACAAAAATTGGCTACCTCATATACTTGTTTGGAATGAGAAAAATATTTATTGAGTTATTATTATCATTAGGGGTGCTACTCACTCTACTGTGCTGTCTGTTAATTCCGGTCTGGATATGACCATGCCTGTAAGTTGGAAATAGATATTTATGATGAAAATTGATTGTCGAAATGAAGATAATTAACCGTATCACTATTTTACTAGGGTGACATTATTATGGGTGACGACTATACTTACTTTGGCTCAAATTTGACGGATGCCGTCGATAGAGGCGAAGTTACTGCGGAACGTGTATGTAACCGAACCTGCGCTTTCTTTCCATAGAGAAAAAGGCTAATTACGATATTGTTCCATGTTCTATATAGGTGGCAGACATGACAACTCGTATTGTGGCTACTTACTACAAGGTATGTTACAGTGGTTTCTACGCGACGTGCGCACCAACTGGTTCCATGGCTATGCCATTAATCTTCTATTTTACATTAGATGGGTCAAGACAAGGATTTCCCCGAAACAGCAGTCAACTTTGTGAACCGTACAATGGCCCTCGAAGTTTTTGTTCAAGCCGACCACCACAAGCATGTGCGCTCAATGGGTGCTGCAGGCACAGTACTTCTTAAGAACGATGGCGTATTGCCCTTGTCGATTGACTCTATCGATACGTTGGCACTCATCGGTAGTGATGCCAGTGATGATCCAAAGTAAGCTCACACGTGACCTGCTTATCCTGTCAAAATTGTACAAGAGAAATTAACAAACCATCGCTTCATGTAGTGGTCCCAACTCTTGCGTGAGCCGTGGCTGCAGCAATGGCACTCTGTAAGCTTATTATTTAAGCAATTGTGTGTGGTTTTTCTTTTACTAAAAGTGCATGTACTTTTATTTCTCAAGGGCTATGGGCTGGGGATCAGGAACGGCCGACTTCCCCTATTTGATTACAGTAAGAACCTTATTGTTACTAAAACTATTCAACAATCCATTTGATACTAATAAACTAAAAATTTGTAGCCCCACCAAGGAATCGAGGCCCACGTCGGTGATGATGTGGAGCTAACATACACATTCTGGGATTGGGATGTGGAAGAAGCTGCCGAAATTGCGCGACAAGCAGATATTGCTCTGGTTTTCTCCAATGCCGACTCTGGTGAAGAGCATATCATTGTCGATGGCAATGTTGGTGACCGTAACAACCTTTCCTTGTGGCACAATGGTGACGCTCTGGTAAGATCGTCGTAGAATGCTCCGTAGAAGGCAGTAGCAAAAGCTCATTATCACGTTTACTGTATGAATAGATTGAAGCAGCAGCAGAAGCAAACGAAAATGTTGTAGTTATCATCCATGCTGTTAGCCCAGTCCTCATGCCATGGATCGATAACCCGCATGTTCGGGTAAGTTTTGTATTTGGGGTTAAGTAACAGTGGAGTATGGTATTCATATATTTCAATCAAATTTAAGGCTGTTGTCTGGTCTGGAATACCTGGTCAAGAATCCGGCAACTCGCTTGTCGATATTCTATTTGGTGCAGTCAATCCATCTGGTCGTCTCCCATACACTATTGCGCGCAATGAAGAAGACTACGGTGTTCTTGTTGTCAATGAGACTGTGGTATGCTATATTCTATAAACTGCCATTGGCAGTCGCTCTCACCGGGCGTGCGGTACAGTACGATGATCAGAAATTCCTAATTTGTCATCATATTGCTTAATAGATTGAATATACGGAAAAACTCGAATTAGGCTACAAACACTTTGATGCCCATGACATCGAGCCGCTGTTTGAATTCGGGTTCGGATTGTCGTACACTACATTCGAATACAGCGAGGTGGAGGTTGACACTGAGGGCGAGGGCGACGACATCAAGGTCACCGCTACCGTGGAAGTGACTAACTCAGGAGATGTCGATGGTGCCGAGATCCCACAAGCGTATATCTCATTCCCCGAGTCTGCTGGAGAACCACCCAAACACTTGCGTGGGTTTGAAAAGGTCTACCTCAAGGCTGGCAAGAAGAGCAAGGTTACATTTGAGTTCGGTAAAACTGAGCTTAGTATCTGGGATTCGGATTCGCACGAATGGGTCATTCCCTCGGGTGAATTCACAGTTCACGTTGGTGCAAGCAGCCGCGACATTCGCGACTCTGTGTCCTTTACTGTAGAGTAAAATTGCTCTTTAGCCTGATCTATTTTATCTCTCGTTGATTTACTATATGCAATAAATCATATATTTTATTTCATCTATACAATCATTCCTTCATGGATTTGCCCCAACGTACTTCTGGTTTACGTGACTTGAATTGGGATAAAGATTATTAATCAGAGCGCGGAACTGGGTAGTAGAGGAAGTGTGGGAGTTGTACAGCGCATAAACAAAACGACGGCTTTAACTGTAGGGATCACAGCGCAACCCTACTGTTGTAGAAAGGATAGCATCCTTCTGTGAAAAATAAAATATATAGTGCCACTTTTCTCTAAAAAAGGAATGAGGTTGCTTTGGTAATTCCTTTGATATGTAGTAATAAAGTATACAGCTCAAAGCAGTGAAAACAAAGAAACAAATATACTAAAGTTAAATCAAAAGTTCATTACACAGTTTGCGTGCAAGGAAGCACCTGGGTCTCGCTATTGCGGAGAGATGCTTCCATGTGTGTAACCATGCAACAACTTGCCGTTACGCAATAAAAACGAAATTTTCCGAGAAGCAACTTGTCGACTTGATGATCACATGGTTCAAAGTAATTTTCTCGCCCCTTCCGTGTTTGAACGAGGGACCAAAAGACAACATGGAATGGGTCCATTTAAGTTGAAGATGTGAGAGAAAGACGAAATAGTGAATGGAAGAGAGACAAAAAAAATATGGTACGACATGCAAAAAAGTGATCCGGATAGAAGTTCAAGAAGTATGATCTAGGCGATCGCATGAATGGAGCTGGAAGAGCGCGGAATTAGATGAAGTAAAAAAGGCCGGTCCACTTTGTGCTCAAGAAGAGAACGGGCTCGAACCAGGCAGCACATAATGTCCAGATTGGTGGAAGTTGTCGCCCGTGTGTGTTGTGCTTGTGCGTGTGTATGTGTGTGCATGCGAAATTGCTACTATTTCGAAAACCTGTCTCTTTTGGTTGCGGATAGTACGACTGCCACCACAACAGCAAGGTCATGTTTAGAAGAGCCAATTTTCCTTGTCATCGTAATAGAAGCAGGGTCACAAATTCAGCTATTACAGTACAATATAGTACGTAAGCACGGGAGTCGTAACGGATATGCAGGAACGAATATATGTAGTAGGTTAGGTCGTTTTTGTGCAAGCAAAACGGGGGATTATTCAAAGTGGAATGTGGAGCGATGTGGAGTATATCCACTAAAGGCAGTTCCCAGTACTCAGGACGCTGTAACATTTGCTAAATGCGACACTATTGTAAGCAAGGGGAAGTGTACTCCGCCCTCTTGAGAAAAACAGAGGCGATACAAGCAGTCTGCATAAAGTGCATCGCGTGATGGGACAAATTATTCGCTGGGATAGGACGGGTAACTTCTGTGTTTGTAACGCTTGTTGCCTAGTACTCACCCTGAATAATCACGTAAGCGCGTCTCTTTCGTACTTTTCCTATTGAAACACAAATGAGATCCAATCACAGAGCAGCCAAGTCAAGGCGCGCATGGGTAAACTGGAAGAAGGCGGTAAAATCTGACGTGATAGCTCGCCAGGGACAGGCGGGGTCGTAAGAGACGCGCGGATGGGAAAGACCCTGAGTCGTACCGTCCACTCGCTTTAGCTGTCGCTGTCGTGGTATGGCAATGTTAAAGCGAGCAGGCGTGCCAGGCATGACCCTTTTGTGTGGGGTGACGGCATTATTATGTGGCGGGAAAAAGGAAGAATCGCTTTTCAATTCGCACGCACAACAGCAGGTGGGGAATGGGGAGGGGTGCCGAAAAGTTTACATGGGCGAGAAAATAGGCCTAAGCATATACGGGCAAAAATACTTCTTTTTACGGGCAATGTGCGTAACCAAGCGAGAAAAATGTATATATAAAGAATTAAAGAAACCTCTGTTGACAGCACCGCTTCATTTCCTTTGCAAACGGCAAACGACAAATGCATCTTCTCTCTCTCTCCGCATCTGCCGCTCTCCTGGTGAGCGTGGCAATGGCCGCACCTTCACGAAACCTCCTTAGCTGGGAAGAAGCACACGTAAAGGCCGAGAAACTTGTTTCCCAAATGTCCATTGACCAAAAAGCTGGATTGGCGACTGGTCAAGGTTGGGAGACGACTCTGTGCGTCGGTCAAACTTATGGATCAACGAACCCCGACTTCCCCTCGTTGTGTCTCCAAGACGGTCCGGCCGGTATTCGATGGGCTGACAATGTCACCGCTAGTGTCTCGGGTATTAACGTTGCCGCATCGTGGGACAAAGACCTGATTTACAAGCGTGGTGAATACATGGGTGACGAATTTTATCTGAAGGGTATCCACATGGCGTTGGGTCCTTCCTTTGATATTATGCGCTCGCCCCGCGGTGGTAGAGGTAACTTTTCTTTTGTTTTCTTTTTTGCCGTATGATTTGAAAGATCAGAACACGTTATTGATTGAATACAAAAAACCTTTAAAAAATCAATACAGGCTGGGAAGCTTTCGGTGAAGATCCATATCTTCAAGGTGTTGCTGCTTCACTCACAATTTCAGGTATCCAAGAACAGGGTGTGGTAAGTACCAATTGTACACTTCGACGAGTAAAAACAAAAGTATCACTACTCAGAACAAGCACTAAGTACAATGCCCCTTGCTGTGTAGATCGCTGTTCCCAAGCATTACATTCTCAACAACCAAGAAACCAACCGTAAGAACGTAAGTTATCTAATGTTCTGTTATGACTACTGGAGGCATAATTTGCTAATTGGTAAAATTATAATCTAGTCGTCATCGGACATCGACAAGCGCACTTTACACGAAGTCTACGTCTGGCCTTATGCTCGTGCAATCGAAGCTGGTCTTGGTGGTGTTATGTGCAGCTACAATCAGATTAATGGCACATGGACTTGCGAGCACGAGTACGTTTTGACCACCGTGCTTAAGGAGGAGCTCAACTTCCAAGGTCTGATTATGTCTGATTGGTACGTAGCTGATGACATTATAGGCGCGGGTTACCTGTATGAGCTAAAGTTCTGGTCTTCTAACCGTGCTGTAACAATTTTTTTAACAATAGGGGAGCTCAAATGTCCAACGAACCTTCTGCAAATGCTGGTTTGGATATGACCATGCCTGGTGATATTGTCATGGGTGATGGCTATTCCTGGTGGGGCTCAAATCTGACAAAGGCTGTCGAGGAAGGAAGAGTTCCAGAAGAACGTGTTACCGACATGGCACAGCGTATTGCTGCCGCTTACTACAAGGTAATTATCGATCCACATATCTCGCTGTTTCTCTTTATCTGCATTACACTAATGCCTACGTATATAATTGCTTACAATAGATGAGACAAGATGAAGGCTTCCCTGATATTGGTGTCAACGGTTGGGATCGTGAATCGGCTCCAGTTAGAATCCACCCCGACATGGACAAGCACATACAGGTCACCCGTGATATTGGTGCTGCCTCTGTTGTTCTCTTGCAGAACAACGATAACACCCTTCCCTTGTCGAGCGATGTCAAGAAGATTGCCCTTATTGGTAGTGATGCTGGACCGATCCCTCAAGGCCTTAATGGTTGCGAGGATCAAAGCTGTGGTGCAGGCCATCTCGGTATGATTTATAATTACTGATTATTCGAAGTACAGTTGCTTCTTCGGGCAGAGTCTAACATTGTGCACATCATTTTTTATAGCTATGGGCTGGGGCTCTGGAACTGTTGGTTAGTGAAAAGTCGATAGCCAGTGATGAATCTAATAATCAAAGTAACTGTCGTAATCATTAATTTCTTGATTTTTTGGATTATAGATTTCCCATACCTCATCACCCCCGCTGACGGTATTACTGCTCGTGCTGGTGATGGTGTTGAAGTTGTAACTCACTTTGACGATTGGGACCTTGAAAAGGCCAAGGAAATTGCAGCTGATGCTGATGTCGTCTTCGTCTTTGGTATGGCGGACTCTGGTGAAGAGTACATTAGTGTTGATGGAAATGTCGGAGACCGCAAGAACATGTCTCTCTGGCACAATGGTGATAACCTTGTAAGTTTTCTCACGAGTAGTAAAGAACTATTCCTTGTCTGTGAAAGAGCACTCATTGATTCTTTATTATTACGTGTTATCAGATTGAAGCTGTTGCTGAAGCCAGCGATAATGTCGTTGTCGTTATTAACGCTGTCGGTTCTGTCCTCATGCCTTGGATTGACAATGAGAGCATCAAGTCTGTTGTGTGGCCCGGTCTCGCCGGTCAGGAATCTGGTAACGCTCTTGCTGACGTTCTTTTCGGTGATGTCAACCCATCTGGTCGTCTTCCCTACACCATTGCCGTTAATGAAGGTAGTGATCGAGTACCATTCTACAAGAAAAAGGTTGAACATTATAGGCTCTCCGTGTTATACTAACTGAAATCTTCTTATTTACAGAGGACTACGGTGCCACAATTGATCCTAACTTCAATGTTGTCTACCACGAAAAGCTTGAGGTCGGCTACAAGCACTTTGACGCCCACGATATTGAGCCCCTCTTTGCTTTCGGTCATGGTCTTTCTTACAGCAGCTTCGAATATGGCAAGCTCAAGGTCAAGGCTAAAAAGGACAAGGCTTCTGCTACCGTTGAAGTCACAAATGTCGGTGATGTTGACGGTGCTGAAGTTGCTCAGGCTTACCTCGGCTTCCCTGAATCTGCTGGTGCTCCCCCCAAGAACCTGCGCGGTTTTGAAAAGGTCTACTTGAAGGCGGGCAAGAAGTCTAAGGTTACTTTCGAGTTCGAAACAATCGACCTTAGCTACTGGAACGAAGAATCGGAAACCTGGGTTGTCCCTGAGGGAGAATTCACACTTTATGTTGGCGCTAGCAGCCGTGATATCCGCGAGACTGCCACCTTCACTTTGTAAGTGAATGGCGAGACCAAACTTCTTATTTCGAATTAGATCTGGGCAAAGTATTTTTACGAAAAACAGAACTGTTCTCAGTGTAAACGAGCTAGTCTCTTTACTCCCCATTCCTTAGTCGAATAGTTTTCCATTACTTTATAAGAAAAAAAAATTTCATTAGTTATTATTATTATCTATCTCAGCCTACAATATAGTAGCCGCGTAACTATTCTTCCATTCAAATAAATTTGAAGCAAACAATGCCCTTTTATTAAAAACTGCTATTCCATCTTATTCGCAATTTTGAGTGCTTGGAGATAACTCTACATATCGTAGGTGTTAAATTCGCTTTTAAGATAATGTAAAGTACAAGTCTTCAGCCGTGTTGGCCTAGTAACTGAACTGGCAACTCTCTCCTATTTTTATGTAGTCACAGTTGCTAGTCATCCCGAAGCATTAAATATTATTGACCTATATTGGACGCCTTGAATGCACTTGCGACACCCTAAACACAACTTTAACTGTATTCACACGCATTCTAAAGCATGTGAAAGCGCTTTAAAGCTTTTTAAATATTGGGACGGTGGCTCAAATTTATGTAGATGTCAAACGAATACTTTTGCCATGAACAAGACGTCTGGATGTATATATCCAGTGCACAAGTGCATTTGATCACTTTTTACAGTCGCTTTTGGTCATGTTCCCAGCGCCAAGATAAGGAATGATTATTATTGGAGGTCCACAGAAGTAGTTCTTTCTATGACCTTTATGAAGATTGATGAATAAAATGAAATAGAGACTAAAGTACGAGCTCTTCACTATATTTTTTGCATCAGAACAAAGATGTTATTTACTGTGTCTCCGCTTAAGATACAGCTGATTCACTTACATAATCATACGACGCACAGCCGCACTACAAAGAGTATCCAGAGCATTTCCAGCCTGTATACCAACTTTAGCACCCGTTTGCAATGTGTATTCACGATGGTAAGTCCACATCGTAAGAACTTTACGATGAAATGTAATTTGGCTGCTTCATTAGTATTATCAAAGCTTGCATTGATCCTGTTTATTTACTATCAATCATGTTCGAACGGATAAAATTACAGCATCATTACTGTAGACGTGGCCTAGAACAACAGCCAAAAAATGTTTATCATGGAGCACTAGTACGAAGCACTAGGACATGGATGTTACGCAGAATTTCTCATTTGTGGTTTTTGCATGTTACAGCAATAATGACTAAGCCAGACTTTATGATCCATTGGAGCCATTGTGCGATAATCACCAGCTTCTCCTATATAGTTCTCTCAAAGCTATAAGTAGATAAAACTAGCTATTGTTTGTTTTGTACGGGATCTATACTTTCTAGCAAAAAAGCACACCAGTGGTCCACGTAGCTAGATGAAATTAATATACGGATAGCACTGACATTTCAAAGATAGTTTTCTAGTCACTATATTGCGATGATGGTATCATCTCTCTAATGCCTGCTGGGATAATGTGAAAAGCATGCATAGCTCATAATTAATCGTGTATCATGTAATTATTCTGTTGTATGCCATCTCCACTAGAATAATGAAGAAAATCAATTTAACAATCATCTCAGTAAAATATACAGCGAGATATTACATAAGGTACACAAAGCATTGGGAAATTTTTCAAAGATGAAGGCGTCCCGCGGTATACAGCTTTGGAGGAGGAACTTGCGAATGTAACAGTAGAGTTATAGCGCAGGGTCCCGCGCATCTGTACTGTGAATACGCAACTTAAATAGCACATACAGTACGTAACAAAATTTCGCACGTACAAAAAGAAATAACCCATATATATAAAGTATAAATTACTGGGTCTGATAGAGCAGTGGTGGACTTTTTTCTTCTCGGGAATAATTTGCCTCTTTTGACATACAAGCCGATGATTTTACCATCACTGACATCAATCACCTTATTAGCACTGACTGGGATACTCGCCCAGGCAAAGCCAACCAGCAACCTCCGAACTTGGGATGAGGCATATGCTAAAGCAGAACAGGTTGTCAGCAAAATGTCTATCGAACAAAAAGTTGGCCTCACGACCGGCATGGGATGGGGCATAACCAACTGTGTGGGCAACACCTATGCTTCCGAAGACCCGGATTTCCCTTCACTTTGTCTCCAAGATGGTCCGCTTGGTACACGCTATGCTTCCAATGCAACAGCCGGAGTGTCTGGCATTAACGCAGCAGCCACATTCGATCGCAATCTAATGTACAAGCGTGCCGAGGTTATTGGAAAGGAAAGTCGTGGTAAAGGTGTGCATATACAGCTTGGTCCTAGCGTCGATATGTTACGTGCTCCTAATGGTGGTCGCGGTTGGGAAGGCTTTGGTGAAGATCCGTATCTGCAGGGCGTTGCTGGCGCTGAATTTGTGAAAGGCGTACAAGACCAGAATCTGGTATGTATCTTTCTTTTATTTACGATAGAATTCTTAATCTAATAATGTTTTTATACCGTACATAGGTGGCCACTGCCAAGCACTATGTGTTAAACAACCAAGAAACAAACCGAACCACAGTAAGATACGAATTTTTCATTTTTAACCATTCACTTATGTTATCACTGTTTGATTGAGAGCTCCTTTTTTTATCACAGTCAAACTCGGATGTGGACGATCGCACACTTCGTGAGATATATGTATGGCCGTACGCTCGCATGGTGGAGGCTGGTATCGGCTCCGTTATGTGTAGCTACAACTACTATGAAGATGTTCACATATGCGAAAATGATTATATGTTGAACACTGTCTTAAAGAAAGAGCTATCGTTTAGAGGCTTTGTGATGAGCGATTGGTAAGTGAGAGGGAAGCTCGTCTTGAAAATGTGTTGCTGTGGGATGTTATAAATAAAGCTGTTTTTTTATTAGGGGCGCAACTCACTCAACTGCTCCTTCTGCTAATGGTGGTTTGGACATGACCATGCCTGGCGATATCAATTACGGAGATGGCTTGTCGTATTTTGGTCCAAATTTGACAAAGGCTGTTGAAAATGGAGAAGTTACCGAAGAGCGAGTAAGAAGAATATATAATTACAGCGGTAGTTCCTGTTTTAAGGGCATAAGAAATTTCTGTATACTGATTTTCGTCCCTTGTTAAAACAGCTTACTGACATGGCCACCCGCATCGCCGCAGCTCACTTTAAAGTGGGTCAAGATAAGGTAATAAAACAAGGTTTTTATGGATTGCTATCCTGTCTGCTTGCGCTTTCATCCAACTGTGCCAGCAGTAAAAGTAACAGACTCAATGTCATCATAAATCTAAATCTAAATCTGTAGGACTACCCTGAAACTACACTCAGAAGCTTTGATCGTCAAAACGAACCGGAGGTGATTGTGACATCCGATGATCACATAAATTTTGTTCGCGAAATTGGTGCCGCTTCGTTGATACTGCTTACCAATGACGGCATTTTACCTCTTTCCTCTAAAGATTTCGGAAAAATCGCTATTGTCGGCAGTGACGCTGCACCTCCATCCGTGTGAGTCTCATTTAACGCGATATTCCTGTTGATTCGCACGTATGCACACATGGTATAGTTGACTAACAAAAAACAAAAAGGCCATTGACTAGCTCTTTATATGAGGTCGAATGCACAGATCTGGCCTGTAACGATGGAACGTAAGTAGAACGGAGGTATATTAGGAGTAGAACATGGCTGATTAAACTGTATGTTTCTGTCATTCTGCATACAACAGCTACGTCCAGGGCTGGGGCTCAGGAACAGTGGTACGTACTCTGATTTGTTGTTGCTTGAATTATAAGTAGCATATCATAGCTTTACTTCACCTCCTAATTCCTACTTATTGTTCTTACTCTTTTAGGATTTCCCCTACATTATTTCTGTAAGTATACATATAGTATTACCACCTAGATTTATAGAATTGTAAAAAAAGTCTTATCATCGTCTCTTGTCAGCCCACCGAAGGCATCACCAACCGTGCTGGCGATTCTGTAAAAGTTGTCCACACATATGATGATTGGGATACTGAAGCTGCCGCAGAGTTGGCAAGTGATGCCGATATTGCATTTGTATTTGCCAAGACCGAAGCTGGTGAAGAATATCTCATGGTTGATGGAAACAATGACCGTAAGAACTTGACCTTGTGGAACAATGGTGATAACTTGGTAAGCTTTTCCAAATGTTATATGCAATATTTGAAGCATCTGGTTAAACGCGCAAAATAATGCATTTCTCGTTGACGCTTTGTAAATTCGTTTAATTTCAGATTCAAGCCGTAGCCGACGCCAATGAAAACACCGTTGTTGTAATCCACTCTGTGGGCCCCGTCCTCATGCCTTGGATTGCCCATAAAAATATTAAGGCAGTCGTCTGGCCTGGTCTTCCTGGTCAAGAGACCGGAAACTCACTTGCCGATGTTCTCTTTGGTGATGTTAACCCATCTGGTCGCCTGCCTTACACTATTGCCAAGAAAGAGGAGGACTATGGTGCTCATATCTCAGCAGAGTATAATATCGAATACGGCGAAAAACTCAACGTTGGTTACCGCCACTTTGATGCCAACGATATTGAGCCTCTCTTTGCCTTTGGTTACGGTCTTTCTTACTCTACCTTTGACTATGGCAAGCTCAAGGTCAACACCAAGCGTGGCAAGCGTGATACGTTGGCTACTGCCACTGTGTTTGTTAGAAACACTGGCGATGTCGATGGCGCAGAAGTTGCCCAGGCTTACATCTCTTTCCCCGAGTCTGCTGGTGAGCCACCAAAGGTACTCCGTGGTTTCGAGCGCGTGTATTTAAAGGCTGGTCAGCAACGCAAGGTCAACTTTGAGTTCACCGAGACCGACCTCAGCATTTATGATGAAGAATCTAGCTGCTGGGTTGTTCCTGAGGGAGAATATACCGTTTCCATCGGTGCAAGCAGCCGTGACATCCGTGAATCAGCAACCTTTGAATTGTAATTGAGTAGTTATAGTGATCAAAATATAATTATGGATTGTTCGTTTCTTGATGTTTCTTTTATTTTTATTAAAGGAGCACGGTTTTGTATAATCTACACTTTTTCTATTACATATTACTCTATTCTATGAATGAATCTATCGCTTTTTTAATAGTATAGCAGTTATGCTCCATATTGATATGAGATATGAAAAGGTCAACCCTCATTGTCACTAGTTTTACCACCTGAGTGATACTGGTGATCTCGACTAGGGCACATTGTCGTAACTGTCAAGAAGGGGTTAAAAATATGCTACGTGTGACATATTTGCTAAATAGAGAATTAAAGACCAAAATGGGCGATAGTCCAATGCTTGTATGGATGTCTTGAAAAGGAAAAAAAGGTTTAAAGTTAGCACCTCCGAAGAAGAACTACGGAAAAGAATTGACGGAAACTAGCACTTTCTGTGTGGAAGGAAAGCCTGGGTACCTTATTATTGGATTTTACCAAATGTATCATCCAGGAATATGTCGGAAATTTGAAATGCTTTTTGAAGTTTCAAAGCCTTTGTAAAAACTTTCCAGAGCATTTGACAAATTCTCAAACAAGCATGGATTTTCGATGTAACACAAGATGGTATCGGCATGAAGAATTATATATTGCTGTGACAACAGTAACCAAGTTGCCGCGTAAGGCCTTACATTCGTTCCTTTTGTGGCAGTGGCAGGTATATTCGCAGTAAGCCGATAGTCTTTTAGTATGTTTCTGCCAACATAGTTTTGTTGCACCTGAGAATGTACCTTTATTAGTAAGGGTAATCTTCTTGCTTCTCAAACTTGTTTAGCTCGATGGTGTGCCAGAGTGTCAGCTTATCCCTGACGCCCACATATTCCGTAGACTTTTGAAGCACAATCATCGTAATATATCATAGTAAGATATAACAATTATTAAAATAATGGCAATGTGTAAGCGTTACTGCCAAAAAACCATTGGTTGCCGCATGAAGTAACTTGTATTTCCTGAATCCAATCGAAGCACTTACCCGAAGCGACCACAGCCCATCATCTTATAGTCCGGTTTATGTATCAAGGTCATACAGACATTTATTTAAAGAGAAGAGCTGCGTAAGCATAGTTTGTCCTGCTTTGCTGCTGTGTGCTATGGCTGCTAGAGCAGGTATTCCTAGTACCTGCAAGGTCACTCATTCTCTAAAGACATTCACTCACACTTACATACTACGACACTTCTAAACTGAGATCATAAGAACAGATTTGCATAGAAAGAGTGATGACAATAAAAATCAAGATGTTACTACAGCTTTTGCGATGAATATACCACGTATCCTGCTATGATTATTTAGTGTTGACTGCCAACAGTTATCCATCCCCAACCCTTATCTCCTTTCTAACTATATCTTCACAACTATCATATTCTTATTGTTTTTACTACTACGTTAATGGTTTTTTTAACCACTATTATCATCTTTCTATCTACTTCCTACTACAATCCTCTGGAAAAAATATATACAGTATAATCACAGGCCATCGTAGATAAAAACCTCAACCACTTTTTTGATGTCCTGCCTTAGTATCTTCCTCTGTATTTTCTTTTGTTTTTGCGGAAACCACTTGACGCATTGTTATACAGTCTCTCTCTTGTTATCTTGTTGTTTCAATTTCCTCTTTTTTCTCGATCGGCATTTTATACGACGCCTCGGTGAGGTTACTATCCTATTTATATGTCAATGTGGTGCTTCTTAGTTATACAAACTCCCGTAACTAAGTGTCTTACTTAATTGTGCTGAAAACGATCATTCATCCTTGATCGCATGAAAAAGAAACGATGATGCACATACTTTTTTCTCCTGATTGTCTGCACGTACGCATCTCTCCTGCCGAATAAACGGCTATACAAAGTACAGTATCTTGCCGTAATCAGAAGTATGCTTTCTATTTCTCTCTATTGAATCTAATGAGTATAGATATATCTTTAATGGACTGGTAACGCATTCAGACAGAGAGCCACTATTCAAAGATACAATGAAGAGCTTATGTTCTTATTATCATACCCTCCATCTCACACACCGTAGTCGTGCTCTGAGAACGCCTAGATATCGTCGACTGCCCTTTATACAATTGTAGCCAGTGTTTTTGTGTCAGCTATTTCATGCTTGTACGTAGTTTCGGTATTCGCACCTGCTTATAGGCTTTTGATTTATACATAGTTGCGGCCATATGATCAAGTACTTGAGCTTTCTAGTGCTAAGTCTGATCACACAATAAACGAACAGAACATCCAGTAATACAGTACACAGGGTAAATCTTCTCGATGACGAACACGTTTCTTCGCTTACAGAATAAGATTATGCATCCCAAGAGGAGCTGGGCCACATCAGCCATCAAGAGAAAGAAGCAGGTGGGTTAGAATAGCAATTGAAAGTGGCAAGACTCTGTGCAACGCGAAATGCCGATTGATGCAGGCACTGTAGAAAAAATGATAAACTGCATTGAGTACTCCGTGGTCTTGCAGCTCGGGCTTCCTTGCGTGTCTTGGTAAAACTAGTAAAATAACTTGCTCTATGCAATATATCAACGGTACGCATCAAGTAATGGATTGATGTCTCTGTCATCTAATGCATACAATATCTCGTTTTCCAACCGCTGCTACTAGCATTTGTCGCGATTTTGTAAATACATAAAAAACAGAGTCTTGTCGTTCTGTAGTTGTGATACCTTATAGAACGCGCGAATTTCAACTCTGTGAAACGTACGTGATTCAACCTGGTAAGCTACATAACGACCTGCATGCACCTTCCTGACCCCATCCTCCGCACATACGACGTTTTTAGAAAATACTTGGCAAAAGCAGTAAGAGACAAAGTATATGGCATAGACTACTAGGTAATCAATTATTAGCAATAAAAACAGTTTTTGCAGAATCGACGCTTATACATATTAAGCCGGAGTACGTTTGATGCTATTTAAGGTTTGCTGGAACACCTCGGTTTGGTCTTGTGAATGCAAGGATTAGGCGATCCCGCAAAATACCACTCCGGCGCGGGTGGGAAAAAGAAGGGCGGTCATACGCGAATCAATGATATGAGTAAAAGTAAGTTACATAAGCTGAACAGGGCCGGATGTCGAGTCCCACTATTTGGTGGGAATCGTTAGTATAGCAAAACATTGTTGGTAGAAGTAATCTCTCCCGTAACTCTTAGTGTACGGACGAATAAATATTATCGCATGGCTCCCATCGTATGTATACCTGCTGTACGTTGATGATTAGCATGTTTCATCATTACTCCTTATAACCGATGTTCGCATGTACAAGAGTAAGAAGCTGACACTTCTTCAGAAATTTCGCGGTAAAGTAAGAACCGGAAAGAAAAAAGATAAATAAAAAAGATGTGGAATGTTGGGCTCGAAACAGATATCTATAAACAATAACTCAATAACACTAACTCTGTATTGATCTATAACCCGCGGAGAATAATTATCTCCTCCCTTACACCTGTCGTCGTATTCGCACTTGTCGGGCTGGCCCAGGGTGCCCCCAGTAGCAATCTCTGAGCTTGAGAAGAAGCTTATGTTAAGGCAGAAAAACTTGCCGGCCAAATGTCTCTGGGACAAAAAGTAGGTCCCACGACCGGTCTCGGTTGGGAAAAGACTCTCGGTGTTGGGAATACTGATGGATCCGAGGACTCCTTTCACTTTGTCTGCAAGTTGGGCCTTTAGGCACAAGCCATGGCAGTGACAGTACCGCAAGCGTTTTCGGTATCAATGCTGCCGCAACATTCAATAATGATACAATGAACAGAGGCGCCGAAATCATTGCATACGAGTCAAAGGGTAAAGGCGTGCACGTACAGCTTGGTCCTTCTGTTGATACTGTCTTTGCTCCTCATGATGGTCATGGATGGGAAGCCTTAGGTTCTTATCTTCAGGGTATTGGCGGTTATAAATATGTCTGGGGGCGTGCAAAGCCAAAATGTGTCTCTCACAGCAGTGAAGCGAATGCTCAATTCAAATTGAGACTGCCTGTTTATACTGTGTCTGAGAGGGCTGAATATCTGATACTGGAATACATTTATATCTGGGCGAATTGAAAAATAATTAACAATCAAATGCTCACTACTTCCCATCAACTCAAACTCATCATCGCTGTTTTTCTGTCTTTAAGGAAATTCAATCAACGCACTATATATTATCTATAAAAACGTATTCCAATCGTCACTTGGAATGCATTCCATTTGGTGGAAAGACCGATATCATTGGTGATGACTTCGGATAAACGCTGCCTATAGTTCCTAATGACAGCAAGGCTGATTTCATCAAGGTCTCCTTTACAAGCCCTACCTCTTTGTCAACAACATTGTCCGTGTGCTTCGACGCGGCGAAAACGTGCGTGTCCAAACGTGCGTGTCCAGCAAGACCCTGATCCAACGACGGCCACTCAACTGCAATAATTTGCTGATGATCTTCAACTTGTTAGTGAAGGACGCGAGCCAGGTACCGCAGTTCCTGAATGCGATGCCATGACATTAAGCTTGCCATCCGAATCATGCTTTGTAATGCCCAGTCTCATCTCTGTAGTTCTCTTTGTCTACTTTCATTTGGTATCGCACTGATCGAGACGACACGACGAGCTGTGTAATATCAGCGCCATACAATGACAGTATTTTTACTATTAGCGATGCAGCATTATCAATTTTTCTGGAGAAACGCACGAATACTATCACCTGATAAGATTGGCGACTCCGAAGCATTTGAAGCCGTTCATCCGCCAGAATACCTTCAACCATCATTTGCAACAGCTATCCTCCTCAACAACTTTCTTTAAAGCGACACCAGCCAATAATGCTTCTACGCAAGATCCTCAAAAGGGACTACGCAGTGGTACGCAGTTGCTATGTCCACATCTCTTACCACACCTTTTTGAAGCAAAAATTTCTCAAGGCAAATTTTCAGGTGTATACAATTATTCGCTGTATCGGCTTTATACTTAGCTTAACACTTTCTTTTTGCTCGCTCTATATGTGGTATCTTCTGTATTCCACGCATCAGTCTATACTCGGAAAAAAGTGATCTCCCATTGAAACTGTGCCGCCACCAATTCCCTGTGGTCCCAGTCTTCGTAATGATTCTTGACAAGCCGCAAGTTGACCCCTCACAAAAGCAATGCTGTGGCTATTCAAGTCAGCTTTCGCACATGGGCAACTCTACGTGGCATTATCGCGCGTCCGCTCTTTAACTCACTCACAATTCTTCTACTTCCTCTCGACTGATCAACATCACAACCTCTATATTGCACCCGTAAATTTTGTCATAAGAGAAGTATTAATAGCTATTACATTTGTAAGGTGGTTCGTTTTTACTGATACTATCAAGTACAGATAAAACATCCAACAACAAACACTGATAAGGCCTTGAACGCGCTCGCTACGGGGGGTTTTGGGGCATGCCGTCTCCTCCCCTCCGACAGAAGGGGTTCTAGTAACTGAAGTCCCCAGCGAAGCAGCCAAGCCGAAGCTTCGTAAGGAGGCTCAAGGACCAAGGTGCGTAGGCGACAAAGACTCGTACAGTATATTGGTGGCTATGCAAATCATAGGCTCTTGCATTTAATTAAGAAGTATACTTTCTATTTCTCTTTTAAATGAAGGTAATGCATACAGATGAATTTTTTAAAAGTATAGGCAACGCATTCAGAAAGAGGACCGCTGTTGAAATATACAATGAGGACCTGATGTTTCCGCCGATATACCCTTTATCTCACACACCGTAGTCTTGTCTTGAGAACGCTTAGATAGTGTCGGGTGCCCATCGATTTGTGCAAGCTATTTCATGCGTGTAGTTTCGGTGTTTGTATCATTTAGTAGGCTTTTAAATTATATATGCGGTCATGGGATGAAGCATTTGCACCTTTCAATGACAAGCCTGCTCACAAAATGAAAGGCAAGAATATTCAGTAGCACGAAGAATCAATCTGATCGAAAAAGAACAAGATTTTCTGCTTACAAAATAAGATGATTCATCCTTGGAAGAGCTGGACCACACCAGCAGAGCCATGAAGAGCAAAAAAAAAACAAAAAACAAGAGACTGGAGAGCTCTGTGCAACGCGAATTCAATCTGACTGTTGCGGGTAGAGAAAAAATGCTAAACCGGATTAAGTGCTCTGGGCTCTTGCAACTCGGATTTTCCCATGTGCCATGATACAATAAGTAAAATGACTTTCTCTATCTAATTTCTCAACGTTACGCGTCAGGCAATGGATTGATAGCCCTGTAATTTAATGAATATAAAATGTTTCATCTTCAAACCGCTGCTACCAGTATCTGCTGTACAGACTCGAAATATATAAGGCAGAATCTCGTCGTTCCGTAGTCATAGATACATGTAGAGAACGTGCGAATTTCATCTCTGTGACACGTACGTGATTAAACCTGGCAAGGGCATAACAACCTGCAAGTCCCCCAACACACACACACACACACACACACACCAAGCTTGAATTTCTTACAGATCTTAAGAGAATACTTGGCAGAAACACTAAGAGCGAAAGTATAGACATATACTCTCACGACTTATTATAAGTGGCAAAGCATCATATCAGTATTCATGGATTAAATCGCGATAATGACAAAATCATTGCAGAGGTGATGCACATACATGTAGAGCCGTAGTATACTCAACAGATCTCTGAAACTTTATGACGTACTTTTTAAGATTGCTGGAACAACGCGGTAGCGTAGTGTGAATGCAGTGACTTGGTGACTTGGTGACCCCGCAAAATACCGTTCTGACGCGGGTGGGTAAAGAACGGTGGCCAAGCAGTCCAATAATATGGTAGAAGTAAGTTACATAAGCTGAGCAGGGCCGCATGTCGAGACCGATCTTTCTGGTGGGAAACTAAAGAATGACAATAGATCGTTTCACGGAAGAAGAATAAGAAACCTCTCCCGTAACTTTTATTTTACGGAAGAAAAAAGTTTTATGGGATGACTATCATCGTCTTTATACCTGCTGTACATTAAGGTAAGCATCTATCATTATACACTATGGCTAATGTTCGCACGTACAAGACTAAAAGCTGACCCTTATTCAAAAATTCCGCGGTGAACCAAGAACCCGAGAGAAAAAACATATATAAACGGGATGTAGATGAAGGATCGAAACAGATATCTCTTAATAATAACTTAATACTACTAGCCTTATTATATTTATTACCTGCGGAAATGATTTGTTCCTCACTAACGTCCATCGCCGTAATTGCACTCGCCGGGCTGGCCCAGGGTGCGCCCACTAGCAATCTCCGAAGTTGGGAAGAAGCTTATGCAAAGGCAGAACAAGTTGTCGACCAAATGTCTCTAGAACAAAAAGTAGGCCTCACGACCGGTATCGGTTGGGAAAAGACTCTCTGTGTTGGCAATGTTCATGGAACCGAGGATCCCTACTTCCCTTCACTTTGTCTGCAAGATGGACCTTTGGGCACAAGATTTGCCAGCAACAATACTGCAGGCGTTTCCGGTATCAATGCTGCTGCAACATTCGATCGCGATTTAATGTACAGACGCGCCGAAATCATTGGAAACGAATCAAGGGGTAAAGGTGTGCACATACAGCTTGGTCCTTCTGTTGATCTTATCCGTGCTCCTCATGGTGGTCGTGGATGGGAAGCCTTTGGTGAAGATCCTTATCTTCAGGGAGTTGGCGGTTATGAATTCGTCAAGGGCGTGCAAAGCCAAAATGTGGTACGTATACTGCCCATTGCTTTAATCGTTTATCGCTGCTGCAAAGAAATGCTTGGTTCAGTTGGATGGCTAATGCTTTTTTGTCGACATTTAGATCGCAACAGCAAAGCATTACATTTTGAACAATCAAGAAATTAACCGAACTACGGTAAATCATACTACCTGCTATTTTCATCGCTTGCAAATAATTGTCTTGTGCTCACCATTTCTCTGTAACTGTAGTCAAACTCAGTCGTTGATGAGCGCACTCTTCGTGAAATTTACGTCTGGCCCTATGCACGCATGGTAGAGGCTGGCCTCGGCTCCGTTATGTGTAGCTACAACTTGTACGAGGATATTTATGCTTGCGAGAATGACTATCTTCTGAATACAGTCCTGAAAGAAGAATTATCCTTCAAAGGATTTGTCATGTCAGATTGGTGCGTAGAAAATACATAATTGACCCGACTTACTTATTGAATCGAATCGAAGACCAAGTACTGAAAGTTGACTTTAAATCAATATCATTAGGGGAGCAACTCACTCAACTGCTCCTTCTGTTAATGCCGGTTTGGATATGACCATGCCTGGCGACATCATCATGGGCGACGGTCTCTCGTGGTTCGGTCCCAACCTTACAAAAGCTGTTGAAGATGGTGATGTCAGCGAAGAGCGAGTAAGTGGTCTTGGTATCATAAACATATGCCTTGTGACCCTTTACGTAGCAAAAATATCGCTAAATGTTTTTGAATGTGTCTTTTGTTCTTTTATGTTATATAGGTCACCGACATGGCTATGCGTATTGCAGCAGCCCATTTCAAAGTTGGTCAAGATAAGGTACCTAAAACTTACGACAAGCTTCGGAATCTTTTACTGCGATGGAAGATTGACATTCTTCATTTTACGTTTGCTATAGGACTTCCCCGAGACTTCGCTCGTCAGTTTCGATCGTAAGAGCGAGCCCGAGGTGATTGTCACATCCGATGAACATATCAAATTTGTTCGTGATATTGGTGCAGCCTCCGTGGTGCTGCTTGCCAATGATGGTATTTTGCCCGTATCCTCAGATGATCTCCAAAAGATTGCCATCGTCGGTAGTGACGCTGCTGCCCCTAGCGAACAGTAAGCTGACTTTTAGTCTCATTTATTCCTGTGGCTCCTTGACTGACCTTAACACAATAATAGCTCATTTACTAGCGGTGGCCTCAACGAGGTAGAATGTACAGATATGGCATGTAACGACGGAACGTAAGTAGCTTCATTTGCTGTTGTCAGTGTAGTTTTACTGTCTGACTAAGTATGGTTGATCTAACCGTGAATTGCGATACAACAGCTATGTTATGGGCTGGGGCAGTGGTTCAGTTGACTTCCCATATATTATTTCGGTATGTAAAAGTGTTGCTCATAACGTACCTTAGCTCTGGTGGTCACTAAACATGAAACTAATCTTTCTTTATCGGTTTTGTTCGATTCAGCCCACCGAAGGCATTACCAACCGTGCTGGCGATTCTGTTGAAGTTGTACACACATATGATGATTGGGATACTGAAGCTGCCGCAGAGTTGGCAAGTGATGCCGATATTGCATTTGTATTTGCCAAGACCGAAGCTGGTGAAGAATATCTCATGGTTGATGGCAACAATGACCGTAAGAACTTGACCTTGTGGAACAATGGTGATAACTTGGTAAGCTTTTCCAAAAGTTATATGCAATATTTGAAGCATCTGGTTAAACGCGCAAAATAATGCATTTCTCGTTGACGCTTTGTAAATTCGTTTAATTACAGATTCAAGCCGTAGCCGATGCCAATGAAAACACCGTGGTTGTCATTCACTCTCCTGGTCCCATCCTCATGCCTTGGATTGATCATGAAAATATCAAGGCTGTCGTCTGGCCTGGTCTTCCCGGTCAAGAGACCGGAAACTCACTTGCCGATGTTCTCTTTGGTGATGTTAACCCATCTGGTCGCTTGCCTTACACTATTGCCAAGAAAGAGGAGGACTATGGTGCTCATATTTCAACAGAGTATAATATCGAATACAGCGAAAAACTCAATATTGGGTACCGCCACTTTGATGCCAACGATATTGAGCCTCTTTTTGCCTTTGGTTACGGTCTTTCTTACTCTACCTTTGACTATGGCAAGCTCAAGGTCAACACCAAGCGTGGCAAGCGTGATACGTTGGCTACTGCCACTGTGTTTGTTAGAAACACTGGCGATGTCGATGGCGCAGAAGTTGCCCAGGCTTACATCTCTTTCCCCGAGTCTGCTGGTGAGCCACCAAAGGTACTCCGTGGATTCGAGCGCGTGTATTTAAAGGCTGGTCAGCAACGCAAGGTCACCTTTGAGTTCACCGAGACCGACCTCAGCATTTATGATGAAGAATCTAGCTGCTGGGTTGTTCCTGAGGGAGAATATACCGTTTCTATCGGTGCAAGCAGCCGTGACATCCGTGAATCAGCAACCTTTGATCTGTAAAAGCGTAGTCTTAATTATCAAATTACTATATTGGATGGCTACTGTAGTTCATTTTTTATGATCTAGCTACTATCAAAAAAGCTTATAAAAAAGCGTGCTATTGTATCGTTTTCTCTAAATAAAAGAAGTACAATTCAAATTTCATATTGTCGCTTTTTTTCTATTATCAAACGTATGTATTACTCTGTGTTATAAATAAGTCTATCGCTCTGCTTATTGTTATGACAATTATTGCTTCATTTTGCCATCGAGAATGTATGGTCATTCCACGTTTTCGCAATTATTATCACCTGAGCGGTGTCGGTGACCTCAGTTAGCCCGATGGTTCTCAGTACATAGCACATCTTCATAACTGTCAAGAAAAGGTTAAACTTATACTGTTGTGAATACTACATGTGACATATTTGCCAAACAGAGAAGTGAAGTCCAAAATGAATGATAGAATTAAAGCTCGTATAATAGATGTCCTAAAAAGGAAAAATAGGGTTTAAAATCAACGCTGCAACGAGGAACCAGCCAAAAAAATTAACAGAAGTTAGCACTAGTTTCTATGTGGGGAGAGAACGTGGATACCTTATAAGTAGATTTCGGTGTGCAGGAAATTAGTTGTAAACGTCGGAAGTTTGGGATACTTTTGAAGCCTTCAGGAGCCTTTGAAAGCTTACCAGAGCGTTTGAAAACTTCAAAAAGCATGAATTTTCGACGTAGCACAAGATGATATCGGCATGACAAATTATTTGTTGCTGTGGCAACATTAATCGAGTTGCCAATGCCTTACTTTTGTTTCTTTATAGACTGTACTCCATTCGGGAAAAGAAGTGTACGCAAAAGAAAATAGTTGTAAATTTCTGTACGGAAATGACTTCGTTTTCCTGGTTGACAGGCTCGCTGCTGTTCTGAACAAGAACACCGTCATTAATCCGTAATCTGGCAAGAGCTTGTGTACAATCCGCCAGTGGACTGTACACGAGCGAGATTATAAGGGTCTTTTTATTCGAATAAAGGTTTGGTACAGCTTTAGTACTAGCAGTTCAGGTGTGCAATTAATCGAACAATATGACATTCATCCCTTACAGAACCAAAATATTCAAACAGTATATGCTAAAGCCTTTAGACTTCGCTTTTGAAGCACGATCGTCGCTTTACACTATAGTAAAATATAAAACACTATAGGAAAGAAAAAACCTTAATATACCTTAAAAAACCTAAAAAAACCTAAAACCTGAAAAAACCTGAAACGGGCAAATTAAGGTATATTCAGGTTTTTTTTAAACCTGAAAAAACCTGAGAAAACTCGAATATACCTTAATAATATCTGGTTTCTCTGATTCGTTTTATTGGTCGGCTGAAGTGTGGAATGCGTTCAACTGTGTTTATGATTGCGTACATACATCGTGTCTTATTGGTCGTTGTACGTATAGCTGATCCGTTTGGGAGCATCATTGGATATTTCATCAGCTATTCACATTTCCTCATTGATCCTCTTTCATATTATGTATGCTAAAAAACTGATTTCGATTGGATGACAATATGTTTATTATTAAATTTTGCCTTCTATATTAAATCTTTGACAAATCATTTTTGCATTGTGTAGTACACAAGTAAATAAGTGTTCAATTCTATTTAGTTGCCAACACGACCGCAACAGCGAACACCACGAGCATTACGAGCACCGACGCGAGCAATACTGGTGCTGTCAGTGAAGTCATTAGCAGATCCATCGCATGAACGGGCGCGTTTGCGTGATGTAGTCTCTCTTTTAATTAGGTTGGTATATCATGGATGCTCATTCTATGCCATGCAATGGATTTTTGATCTACTGTTTACCTTGGCTTAAAGAGAGCAACACACTGGGCAGTTGCGACGCGTCTTCGTCTTCCGACTATTACACTAGGAGCCTTGAACAGTCGTCTGTGTTTGATGTCGACGGCAACGCAACCTCATGGTGTTGACGAACGCTGGTTGAGTACAACCAGTGTGTGTGCTATGAAGTACGTCAAATACATCTGCATTGGTAGAGTATATATACCTTTATTCTGAAAAAAAACATGTTTCCTCTTGTGGAGCGCTTGATAATGTCTGATAGCGTTTAAAAACTGTAATATTTTGAAGGTAAGCATTATATACATATATACCGGAAACGCTAATACTCCTAGTATGTACTTACTGATTTTTGGTAGAAGCCGCCCTAGGCAACGCGTTTCTTGTAAGTTATTGCGCGATCCCCCGAAGTTGCAGGATTTTGTTTGTAGCCCAACTGTTCACGCACGCATCCAAGGGTGCAGATATTTAGCATGCGCTCTATAAATCTTGTTGCGCCTTCAAGGTTGTCTCTGGTATCGCTGATCAGCTCGTTCTAAGCAAATCAATATCAGGTTTGCTGAGAATACCATCGACCATTATCCCAGATCGTCCCCATATGTTGTCCCTGATATTGACTGCGTCGCTGCGCGCGATATCCAATTGGTGCTCCCTGACGACGTCGTGGCACAGACTGGTCAGCTCCTCCATTACAAACTTCGTCTGTGAGTCGACTTTGCGTTTGTAAGACAGTGTCAAGAGCATGCCGTCGAACAGCCCAGAAGAAAACGCTCTTGATACGGAGCTGGAAGATTCTACAGATGGACATGAAAGGACAGCACTGTACATCCCCAACTATAAGAGTTACTGATGTGAAAAGATCATCCAACGCCTTACTGTGACATCAACTTCCCTTTCCAAGGAGCCGACCGACCGTGCAAGTGCAAGCATTGAATCGTTATTGTTTTTGATAGCGTTAAGAATTGCTGGGATTTGAGGATTCATGTTAAGTTGTTTCTGTGTGATGTTTTATTATTGACGAAAGAAAAGAAGGAATAAGAAAAGGAACGATTTTTTTTTCAAACGGCAAGATGAAGCATACAAGGAGAGGCAAGGTCAAACAAATGAGGAGAAAAGGATTAACTTTGTTTTGATACTGCCTAAAATGGAAATCACCATATATACCGCAGTTCACCAAGAAGTTCGTTGTCTCGTTTGTGACCTGCAAACGTAGTGACGCTTCGATGTACTTTCAATACTGCACACCAGCTGTTTGATATGCTTTACATTAACAACTCCATCGTGCGATACAGCCACGTGCCACTGTCATTAGACTTTTCAGCGTTATATACTTTCACCAAGGCAAATAATCTGGCAGCGCCTACATCATAATGCTGAAATTACACCATAACTTCACCAATACGTATAAGCCTGGACTGCTGAACGCGATTGTTACCCTGCCAGCTGTTGGTGTTAATTGTCAACCGCAGGCGGCATGAAATTATTCTTCCGTGATAGAGAAGGTGTTGACATATTGATGAGATGAAAAAAAAAATGTGGTCAGGTGTGTCGGAAGTTTCATTTGGTACAACAACGGTGGTCCTGGTTGAACTAAATTCAGGTTTATTCAGGTTTTTTAAGGTATATTAAGGTTTTTTTTCCTACAGTGAAAGTTATTGTAATAAAAACGTGTAAACGCTTCACCCAAAAAAAATGTAAATAAATGTGGTTTATCCGATTGTATAGTAGTATGTACCACAAACCAGCGACCATACAGAATAAGTCGTTTGAGTGTATGATAAAGTGAAGTCAGGGAGGAGGAGCAAACCCTTTCAAAGATGTCGAGTGGAGAAGCGGGTAAAATGAAAGCCTATGAAGTTTTATCAAAGCAGTTAATGAAGCGATTACAGCACATCATCGTAAAGTCTGAACCTTGTTGAAGTTCATAAAATTCGTTGAAATTTGGTCTCGTACACGCTTATTTGTATGACTACTACATAAAAACTTCAACGAAGTTCTCTTGTGCTGATCCAACACTTGGGCAGGCATCATTTTGACAAGGACTGCATGTGCATGGTTTGTGTTGTTTTGTTCCTATGTGCCTTGGCTGCTAGAGCAAGTATTCCTAGTAGTTGTGATTCGAGACGCGAACATAAATGCAGAAGTAGGCAATTGAAAAAAAAAAGAAGAAGAAAAAACTAACTATAAAAACATCTCGAGACGTTCACGCACACGTATAATGCGACACTCCTGAGCTGAGACCAAGAAGAACAGAATTGCATAACAGAATATAAGTGCCGAAAATATTAAGTCAGGATGTTTTTACAGTTATTGCCATGATCATACTGTACCACGTATACTGCTATGGTTATTATTTAGTGCTCACCATCATCAATTTCCTTTTTTCCCCTTTCTAATTATATCTTTACAATGATACTCGATCATTATTACTGCTACCGTTAATAATCTCCTCTGTAACTACTATCATATGGTCCCTGAACTCATATGGTCGCTGAATTCTGCTCTTCTGTGTAAAAAGTTGGTTCATGAGTGAAATCGTAGATATTGGTAGTAAAGTAAGGAAGAATAATAGTGCCAACGGAGAAGGTCTTCCATACAATATTACTACTGAAAAGACGGTATGATATCATAAGCCTCGATCCTCGTTTCTTTACAACATCCATGCATTTTGAAGTATCAGCAACATTGAAATCCATTTTAATATGCAACAAACGAGTGGGGAAATGATCGCGTCATGTTACGTCCGAGATTAGCTTTCTCGTCGACCATGACTGGGGATATTTCCAAATCCAGACAAAGCGATTTTACATGCCTGAAAACATATTGGATGAATCGTGTCTGTTTCAATTAAAAGCTACGTTCATTCTATAAGTGTTGTGCTTGTTTTGTTACATACATCTGTTGAGACTTACTGTCATAACCATTGTGGTTTTACTGCTTCAAGACGAACTGTGCAACAAAAGCGAAGCGCCTCTGCAGACGGACTTTCTTTTGACAACTGTAGTGAAGCTCATATTCATGCATATGCACTACGTTCAGTAAACAATGATAGCAATAAAACGACAAAGGAAACTCATATTTTCATATTTATGCTTTGAGCATTTGAATAGTGGCTCAGTAATATGCTTAGATTATCAATTATTATAACGTGATGAGACGATGAGACAAGGCTTTGCAACGTGGTACAAAGAGCAAGTGGCCCGGCGTGCAAGTGAGCAATGTATGATCAGCACAGTATACGACTTATTAAGATCCTTCCAATGAAAGAACCCTTTTGCACACTAACGTGTCCATATTAATCTCAACATTGAATAACATAAACTACCAACCGAGATTACTTTTTGATTTGATTTGAGCATCTTCCAAAAGTTTTCTTTGGATGTGTTGCTTTCTATGAGACAGTGTTTTTTATGTAGCTAATTATTTAAACAGAAATTCATGCCAGCAGTATTATTTTTTCGTTTATGAAGGTGGATGGGTTACGAAAAAACATGTTTAGAGGGAGAGGGAGTCGCCGTAGGGGAGGCTGTAAAGATCACCCAAAGCAGCGGTTGTTGCCTTGCCGCTCAACAACTTCTCGGCAACCTGGTGATAAGAATTCGCAAACAGATCAGTCTATAATCTCTTTCTCTTCCCCTCCATTTTTCCTTATCATCCCCACAGTCACTATGGAAACGTCATTATTACCTTGGCAACATCCGAAGCAGAGACCTTGTCAAGGGCAGCAGCGGCATCAGCAGCGGAGGTATACTTGCCAGCAAGGAGGGCCTATACGAGCACGGTTTCAACGTTAGTTTTCGTAATATTTACATATATGAGCATAATCCTCTCGCTTTCAGACGATATTTGTGGGTTCCCTTTTTCCTACCTGGGAACCAACGGTCTCCAAACGATCCAATCGGGTTTCGAAGCCAGAGACGGCAGCGAACTTGGCTTGTGCAAGAGCACTGGCGAAGACCTGCTCGGAGACACCACCAGCGACAGCCTTCAATTGCTCAGCGGCAGCAGCGGCAGCCGAAGCAATACCAGCAGAGGGGGCAGAAGCATAGACACCAAAGAGACCAGCATCAGAGTAACCGACGTTGAAAGCCTTCAATTCAGCACCCTCACCCAACTTGGCGGCAGCCTCACCGAGGAGACCGGCGCCAGCGGCCCACTGGACGCGTTGTTCACCACCAAGAGCGAAACGAAGGACCTGAGCAGCAGCGTATTCGGCCGAGTTGAGAGGAGCACCTTCGAAAGCCAAGATCAAATGGCTGTTGGCCGAAGCAGCCTCGACACGCGATTCACCACCAAAGTACTTGGCAGCAGGAACGGACGAGGAGCCGGCAGGGACGTTAATGTAAGTTTCGGCGAACTTTTGAACAGCTTCCAAGGGAAGACCGGCACCGACAAGGGCAATGTTACCGCTCTTGAAGAGTTCGGCGGCGTAGCTCTTGACAGCAGCGTTGTTGACTTTGCCGGCAGGGGTGGCGAAGATCGAGTTACCAAGACCGCTGCGGAAAGCGGCAGTGTGAGCAGCCTCGAAAACGGCAACTTCGGCGGACGAGGCAGCGTTGGCGGATTCGGCGGCAGTTTGCTGGAGGACATCACCGAATTCGTGGTCCTGGAACTTTTGGCTCGAGACGACATCACCCAAAACCTCGGCAAACTGGGCACTGATAAGAGCAAACAGGTAATAGATTGATTTGTTTAGCATTCGCTCGCTATGCCCAGCGCCTACAATAGAATCCTCCCCCCCATCTATCCCATGATTTTCGATATCTCGTATTGTCTCCTCTCCCGTTCCATCCACGATCAAAGTGACTAGATATGGAAACTCACGCATCGCCGCTCAAGAACTCGGCAGAGTAAACGATGGATTCCCGGGTCAAGTTGGCAGACAAGACGCCGCCAGCCAATTCAGTTTCACGGGTGATACGGAATGCAGTACGCTTGGTGTTGTTCTATAAACATAAATGGGCGCATTCATATACACAAACATACAGCAAGATTGTGTTGAAATGCAAAGATCGTCAATAACACGTAGGTTCGTCGTAATTCGAGATTCTGTGTCTTTGGCATTGCTGTGGTAAGCTTTGTCCCTAATTCTCACCTTGAAGCCATAGTTCTTTAAAAAGTGGGCAACACCCTTGGAAGACTCGAGACGCGAACCGCCATTGACAACGACGGACAAGCCAGCGGTGGGGCCGGCTTCTTCGATCGAGGCAACGGTAACACCGTTTTGTGCTTTGCTGATTTGGGCTGCGGCGGTGGTGCTGTAAGCCTTGGAGGCACTGCTGGGGATGGATGTGAGAGCTCTGCGCGCGGCCAACATTTGTGAGAGGAGAGTGGGGGAGGTTTATAGAGAGGCGCTGTTTTTTTTTTGTTACTCGCAAAGAAAAAATTGGGTCGGTCGTCTCCCTTGTGTTTACTCCAAAACCCCGCTTCAAATTGATGACGTATCGCGCGTGCTTGCTATGCCAACCAACAAAGGCGATTGCTTTTGGCGAGCAACTAGTTCTTGCTCCTTACAAAATCGTACGACAAAATTAACATCCACTTCATCAAAATAATGTCCACTGTTTTACAAAAGACAAGGTTTTTACTGAAAAATGCCTGGATTCTTATTTATATTTTCTTTTTAGAGGCAGGTGTTTAACATTGCAGCTGCAACACAAACGACATGTCGACCATAGCAAATCATGAGTAGGATCAGATGACATGAAAATCATGACCGCAGTTGTATCCATGTCAAAACTCCATTCGTACTATTTAGCAACCCAACAATTGATAATAACCGCGTGTTGTCAAGAGAAAAATTTGTCATAGCCTCTACTGGCGACGCATCGCTGTGTAATATCATCAGAGTCTGCTATGTGGACCTTATCTCTGATGCAGTGATGCGCGTCTCAAAGCAAAAGCTAAACGAGGAAAAACTATATAATGAGAAAGCCGTCTCGTATTTCAGATACGCGAATGTCGAACGTATATTCATAGTACGTAACAAAAATGCACTAATGTCATCACCTTCATAAGGTAAAAGTGTTTAGCTTATCGACCATCTCTAGGGGATCACCTGGAGCCTACTAGTCGACAAGCGAACGATGATCTCCACCTTACTCTACAACATATTATCGCTCTTGTGTCTCAAAACTTTAATAGCTTTCATCATGAACCTCTTGCTAGAGGACTGCCAATGGATAACCCTTAATGCATCAAATGTAAAGACATGAGGCTGTATTATGTTTGATTGTGCGGCAGATAGACAGCAAACTCATCCACAGAGATAAAGCTACAGTTCTAACTGCCAATATAGCGTGTGGAAAGTAAGATTTTGGAATTTATATATAATAGCCATTGCATTGAGTTATTTGTACATTGTTTAAGAAATGGTCTAACAGCAACAATATACCAAATATGATACGTGGGATGATCAGTTTTAAACTGAAAAGATGTTTTGTATTACTGGCAACGCTCAAGATATGCGACAGAAATATGATTTATATATAGAACACCTTTGGGTGTTCATTTAGTACCTACAGTCTATCTCTTTTTGCTTTATTAGAATGGACTGCAAGAAGTCAAAATAACAGAAGAAGTACGTGGTCAGCAAAATATGGGCTCGTTAAGTTTTTGAAGGCCGTACAGTTCGGTTAAGACAACCATATACAAATGTTGTTAGCTTAGCCGGGTTTTTTCTCTTTTGTCTTTATCATAGAAATTGAGTGAAATACTTTTTCATTTCTAACACTTCCCCTCTTTTACTTATAATCCTTGCCATAGTGCTGACTACATGCTGCGAGGAGTATGTAGCCATATACTAAAGTCGTATAGCATATGATTTTGCATTGATAGCTTAAAAGGGACAAATATAATTAAACACAGAGCGTTGACTGTTATTCAAAATTGCTTTTTCTGCACACACAAAGCAAATGGATCCCTTTTACGATGTATGAATTCCCAAAAGATCTCCAAAGAACTTGACTCACCTTATACCAAAATAACTCACGAGTACTTTTAGCAATTTGTGCTTCCAGCATATTCAACGCAGCAGCAGCAACGCAAAGGAAAACGGCCCTCAACAACAGCAACAGCAGCTTCTGCTGGTGCTAATCGATTGGACGTCGATCCGACAATCACTGGTAATAACTTTTTTTGCCTTCTAGAGTAATACGCAATCCATTACATTCAGAAAAAAAAAGACTTTAAATTGATCAATACACTTTACACACAGATCAGCTTTGGGTGGATAAATACGAACCGAGAAATGAGGTTAGAGGTGAAACAGTAGAATAGGCGACTGCCAAGTTTATGCCTTTTTTTTTGTTCCTGACCGCCCCCTCTTTTTTGTGTAATATGTATAGAAAGATTTAGCTATCCATTCGAGAAAACTTAAAGATGTCAACGCGTGTATCCAAACTTCGGCAATCGGTACACCACCGGGTCGATGCAACGTGAGTTTCTTGGAGCGTGTTTGAAAGATTGCCAGCGACGATCAGCAGTATATAACTCAAACTATTTGCACACGTATATAGTGCCTCGTGTTGAGTGGTCCGGCAGGCTGCGGCAAAAGCACAACAATTCGAACTATCGCAAAGTCACAACGCTATACAGTTGTCGAATGGAGTGCTACAAGTACGGAGCAGTATGTATTCGGTCAAGGTAAACACCACTGCGGGCAGTCTATTCTATTGGGTGTACAACAACGATGGTTTGTGGCGGGAGATACTCATAGAACGAGGGAATCATTGTTTAGAATATGAATCCGGCATGACCAAGTTTGAAAACTTTTTAATACGCGCTACACAATTACAGCCTCTGAGCGATCCGAACGATTCATCATCTGCTGAAAGCAGCAATCGACAGCGACGAATCATATTACTCGACGATATACCGGATCTGACCTCGGAAGCTGTCAAAGCACGATTTCACGAACTGATTGTGTATCATTTACAAAACAACACACAGCCGTTTTTGCTGGTTATCGTTGTCAGCGAAGCATGGATGCAAACGGACAGCACAAGTAGGTGGTGGGATGCAAACAACAACGAAACCCGGCTCACGAACGTTCGTGATATCCTGCCTCCAGCTTTTGTTGCCAGCCCTCAGTGCACTGTGATTGAGTGAGTAGCCACGCTTGGTTTGAGATAGCGCGCGAGAGGAGGGGGGGGGAAGAACGTCGTGTTGTATATAACGACTATGTCTGCATTCATAGCTTAATAATAATTCGAGATAGATTTAACCCTATCACTCCAAAGAACATTGAGAAAATACTATCTGCTATACAAGACAACGAATATCGACGCACTGGCCATAAATTATCCAAAAACCGCCTGACACATATTGCAGAACTTTCCCGTGGAGACATTCGAAATGCGATCAACATGCTTCAATTCCACTGTATACCCACTTCACCATCCGATGTAGTAGTTCCAGCAAAACGGAGACGAGAAGAAGATCTTCAAGAGGATGATACACTTACCCAAGCACAACATAGGTATAAAACAAAGAAAAGACTTTACTCTTATTGTACAACCCTATCCCTTCCAATTTGATTTCGTACTCACTTTTCTTAAAGAGGGGCGCCATTGGATCTATTTCATGCAATAGGAAAAGTACTTTATGCAAAACGCGATCTACAAGGACGACTCGAATCTCCACCAGAACAAACATTCGATTTGCTACCAGTTGATTCGAGTACGTTTCAGGCGTTTTTATACGCGAATATACCCAAATATTTTGACAGCGACGATATATCCTCATGTGCAAAGGCGTTGGATTGGATAAGCTTAGCGGATAGTATGACATCAACAGAAAGCTGGATGGTAAGTATATGTATAGATGTTCAGGGCGAGAACGAATGGATGACATTCGTTCATGCATGGCATGCTCTTTGTGAAACCCACTAACCCTAATTTTTATTCATGTTTATTTTTTGGGGCATTGATAGGATTCAACTCCATCTCAATATCAATGTTTATTGGCAATGCGAGGAGCTATGCAATCACGCACCAGACCCGTGGTGACAGTAGGAAGAAGTTTGACCCAAACAAAACCGGATTTCTCTGCTTTATCCGTCAAGCGAAAGGAGCCATCGATAGGTGAATAACATACATGAAGGAAAAAGAGGTTCTACAAGCAAGTTTAATTGTTGCTGACGATGGTTATTATTACTAGGATTATGGAATCGAGGTCTGCAAGCGAAATGCGAGACAGAAAAGGAAAATCCATCGGATTGGGGTGATGATATTCAGAACTTTAGTGATGAAGAGTTCGACGAGATCTTTGGTGATGGCACTGACATCCCGCGCTTTAGTGACGAGGAGTTTGATGATCTATTTGGTGATGGCACAGATATTGCAGAACTAGAAGGATGGTAGATATAAAAGAATACTAAATCTGTGCTTTGTGTAAATATGTAAAAAGATACAATTACCTTTTCCTGTGTGTATAAAAAAGAAAAAAAACCTTAAAGTGCACATGACACTTGTACTTGTATGCTTTTGATTGTCCGGCAGAATTACGACACAGCGATACACTATAGAACCGTAATCTTGCTTGCATAATGTAATATTGTCACAGCGCATACTATGTACAATGCAGGGACCAAGCAATAACTGAGGCACATACACATGATAAGGTAGACGCAAAAACGACAATCTGTCAAGTGCGTCGTCTATGGTCCTGCGAATTAATATAATTTGGAGGTTACACACATGGCTCATTGAGCTTGATCATCGCAATGACATCATTTGACTATTTTCTTAATGTAGCTGCATTGATGTGTCATATAACAACGACGAACGAAAGTCCCAGTCAATGCAGCACCATCTTATGAGCCATGCTGCAAATCAAAGCCCTATAAAAACGATGGCCAAGTTTCTTTTGGCTACGGTTAATACGCTTAAAATCACAAATTACCGAGATTATTATTGAGTAGCTATAACGCCAATAGCAGCAGAACGAGAATCATTAGCAATATCAAAAGTTAAATGAAGGACATGTTCACAGATATTATTGCAGGACCCAGATAAGGTCACGTTTGCAATATCTTACAGTGCATAGAACAGGATTCCAGAAAACTTTTTGCTGTTGCCTAGTAAGCGAGAGGGTGCCATTTCTATGGTTACGGATACCTAGCCATGTTGGGACTTTCAGCTGCCGATAAAATTGGGGGAATTTGTTGATCTACTAAATAATGGGCTGTTGTGCAACCCCAAGCACGCACTCTTGATACGTTAGTAGTAGTAGTAACAGAGTAAAGCTTTATATACAATTCTAAAGTTCTTTTTTGGTTGGTTGGTTGTGCCTGTCGATCCTATCCAGAAAAAGGCTTACTAGATAACGGTTGTAGTCATAGAAGCTCGGTGATCATGAAAGAAGTTCATCGAAAACAGTTGCGCTACATTTAAAAGAAATAGAGTGTCAAATGACGAACGACTGTCATGTGCGCTTCTTGTTGGTTTTTTTACGCGAATTGATAAAAATAGCTATTTCTGAAGTGTGTGGCGCATCAATTCATCCATCAAAAAATAAAATAAATGCCGTTTGCGGTATACAAGCTTATTTTAACGATCCAGGTGCCCCGCGTCGTCACAGAGACAGTCGTGGGTTCCTATTGACGTTTTCATGCAATATGACCTACAACTACTTGCTGCTGCTGCTGCTACTGTTAATAGTTAGCTACCATACCGCATTGCTGGCTCAATGGTGAAGCAACAGGGTTGTTGTGAAAGAATTTATCGCGGAGTAAAATGAATCCGGTAACTCTGAATGCAACCAACTGCTCTTTCTTTCCATATACTCACACTCTCTTATTATCCCCTTCCCTTCGTTCCTTATATTCTTTCTTACTCTCTCTCTCTCTCTTTCTCTCGTTTTCACTTTCTCTCTGCCAACTTCCCCTCGTTCTCTTTCCAACCCACTACCCTGAAAAAAATATAAAAACTTGCTTTCATTTCTCCCCACCCTATATCCATAAATGACACCGCGCGAGTGCTCATCCGACGACGCTCAGTGTGATCAGTTACAACCATCAACAACGACAACGACGACGACGACACCCTCCACCACTCCTCCATCAGACCTTGTCTGCACTGCATGTCACCAATCGCTCGATGGGGAATTTGTGCGTGCACTTGACGGCACGTTCCATTGGGGTTGCTTTAGCTGTATTGTACGTAACACTCCCTGCTATGCAAATATATATATCTCCAACAAGAGAGTGCACACACACACACACAAAAATACATACACTTTGCTGTTACAATCAACCAAAAGAACCTTGCTTTTTCTGATATTGTCTTTTTTTTCTTTGTTGTTTGTTGTTATATTTATACCCTCTCCTCAACACAACTAACCCCCCCCCCTCCCCGCGCGCTCCCCTTATTATTCTACTACTACTCTATAGGACTGCAACAAACCAGTGGCTTCTCGCTTCTTTCCCATTTCGCATGACGGAGGTGTGCAAAGACCATTGTGTGAACGAGACTACTTTCGACGACTGAGTCTCGTTTGTGAGAGCTGTGGCGAGGCGTTACGAGGCCCTTACATTACAGCAGTAGGCAAAAAGTTCCACTTGGAACATTTTTGCTGCCACGCTTGCTCGGTCGTTCTTGGCCCTTCCGATTCGTATTATGAGCATCAAGATAACGTCTACTGCCACTACCACTATTCGGTCAAGTTTGCCATTAAATGTTCCGGCTGTAGGACCGCTATCCTGAAGCAATTCGTCGAAATCAATCGAAACAACGTGGATGAACACTGGCATCCTGAATGTTATATGATCCACAAGGTAATCAAATCAACAGGGCAGAGAGAGAGAGAGAGGGTAATCTTGTTCTATTCGGTGGCAGTGCAGGTTGCTGATATTAAAGCTGCTGTTTGCCTGTAGTTCTGGAACGTTAAAGTGGCCCAATCGCTCGACGAGGACAATGGCAGTAGCGAAGGCCTAGGACATCATGATCACGGTGGTAAATCAAGTTCTTCTTTTCTCCTTGACAACGACGCGCGCATGAATCATCATCATTGTCTCTTTTCTAAAACACATTCACACACTTTTTACTTGAACGTTGGACATTCGTGATTTTCGTACAGCAGGTGTTACCAAAATGACGATGGATGAATTACGGGAAGCTCAGGTGGCCATGGAGGACAAGGTTTACCGGATTTGGACAGTTCTTTCTGCTTTTGAAGGTAAAAAGTCTACTTGAACACACGATCAAGAGAGACACACGACTTTTTTTTTGGTTTTACTTACTTCTCCGCTCCACGGGCAATAACGCTTATTGAAACAACGTGTGATGATGTGTGGCTACTTGTTAGAATCCGCGGCCGCATGTATCTCGGATATGCTTCTCCATGTCTCCGGCGGAAGCTACCTGGAAGGACTGAGGATGGCGGACTACTTTGTTACGCATGTGGAAGTATTGTTCGGTGCCATTGACGACTTGGTGGCACAACATCATGCTATTGCTCAACATTCGCCCAAGGCGGAGTTCCATCACGAACGGGAGTCCAGACTATTGTGCAAGAAGATCATCAACTTTTTTTCGCTGCTCTCACAGACCCAGGAAACGGGTCTTCGCCGGATGGGAATTACCGAGGAATTGTTGTCTCTCGTCACTGGTCTGGCCCATTATTTAAAAGTGCTGATTCGTATCAGTCTAACTGCTGCTCTCAGATTGGTAAGTTGAACAGGGAAAGCATATCCCCCTTTCTCTTTCCTTTTAAGCATCTTCAATGTGTGTATGTGTCATACGATACACGTCCTCGTCTCTTTCTCTCTCTTTCTCATCTGACACACGACCCACTGTTATTTATAGGAAACAAAGCAAAAAGAGTCATCTGGCATCAGCCGCTTCTTGAGCCAACTGGTCGAGTCAGCCAACAAGCAACGATACACCTCTGCCGATCTCGATTCACCACTGACGTCAGATATCTGCCATTTCTGCCAAAAGACGTGCGATGACGAATGTTTCCGGCATGCTCACAGACGCTGGCACGACAGGTGCTTTGCATGTGCCAAATGCTGCCTTCCGCTTCGAGACGAGTACCAAAAGGCGTACTGTGACCCCAAGGATTCGACGTTATTATGTAGCCATTGTGGAGACAACGACAATGCGACTGTAGGATACTATGAGCAAGGCTTTGAGCATGTCTCCCAACTACAGCAATTCTCATTCCTGTTGCGCTACTCTCACCGTCGTCTGTACATGTTGCTCAATGTTTCAGGTATAGCAGTTGCTCCGAGTAGAAAATCAGGGCGTGCCACTTGGGAAGCCGTGATTTCAGGGGCGGGGGGGGGGAACAGGGCAAATGACAAGTTTATTGCTGTGATCAACTTAATTTGATTTATTTGCTTTGGGCGAAAATAGTTGATTCCACAAACAACAAATCCATCCAGGACCCGAGTCCCGGGATTGATAATAACAACAACACTCCACCAGGCAAGCTGGCACACGACACCCGGACCAAATCATACTCGGAAGGCGAAAAGGTCCAAGAGAAAATCAACCTGGGCGATATCAAGCGCATGAAGTCCACCCACATGAAGCGCAAAATGACCGACTCCAACCGTGTGGCAAAACGATCGACATTGATGGAGACTCCAAGTCCGACGAGCGCGTTTATTGCCAATGGATCTGGTGAAACAACAACCGCGGCTGCTGCATCCGATCTCCACGCGGCCGATGAGTGTCATTCTTTGGACGTCGGCAGAGCCACCACTGCTACTGCTGCTGCTACTACTTCTCCATCATCATCATCATCACCAGCAGCAGCATCAACAGTAGTAACTGGGGGCGGCATTGTTGCTCCGCAAGAACCCGTCATCGACACACCACCTACACGTGCGCGCACACAGAGCTATGAAAAGATCAAGCCGATTGGCAAATCAAGTTATCTCGCCGAACTCAGTGCACTCAACCACTTTATGGTCAAGCACATTGCCGTACTCTACCTCGAGGAGCTAATGAGAGAGCATTTCACTCTCGAGGAGCTGGCTGATTTGATTGACGACAAGAAGAATCCTACCTTGTGGGGTAAATTTGTCACGAGTCTAAAAACCGGAGGCAATAAAAAACCACCAAAAGGTAGTGTGCACATCGATGGGTCTTTTTCTTTTTTTTAGAGTTGGATAGATTCCTAAGCTGAACCTATGTTTTTATTAGAGGGTACATTCGGTGTACCTTTGGACCATCTCGTCGAAAAGAGTGGGACACATTCGAATTTAGGTGCAGGTCCAAGTCGTATTCGAATCCCAACGTTTATTGACGACAGCATTGCTGCTATGCGACAAATGGGTACGTAATACAAAGAAGAAGTTAGTACAATGGCATATCATCTAACTTTCGTATCTTTGGAAAAAGATATGTCTGTCGAAGGCGTGTTCCGTAAGAATGGCAATATCCGACGACTCAAAGAGATCATTGAAGAAATCGACAGCAATCCTGCAACTGTACAATTGATGAGCGAAGGGCCTATTCAAGTGGCTGCGTTGACCAAAAAGTTTCTGCGCGAGCTGCCGGAGCCTTTACTCACGTTTAAGCTGCACAAGCTCTTTACAACTGTACACAGTAAGTTTCTCTCTTTGTCAGTTCAGACCGTATCAGATGGAAAAACGAGGAAAAAAAAAACCTAAAAGACGCTTTACAAACTGTTGATATCCAGGGCTCAAATCAGCAGAAGACAAGAAGCGGGCACTTCATCTTGCATGCTGTTTGCTGCCAAAACCCAATCGTGATACCCTCGAAGTCCTGTTCTTATTTTTAAAGTGGGTAGCCACCTTTGCACAAACCGCTGAAGGCTCTGGAAGCAAAATGACTTTGCATAATATTGCAACTGTGCTGGCACCAAATGTACTCTACACTAAAGGAAAAGATCCTGCCAAGGACGATTCGTTTGCTTCCATTGAAGCAGTACATCTTCTCCTTCAATACCAAGAAGAGTTATGCACGGTAAGCCTTGTTTTCTTACAACTAGAAGGGATACAAATAAACGAGAGACGGGTGTTTTAAAATGTGTGTGTGTGTGTGTGTGTGTGTAGGTTCCTGAAGATATTGTCATGCCACTGCAAAGCTTGTCCTATGGTGAAGATGATATGGAAGCAAGTGCACGGGATATCTTGAGGAAATGTGAAGTGGTGATGAAACTCAAAAAGATGCGCTTCCCTGACGACCAGTTTCCATCGATGCCGACCCGGCAGCACTCGTCACCAGCAGCTATCAACATAATCAATAAGCCGGCAGAGCCTGCATCAAACTATCATCATCAGCATCATCATCATCATCAACCATATCAAAACGAACTCTCATCATCCCCAGTGGACTTACAGCCACCTACTACCCCCTTCACCACCACCACCACCACCAGCAACGGTAGCTCAGCAGCTGTAGTATCACCGCCCACCCCTCTTCCAATTACTACTACGATGCCACACTCCGTCACGGCTGCTGTTCTTAGTCCGCGTTAGAAACAACTCTATTACTACTTTATCTTTAACTATCACCCACCCAACCCTCGCTCCCAAACATATACTCTTCTCAGCGCAAACTCATCATTCAAACAGTTTTTCTTCTTTAATTAACTCACCAGCACTGATATTATACTTATATTTATTACCCACACTTGATTTGCTCTGCCCGTCTCTCCTCCACCAATCCTCTTTCTTCTAACCCCTTTAACTATTGATTTCACATGTTCAATCCTGTAGTTTTTCTTCTATTCCCCACCCATCTGAACAAGGAACAAAAAAAAAGAGAAACTTTTGTCATAATCATTGATACACATCTATATATGAACAGTAAAACAGAAACTTTGTTGCGTGGAGCCTTGAATATACAAACCAAATAGAATGTCTGATTTATTTTTTACAGTGGACCCCCGTTAATGTCAAACCTCAAGGTCAGTTGAAAGTGTGGACTAGTCAAGTACAAACTATAACCGGATAATAAGATGTTGAACCAACGAATCCCGACACACTGTATACATATAAAGAATGTATACTACACAGTCATCCCGTCGAAATAAAATTATTTTTACTTGCTGTTCGCCTCGGCTGGGGAACCATGGTGCACAAATTCAACAACGTAAGTATCAGCTGTACTAGTTGTGGCACACTTAAATGTGCGCAATTTTCACAGTTGTTTGAGAAGGTTGGGAATGCGCGAAATCGATCGTTCTCTGTATAGACAAAAAGACAATTCATTAGTGCGCTCCAACCTGCTCAAGAATGGATACGGGCTCGAATAGGCGGATGCTGTGCCAAAGGGTGATTAAATTAATACTCTTGTATCTTTCTCGGATGTGGAAAATGAACCCACGATTGTCCACGAATCCAAGATAAATAGACAGACGCTGCGATAGGTTTCAGAGGGTGCAATGGTCTACGCTATACATACGAGTAGATCTACTCATTGGCCGCGGATGGCAAGCAGAAAAACATTCAAACATTCTCGATATGCTATCATGAAAATACATTCGCATTTCATTACAATAAGCAAATACTTATACTTTGGCTGCTGTAAAATGGACAAATGCGTTATTGAGATAACAAAGTGTCTAGTTATATACTTGCCATGATTGTTGTTTCTTGATGACGAAACGTAACGACGAAAGTCGACGAGGCAAACGTAGCATATGTTCCGATATAGCTATGTTCTGTTAAGTTGGAATCTTTCTATTTCTTCGGATGTGAGAGAGAGATGTATTCGTCCCAAAGTAAGGGCATGTACAGCAGTTTGCTCAGTGCTTACCAACAGGCCTATTTGAGCACCTTTATTTTTGTGATAGTAATAGTACCAATTCATTTGTGAGTTTTTAAAGTAAGAGTGTATTCAAAAGTTCCATATAAAATGGTTCATATTCATACAATAGTCCAATTACAGAATCGGGACAAATACATTGGGATATACATATAGCTACAGCGGACTCGCCAAAATAACTAGTGAAATTAAAGGATAGCTATTGTCGGACACATTGTCTGCCAAAGTTGACAGACTTTGATAGACTCGCTAAAAAATTTTCTTGTGATCTTTCTGTTCTTTCCGTCAATCTTTTTTTCCTGTGTAAAATGAGCAACAACAACAACACCCCTCGCGAGTCCCTTCCCTCATCTTCGGAAGCCTCCTCCTCCTCCTCCTTACCAACCACCACTATTAACTCTACTTCCCGTCCCCCTACCACCCGTGGTCGTAACTGGACGGAAGACGAGGACGAAGATTTGTGCGCCTCGTGGCTCAACGTCTCGGTCGATCCTATCGACGGGAGCGACCAGACTGCCTCGCGTCTATGGGATCGAATCCACTCTGAATTCGGGTCTCGCCGCCAGGATGCCAACAACGCTGTCGAGCGCAACGCTGGCGCGTTGATGAACCGTTGGGGTGTCATTCACCCCAAAGTTTCAAAGTTCTGTGCTTGCTTGGCTCAAATCGAAAGAGTAAATGCCAGTGGCACGACCCCAGATGATCAGGTAAATTTATAGTAACTAGTACTCTTGAAGTGTTTCTGTTTTTATTGTACGTAATGCTAAATAAAGAAAACATCTCCTTACTATCAATATAATCTTATTTTACCTGAAGATTGCAGCAGCCAAGAGCCTGTACCGGCAGAAGCACGGCAGCAGTGGCTTCAAACTGGAACACTGCTGGAAGGTTCTCCGGTATGCAGAAAAGTGGCGCAGCCAGACCGAAAGAAGTACAAGAAGAAGAAGAAGACCTGCTGCCGCCACTACCAATGGCAGTGATGGCGAGGAAAACGACGACGTTGACGATGACGACGATGGCCATAGCCGACCGATTGGCCGCAAACAGGCTAAGCGCCAGGCCACCGACAATAACCAGTGGGAGAAGATGCGTGCCGAGTCGTTGGCTATTGAGCGTGAGCAGCTCGCTCTCTCACGAGAACGATCTGCTGCTCTCGCTCAAATAGCTGACCAGGAGATCATGGCGACTCCCATGGACGGCATGGACGACCTCGCCCGTGCCTACTTCACGGCTATGAAGGCTCGGATTTTGGCCCGCGTTGTTGGTGAGCAGCAACAACAACAACAACAACAGCAAGAAGAACAGGAAGTAGAAGAAAGCGATGAAGAAGAAGAGTAAGGAGAAGAATAAAGCGATGTTTTTTAAGGAAAAGAAGTTCAGATGGAGGTTAAGAAAACAAAAAACGAAAGGAAGAAAAGGAAAGAGGGAAAAGGAGAGAAAAGGGTGGGGATGGAAGTAGGGTTTATGTATCCCGTTCACCTTCCATTTGCCAAAGATGTTCCATGAGATCATGTCTCAAACGATCATGCGTGTTTACATCCCTAATTTCTTTGTGACGTCGGATGAAATCTTGCAAGATGGATGGATGTTCTCTCGCTTGATCGAAGACTTCTTGCGAGTATCTCCATTCAAGCAATGTCCGCGAGACATCCGGATCGTTTTCGACTGTCATGTTATGAAGAATCACACATGTCTTCATGATCATGGTGAGTTCTTCCAGCTTCCACAATCGAGCCGGTTCCTTGACAATCTTGTACCGAGCTTGTAGGACACCAAAAGCTCGTTCAATGTCCTTTCGTGCGGCCTCTTGCATTGTTTGAAAAAGCTACATCGCGAATATTCAAATTAATAAGAGAAAAAAGCATGATCTCCACAATATTGTTCACTCATTTTCTTTCCATATTGATGCTAATGTCTTCATTTTAAATAAACACAAATGATCGTAGATATGCTCCACAGAAAGCAGCCTTCAACTAGCCATTGTCCTTCTATAGAACTATCATTTATCATGAGTAAAAGAATAAGGAATTTTTTCCATACCTGTTGTTTTTTTCCATGCGGGTTCGAAAGGGGCTTGACCAGCGTCGCCCAGCGAGGGTAGATTCCATCGGCCAGATAGTACCCCATGTTGTACTCGTGGCCGTTGATGGAAACATTCACTGGTGGCGCGCGTCCAGCAGCAAGATCGGTAAAGAGGTGCGATCGCTCGAGCACATTGATGTCATTCAATGTGCCGGGGCACCCAAAAAAGACATGCCAGATCCACAAGTCATGAGTGGCAGCAGCTTCCAATACCACAGTGGGTGCCTTTTCCTTGCCAGAATACTGCCCGTGCCATGCGGTGGGGCAGTTTTTCCATCTCCAATGCATACAGTCCACTGAGCCGAGCATGCCTGGAAAGCCACGCTTCTCATTGAAGGCCAAGATCTTGCGGATATCATCCTCGTTTGGCGTGCGCAAGTACTCGTCGCCAAAAGCAGCAATAACTGCAGCGCAGAACCGTTTGAGGCATTCGAGCGCCGTCGACTTGCCCGTGCGCACATACTCGTCGGTTGCATCTGCTGGGACACCATACGTGAGTTGTCTCATCGCTGAAGTAATTTTTTGATACGACGAGAGGCCGAGTTTGTGAGCGGCGTCGCGTTTCTGGACGAAATAATCGTCCTGCTGCTTCACACCCTCCATCACGCGCAACAGCAGGTCTCGATCCATTCGATACCGGTTTCTGAACATATGCGCCGGATACACCGGATCTTCGGCAAAATAGTCTTTGAACAGACGTGCATCCATTGCGATGCGATCTCGGTGAGTCGTTTGACGGCCAGGGACAGATCCATGATGCTTCTTCTTTGTCGCATACTCCTGTTGGATCATATGGTCGATCTCTTCCATACGACGTTTGAACACAGCGATGCGACGCTGCTCTTCTTCTTCTTCGTCAACAATAAGCTTCATGAGGCGTTTCAAGTTAGGCATATTTAATATAAGATGGGAGAGAGAAAGCAGGAAACAAACAAATACGCAGGAACGCAAAAAGACAATCACACAATTTAAGTCCGCTATTGCTAGTCGGCAATAATAGCTAGTCCGCTGTAAAAATTGACTCGCCAAAAAGAATAATTGGATTAGCGAGTGGTGAAAATAGAGGAAAATTTAGCTAGTCCGCTGGACTTGCTCTAAGCATTGCGGATATTGCCGAGACTGCTCCGTCCATCTGTAAAAACGTCTTATGAGAAATTGCAAGCGTAATGAAACAGAATCCTAAATATATTCAAAATCTACCTTAGGCTACTCCTCTGATAGGCTCACTGATAGATCAACCGAAATATCTACACAAAGAACGTGGCATTAGAAACAGTCCATAAGTGTATGTGGCTTACTAAATACAAATTGGCGAAACCCATTTATCGTAAAATAACTCGCAGACGAAGAAGAGACATCATACAATGTCAGGTCAAGCCATGCTCAGAGTACGATGTGCATTCCAAGTCTATCCGAGAAAAAAAACCCATACAATGTCAGGTCAGCCATGCTCAGAGTACAGTGTGAATTCCAGGTCTGGGAAACACCGTACAAGGACAGGTCAAATGCCATGCTCAGAGTATGAGAGATCTCCCTAAATTAAAAGAGTGAAAAAAACGACGAAGGAGGAGTGTGTGTAAAATTTCTTTTCTACGCTGCGGAAGGCGGAGCGCGATTTGTGTGTACGCTTCCCTTTGGAACTTGGAATTTTGCAACTGATACCTTCCACGTGATGTATAAGGCAAGGGTTCATGGCTCTTCCCGATTTTCTCGCGAACCGCCCGTGCGTGTTATAGGCACCAACCACCATCTACACCTCTCCACCAACCGTGGTGACATAGTCGCGTAGCCCGACCAGAACGAGTGTTGCTTGTTCACGCTCAGCGTCAACTAAGCACTAGTGATGAAAAAAAGTGCGCTACTTCTCTCATGTTTGGCGTGTAGGCCGTTCTCCAGGCAGTGTCATGCTTGACATCAGCCCTGTGCCAGGCTCTGTTGACGACGTCGTCAAAATACTGATAAAGAAATATCCTCTTAACAATGGTGTCCTTACGTACCGCGAAAGACAACGTGTAGTCGCTGAAATCAACCTCAGAACTGAAGAACAAAGGTCCAGTGCCATCGAGCAGGGCATCGAGTTTACACCAACCATAACGATCTGTGCCACTCCCGCCTTGGCGAAGAATGCCACGATTGAAAAGCTTCGCCTCATCCATCTTCCGCTACTCAGCCCGGAAGATCTGGAACGCGGTTTGCGAGAAACGTTTCGTCCTTACGGTGACATCCTCGATGTCGGTATCAATCGCAATCCAAGAACGAAAGCTTACATGGGCCAAGGTTTCGCCGTCCTGGATATACAGCCACGACATAATCAACAACTCCACGCTCTTGATCATCATATTCCCTGGTGCGGCGACCAGGAAGAGTTGATCTATGCCAATTTTGATCAGAAGCCGCTCCACTGCTCGCGCTGCCATAAGCCAGGGCATGCCGTTGCCGACTGCCCACGCGCCCGACGTAACCAGAAAGGATGCTTTAAAGTGTGGTGCTCAGAACCACTATGCTGCAAGCTGTCCCACTGTGCGAAACAGCGAAGACTGGAACCCTGGCGGCAACAAAACAAGCCGCCGCAAGACTGGTCACACGCGTGATCAAGCCCCCTCAAAGGAGCTCCTGAAGTCTAAACACGCGACCATAAAAGACAAGCCCGTGGAACCGACCAACCGGTTTGCTCCTTTGGAAAACTTGGATACCAATGACGACAAGCTAGCAACAGACGTGGAAACCACCACCCAAGAAGAGGTGGTCGATTGCTCCCCCGCTTTCATGCGACGAGGGTACCTTGAACAAGCACTTGACGACATCGTCATAGAATTTGCGGACTATCAGACCGATAGGCCGATGATCCCAGCTGAAGAACAAGGTTTCGTTTCGGAAGTCAACCCCTCCCCCAAGGACTGAATAGATAGCATGGAACTCTCGGACACTGCCAAGGAGATCCTACCAGATGCACACTTCCCCGCTGACCTTAAACAAGTCCTGTATGTCCGGCTCTCACGCTAACGCGACATCAGCCTCCCCTTCCGACCCAAGCGCACGCGTACCTACAGAATCGCAGCTCGAATGCAATCCCAGTGAGGATCAACCCTCACTCCACTCTCAATAATTTTTATGATAGTAAAAAACAACGATATCTCACTCGCGTCCATTAATTGCAATGGACTACTTACACCCAACAAAACACAACTCATTCGACATATCAAACAACATCAACCACATATCATCACTATGCAAGAAACACATATATCAACACCCTCACAGAAGGACAAATTCAACTGTTATTTCAATGCAACGCAATCATTCTGGACACATCATTGCGGCATCGTATCACTTAGCGCCGACCTCAGTCTCACACAAATCTCAGTATTCGAAAACCCTCGACATCTTCGAACACCTCCACCGACTTTTTCAGCCTTTTTATATACTTACCATCTATGCACCAGCAACGTCGCCAACCCAACGACGGCAATTTTCACATCCCTCTACAACTCAACCATCTTAAATCAACAACATCCCTATCGCGAACGATTGATTCTCTCTGGGGATTTTAACTATAGCCACCGACGCTCAGGGTACCATCTCAACCCACCGTCCGCCTGGTTCACTATGCTACAACAACACTTCATCAACTGCATCAACCCAGATCAGCAAGAAACACCGCAGCCGACGTTTCGTCGAGGTGATAGTACGATTTCCACCATTGATTACATCTATGCCGCTTCACCAGTATTCCAAAATACGGTAAAGACCAGGGAAGTATCATATGTTGCCAGTTCATGGTCCGATCATGCATTATTGTCTGCAACCTTTAATCTGGGTCCCTCTCCCACTGGCAAAGGCTACTGGTGGGGCAATCCTCTGATTTTAGCTTCCAAGGACTTCCGACATCAACTTGCAACACAACTCACAGCTTTCTTCGTACGCAGCGACAGCATTTCAACACCGCAGCGGCAATGGGAGGAACTGAAGCGTCTACTAAAGCAGCAGATGCAACAGTATTGCCGGCAACGCATCAATAAAACAACAGCTTACCTCAAAAAGAAACGCAACCGGTTTTTACTACGGTCAAATCCACCCATCGCTACACGCATATGGTTCTTAAAGATAATTGAACAACAAATATCAGCAGCACAATATGAAGTTTGCGATACCCTCGCTTTACGTGCAGGAGAGCACTGGCGGGAGCAAGGCGAGAAATCTGCTGGTTATCTCAAGCGAACCATACAACAACGCACGTCACAGGCCAACATTGTCACTCTGCAACATTCTCACACTGGCGACATATGTAACACAGTGGAATCGATGCAATCAGCCGCAACAGCTTTCTATGAACAATTGTATACCCCCGACGACGTTGACGACTCGGCTATCCAACAACTGCAGCACAACATACCATCCTCAGCACACCTCAACACCAACAGCGAAGAAAGCCTAGTCGATCCCTTCAGCATTGAAGATCTCCAAGGCGGAGCTAAACGAGCCCCCACGCCAAAGTAGCCCTGGAACCGACGGTTTACCATACGGCATATGGAGGCTCGTATTCAAACACCCGGAGCCAAAACACTTACATGTCAAGTATATGAAGATGCATTGAAAAATGGTCTTCTTCCTGATTCTTGGACCGAAACCTGTATCCGTCTCCTCCCAAAAAAGGGCGATCTTACTACACTCAAGAATTGGCGGCCGATCAGTCTCATCAATTGTGATGCCAAGATATACACACGGCTGCTAAATAAGCGCGTCGTGCTGGCCGCTGCACCCCTAATTAACCCACAGCAAACGGGATCCATGCCGGGTCGCTTTATTGCCGAAAATGGCCTAGTAGCACGCCTTGTCATGGAACACGCCTCAAGCAATACGTCGTCAGCCATTGGCCTCCTATTCGACCAGGAAAAAGCGTATGATAGGATCCATCCACAGTACTTAGTTCAAACTTTGCAACACTTTGGTTTTCCCGATCAAATTATTAATAGCATCAACTCACTGTTTTCAACACGCGTATACGTATCAACATTAACGGTCATCTTAGCACACCATTTGCACAATAACGCGGATTACGACAAGGAGATCCACTGTCGCCGATCCTCTTCAACCTGGCTCTGGAGCCTTTGCTACGCTCGTTACAAAGAGACGTATCATATCAAGGATATATCTTCACACCACCGAACAATGACATTGCACCAGCCACCATGCCCACCCCCGAGCCAATTAAAACACTCGTCTACGCGGATGAGATTCTTGTTTTCCTGCAATCTCCCGAGGATTTGCGCCGGGTTTTGTACCACATAGATGTCTATCAACGCGCTTCAAATGCCAAGTTCAATTAAGAAAAGACCCAAGCAATCTCTCTAGGAGGGGCACCACAACCTCGATCGAATGCTTTGCTACACCAACATGGAATTCTGCCTTGTCACGATCGTACGCAGGCCGACCCCGTCACATATTTGGGCTATCCACTGACCTTCTCAACAACCCAACTGAATACATTCATGAACCGGTTGCTGGAAGCGGTCAAGAACCAATGCAACATTCACTTGAGCCGCAACTTGTCTATCCGCGGCCGTGCCACCGTGCTAAACACCTTGATTCTGTCAAAACTATGGCATGTTCTGCGTATCATTGGCGCACCACTGTCAGGCTTCCACCAGGAACTGAGAAGCACCATCAGCAGCTTCCTGATGCATTGAATGTTCCCACGCGTGTCCTATCAGAAACTATGTGCACCACGACACCATGGTGGGATTGGCTTATTGGACCCTACTCCAGCTAAGGTGGATTCAACCGATGCTGGATGAAAGCGGTATGTTCCCACAACATATTCTATGTCTGATTCATCGACTACTTGCCATCAAAAGGTATTTCGCAGACCACCGGCTGGTCTTGTTCTCTCCAGCTAGTCGTAAACAACGAGCGTATGAATCAGCATCGCCAGTTGCCTTGGTCCTTCGTGCCATTGATGCGGCTGGTTTGTCCCGGGATACACTCGACAACTTAACACCCGCAACAGCATTAGAATGACCACTCTCTGTCATCATTCAGCCATCGTTCAGCCATCATCCGACAACCCACCACCTAGACGACCAGGTTTTTCCAAATATCAGGTGAAGGATTTCTTCATCTTTGATCAGTCCCTTGGGTATATTCGCCTGCGCCAGCGCCCGCTTGACGACGACGTCAGACACCCGACGCTTCTCAATCAACTTAATCACGACGTGATCAATTTCCGCTATATAATTCGTCCTTCTTAGCACGACTTTGCATTCACAGCACTAATGTACAAGATGGGCGTTTAGATCAACCTGGCTTTATCAACTTTCAACCCCTAACCAACGCCATCAAAAATGACCCAGCGTTCACCTCGTGGCAAACCAAGGCGTACCGACGAAAACTCACTCCAGGAACACCCGCATCCCCAGTTTCATCAAACACTGGCGTATCTTTTGGGCCACCCGATGGACCATGCTGCTAGAAATGTCCTCTTTCGCATCTATCATACAGCCATACCTAATGCAGAACGACTGTTCCGTATGAACGCCACCTTCCTTCCCTCTCCGGAATGTCGGCTTCGTGGTTGTCCTAACGAAACACTGGCTCACTTTCTTGTTCTATGTCCACGCAAATTTGATATATGGCAACGAGTCTGGAATCGCATCTGCCACCATGGCCCGCGCCCCTCTGCTTTTCTTCATTTCATCTCCCCTGGGGATCCCCCGTACTCCTCTTTCACTCACACGCAACTTCTCCTCATTATCGCTTATACTCTTTTGGCCATCTGGTGAGCCCACTGGGCTTTTATTTTCGACAACACACCCTTTCTTCCTGCTAAGACTGCTGCCATAGCAGTCAAGGCAATCTTTCGATATGTTTTATAATTTCTTGTAGATTTTCTTTTCTTCTGCTTATTACACTTTCGAGGCCGCTGTTACCTCTCTTCTGTTTAACGGGTATCAGCAAAGAAAATCTGAGGGTAATATCCTCCATACACAAAAAAAGCAAGGGTTTCCACGAGCAACTGATACTCAGTAACATAAAACTGTCTCAGTAGTGCGCTTCATGCTGTCCTCAAAGGTTACAAGAAAGTTACAGTAGAGTGAATATCATGACACTGGTTTGCTTTTCGTACTAAATTTCAATTGCCTGGTGCTGTGTGCTACTGGGCAGTCATAAAACGAACATAGTTGTGTATAATATTGCGAAGCCGTAGAGCCACGTACTTCACTCTTGGAATATTTTGGCGACGTATGTATTCAACATGTATATAAAAATCTGTAAAGCTGGCTCTTGCATTCTCGGACTCTCACATAATTAAAAATATTATGCTGGCACAGACAGATTGTACTTTTAACGTGTTTACAGATGCGCGCGCAAGTAGAGGAAGCGGCGACCGACATACTGTACTGTATTTAGTAAAAAGCCAGGTCGCCTACTGTGTAAGATGGCTATTATGATATTACATAAAATACACATTGAATTTGCTAATTCAGAGGCATCTAATGATCGTCTTTTACTGTACCGTGAGCGACATATAATCCACGAGTATCATTCTATGATGCGGATGCATGAGTAGATACGATGGTTCGCTTTAAAGAGTCTTTATGTACCTTGCCATCGTCACTATGGGTTGGTAATCTATGGTGTAATGGTAACCGAAGCGTAACACATATCAATAGCAGGAAAAAACGATCAGTTCAAGCATAGGGTAATACTTCTTCATTTTGGAAACGGCAATGTTTTCTATAGGCTGCTTAACGCCGTCATAAATACTTTCTCGAGCCAAGTTAAAAAAGCGACACCCTCAAGCGTCATAAGAGTCCGTGTGCAATGAAAAGCGTCACAATACCAATGAAGCATTGCCTGCTAGTAGGATTCTAACGCACATTGACAAATGCAGTACTCATTTCTATCAGATAAGATTATGTAGGGTAATTCATTTCGAAAAAGATATATGATTAGCATGTAGCTCAATTTGATGCCTAACTTAAAAACAAATTTGTTGCAGTCTCTAGAACCAAGAAGCCATGGCTGTTATCTCGCATCAGCCGAACTGCCCCTTCTCCAAAAAATCTTTTACATATTGTTTATGACATCCTGATAGCATCTGGCCCGCAATGATGCTCTGCTCGAGGCCATCTTTTTGATCTACCCGACATTCTTATCGATTACCTGCATGGAATTTACGAAGACGGATTAGCTGCCTACTGACACTGTGGGAGTACGGATACACTGAAAAAAGTGGTGTGATTAGCAAAAAGTTATTCATTGCAAGTCGATTAGCGTGGAATATGATGATCGAATATAGGTTGAGACATAACAATCTCTTAATGATAATCGGTATATGATGACTTATGACTCCATTTCATACAGGTCTGAATGCTCAACCGCACTGAAAAGCTGGCAACATTCAGTATGATACATGATGTAACAACGATATACAGATGTGTTACCATTGCATCGGAGCCGTTATCCCGATACATCAACATATACATATCATCGCGAACACCATAGAACCATCATCATAGGATGTCGACGTCGCCATTAGCTATAACAACAACAAAGTGATCGATCGTCTTCGTCGCATGTACACAATTTGAAGTTACACCGGCTCACACCAAGAGCACAATTTCATGTTGAGCACGTCAATTCGTTCATCCAAGTTGATACATGCAACAATGACAAATGATGGTAAGTCAGCACAGCCTCAGATGAATTGCCTTTTTACCAGTACCGCCACCCGCTACGCTCCTACCATTGTGCTTGCTCGCACAATACTGTCATATATGATATGGACGATTTAATCAAAGCTGCTTGAGCACGATTGCAATTAGTTGTTCATAATCAACGTGACAACCAGATCACTGCTCTACCATTAAATCCGCTTTCACTACCCACCCATTACAATCGCAAGAACATTTGCCCGACGATACCGACCAGGTATCTTTTGCACCATCAAGAACTATAGCTCAAGCTGCCGAAAGCGTATCTGGCACGCCCTAGCAACAGCAACAGAATACTGATACCTCAGCAAAATTTTACAACAGAGTCAATTGCTCCTGCTTTGCCTATACGACAGGTGCATGTTCCATCACCATATTCAATGACCATGTTAGCTAGAAATTCTCATATCCCTCTATCTTCTACACATACAAATACATATTACGCCGGTCGTCGCAAACAGGTATTTCACCTGATATCCTGCATAAGAAGCGCATCCTCTGGTATTGCAGTATATTTCCATTTAACAATTAGAGATGCCCCGGAAGCTGATACAAAGAAAATGCCTATATCATACTGCAGAGTCTCTCCAAAATTAAGTGATAGTTCAGAATATACAAGCAGACTTCTTTTCGGCTTTTTCTTTTTTCCCTCACCAGCAGACATGGTACCAGAGCTTAAGCAGAAGCAATAATAGAGTGGATATACCAACACTGCCTCTACGATTTTGTGAGGTACGAATGGATCGCTGCTGATACTGACGTCAGTCCCCAACGTATTACTAGCAGCAACCGGTATTGCGATATAAGTATCGGAATTATATGATAATCACGAAATCATGGTCGCGTATGGATATGTACCTTCCCACACCACAATCTTTGTAGACACTGGGGCAACCACGCAACAAGCAACAGAAACAGATCGGCATTTCATAATTTGAATATGACAGAATATGGTCTCTTTATACATTTATGAACTAGGAACGAGTATATCTATACTCTCTCCTCTAGCATATACAACTAATCCATATACTGATGTATAACATCCTTGTGTCCAAAGCTCACATAATAAAGCAAGCCATAAACAAAACACAGTTAAAATAGTGAATAGTATTTCGTGTAGATTTTTCTTAGAAACAATATATTGGCATGTGTTAATATTACCTACGCCAAAAAATGCCAGTTGCGTGTACACAGATTTGCCGTAACAATTAGCGCTTCAGCTTCGCTGTTATTACCACCTACCTCAAAGAATAGTCTGGAAATAATAATTTCCAAAACGCCACGACATCTTGGAGAAACTTCTGTATAAACATATTGACATTTACTTACGTACTAACAATTACATACAAGGAAAATTTGAAATGACTAAGGATATATGAGGCGGTCGTGATTGCGGTAGAAGGTGACTTGAGAAATTATGATGAGGTGGTCATGGTTTTACGTTTTTTTTCGGTTGTGGTTGCGGCAGGAGGTAAGATGATGGTGCCAGTGATGGATAACTTCGATTTGATGTTGATCTGACATTTTGCAGATTCGGCTTGACATTTTGAGACTTGGTAGAGACTTTCACGCACGATTGCCTGTAACAAGACAAAAACCGAGTCAGTAAATATTATAACTAATACACCAGTGAATAGCTGATTTTCATTACCTTGCATTTAAGCGCCAGTCCAAGTATTGGTAAAAGGCTGGATCGCATTTGGGATAGCAGAGTTGAGATGCTGAAAGAAGGGGTAGTATTCAAACGACAGACATACCCAGCAGGGCAGTCAAGAATGTATACATTCATTCGTAGATCTGAACGCAGCAGTAGTTAGTAGTAGCAGTTAGTGGCAATTTGTGATTGAATGAGGAATGAACATTAACACGATGTTAATAAATTTTCTTTAAATTTTTTCTTAACTGACAATTTTTTTTATTCTCGGAGTTTGAAATTGTGCATACTGTTAAATTTTATTTAAAAAAAAAACTGAATTTTTTTTAATATAAAAATAAATACCTCCCATATTATTTGGCATAAAAAATTCAAATGGTTATATTAAATACTGAACTTCTTATTAATAAGAATAGTATGATTTGTTCTATTAAAGATTTAATGGAGCAGGTTATGCATAATTATTTTGAAGATGAAATGTTAGTTAAAGATATTGAAAGTAAGAAGATGATTATGAATAAAAAAATTAATGAAGAAATTAATAAAGTTAAAGATAATTATTTTTGGTATGTTAATACAAGCGAAAATATATGCACTTACATACATAAAAGAGGTAAGAAAAATGGCCATATGTGTCACAGAAAAATTAATACTAATCTTAATGGAGATAAACCTAAACCTGATTACCTTTGTACTATACATAGTAAACTTCATGTTCCAAAGAAAAAAAATAAAAATCTACAAAAAAAATAGAAAATCCTAATTTACCATGCATAATTGTTAATGATGGTGATTTTATACATAAAACTAATAACAAAAGAATAAAAAAAGAAAATCTAGAAAAATATATATATGCAACAGTGGAAGTTTTAACCTAGCAAATGTACTTAAAGGATTATTACAATAATAGGAACCGACGTTATCTACTATACATACTCAAATAATATATCTTACATAAAATTTTATTAGGAAGGGTAGAGTATCGAGTTATCTAAGTTAATTTATTAACTTTCATATAGTTATTTAACATATTGGTTTCATTAAAATCTTTCATTGATATCCAGCTATTTTGGGATTCATTATAACCTTTCCATTTAACTAGGAATATATAGGAATCATTTTCAAATTTATGATTTATTATGGATTCTATTTCATAAGAAATATTAGAAGTTGAATTATTTCTAACTTTATTTATATCCATTAATGTTCCTTTGCCTTTACCTTTTCTTTTTCTTTTCTTCTCATTGAATTTAGGTACATCTTCTTCGCTGGAAACATCTTTATCATTATAATTTTCATCGCTGTATTCATTATCAATAATCATATCAGTATTATCTATACTTAAATTATTTAAAAACTGTTCCTGTAATTTAACCATTTCATCTAATTTATTTTTTGCCTCAGATGAATTACTAATAACTATATCTATTAATTTAGCTTCGTGTGGAAATTCAAAATTATCTGATTCCCACAATTTATGATGTGCTTGTGTATTAATATTAAACTTTTCACTAAATATTTTTATATTTTTTAATAAACAAGCAACACAAAATTGAAGATTATAAAACTTTATGTTGTCCATCTTAACAATAGATTTATTATTATTAAATCTATAAAATTTATTACCTATTGCAGCAAATTGGTCTTCTATTTTTGAACGGAAGCTACCAAAAACATCATTATAATGCCTTTCTTCTGCTGTTAAATCTACATTCTTTTCTTTGCGTATAGGATAAACAAAATTATTTAAAGATAAATCATATCCTTTTTCCGTACCAAGTTCTATAAGCTGATTAACAAATAAAGTATAACCACCATCTGTTGCCAATATATCTTGTTTAGATATTTTTTTATATAATTTCATGTTCAAAAACATACTTCCGTCAGAACTATCAGAACAATAATCGCTTTTGGAAGCATATAAAATCATATCGTTTATATCGCTAACAATTTGTGTACGAACTCCATTTTTTTTAAATTTATATGACTATAATCTTTCATGTTTTATATCAATATTAACATAGTTAATTCTTAAATCATGACCATCTATTATAAAAGTTATGTGTTTAAAAAGTGGTGGATTATATTTATAAGAAGATAAAATTCTTAAAGTTAAAGAAGAAAACATATTCTCCATAGAATCATTAACAATTTTATTTAACCTTTTATAGTTATCTTCATCCATCCAAAACTTTTTATAGTATTTGTGAAATGATGTTTGCGGGATAAACTTATTAATTTCAATACTAGAAACACCAGAAACTAAATGATATAATAAAAATAAACCTTTTTCAACTTCAAAATAAGGGCCAGGATATTCACAGCTAGTATATAAAATAACTAAAAAGAAAAAGACAGCTATATGACCAAGTTTATCTACTAAAATCTTTTTAATATCATCAATACCTTTAATATGTTTTAATTCTGTACGATGCTTGTAATTATAATTAACAATTGGCCAGTTATATTCCAAAAATTCCCACTTATTAATAATAATTTTGTTAACTTCATTATTAATCTTTTCATCTATTTGTTGGTTATCCATTGTAATATATTTTTATATTTAATTAAAATTCAATTTTTTTTATATTCAATTTTAAAAATATAATAATTTTGTAAACATGAGGAATTTTTGTGAACCTTAAATATTTTGTTGACCTTAGTTTAGATGAAAAACTTCAACTAGTAAACATCCTCCACATAGAAAATCTTAAAACGAATCAAAAGTAGCGGATAACCAGCAGTACGACGTCTGAATCTGGATAAGTACAGAGGGTAGCAGTAGAAGATAAGATGAAGATACTAGCTTTAAAATACTCCCATCACCAGTAAGTTCACCGCAGTATTTTTTTAGGGAAAGAAGGAGTCTAGAAGTAGTCATACTAACCAATATTCTCATTTTGTATTCAGCCCCGCTCATTCAATAATCTTAAACACTAAAGACGATGCTTGGAAAGATTACTTTTCGCCCCAAGAACTCCATCAAATCAACACGCTGAACCCTATCGAACTTCCATCGCTACCTGCTTCCCTCAAGGAATACTTTTTGTCGTATCAAGGAAAGGTAAAGGTCATATTGAGCATGTGTAGTAGTAATTTTTTCGTAAGTATGTGTCGGTGAGTAATTCTACGGCTGTTTGATCATATAGAAAACATTGGATCAGCTTTTGGAGCATCGCAAACGACACGACTTCGATCCAAGAACCCAACCTGACTTGTATTGGGCTCAGAAGTCGATTATCCATGCAACAGATCTTTTTTTGTACCAGCAATTACCTGCGACCTATGATACTGAAAGTGATCTCATACGTAAAAAATGGGGGTTTGTGCAGTCCTGCTTTTATGAATCGAGATTCCGTGTCCAAAGGTAAAATTTCAACACAAATCATTACGATGGCACAAATTCAAATGTATGGCAACATAGACATTAATGTGTTTATGGTTATATATAGTGGAGAAAAGTCCAGCATTAGTTCCTCAATAAGAAAAAATTCAAACCGATCTACCAATGAAGAAGGTCAACTCAACAGGAAAGTGGTTGGCACAAAAGTTGACCTTATCATCAAGCAAGGAAACTTAGAATACAGTTGCATGGAAGCTGGTTGTTCAGACGATCCATTGAACACCAAAGGCGTAGACGAGGGTAGATTGAAACTTCCAAGGACTTTGAAGGATATTTTGTGTCGTTTGACGAAGGAGGCACCAGGAAAAATGAACGATATCAAGGTTGCAGGTTTGGTCATTTCTAGTAAATATATTATTTAGTAGTCATACTGTGTTTTCTTTGAGTTGTCGCATTATAAAGTTGATGTATTGAACTAAATTGCTTTTGAATAGACATCAACATCACGTTGTACATCGAAGACTGTCCTGCTGGTTCAGTGACAAGGTTAAAAAGTATTGGTCCTTACGAGTTTCCCGGATCTGTCGAAAAATTCGCAAAGAAATTCATTCCGCTCCTTGCTCTGGTTTGGCAAACCAAAGTTATCATGAAAAATACGCTACAAATTATAAATGCTGGTGAAGAAATCATTTTTCTATCGATCGACGGCCCAGAACCCCCACAAATTCCACCTTGCATGCCATCTCCAAAACTTGGCACAAAAAGAAAACACAACCAAGTCGACAATCTAAATAAATATTTTTACACTACCGAACCTGCCTTTCATTATTGATATCCTCAGATGAAAAAGTATGTGGGAGGCTCAATCCGCGCCTGTAGGCATTTTAGAGATAGCTCCCTGGTGGTTCTTTGGAATCTGTGTGACAGAAAATAAGGTGTGTCTGGAGTACATAGTTACACAAGCTGAGAAAACCCCAATGTGGGGAAAAAGCTTGGTCTGTGCGGTAAAAGATGGTTGAGGACATGGCTCTTCCTGATATTAAGGTGGGCGTCAGCTAAAGGGGCCAATTTAAGACCCGATTTCCAGCCTTCATAGAGTTATCTCTGCATGCTTAATTGCCACAAAAGATAGCAGAATCGATAGCTTTAGAGGAGAGGAACACAACGTACTAAGTTTTTTTTCAATGCGCTCACTTGTTGCTGAGCTATGACGTTTCGAAGTCTACTATTTTTAGTACTTTTAGCTAGGAAACGAACAATTTTTGTACACCATTTCCCCATTATCTATTTTGAATCGCAAATCTTTTTCACGTCATCTTTCACCAACTTCATAATTAAATACGCATTTAAATGGCAGGAACCAAAAGAAGAGCTAAAGTTGGTAAAGCCAACTACGAACAAGGAAAAAGATTGAGACTTGAACGCGAAAAAGCAGAATGCGAAAGAGCAGAACGCGAACAACAAGAGATCGAAGTTCAAGACATTCAATAAGAGGAAGAATCCCCTCTTAGTGACGACGAGATCACGGATGAGGAAGAAGAAGCTGTGGATGAAGATCCCACTGGCCTGAACGAAGAAGAATTAAACGACGTTCAAACCAGCTTGTTGAAAGCTAACTTTGTTGTTTGGAAACCTGGTGCTGACAAACAAGGAAGGCCAAAGATTTACAATAAAAGTGACCCACGGACAATTGAAAGCAGCAAAAAGAAACAACAAGAGAAAGCAAAGGGATCCGCGCGAGTCTGGAAGCAACGCATCGAACAAAAAGCAGCAAAACTCACAAAGAAAGAAGAGCAAATCAACAAATTCAAAAATGCTGCTTCTGCTCTTAAAAAATATGCTGATCCATTTCAAAAAACACCCGAGGTCAACCATTTCGAAAGAACACGTCTTATCACTCTCCATCATTTTTTTCTGAAAATCTCAAAAGGAATTGGTAGAATGGAGGCATCAGAGCAACTAAGCAAAGACACTTGGAAAAAAGGAAAACGCTTTGCACGACGTATCCACGAATGGGCCAACGAATACTTGGCCATAAACAGCTTAACAACATCAAAACGAGGTGCACACGTCAAAACTGCTTCTATCCTTCGAGATGAACATTTGAAAGATGATTGTGTCGCATATTTCTGTTCAGTTCGACCAGAACAAAGAACAATCCATAAACTCAAGTTTTTCATTGAAAACGACCTGGTGACTGATCAAAACACCCTGGATCAACGTTTGGAAGAAATTTCAGAATCAACAGTTCGTCGTTATTTGAAGCTATGGGGATTTACTGGTCGCAGTAAGACGGATTCGGTTTATATTGACGGACATGAACGACAAGACGTGGTGGAATACCGGAAGAAATGGGCAGAAAGAATGCTCGAATACAGAAAGTCCATAAATCATTATGACAATAATGATGAACCGAAGGAATTGTCATTGGAAGTCTGGGTAATTATATCTATAAAAAATGTTTGAAAAAATGGTTTTAAAAGTTCTAATATTTTATATGTTATGTTAGGATCGGTAAAAAGTACTTGTAACGCCTGATGAAACGTATTTCTACTCCAATGATAGCAAAAGAAGATTGTACCTTGCTTGTGACGAAACCATCATTCGTAAAAAAGGAGAAGGGCGTGCTATTATGCTAAGTGCATTTGGTTGCTCGTGTCATGGTCTTTTTTCCTGTCATACGATTCTTCCTGGTGCTGCCAATGATGGATATTGGAAGAAGGAGAACATGGCAGAACAATTGAAATCAGCAATTGAAGAGTTCAATGAATTGCATCCCAATTGCACGGGAGTGTTCTGTTTCGACCAGAGTTCCAATCATTCCGCAATGCCAAATAATGCACTGAATGCATTTAAAATGAACCTTGGACCTGGTGGAAAGCAGATCATCTCGCATGATACTGGCTATTATGATGCAAATGGACAGTGGCGAATTCAGCGTATGGTGGACGGTGACGGTCGTGCTCGTGGTCTTGAGGCAGTATTGAAGGAGAGGTGTCTTTGGCCAGAGCAAGGATTGAAAAAGATGTGTCAAGGAGAAAACCAAGGCAATTGCTGTGCAGTGCACTTAATGGCAGAGCAACCAGACTTCAAAGCTCAAAAATCGCTTCTTGCTGAAATATGCGAAAGCAACTATATGATTTTTGAGCTTTATCCAAAGTACCAATGCGAGTGCAATTGGATAGAAAGAGTGTGGGCAGAGATGAAGAGAATTGCTCGAGAAGAATGCGATTACTCGTTTAAATCTTTGCAAATGCGTGTCAAAACATTACATAAGAGAATTCCTATCCAACACATCATTCATTATGAACAACGGGCTTGGAAATTTATTGAAATGTATAATAGAGGACTAGATATTGGAAGAGCCGAATGGGCTACAAAAAAATATAGAAGCCATCGAGTGCTTCCACCAACCTTGGATTTCTCCGATTATACTGAAACTTACCTTCAATAAATTATATTTTCTCCATCATTATCATTAGATCAAAAAAGAATTGTATCACCCCAGACCCAAATTATTTGCCCATATTCGGACGCCATACGGGCCTCTACAAGCTCTACGGAACATACCCTGTGGCCTCTGCGGTGTCACGCCGTGCACACCGTAGAAATTATAGTATGCTCAGCCTACCATAGCACCAGCTTTCTCCCTTCTTTTTCTCAGAGTAATTCTCACTACATTGCGTCCTCCATTTCGAAAATGAGCAACCAGGAACCCCAACCAGAGCAGTCAAATGCTTCCAACAACAAATATTACCGCCCTAAGGGAACCAAAAAGTGGTCCACTTGGAACGCGTTAACTCACTTCCTTTCTCAAAATAGCACTAACGAAGAGCGAGAAGGTTTACTATTTTGTATATAGGTAAAATGAGAATTTTTACTTATCTAGTATATAGAATGGGAAGATATTATCAGACAGTATAACGATGGAGAGTTGACAACGACAACTGCTCAACTGGCTGCGATCTGTGCTCGCATGAACGAGGAGCACCAGAAAAAGCTTGAAGAGAAGGTCAAGTGCATGAACCATATGATGGAGCAACCGGCTCCTATGGATCTAGATGTTCGTCAGCAGCTTGGGAGAGCTTTCAGACGCGAGATCATGTCGGTTAACCACCGTGCTAGCGTGGCCATGGGATGGAATGTCGGCACGCTCATGTCTCCCCAGTTTGAGACCGATTGGATGCTTACTACACCTATAGTCTCATCTAGTATGTAAAGTAGTAAATATGTTTTTAGAAATGCTCATATTCAAGGTTCTAATACCAACTATTAAGAGAAAGCTCAGAACGCATTGAATAAGATTGGAGGGCGTCCAAACTTCCATCGACATTGTCAAGGTTAATACTACACTGTGATAGTAACATCTTATTGAGAAAAAGGATTATTTATTTATTGACTTTTCTTAACAACAATCTGTCACTATAGGAACAACAGGCGGTAACTATCGCTAACACATCATAGCATTGTTAAAAGGAGCTACTAATGTATATTATTCGTTTTCGCCAGGACCTCGTTTGACCAGAAAGCCTACCAAAAAGAAAAGCACGGTTAAGGACCTCATGATTGAACTCTGTAGTATGTTACAAGCAGTGCCTGCATTGCAGTTATCAATGTATTAATACTTGTAAATGAATGTATGTAGACAACGAAGTCGACAAAAATTTGACAAAGTTTCCGTGGAAAAGTTTCAAGAGGGTGTCAAACGGTGGGATAATTCGCTACAGAAATGAAACATTGGGGTGCGAATTCACGGGTTTTGATTTTGGCGAAAAGGCGGATACTGCTTTGTGCCCGAGTGACATGCCGTATAAGAGATGGTCAGAGCTGTATGATGCCCTTATCAATGGCCAAATTAGTTTTGAAAAGCTTTAAATTAAATGGTTTAGCACATTTTAAAAAGTTGCTATTGATAAAAGCGACATATTAGCATCCAATAGGTATGTTAGTTCATTTATTAAATTACAGATCATGATTTTACTGTGGAAGACAGAGTGATCTGCGCTAGGGGACATGTAGTCGTTCCTTGACATGGACAAGGATACTATACATATACAAATAATATGAGTCCATAACTGAAAAAAAACCGCATAGAACAAAAAGAGTTAGACGGTGTGGTGGTAGATGGGTAGAGGTGGAGCGAGAATGATGAAATTATTAGGAGGATTTCTTCATGCAATTTGGAAATGACCACAGTAATACTCTTAGAAAGCAAGGAAATTTGAAACAGTTCCTAGCGTCCGAGCATTTTTACCCTATTACATAACGTACTTCTGTGTACAAAAATAAATTGTAGATTAGGGGATCGTCATAAAAATCTACAGGAAAAGAAGCTTTCCTCAAGCGCGTGGTACTTTTTTGTCAACTTGCACGTTTACTGAGCAATAAACAGAAGTGATCAACTTAATATGTGTTGCAATATAAATATAGAGAACTGAAATGAAAAATTATCTTTTGAAGGTTCTTAGCTACAACGTAACAAACAACAGACCGCACCATCTTATTAGCACTAGATCATGAGTTTTAACGATCGGTTCAACGAAGACGACGCCATGGACCTAGTGGAATCCACGATGTTGAGCGATGGGAGAACGAGAACGAAAAGCCGTAAAGTGTATGCTGGTGACGATGCAGTTGTAGCTTCTGCTCCCACTATAAGAGATACGCGTCAAAATTCACAGCATGATCAATTAGGTAACTGATTCGCATATAAGCACACTAAACCTTTGCTTAATATAACATATACTTTGTAACGCGAAGATCACGGAGAAACCGATGATCTCGACTATGGTGACGGTCCTGGTAGCGCTTTTAATGAAGGCTTGACAGTGTTTCGTCTGAATGACCATGACATCGAAAAACATAAAAGGAGATTGGAAGCTCTTGATGAAAACTGGTCCGAGGTCTTTAAGGTGCTACCGAAAGACTATGTAAAGTGCAGGGGAAGTAGCGACTATAGTCTGGCCGATACGACTCCGTTTTTTCGACGCGCGCTGCACTACATGCAATAAAACAAAGGAACGGGAGATCCTTTGCGTTTTCATTACCGGTAACGCATTACGTTGCATTAATAATTACCAAACATACTGTGATATGAACAACTGCTAAAACATTCCTATAAATGCCGTCCAAAACATACGAAACAGGCATTAAAAGTTATAAAATACCATTCTGTGAATGTAAATCAGACGCCTCAACCCTGCTTAACCATCACTTGTTTCCGTCATCTCCCGCCTCGCCGAGGACAGCATTTCATCTCCCATTGCTTGATTTCTATTCTGCGCTTTTGGCTGAAGGTCATTTAGCAGCACAAGCCTTTGGAAATGCTTGCTCTTATGTGCACAAGTTTGAGGTACTGTTACTGCTAATAGAATAATCAGATGATAACACAATGGAGCGAAATCACTTATCATAACAGTTATTCTAATGTATTATATATACATTTGAATTTTATGGAATAAAGAATCCTGATAGAATTCGAAAGACTTTAGGAAATGCACATACAGCATACATGGAGCTGAAAGAAAAAGTGACGGATGAAATGGTTAACGAGTTCAGCAATATTACTCCAATGGAGCGAGATGCGTGTCCGGCTTGTCCCAAGGTCTCCTTCTCGTTTTATAATTTAGTGCTGTCATGATATTTTGATGAGCTAATGACTCAATGTACAATTGACACAGGAAGGAAAACTGTTCGTCGCAGTCGATGGCAACATGCAATTGCGACGACGCAAAGCACATGCAAATGACACAAAAAAAGCTGAAGTAGCGACGTTTTTCTCGGCTGATAACTTGCATGACGTTTACGAAAAGCATGAAGTCACCAATGCCGTCAATAAGCGTTGCGAGAGTGAGCTCAAAGCTGTTACGTCCGTTTCTGCTGCTGTCGAGAAGTTCTATGAAAGTGGAATAGTAGGCTGTGTATGCGGCAGACACAATGTTCCACTTCAGTTTACGAATATCTTTGCTTCTGGTGAAAAGTAATTTTAATACTTTTTACATGCATGCAGTCTATAATCCCTAGCGTATAATATGCACTTACATGTTGAGCTTTGTATAGGTACAAATATGCTCTATCTGTGCTTGCTGTTGCCACTAAGGGATACAAAGATGTCAATATTTTGTATGATCTTGGTTGTCGCTTTGAACCATCATTTAAGGTATTTTGCCGTGTCTAAGAATATCATCGCATCCGGTAAACAAATTGATCTTTGATTACTTATGCACCATTAGAAAGCATTTCCCAATTTTGCTCAAGCTGGATCACAGATGGCCGTCTCCGTTTTTCATGCATACGCCCATTCAATGTCTTGCCAGGTCGATTATCATCCACGATTCATAAGCGGCTTTGGACTGACAGATGGAGAAGGACTTGAGCGTCTTTGGTCCTACCTTGGAGGATTTGTCTCAATGACTAGACAAATGAGCGCCAAGAGACGTCTGTTCGTTTTACAGCATGCGATTGGTCATTCGAAAGCGAAGACTATAATCAATATGTGTATGCATGATTTTAAATGAAGTTATAAATGATTGCGTGATACTCATAATAGTACCGATAGGTTACGCGCTTAAAAAACGGACGAAAAGGGCAAAGGCAATCATCGAACAAGCGTCTGCATACTTGCGACACAGAGCTACCCTTGTAGCTTCCGGCGGTACGCCATGCTGGTGGTGGAACGAGGACGGGAAGATAGATGAGCTCAGATTCGAAGAAGAATGGAAGACGTACAAAGATACCGTCCATAAAAAATCGAAAGATCGTACTATATTCACTGGTGTCAAACCTCTATCAGTAAAAATACAGTATTATGAAGAACTAGAACATTTTTACGCGGTTGAGTGAGTTTACAAAGTGTTTTTGTAGAGTACTGTAAAATACTTAGACAACTAATCCATTCGGAAAACATCATTAGAGCGGAGCGCGTTACTTTATCGAGGGAGCTTCAAGATCCAGATAAATGTGCCAATATGACTATGGCGGAAGCAGGTATGTATAACGATTTCTACTCCCTTTCGTTTATGCGTATTAAGCTATTGTTATCATCAATAGACGAGAAATTTAGATTGCTTCGAAAGCTCTCAAGAAAGCTCGAGATCGCTGAAGACAATGTTACTAGAATTGAAAGGGTGCTAAAGCCTGAACGAAGATGGCAGATAAATAGCACAGAATACGCAAGCGCAAAAGAAGCAAAAGCAAAGCGAGAAAAGGAAGATAGCCTGTATAAACTAAAATCACATATAATCTCGCGTAAGATGATGTATGATCAGCTGCGTAATCGAGAGGGCAAAATAGGTATTGTATATCTGTTTTTTGAAGTGTAAAAATGAGAAAGCGCTGCTGATGGATATAATTAATTAATTATGAAACAGGCGAAAGAGTAAGCACGAAAGTTAGAAGCGCAATCAAGAAACAAAGCACTGCAGCTGAAAAGCAATTGAAGCTATACAATGCTGCTTGCCATCTGTTGTTGGAGCCTGAAGTCCAGTGGGAGGATGTCTGTCATCTGGAGACACGATTTTGGGAACAGCACCATATAGCAGAAAGCAACGACGTCGACGTTCTCAGAGAGATTATGAACATTAAGCGCGCCGAGGAAGAGCTGATAATGATCGAGGTTAGTGCTATGGTACTTCATTGAAACTCCATACTGTGATCTCAACTTTCCACTTAGGACGAAGAAAAGAATCTGGAAGTATACGCTGCAGCACGTTATAGCGCCATTCAAGATGCCATAGAGGCGACGCATGACGATGGGTGGCAAGCTATTCTTGGTGATCTTTTGGAACAAGCTGAACGTCTCCAATGTAATATCAGAAGCAGCAAACCGCGTACTGTTGGTGAAATTTCACAGATCGACAACGACGAACAATACGGTGACGATGCGGACGATGAATATGACGAAGACGTTTACTTTGTCCATGCTGAGACATATGAGGATATTGAGAAGGAACATGACGAGCTGATGTACGAGTATATGCCGCCAGTAGATTATACTATGCCTGACGAAGATATTTCTCTGCCAGATGCAGTACTTTCAGAAGAAACACTATAGAGCCAGCAATGTATATACGCCGTTGTAAATCAAGAGCTCTTTTATAATCCTTATTATGCTTACTTATACATTGTATGTTATTAGACCTGTTATGCGAATATGATTTTTTATTATGTGTAATAAGCACCTATTCTGTTACTTATTTTCTCAATACTGCGTTGAGCGTTAATCCTCATAATTTAAATCAGATACATATATATAATACTGTATGCTACCAGAAAAAGATGCTCTGGTTGGGGTTCCTGGTTGCTCATTTTCGAAATGGAGGACGCAATGTAGTGAGAATTATTCGAGAAAAAGAAGGGAGAAAGCTGGTGCTATGGTAGGCTGAGCATACTATAATTTCTACGGTGTGCACGGCGTGACACCACAGAGGCCACAGGGTATGTTCTGTAGAGCTTGTAGAGGCCCGTACGGCGTCTGAATATAGGCAAATAATTTGGGTCTAGGGTGAATTGTATCACCTGACGCGGGGTTTAAAGTCGATTTGATTTTTGCAAAAAATGGCCCCTTTAGCTGACGCGCACCTTAGGCTTTTGGTGCCTTTTGCTTTTTTCGGTGTCGCGTCGCTTACTGTTCCATTGCATACTTTATCTTTGTACTATCTAGCGGGTGCCCCATAATTCGGAATAAGAGCACTTGAAACTCCAGCTAATGTTGTTGTACCACCAAGTTCATGATAAAAATATCCCAAAGCTGTCAACTGAAGGCGAGATTATTTCTTTTTTAAATCACGGACTGCTGCGGCTGCTATGTGCTGCAGCCGTTATCAGTAAAATTGACTGAGTTCGAAACTGCAGCCTTGACTTCCTGTACAAAGCTCAATCAAACCGCTTTTTGCCTTCTCAAACACCATCGCCATGGAAGCAAAATCAGAGCCAGTCTAAGCGGAAATCCTTGAATGGAATTCAGGTAATAGAAAAAGAGTGACTATGGAAACGATTGCTTGGATACTAAATATATAATTATTTATAGTCATCAAACAATACCTTTTGAATGCAGCCGAAACTGGCAAAAGTTTGACTCTCCAGAACTTTGTAAATCAAAACACAACACTCATTTTGTCTCAAACAATCCTTGGTGACGATTTTCAATCAGACTGGACGACCAGGTTTGCCTTCGTAGCCAAAGAACTGGATCTGATTGTTGTATGTTTTATTAGTGTGGTACATGGATATGTTCCTTTTGTTTGAAAGACTTCTGACTGAATAGTGTATACTTTTAAAGAAACGTAGTAAACCAGACTGGCCAAAAATTTATGAAGGTCTTGTACACCGCGTCACCAATCAAGCAACACGTCGATCCCATAATCAAACTGCTATACCTGAAAATGAACCCCAACTATCAGCTGCCGGTCTGTCTGGATCTGTCCCAAGTGGTTCAGCTACCGGTAATGGATCTACCCCACGTGACTCAGCTGCCCCTGCGACATCACGTAATTAATCTACTCCACGTTCTATACCTGCTAGTTCGTCTTCTCTGTCTGTCAAGCATCGCCAATAGGTTCAAAACACAGAGGAATAAACATTAACACGATGTTAATAAATTTTCTTTAAATTTTTTCTTAACTGACAATTTTTTTATTCTCGGAGTTTGAAATCGTGCATACTGTTAAATTTTATTTAAAAAAAAACTGAATTTTTTTTTTAATATAAAAATAAATACCTCCAATATTACTTGGCATAAAAAATTCAAATGGTTATATTAAATACTGAGCTTCTTATTAATAAGAATAGTATGATTTGTTCTATTAAAGATTTAATGGAGCAAGTTATGCATAATTATTTTGAAGATGAAATGGTAGTTAAAGATATTGAAAGTAAGAAGATGATTATGAAAAAAAAAATTAATGAAGAAATTAATAAAGTTAAAGATAATTATTTTTGGTATGTTAATACAAGCGATAATATATGCACTTACATACATAAAAGAGGTAAGAAAAATGGCCATATGTGTCACAGAAAAATTAATACTAATCTTAATAGAGATAAACCTAAACCTGATTACCTTTGTACTATACATAGTAAACTTTATGTTCCAAAGAAAAAAAATAAAAAATCTACAAAAAAAATAGAAAATCCTAATTTACCATGTATACTTGTTAATGATGGTAATTTTATACATAAAACTAATAACAAAAGAATAAAAAAAAGAAAATCTAGAAAAATATATATATGCAATAGTGGAAGTTTTAACCTAGCAAATGTATTTAAAGGATTATTACAATAATAGGAACCGACGTTATCCACTATACACACTCAAATAATATATCTTACATAAAATAAAATAACTATACATAGTTATGATATTTTATTAGGAAGGGTAAAGTATCGAGTTATCTAAGTTAATTTATTAGCTTTCATATAGTTATTTAACATATTGGTTTCATTAAAATCTTTCATTGATATCCAGCTATTTTGGGATTCATTATAACCTTTCCATTTAATTAGGAATATATAGGAGTCATCTTCAAATTTATGATTTAATATGGATTCTATTTCATAAGAAATATTAGAAGTTGAATTATTTCTAATTTTATTTATATCCATTAATGTTCCTTTGCCTTTACCTTTCCTTTTTCTTTTTTTCTCATTGAATTTAGGTACATCTTCTTCGCTGGAAACATCTTTATCATTATCATTTTCATCACTGTATTCATTATCAATAATCATATCAGTATTATCTATACTTAAATTATTTAAAAACTGTTCCTGTAATTTAACCATTTCATCTAATCTATTTTTTGCCTCAGATGAATTGCTAATAACTATATCTATTAATTTAGCTTCGTATGGAAATTCAAAATTATCTAATTCCCATAATTTTATGATGTGCTTATGTATTAATATTAAACTTTTCACTAAATATTTTTATATTTTTTAATAAATAAGCAACACGAAATTGAAGATTATAAAACTTTATGTTGTCCATCTTAACAATAGATTTATTATTATTAAATCTATAAAATTTATTACCTATTGCAGCAAATTGGTCTTCTATTTTTGAACGGAAGCTACCAAAAACATCATTATAATGCCTTTCTTCTGCTGTTAAATCTACATTCTTTTCTTTGTGTATAGGATAAACAAAATTATTTAAAGATAAATCATATCCTTTTTCTGCACCAAGTTCTATAAGCTAATTAACAAATAAAGTATAACCACCATCTGTTGCCAATACATCTTGTTTAGATATTTTTTATATAATTTCATATTCAAAAACATACTTCCGTCAGAACTATCAGAACAATAATCGCTTTTGGAAGCATATAAAATCATATCGTTAATATCGCTAACAATTTGTGTACGAACTCCATTTTTTTTAAATTTATATGACCATAATCTTTCATGTTTTATATCAGTATTAACATAGTTAATTCTTGAATCATGACTATCTATTATAAAAGTTATGTGTTTAAAAAGTGGTGGATTATATTTATAAGAAGATAAAATTCTTAAAGTTAAAGAAGAAAACATATTCTCTATATGGTGCCTGCTACCTAGAAACGTAAATTTTTGGACCAGTTTGCAATGTTTTATTTCAACTTTTTTCACTTATACAACCCACTTTTTTAATCTCATAGAACGATAGAGAAAGGCTCAAAGAATAATTCTATGAAAAGCTTTTATTTACATACGGGCAAAAAAAAATGAGAAATAAAGTGTCGAAGTTAGGGTCGATTTGAAGATTTAGCAGAGGATTTTGTCAGAATATCCACCCTACTATACACTATAGTATATGACATTAAATCGGCGATTTCCATATTAAGAAGGTAGTGTAACATTAGTGATAAGTACTGGTGCAATATATACTTCAGCCTTCTAATTCCAATTAACATTGATTGTAATGGTGCCATGTAAATTATAAGTAGGATGACAGTTTGATTGTTCCTTTTTTTTCCAAAACATTCCATACAATGGGGAGACTCAACAAGTACTGGAAGCACCTTAAAATTGTGCAAGAGTCAAAGAACACAATCAAGTAATTTTCTTGTACATTTAAAGAGAGCTGTCAGTTTCTAAGAATCATGTGAGATGCATCATATGAGAGCAGTTTGTTTATTTTCATCCTCTGAGAAGCGAATTTTCAATGGATAAATATCGCTTAACTAAAAATGGAAAGTTATAATAGCGGAACTTTAAATTTTTCAAATGTCCACTTGTTGTTTCTAGGTGGCGGGCACCATAGAATCATTAACAATTTTATTTAACCTTTTATAGTTATCTTCATCCATCCAAAACTTTTTATAGTATTTGTGAAATGATGTTTGCGGGATAAACTTATTAATTTCAATACCAGAAACACTAGAAACTAAATGATATAATAAAAATAAACCTATTTCAACTTCAAAATAAGGGCCAGGATATTCACAGCTAGTATATAAAACAACCAAAAAGAAAAAAACAGCTATATAACCAAGTTTATCTACTAAAATCTTTTTAATATCATCAATACCTTTAATATGTTTTAATTCTGTACGATGCTTGTAATTATAATTAACAATTGGCCAGTTATATTCCAAAAATTCCCACTTATTAATAATAATTTTGTTAACTTCATTATTAATCTTTTCATCTATTTGTTGGTTATCCATTGTAATATATTTTTATATTTAATTAAAATTCAATTTTTTTTATATTCAATTTTAAAAATATAATAATTTTATAAACATGAGGAATTTTTGTGAACCTTAAATATTTTGTTGACCTTAGTTTAGATGAAAAACTTCAACTAGTAAACATCCTCCACATACGAAAATCTTAAAACGAATCAAAAGTGGTAGATAACCAGCAGTACGACGTCTGAATCTGGATAAGTACAGAGGGTAGTAGTAGAAGATAAGATGAAGATGCTAGCTTTAAAATACTCCCATCACCAGTAAGTTCACTGCAGTATTTTTTTAGGGAAAGAAGGAGTCTAGAAGTAGTCATGCTAACCAATATTCTCATTTTGTATTCAGCCCCGCTCATTCAATGATCTTAAGCACCAAAGACGATGCTTGGAAAGATTACTTTTCGCCCCAAGAACTCCATCAAATCAACACGCTGAGCCCTATCGAACTTCCATCGCTACCTGCTTCCCTCAAGGAATACTTTTTGTCGTATCAAGGAAAGGTAAAGGTCATATTGAGCATGTGTAGTAGTAATTTTTTCGTAAGTATGTGTCGGTGAGTAATTCTACGGCTATTTGATCATATAGAAAACATTGGATCAGCTTTTGGAGCATCGCAAACGACACGACTTCGATCCAAGAACCCAACCTGACTTGTATTGGGCTCAGAAGTCGATTATCCATGCAACAGATCTTTTTTTGTACCAGCAATTACCTGCGACCTATGATACTGAAAGTGATCTCATACATAAAAAATGGGGGTTTGTGCAGTCCTGCTTTTATGAATCGAGATTCCGTGCCCAAAGGTAAAATTTCAACACAAATCATTACGATGGCACAATTTCAAATGTGTGGCAACATAGACATTAATGTGTTTATGGTTATATATAGTGGAGAAAAGTCCAGCATTAGTTCCTCAATAAGAAAAAATTCAAACCGATCTACCAATGAAGAAGGTCAACTCAACAGGAAAGTGGTTGGCACAAAAGTTGACCTTATCATCAAGCAAGGAAACTTAGAATATGGTTGCATGGAAGCTGGTTGTTCAGACGATCCATTGAACACCAAAGGCGTAGACGAGGGTAGATTGAAACTTCCAAGGACTTTGAAGGATATTTTGTGTCGTTTGACGAAGGAGGCACCGGGAAAAATGAACGATATCAAGGTTGCAGGTTTGATCATTTCTGGTAAATATATTATTTAGTAGTCATACTGTTGATACCCCAAGAATTATCCCTCCAATAAAATCTGAATACAAGAAAGAGCTGCATAACAAACATCAAGCACATCACATCACACAACAACAAGAGCTCTACTACAGCAGCCTCGCAATTACTACAACATTCTGGCACTTTCCATAAAGCCAAGGACACAGCGATCCAATAACTACGCAGCAACAACTCTACAAACTTCTGGCACCTTCCAAATTGCCACGGAATAGCTAATAATAGCATTATTCCTAGACTTTCCATTTGATTCCACATCCATAACCATTGGATGCGAGTACTTCCCACAACCTTCGAGCATCATCTTTGATGTTCAATTATTATAGAGGTATTGAATTATTTTGAAAGATATAAATACCCCCTCATTTTATTTGAATAAAGACATTGAATTTCTACCTCCCACTTTTGACTTAACTTTTCAAGTGTTGTTTTCAATCACTCAAGACCTAAACACGGCTTGTTTTATCTTACATATTGTTTATTGCTCATAACTGAAGCTAAATAAACTCTTCTATTAAGACCAGACGTAACATTCCTGCTCTTATTTCTCATTTATTTGGACAGACGTAACATTCCTGATCCTTATTCCTCATTCATTTTGGACAGACATAACATCCCTGATCCTCATTTCTACTCACTGAGCTTAATCAAGGCAACAGCTCCCTACTATATATACAACCTTGGATATAACCCATAAGCATTTTTACCTTACTTTACACTCATATCACTTCACAACCCGTCTGTAATAAACGATATTATTACTGGTGCTCACTACAAAACATACACTTAAACCGTTACGCAACTACCTGGAATACCCCAAATTCACCGTAACACTGTGTTTTCTTTGAGTTGTCGCATTATAAAGTTGATGTATTGAACTAAATTGCTTTTGAATAGGCATCAACATCACGTTGTACATCGAAGACTGTCCTGCTGGTTCAGTGACAAGGTTAAAAAGTATTGGTCCTTACGAGTTTCCCGGATCTGTCGAAAAATTCGCAAAGAAATTCATTCCGCTCCTTGCTCTGGTTTGGCAAACCAAAGTTATCATGAAAAATACGCTACAAATTATAAATGCTGGTGAAGAAATCATTTTTCTATCGATCGACGGCCCAGAACCCCCACAAATTCCACCTTGCATGCCATCTCCAAAACTTGGCACAAAAAGAAAACACAACCAAGTCGACAATCTAAATAAATATTTTTACACTACCGAACCTGCCTTTCATTATTGATATCCTCAGATGAAAAAGTATGTGGGAGGCTCAATCCGCGCCTGTAGGCATTTTAGAGATAGCTCCCTGGTGGTTCTTTGGAATCTGTGTGACAGAAAATAAGGTGTGTCTGGAGTACATAGTTACACAAGCTGAGATGTGGGGAAAAAGCTTGGTCTGTGCGGTAAAAGATGGTTGAGGACATGGCTCTTCCCGATATTAAGGTGGGCGTCAGCTAAAGGGGCCAATTTAAGACCCGATTTCCAGCCTTCATAGAGTTATCTCTGCATGCTTAATTGCCACAAAAGATAGCAGAATCGATAGCTTTAGAGGAGAGGAACACAACGTACTAAGTTTTTTTTCAATGCGCTCACTTGTTGCTGAGCTATGACGTTTCGAAGTCTACTATTTTTAGTACTTTTAGCTAGGAAACGAACAATTTTTGTACACCATTTCCCCATTATCTATTTTGAATCGCAAATCTTTTTCACGTCATCTTTCACCAACTTCATAATTAAATACGCATTTAAATGGCAGGAACCAAAAGAAGAGCTAAAGTTGGTAAAGCCAACTACGAACAAGGAAAAAGATTGAGACTTGAACGCGAAAAAGCAGAATGCGAAAGAGCAGAACGCGAACAACAAGAGATCGAAGTTCAAGACATTCAATAAGAGGAAGAATCCCCTCTTAGTGACGACGAGATCACGGATGAGGAAGAAGAAGCTGTGGATGAAGATCCCACTGGCCTGAACGAAGAAGAATTAAACGACGTTCAAACCAGCTTGTTGAAAGCTAACTTTGTTGTTTGGAAACCTGGTGCTGACAAACAAGGAAGGCCAAAGATTTACAATAAAAGTGACCCACGGACAATTGAAAGCAGCAAAAAGAAACAACAAGAGAAAGCAAAGGGATCCGCGCGAGTCTGGAAGCAACGCATCGAACAAAAAGCAGCAAAACTCACAAAGAAAGAAGAGCAAATCAACAAATTCAAAAATGCTGCTTCTGCTCTTAAAAAATATGCTGATCCATTTCAAAAAACACCCGAGGTCAACCATTTCGAAAGAACACGTCTTATCACTCTCCATCATTTTTTTCTGAAAATCTCAAAAGGAATTGGTAGAATGGAGGCATCAGAGCAACTAAGCAAAGACACTTGGAAAAAAGGAAAACGCTTTGCACGACGTATCCACGAATGGGCCAACGAATACTTGGCCATAAACAGCTTAACAACATCAAAACGAGGTGCACACGTCAAAACTGCTTCTATCCTTCGAGATGAACATTTGAAAGATGATTGTGTCGCATATTTCTGTTCAGTTCGACCAGAACAAAGAACAATCCATAAACTCAAGTTTTTCATTGAAAACGACCTGGTGATTGATCAAAACACCCTGGATCAACGTTTGGAAGAAATTTCAGAATCAACAGTTCGTCGTTATTTGAAGCTATGGGGATTTACTGGTCGCAGTAAGACGGATTCGGTTTATATTGACGGACATGAACGACAAGACGTGGTGGAATACCGGAAGAAATGGGCAGAAAGAATGCTCGAATACAGAAAGTCCATAAATCATTATGACAATAATGATGAACCGAAGGAATTGTCATTGGAAGTCTGGGTAATTATATCTATAAAAAATGTTTGAAAAAATGGTTTTAAAAGTTCTAATATTTTATATGTTATGTTAGGATCGGTAAAAAGTACTTGTAACGCCTGATGAAACGTATTTCTACTCCAATGATAGCAAAAGAAGATTGTACCTTGCTTGTGACGAAACCATCATTCGTAAAAAAGGAGAAGGGCGTGCTATTATGCTAAGTGCATTTGGTTGCTCGTGTCATGGTCTTTTTTCCTGTCATACGATTCTTCCTGGTGCTGCCAATGATAGATATTGGAAGAAGGAGAACATGGCAGAACAATTGAAATCAGCAATTGAAGAGTTCAATGAATTGCATCCCAATTGCACGGGAGTGTTCTGTTTCGACCAGAGTTCCAATCATTCCACAATGCCAAATAATGCACTGAATGCATTTAAAATGAACCTTGGACCTGGTGGAAAGCAGATCATCTCGCATGATACTGGCTATTATGATGCAAATGGACAGTGGCGAATTCAGCGTACGGTGGACGGTGACGGTCGTGCTCGTGGTCTTGAGGCAGTATTGAAGGAGAGGTGTCTTTGGCCAGAGCAAGGATTGAAAAAGATGTGTCAAGGAGAAAACCAAGGCAATTGCTGTGCAGTGCACTTAATGGCAGAGCAACCAGACTTCAAAGCTCAAAAATCGCTTCTTGCTGAAATATGCGAAAGCAACTATATGATTTTTGAGCTTTATCCAAAGTACCAATGCGAGTGCAATTGGATAGAAAGAGTGTGGGCAGAGATGAAGAGAATTGCTCGAGAAGAATGCGATTACTCGTTTAAATCTTTGCAAATGCGTGTCAAAACATTACATAAGAGAATTCCTATCCAACACATCATTCATTATGAACAACGGGCTTGGAAATTTATTGAAATGTATAATAGAGGACTAGATATTGGAAGAGCCGAATGGGCTACAAAAAAATATAGAAGCCATCGAGTGCTTCCACCAACCTTGGATTTCTCCGATTATACTGAAACTTACCTTCAATAAATTATATTTTCTCCATCATTATCATTAGATCAAAAAAGAATTGTATCACCTGACGTGGGGTTTAAAGTCGATTTGATTTTTGCAAAAAATGGCCCCTTTAGCTGACGCCCACCTTAGGCTTTTGGTGCCTTTTGCTTTTTTCGGCGTCGCGTCGCTTACTGTTCCATTGCATACTTTGTCTTTGTATTATCTAGTGGGTGCCCCATAATTCGGAATAAGAGCACTTGAAACTCCAGCTAATGTTGTTGTACCACCAAGTTCATGATAAAAATATCCCAAAGCTGTCAACTGAAGGCGAGATTATTTCTTTTTTAAATCACGGACTGCTGCGGCTGCTATGTGCTGCAGCCGTTATCAGTAAAATTGACTGAGTTCGAAACTGCAGCCTTGACTTCCTGTACAAAGCTCAATCAAACCGCTTTTTGCCTTCTCAAACACCATCGCCATGGAAGCAAAATCAGAGCCAGTCTAAGCGGAAATCCTTGAATGGAATTCAGGTAATAGAAAAAGAGTGACTATGGAAACGATTGCTTGGATACTAAATATATAATTATTTATAGTCATCAAACAATACCTTTTGAATGCAGCCGAAACTGGCAAAAGTTTGACTCTCCAGAACTTTGTAAATCAAAACACAACACTCATTTTGTCTCAAACAATCCTTGGTGACGATTTTCAATCAGACTGGACGACCAGGTTTGCCTTCGTAGCCAAAGAACTGGATCTGATTGTTGTATGTTTTATTAGTGTGGTACATGGATATGTTCCTTTTGTTTGAAAGACTTCTGACTGAATAGTGTATACTTTTAAAGAAATGTAGTAAACCAGACTGGCCAAAAATTTATGAAGGTCTTGTACACTGCGTCACCAATCAAGCAACACGTCGATCCCATAATCAAACTGCTATACCTGAAAATGAACCCCAACTATCAGCTGCCGGTCTATCTGGATCTGTCCCAAGTGGTTCAGCTACCGGTAATGGATCTACCCCACGTGACTCAGCTGCCCCTGCGACATCACGCAATTAATCTACTCCACGTTCTATACCTGCTAGTTCGTCTTCTCTGTCTGTCAAGCATCGCCAATGGGTTCAAAACATAGAGGAATAAACATTAACACGATGTTAATAAATTTTCTTTAAATTTTTTCTTAACTGACAATTTTTTTTATTCTCGGAGTTTGAAATCGTGCATACTGTTAAATTTTATTTAAAAAAAAAACTGAATTTTTTTTTAATATAAAAATAAATACCTCCAATATTACTTGGCATAAAAAATTCAAATAGTTATATTAAATACTGAGCTTTTTATTAATAAAAATAGTATGATTTGTTCTATTAAAGATTTAATGGAGCAAGTTATGCATAATTATTTTGAAGATGAAATGTTAGTTAAAGATATTGAAAGTAAGAAAATGATTATGAAAAAAAAAATTAATGAAGAAATTAATAAAGTTAAAGATAATTATTTTTGGTATGTTAATACAAGCGATAATGTGTGCACTTACATACATAAAAGAGGTAAGAAAAATGGCCATATGTGTCACAGAAAAATTAATACTAATCTTAATAGAGATAAACCTAAACCTGATTACCTTTGTACTATACATAGTAAACTTCATGTTCCAAAGAAAAAAAATAAAAAATCTACAAAAAAAATAGAAAATCCTAATTTACCATGCATAATTGTTAATGATGGTGATTTTATACATAAAACTAATAACAAAAGAATAAAAAAAAGAAAATCTAGAAAAATATATATATGCAACAGTGGAAGTTTTAACCTAGCAAATGTACTTAAAGGATTATTACAATAATAGGAACCGACGTTATCTACTATACACACTCAAATAATATATCTTACATAAAATAAAATAACTATACATAGTTATGATATTTTATTAGGAAGGGTAAAGTATCGAGTTATCTAAGTTAATTTATTAACTTTCATATAGTTATTTAACATATTGGTTTCATTAAAATCTTTCATTGATATCCAGCTATTTTGGGATTCATTATAACCTTTCCATTTAATTAGGAATATATAGGAGTCAT